TATACCCCTTTCCAGTTCCCTCCCCCTTTCTCCTCCTTCTTCCAGAGTCCTCCCCATTAGTTCCTCTGAGCATGAACAGAAAGCTGTCTTGGGACTATTGGACTCTTGGCGCCTTTCCCAGGAAAGGGGGGTGAGAAGCCTTGCATGTCCAAGATGTTGCAACTAGAATGAGATAAGATTCAGTTCTCAGGCCTGAGTATTCTTGGCAATGACAGAGCCTATTCATTAGCCTTTAAAAGTAACGGTTTGCCCTTGCCACAGCATCTTGTGAGAAAAGCTGTTTTGGATTTTTAGAAGTCAAAGGAATTTTGGACAGTTTTGAGGCCTGGTGGGGGGGGGTGACTTCAGGCCTAGGTGGGGTCACCTGTCTTCACCTTCCTTCAAAATAACCTTCCGGCTGTTGGGGGACTATCCAAATACCACAACCAGCATCAAATTTTTATTAATAGTTAAGTGCCTGGTGCTATAAGCCTAGAAGGCAAAAATCCCCCTCTGCCCAAAAAATACAGCAGAAAGATATGCTCGACCTAGCACTGAGAAAGCATGTGATATTCTGCTGAAGTGCCACCTCAGATACCTAGTATAAAGTTTTTTAAACTTTCTGGAAATAGACAAAAGATACTTCACATTGGCGTGCCGTTGAGTCACAAACACCCCTTTTAAAATATGTGTTGTGTTTCTATACAGTATTGCAAACTCCTGCTCACGTTTACTTGGAAATAAGTCTTACAGTGGTCTGTGGGGGCTTACTCCCTTGTATTTATTTATTTGCTTTAACAAGCTTGCGTATCTAGGGCTTTTTTTTCAGCCTGAACTCAGTTCTGGCACCTCTCAGGTGGGCTCCATTGCCATTATGAGAGAACAAGGGAGGTGTTCCATCTTGAGTTCTGGCAACAATCCAACCAAGATAGTTTTGCAATTCAGATTATATTAGTTGTTAAAAGCAACAAGTTTATCTAGGTGGTGCAGTATAACGATGAAGAGGCTAAACACTATGAATCAGTGAGTCCCCAGTTTGAATTTGTCCTCTTCTCTGTGTCTCACTCAACTAGTGATGGCCTTTAGCCAAGTTCAGTGGTTCTCAGTTATCTAAGTACTGCAGACCCCGTTTTTCCCCAAAAGCCAAGCCATGGACCTCCCTACTTTTGATATCTCTTAGGTAGCTTTTGTTATGTGGATGGTGCCATGGACTCCGTGGGTGGGTTAAATGGACTCCCTAGTGTCTGCAGACCCCCAACTAAGAACCACTGGCCTAGATGGATTTACAGGGGGAAGAGACACATTTGTGGAAGGTGCAGTTATCAAGGGCTCAGTGGTAGAGAACTGTTCTTCCTGCAGAAGGTCCAAGGTTCAATCCTTGGCATCTCCAGGTAGAAGTTAGATGGACCCCACTCTGTAATGCTATTGCCCTTCATAGAATCACAGAGTTGGAAGGGACCCCAAGAATCATCTAGTCCAACCCCCTGTGATGCAGAAATGTCCTTCTTGCTAGCTTTCCATTACTATCTGGCTGGGGGAAAGGATGCCAGACTGGACAGGCCTTTGGCCTGATCCAGCTGCAAGGCTCTTCTTACATTCTTAACCCTTTTGCTCTGGGAAGGCATTATGGGTACTGTATAGCCTTTTTGTCTGCCTTGGGGGGGTGTTACGCAGCCCCATTGCAAAATGACCCAGTATTCTGACAGCAGCAATGGTTGAATCAGCTTGATCTCAGTTTTGTTTCAGATTTACTGTGGTAGTTTTCACACGCTGGTAATCTTAGAACAAAATGTTCTCTCTCTCTCTCTCTCTCTCTCTCTCTCTCTCTCTCTGTGTGTGTGTGTGTGCACATTTGGGGTGGGGTAATAAGAAATAGGACAGTCTAAAAGGGGAAGCAAAGACTTTCAGCAGAACTAGGAAATTCGGAGGGCAGACGAGATGATGTGATGCACCTCATTGACTCCGATACGCTGCATTAGTTCTGTAATGTTTATGCATGTTTTTATCATTATGAAAATAACAGATGCTATTTCAAACACAGAAGAGATTGTGAGGAATTGTCCTGTTGTGTACAGCCAGTTATCAAGATTTGCACAAACAGATACAAATGCAGACGTGTGACTTGAGCGACTTATTAATGTTGTTTGCAATTTGGACTGTGATCAAATTATTATTGGAATTTATAAGTAATTAATTATTGCTTTATTAATCACCTTCTAAACCACCGCCTGAAAACAAAGTACATGTAAGATAATTTTAAAAAGAAAAACAACAAATACATTTGGTGCAATACTAAGACCCTAACAAGTGGGCACTTGTGGTGAGCAACCACGTTTATCCAGAACAAAATGCCTCCAATTGTTTCTGGAAAGTGCAGATAGTAGGGGCACCTTGTATATCTTGTCAGGAATGCTATTCCACAGAACAGAGGCAGCCATGCTAAAAGCCCTACTCCAAGCTGCTGTAGAGTGGGCTTCTGAGATCTTTCAAATTTGCAAGAGAAACTTTCTTGCAGGCCACAACTACCTACTGGTCCTGAGCTGTATAGAGATTTACATGTTAGTACAGTGGTACCTCGGGTTAAGAACTTAATTAGTTCTGGAGGTCTGTTCTTAACCTGAAACTGTTTTTAACCTGAGGTACCACTTTAGCTAATGGGACCTCCAGCTGCCGCAGCATGATTTCTATTCTGATCCTGAGGTAAAGTTCTTAACCTGAGGTACTACTTCCGGGTTAGCAGAGTCTGTAACCTGAAGCGTCTGTAACCCGAGGTACCACTGTACTTATATCTTACAGTTCCCACACCTTGAACATGGCCTGGAAGCAGATTAGCGGTTGGTTCAAATCAGGATGCTGGTGGTAGTTTGCCTCCACAAGCAACCTAGCTGCCACATTCTTCATCAGCTTTAGCTCCTAGACCAACCCCAAGAGTCAGCCGCATTTAGAGTACATTGCAGTAATCCAATCATGAGGTCTTTTAAGGAAATGCATACCACTCTTTCGCTGAGCTCAGTTGCTTTTTTCTCCCACATTGCATATGGACCAGGGGAAAGTCATTGCAAGAGTCCCTGCTTTGCATGCAGAAAGTCCCAGGTTTCAATCCCAGCATCTCCACGTAGGTGTGGGAATGTCCCCTGCCTGAAACCCTGGAGAGCCACAATCAGTGTTACCAGTATGGAACTAGATGGGACCAATGGTCCGACTTAATATAACTGGTGGACTCCTCAGGCCCAGGAACCAAATGTGGCCTTCCAAACATATTTGGCCTTAGAGTCCCCTCAGGTCATATGCCATCTCCAGCCACTCCCACCCTTCTCAAGATACCAACAACAGCCCATTGTTCACAGCAGAACTTACTTCTGAATAGAACCATGTGTGGGATTGTGCTGTTTCTTTCACTTTTCTTTTTGCAGTGTCTAAGCTAGTGACCCATCTTCCCAACAGCTTTGTACAATTGCTCTAGATCAGAGGGGGCCGCACCATGATTAAAGACCAAACGGTCAAGACCAAAATAAGGGAGAGGCGGGGAAGAGAACTTCTTCCCAAAGATGTGTCATGAAGTTACGGCATTCATGAGCACATAATGTGCTAGTGAAGTCCCTAATTTAATTATACGTTATGTGAAGATGTTGTTGTTTTTGCTGGCCCTGAATTGGCTGCAAGTTGGCTATAAATTTAAGTTTTTAAAAAAATCACCTCCTCCCCATGCCATTCTTCTGATTTTCATCAAAACCTCAAGTCTTCTTTTGAACTTTTAGAAACAGTGCTTGAAACTAACAAGGGAGGTTTTGTGGGTATATGTATTATTAACTTCCTAAACCTCAGAAGCGCTGCTTATTGCTGGGGCCCCATTTTGTTATCAGAGATGGTTACCTCAGAGATCAGAAGCCAAAGAAGACACTCCCCACATATGTGTTACAAACTCATGAGGGCAGAAGTAGTACTGTCACACGTCAAGAGGATATGGCTTCCTCAAGGAGTGGACCTGCTGAGCTATTAAGGACAGCAGACTGGGAGACAAATGGGCAAAAACAACTGAGAAGGTCACCTGTGTATATAGATGGGGGAAGAAATGTAATTCTGTTAACACTTGAGGGATTTGCATGTTCCAAAACAATACGCTAGCCAAAACACAGCCATCCTTCAGAATTCACACTCTGAATTGTGCTTTCCAGCCAAATTGAGTTTTTTGCCCATCCCCACCTGTGCACAAGCCACACTGAAAGAAAAAAGAATCCAGAAGCCTTTCTCTTGCACAGATATTGTTCATTTCAATAAGACCTGTGCAGGAGAATTTCCCACAGGACTGTGACACTTATTAATGAGTGGGAGAGCGTGCTGCATGGATTTCCCATCACCAAAGCGTCTTGGGCCAGTGCTGCTCCAGATTTGATATGTATTAGGTATCCCTGAGTATAACGGCAATACTCAGAGGACTGTCTTCTTCCACAGAAGTCTGCATTCTTCACCTGGAACGCTCCCCCCCCCACACTTTCTGAAGTTAGGTGGGAGACAGGAACTTGTCAATGGTGGCACCCTGGACAGGGAATGCTCTCCACAGAGAAATTTGCCTGGCACAAACATTGATTTCTTTTCTACATCATGAAACTGAAACAGTAGCACCCACAAATTATGGGGGTATCACCAAGCTTGCAGGAAGGTTGTAAAAGTACAAAAGGGTTGAGGGAAAAACAAGAAGTTGTTTGGGGAGAAATGGAAAAGTGGGGGAAAAGGTGGCGGAATTGGGTCTGCTGAAAAAAGTGTGTATGGGGGGGACGGACACCTGAAACCTTGGAGACCTGCTGTTAGTGTTCTTCAGCCTTGCATCCTAGTATTGTCAGACTACAAGTCCCATCATCCCTGACTGGCTGTGGATGACAGGACTTGTAGTCCAACATCTAGGGACCCAAGGCTTAGGAACACTAGTGCAATAGACAAAACCGAGGTAGAATGACTAGTGGTTTGACTTTATGTAAGCCAGCTTCCTACATTCCACTGCCAACCCAAGAAACACTCAGCCATGAATGAAAATGTTCACCAATTGGCAACTTTTATTGGAGTTATTCTGAATCACAGAGCACAGAGTCTCTTCAGAAGGAAAAAAACACACACACACACACCAAAGAAAGGGATGGGAACAATACAGACAGACCAATCTCTCTCCCGAGGGTTTTCCACAGCCAAGTATCTAAGGCGGCCTTCCTTGCATCTTCACATTTGGGGCAATCAAGCTAGAGAGATGGGGGCTAGAGCAGAGATGTCTATTTTCTTACTAACAAGTGACGAAACAAATAATGCATTTCTTCTAAGGAAAAAAAAATACTAAGGAGAAAGATGAGGGGGTCATAAGCGACAGCAATTGGGGAGCTTGTTCACAAGAGCACTTAACATGAATCAGTTACTCCTTAACACACTTACCCAACTTTATATTTGTTTTGTAAGCAGCATTATAAATAGTGGCAAGCAAAGGGCTACACTTTCAAAAGGCATTTGGAGTGGAGATTCTAATCTGTATTAGCAATTGGTATCTGCGTTGAATTGATATGGAACAAAAGACATAAAACAAACAAGGAGGCTGGAAGGACACTCGCATAAACATGCACTGTGAAGTGTGTGGAATGAGTCACCCATACTTTCACCATGCCCATTGTGAGAACAAGGAAGGTACCACGATGATGATACTACGTTTAGAGGTCAACACATCATGCTAAGATGAAAACCTGCCCCAAAGATCAATCTAAGCACTGCTAAGACCTCCCTAGTCCAGGATCACTTCCACATGACCCATTTCTTGAGCATTCTTCCTGATTTGTTTGCACGAAGTTTGCAGGGAGGCTATAAGCCGTCAGCTGTTTATTGACCACTCATTCTGACCTGTTTGTAGGGCAGTTATATGATAGTGCATCAAGCAACTATTATCCCACACTTCTCGACACATTTCCCCATCGCTTCACTTGAATTTGCACTAAGAAAGTGGCATCCATCTGCAAATGTCCCTTACAGGAACTTTCATTTTTGGGGGGATGGGGACCAGCAGTCCTCTCTCACTGTTTGTCCCCCAGGACGTGGTATTCGTGGTAAACCACTTCTGAAGTGATACTTCTGAGCATGGAAGTATCGCTTACCTATCATGGCCAAGTCACTGATAGATCTAACTTTCAGCTCATGCTACCAATTGTACAAACAGAACCAGGAGTTTATTTTGGTACCCTAGGGGGTATATGATGGTGGCCGTGTGAGTACCACATCTCAAATGTGCATTTACAATGGTCTGTAGGGCCAAAGACATAACTTTTATGTGGGAGATATTGTTCAACAGATTTGCAGAACGAACCATGGTGCATAATAGTAGTGCCTAATAAAGAAACAGGAATACTCTTTGTCAGCCTCATGTTTATATTCTTCTAAAACAATTCCCTGTGCATTTCTCAGAGGATCAGTAGGGTGGGGTGTTCATGGACACAATGAGAATGGATTTTCTTTGGCCTTACCTAAGGCTACTTAACGAGTCCATGGCAAAGATGAGATTTGAACTAAGGACCTTCTGGGTTGCAGTTCGGCAGCTTAGCCACCACACTATGCATGAAGGTTCTTGGTAGCGAATTACTTTTATATATTCATGGGCATTGCTGCCCCCTTTTACCATTGCTGCTTGAGTTTTTTGGTTCAGTTTTGGGGTTTTTTAAAGATTGTGAAGCTTTAGGACAAAGGAAAATATCTGGGTAATATTTGAGCCCTTAGGTTATGGCAGGCTACAGAAAAGAAGAATAAAAAAAAACCACCTTCCCATCACCCAACAGCTCCCTCCTTCTTCTTCTTCTTCTTCTTTTTTTTTTTGCTTGATTATCATTCCTGCTTCTCCTAAACTCTGAGGTAGATTTCACATAGAGAAATGGAAGAAAGGTTACAAGTTGGAAGAGATGCATTTTCAGTCTTGCTCCACAGAACGTGGCTCTCTTCCTACTCAGAAAATCCCCAAATAATCTGTGAAATAATGTGATTTGTGTGGATGAAGGTTTTTTCCGTGGCTAATTTTCAGGTTCTGTGTTAAGGGAAGGTCCACACAACATGACTGTCAAGCAGAAGTCCCTTTAAAGACCCCCATTGGGTGAGTTGTGCCTGAGAGTACAATGGCCCACAACATTTCTCCATGCTACCCAGAGCCTTTGTGATTTGGGACCATTTGCAGAGGCATCAATAGTACTGCCTGAGCTTTGAACTGATCCATTTTGTAGCAACAACTCAGCCCAAAAAATTAAAAATGTGGGGTCTCCGTGTGGAAGCTGTGATGGGTATAAGAGCCCTTCGTTATAAGAGTATGTGGGAGATGCATGGCTAATAATAATAATACCCCACCCATCTAACTGGGTTTCCCCAGCCACTCTGGGGGCTCCCAACAGAATATTAAAAGCACGATAAAAACATGATTAAAAACTCCCCTAAATTGCAGACAGTGTGGGCTTGCTCTGGCTGAAGCAGAGGCAGCCCACACCATGAGAACAGCAAGAGACTTGCCTCAGGTTGATTTGGGGCACCATTAAAGGGCAGCAGAGTGGGAGACTGACAGACCTGGCTTACTGGAAGTTCTCCTGTGCAGGCATCATTGTAATGAATAGGAAGTACACCCCAAACACCCCTCTGCACTGCTACTTACTAGAGGGAAGCAGAGAAGGGTTCAGCCCCTGAGACTTTGAGGAGACTGAAGGGGGGCGGACAAAGGGTCTGAAGACTGTCCATGGGGTTCAGCTTCCAATGAAACACCTTTCACAGAATCATAGAATTGCAGAGTTGGGAGGGACCCTGAGGATCATCAGGAATACGCAGCTGTCCCATACGGGGATCAAACCTGCAACCTTGGCATCATCAGCACCACACTCTAGCCAACTGAGCTTTCCCTCTATTTGGGACAGGCAGGAAATGATGGGCTGGGAATCAGACCAAGAACTTGGCTTGCAAGCGCAAAAGGACTGATATTCATGAATCCTAGTCAACAGTTGTTCTGTCTCCCCTCGCCCGTTTTACTGCATCTCAGGGGGGCGAGGTTGGTTCCAGCTTTTGGGGGAACCCTCAATCAAGCAGCTTGACCTAGAGAGTCCCATAACTGTCCTGGGGTGGGAGGGGCAGAGGACAGTGAGGAGTGCAGGGCTGCACCGGCGTCCAAGAACATTGACTGCGTTGACAAAGGAGGTGGGTATGTTCTTGTTCAGCATGCGGCCTGACCATGTCAGAAGGCCAGTTCCAAATATGAACGAAGATGGTGTGGGTGTATGTGGCCAGGGAGAGGGGAAACAGAAGGGAAGCACAGGGCAAAAAAATGGGCTTACATCTTCTCCTGCAGCCCATCTACTTCCTCACTTGAAATCACCTGTCCACCCCACACTTGGCAGTGGCTTGGCAGCAACTCACCTTTGAAGACATGGGTCTGTTGCCACCACATCTAGTTTACCGAAGAGGAGCTCAATAAAAGGATGGATATAATGCTAAGGAGGAATTGCCAATTGTGACAGATCATAGTGTGGATGGGGAAGTGGAAGAAGAGGAAAATGGTATGTTTGTGATGGACTGAAGTCTTTGAAAAAACGAACTGGGGTGGACTGCTAATAGTTTTCTGGGAATAAGGGAGAGGGAATAAAGGAGCTATTAAAAAAAACACCTTTCTATTCTACATTTCATTTTTAAAAATTCTATTCTCTTCTTAGTTCCCACATGGATTGGACAGTGAGCCACAAAGACCCATCCCTGTCTGCCACTGCGCATTCTGAGCCCTTGGGATAAGGCAGGCTATAAATCTCAGCACATACATTGGCTAATAAAGAACGGGGTGATAGGAAGACAGTTGCCTCAAGAGAAGAATACCTTTTTGTTTTGTTTTGTCTTACCAAAGCCTGATGCATGGACAGGCTGTTCAAGGAGACACTTCTCACAATATGGAGGCACCTTATGACCGGAAGCGATAGAAGAACCGAAACATGCCAATTGTTTTAGATCAGTACAGAGAAAGATATGCTCAGTAAGGCCAGAGAGAGAGAGAGAAAGAGAAACAGTGGATGTTGGAATATGAGAAGGGTGTTTACATTTATGCAGTTGTCAAAAACAGTGTCAACATGCTGTCATTGCAGAAGAACAGTGACGCAGAATGTGGCAAGTACACTTCTTGTTATACTGGAACTAACTACCCAAAGCAAGGTGAGAAGTTGTCTCATGAGAAAGGTGGAAGAACAGTCGCCAAAAGAGAACACAGACAGTCACGTGGGGACGCTTTCTGGAGCTCGACTCAAGTCAGCAGTGCACATTTCCTCCAGTGCCAACTCACAAGAGACCAGCAAGGAGGAGGAGAGGAGCAGCTCCTTTTGTGGAAAAGACAAAGAAAGAAAAAAGCTTCCGTGTGTTTTAATGTCCAGTGCAATAACATAAGAACATCCATGCTACACCTCTGGAAGTTGGCTCTGTTTCTCAGCAGCATCGTTAAAGTGGGCTTTTAATGTAAAAGACCAAGACACTTGAACCAGCAGTTGGGAGGCCAAGGCTTTCTGTGTCTGATAATTAATGGTCAACAAGGAGTGAGACCTGAACGTCCTCCTTAGTAGCAGAAAAGGCAGGGAGACTGGACCCACTTGGGACTTTCCTGCTTGCGGGAGGGGCACAAAAACGAAACCTTCCGATTTCTTTCACCTGAGTGCCAGGCTGTCACCTCAGCAAGTCCAAGAGTTCCTCAGCCCATTTCCCCTGCCCCAACCCAAAACACACACACACAACCCCGAGAGATTTCTCCTACCCTGAGATCTTCCAGAGACACCCAAACCAGAACCACGTAGATAAAGAGTCATCCTCTGCCCTCGGTTCTGAGCGTTCAGATGGAGAGCGGCGGCGGCATGCTCTGTCTGCTAAGCCTGGCCGAAGCACATTTCTCGCCTCCTGTCCCCACAACCTCCACGACTGGTTCAAGCATTGGAGAAATATTGCAGGCCCTACTCATCAAGAGCGGGAGGAAGAGGAAACCCACTTTAGAAACCAAGGCAGAGAAGAGGGAGAGGGAGAGGCAAAACTCTTCTTCCGGTTCAGTCTACTGGAGACTTGGAGGTATTTTAGAGCGAGCCCCTGTTGCACCACCACTTTTCATGCAGCATCCAAGTTGGGTGGGTGGGAGGGGGGGCCTGGTGAGTGAGGTGGACGGGTCTCACTAAGGAAGCCGGAAGAGGAAGGGCGTGGCAGGTGTGCAGGCCTCAGATCTTACTGTTCTCCAGGTGTGAATCAATGTGTTTTATCAAAGCGTCATCTGGGTAACCGATGGGAAAGGCCACCTGGCAGAGAGGGCAGCTTCGGATGTCAGAGTCCACCGTCTCCATCAGCAACTAAAGGATACAGGTCGGGGAAGGAAGTAGATGAGAGAAGACATCATTTTAAAACAAACAAATCTAAGAAAATTAATTGCTTGTTCAAAGTAGATCTCTTAAGTGTTCTGGAGGGTAAAAAGCTGGATCCTTCCTAATATGTGCCTGATCAGCAGTGGCTCTGTGGAAGGGCTTGGCTGATCATAAAGAGTGGAAGGGAAACTGTTTTGTTGCGGAAACTGATCGGCTTCTGTCACAGAAAAGGGGGGGGGGCAGCGCAGCAGGGAAAGCACATGGAGATGTATCTGGGAAACTCCCACAGGGGATGTACAGCTCATTGAACAGTGATTTTTAGAATCCTCTGCACAACCCAGTGGGAGTAAAAAATAATAATATAGTAGCATCATATATTGCTTGCTATATTGACCGCAGGTATAAAATTGTAAACAACGTATTCATTTAAATGGTGCGTTTCTATATAGCAGCAACTACCTGTGAGTTCAGATCAAAAGTTTACATTTATGAATGACTTTTGAGAACCAGAGCACCAGCACTCAAGACAAGTTGGGAATAAAAATACAGAATGAAAATACGTTTGATATCTTAATGTTTCATTACTCCAGAAGACTTCGGATGCTCCAACACAAGGGCCTCTTTCGCATTCCCCCTCTGGTATTTTCCAATTTGCTGTTGTTTTTGCTTCTGTTAATTCTTAACGCAATTATCAGTGTAATATAATTTCCTTTAACCTGAAGCAACCACTTGTCCTCCACACCCACTGTTAAAATTAGGTAGTGCAAGGCGGATGGGCCTCCAGCCAATGCCTTCCCTTCAATTAAAATAAAACAAAACTGGAAGACTTGCACACAACCTAGGCATCATATCATGCTCATTCCAATTGATGAAGAAAACGATTCATTGGCTTCTCCTCCAGGAGGACCCAAAACCTCTTGATTCTTCCAGGCAACTGGATGACCTCTGCTGCCACTCCTCCTAAGTGCTGGAGAAACATCCCCAAACTCCACCCCCCTCCTACAAAATGGAATATTAAAACAAGGGGAGTGCTGTAGTAGGGGAGGGGAACTTCTGTCCAGGTGCCAAATGTGGCCCTCCAGGTTTCTCTATATGGCCCTCAGAATTCTCCCTAACCATAAACCCCCACTCCGCTGGCCACACACCTCACTAGCCTTGCACCCAATGGCAAATGCTTTTGACTGGCTGGAACGCATCCTCTCGCGTCTCTGGATGGAGGATAGAGAGGTATCTGGTAATGTGCATGGAAACTACTCTCCTGTACAATGGCAGAATCTACATCTGTTGCTCTGCCCACTTCTGCCTGTGGCTCCGCCCACCCGTCATGTGGTCTTCAGAAGGCTGTCCAGAATGGAATACTGAAAATGGCTCCTCACCCCTCTTGCTACAGAGGTGATGTGGCTATACACTCAACCACACAAACTAATGCCGTGCTCACACACGACGTTCTTGTCATCAAAATACAATACGTTGTATTTTCCCAGTTAATCTGGATATATTATTTCTGGGGAAATTGCAGTATGTTAAAGCACACTCACCACTGCTAACATCCATTTACGATATTTCACCAACCCATTTACAGTATTAAGCCCCCTTAAAGCCGAAGAGTACCATTTTAACCCCCAGAGCAATTTAAAAACCAGTCCCTCTTCCCAGGGGACTCTGGGGATTGTAGTAGCTCTGTGAGGGGAATAGGGGTCTCCTAACAACTCTCAGTATCCTTAACAAACTACAGCTCCCAGGATTCTCTGTGGTGAGCTTGTGACTGTTTAAAAAGGTGATATAATACTGCTTTAAATGTATGGTGCAGATGGGGACTCAAGTCTTTTGTCTGTGCCATTCAAATAGTCATTATAAAAACCCCTGAATATTTTTTTAAAAACAAAAACAAAACTTAATTTATAAATAAAATAAGCAAGATAAGAATATCTGTGTGGATGATCTTCCATGAGACCGGATAGTGCATTTGAACTGGAATGATGGAATACAAACATCACTGGGTGCTGCTTACATTGATTGAAGGCCAGGACTGGGCATGCTCAGCCCTGGAGTACGAGGCATCAGTCCGGTGTGTGGAGGTGTCGGGGATAGGGAACCCTGCACAGAAGGAGGCGCAGCGGATGCCCCCCACTTCAGGGCTGGGGGGACTTGGGAGGGCCCAGTCGTCTTCGTCCGAGGACTGCTTCTCAAAGCGCAAGTGCTCCTCGAAGGCGTCTCTGGCGTAAACTTCGCCGTAGGGACGGTGCTTTGGTAAGGTGGAAGCTTCCGGCTGCAGCCAGAGGGAGCGGTTCTGCTGGTACATAGCCGCATCGCTCACCTCCGAGTAGCTCCGGCGACCCTGGAAGCTCGCCTTGATGTGGTGGCTCAAGGGTTTGGAGTAGGCCAGATCCATGATGCTCCTCTCGCCACCCGGCGACCTGTGCTGCGAGGTGATGGCGGGGGAGGAGCAATTTGGGCCCGGCGAGCAGCGCTGCGGTGCAGGAGGCTGGGCGGGCAGCGGGGCAGGTGAACGGCGCTGCGAGGCGGGGGACTGGCAAGGGGGCGGCGCTGGGGAACGGCGCTGATGCGCGGGGGACTGGCAAGGGGGCGGCGCTGGCGACCGTCTCTGCAGGCCCGGAGACTGGCATTGAGGGACAGAAGAAGATCTCCCTTGCTGCGCTGGAGACGAGCACTGAGGACCCGGAGATCGACGCTGCTGAGCGGGGGAATGGCGCTGCGAATGGGGAGAGTGCCGCTGACCTGGAACAGAGCAGGAGCAAGTCAGAGAAGGATCCTGCTTCGACACTGAGAAGCAGTAGAGGCTGCATTTCCCCACTCCCCCAAACAGCTGTCTGCAAAACCAGCCAGCAAAACACTTCCAGCACCATTTGTCTGATTTGTATCAGTAAGAAGTCACTTAAGAGCATAAGAGAGCCTGCTGCATCACGGCCAATGGTCCATCTGTTCTCACGGGGGCCGGCCTGTGGGAAATGTGGAACCAGAACAGGACAAGAGTATTCTCCCCTCCCGTGGTTTCCAGTTCCAACTGCCTTCAACTGCGGAGGTGGAGCATAGCCATCATTTGACTATGCGCTGTGCCAAGAAGTGCTTATTATAATAATAATATTATAATAATTTATTATTTAAACCCCGCCCATCTGGCTGGGTTTCCCCAGCCACTCTGGGCGGCTCCCAACAGAATATTAAAAACACGATAAAACATCACTCATTAAAAATGTCCCTATAGAGGGCTTCCTGCAGATGTCTTCTAAAAGTCAGGTGGTTGTTTATTTCCTTGACATCTGACGGGAGGGCGTTCCACAGGGAGGGCGTCGCTGCCACAAAAAGCCCTTTGCCTGGTTCTCTGTAACGTCATTTCTCGCAGTGAGGGAACCACCAGAAGGCCCTCTGCGCTGGACCTCAGTGCTGAACGATGGGGGTGGAGACGCTCCTTCAGGTATACAGGGCCAGAGGCCATTTAGGGCTTTAAAGGTCAGCACCAACACTTGGAATTGTGCTTGGAAATGCATCAGAAGGGTACCACTCTGGCTACCTCTCAGCAAGATGGACCTTTAGTCTGATTCACCATGGCTCTTCTTATATTTTGTAATTTGGGCTGGTGGGCAGACTTGCCTTGCCTTCGGCCCCTTCCAGTTCTCATAAACACACTCACACTCCTCTGGTTTCACTTTAGAAACGGCATGTTTTCACAGCTCCTTCTTCCTCTGACCTCCGCTCCCAAACCCCGTGCCTCCCCTGGCTTTTCCCTCTCCCATGCCCCACTCACCACCATTGAGGGCCTGCTCCTGCACAAGCGTCCGGAGAATCTGGCTTTGGAGAGAACTCAGGTTCCTCAGGCGGCACAACTCCTCAGTCAGCTCTGTGTAGGCAAGGGCCAAGTTTACCCTGACAAAAGAGGGGGAAAGCCCTGAAGGCATATAAACGGCAGCCCCTGCAATAGGAGGCACTTTCTTTGGAGGGTGGGAGATGGGCGAGATTTACACAACTGCTTTGGAGGAAACCTTTGCCATCTGTTGTGATCTTTAGTGGGTCACCACCGGCAGAAAGCGAATGCAGAATAGCCACCCTTCCTAACCTTCCTCCTGCAAGCCAAGCTTCTGGATATGAACGCCACAGTAAAACAAATCAATCTAGCAGTGATCCACTAAACTAGGAGCTGGGCCCATAGTCAGGGCCAGCACCAGTCTTCAGGGACCCCCCAGCATGGTGCTGCTGACCACCCTCTGCCAGTGCATGAATGCCCCCCCCCACGACCCAATGCTGCTGTTGCCATGGCAGTGGTAGCAACACCACTTACTGCACTCCTTGTCTGGCTCCTGAATGGCTGTTTCAGTGCCAGGAAGGCAGGATGAGACATTTCACTAACCTTTTCCCCCGCTTCAAATGGAGGAGCATTCAACCATGTAATTCTTTACCTACATTTTTCAGGGGCCATAGCTCAGTGGTTTCCCACCTGCTTTGCATGCAAAAGGCTCTGGATTTTAATCTGCACCACCTTCAGGTAAAAGGATCTCAGGCAACAGTATAGGGAAAGGCATCTGGCCTGGAGATCTTAGAAAGCGGCTGCCGGCCAGAAGAAGACAAAATAGAGTTAAAAACTGGCTTGGGAAACCTATGGGCCTCCAGATGCTGGGAGTCATCTCCTATCAGCTGGAGCCAGGAATGATGGGAGTTGTAGTCCAGCAACTTTTGGAAGGCACAATTCCCCCACCCCATGAAATAAATGGAGCAATAGCTCGGTAGAAGTAACTTCACATGTTCAAAGCGGTATAGTTCACAAACACGTTTAACCACTTTAGCTGCTCTTTGTGGCAACTAGGTCATTATGTAGTTGCTTCCTACATCTGGGTTTCCCAAACTTGGGTCTCCAGCTGTTTTTGGACTACAGTTCCCATCATCCCTGACCACTGGTCCTGAGAGCTAGGGATGATGGGAGCTGTAATCCAAAACCAGCCGGAGACCCAAGTTTGGGAAACCCTGTTCTACATCAACATCAGCTTACAACCTTTATGTGGAAAGGAACCAGGTATCTTGGCCCACCCACCTGGTTCCTTTCTCTATTAAACTACTGGATCAGTGCGGGAAGAAGCTGCAGGGAACGTCATGCTCACTCGAAGGAGATGGAGGAGAGCTGCCACTGCGTTCAGGTGGTTTCCAATTCCCCACTCCCTGTCCCGCTTGCCAGGGCATGATCTGATGGTAGGCTCACAGCATCAGTCATAGCCATAGGTGCCAACTCCCTTGAGCACACACAAAATTCCCCATGAAGGAGCCAGGCACCCACAAATTTCAGTGCCAGGGACATGCACGCTGCATGGCACCCGTGGCCCCAGGCACCCACAATCGCAGGGCCAAGTTAGTACTCCTGGTCATGGTCACAGCTTTATTCTCAATGCATGCTTTGTAATCACTGGCAAGATATCCCAAATACACTTTTGATCCAAACTACAGGGTTGCATCCGAAGAATGGTGCACACAAGGAAAACAAACCAGAGGTCTGTGCAAATTTTGCGCGGGTTCTCTAGTTGTTCGTAAGCATTTGCTCCTGCGAAAGGTCGCACAAGAAGAAGAAATTAATCTGACACTAACGAAGCCATACTGGTGTGAACAGCTAAAGGGGAAAGGGCTGTGTAACACACCATGGGAAAACCCAACTTTGCTGTGCTCCGAAACAGTAATGTGAACACACATTATTTCTCTCCCCCAACCCTCACCCCCGGTTCCTTTTCACACATCTTTATTTAGAGCACTTGTTGGCCCACCCATTCCCCAGAGCCCTCGGAGAATTCATAGAGTACAGTTAAACACATTAAAAACCAATCTAGTAAATCTCCGGCTTATAAACCAGCACTAGCAGCATGGCAGCATTTAAACCCCTTCAGAAACACAGTTCTAAAAGGCCAAGGACAACCAAACAGAAAGGTTTCCACCTGGCACAAAAAAAATAAAATCTTAATGAAGGTGCCAGGCATCTCATAATTAGCGTGCCACCACTGACAAAGCCATATCCTTTGCGAGCAGTCAGTGTTATTCCCAGAGAATTCTCAGTCCCCAATTCTGAACTTCAGTCTAGCCAGAAATGAGGACCCTCAGTCAGAGAATAGCTTCAGGTACGGCAGATAAGAGAAGGCTGCAAAAGTCCAGCCCTACGATCACAATACTGTCTTGAACCATGAGATGTTGTGGAAACACTTCCTCCCTTTAGGGGATGACCCACTCACTGCCCATCAACGCCCTGACAAAACCATCAAGCCTTTAGAAAAGAAGAAGAAGAAGTCAGGTCTTGCCCTGAACTTCTATGTCACCTTGAAATAACATATTGAGTACGCTTATGAGAATGGAGAACCTGTCTGATGAGGTTACCAAAGGCACGTCACCATGTGGACATCTTGCACAGAGAAAGCCATCGAGTTAAACTGAATGGCTCTGACAAGGGGGGGGCAGGACATGGGAGATGGGGTGCACTTAACTGTACCAGACAGCTATCCCCTTCCCATGGATTTGTCGCCAATTGTCTCTTCAAGGCTCCTCAAAGGGGCAGGGGGAGGAATTATTCAATTCTGCCAAAAGAAAATTCAATTGTGTTCTCTTTTCTTTCTTCCCCTGAGTGAAGAGGGACAGCGAATTCCCCTTCGAGGGGTGCGGATGTTTCCCCCGACATTTGGAAGCTTTTGTTGAGGGCTTGTGATAGGAGATGAAACGAAATGTCCCGAAAGATATGGTTATGAATGACTGTCAGAGCCTGACAAGCAGCACGGAGTGTGCGCACAGAGGATGTATCCTATTGCCAGAGAAGGTATGTCTGCTTCTAAGATGGTGAAGTGTCCCACCTAGAATCACCTCTGTGGCTACAATCCAAGTTGTACTTTTAGAGCATCTAAAGATACCAAGATGGCCAGCTTTAAATCTCACCACTCTTCCTTCTCCTCGCAACCTGGATCTCCACGTTTTTATTTATATGCCACCTCCCACTCACACCATCATGGGTTCATAGGAGTCCAAAATAAATTACACATTTGTGGGGCAGCAGCGTTGAAGCATTTGTTTAATGACTGTGAGAGTCATGTCCCCCCCCCCAACTATTCTTTAACTGTTTTATTGGTGTGTGTGTTTTTTAAGAAAACAAACTTTACTAGATCCTATATATACATATAAATAAAAAAATCCACAATATAGCAAAATATATACTAGCAAGAAATACAGTATAATTATAATTACAGGTAGGTAGCCGTGTTGGTCTGCCATAGTCGAAACAAAATAAAAAAATTCCTTCCAGTAGCACCTTAGAGACCAGCTAAGTTAGTTATTAGTATTAGCTTTCGTGTGCATGCATACTTCTTCAAATAGGTGTATCTGAAGAAGTGTGCATGCACACAAAAGCTCATACCAATAACTAACTAAGTATAATTATATTTATACTTGGCTTTTCTGCATAGTAAAATGCTATGCATACTTACTGCTATCCATGCTTACATTTATACCTCATAAACTCAATAAGGAGTTTCCATTTATCTTTAAAATTTCATCTTATTTGCCTTCTCTCTCTCTCTCTCTCTCTCTCTCTCTCTCTCTCTCTCTCTCATCAAGTCCGCAAGCTTATACCTTGAATGGTTACCTTCCAGATTTTTGTTAAACATTCTTTCACTGTGGGTGGTGACCTATTTTTCCCATTAAATCATCGTATTTTAATATTCTGCTGGAAGCCGCCCAGAGTAGCAGGGAAAACCCAGCCAGATGGGCGGGATATAAATAATAAATGATGGTGATGCAACAAGCATGCAAAAGGTTGCTATTAAATTCCCCATTAACTCTTTATGTTTTATTTCTGGGTCTAAATACAATAATAAATTGTAAAAGGGACCCCTGACCATTAGGTCCAGTCATGACCGACTCTGGGGTTGTGGGGCTCATCTTGTTTTATTGGCCGAGGGAGCCGGCGTACAGCTTCTGGGTCATATGGCCAGCATGACTAAGCCGCTTCCGACGAACCAGAGCAGCACACGGAAATGCCGTTTACCTTCCCGCCGGAGCGGTACCTATTTATCTACTTGCACTTTGACGTGCTTTTGAACTGCTAGGTTAGCAGGAGCAGGGACCGAGCAACGGGAGCTCACCTCGTCGCAGGGATTCGAACTGCCGACCTTCTGATCGGCAAGTCCTAGGCTCTGTGTCCCATTAATAAATTGTAATAAAGTGCAAAATGTTATTAACAATATTATCTTTACTACCTCTCCCCGTAAGATTTTAATCAACGGACAGGTCCACCAAATATGTTCCAGATCTGCTAGGGTTGCCATATTTCAAACAGTGAAAATCTGTTCAGAAAAGTTGTTGAGCAAAAACGGTATTGCCAACATGGACTGCCACTTCCCCAGATACTGCACTGATTTCTGCCCAGACAATGATGACGACTGATATGTCCAGGAACCTCCAGATGTATGAAAACCCTAATATCTGCTTTCAGATGTACAAATCTCTTAACATTTTCTACCACAGATAATGTGAATTTTACTCAATCTTTGTAGAATCATGTACCATTCATAGAGCAGTTCGTACTGATTTTTTTGTATGTTAACAAAAAGAGTTTGTGCTGATTCCCAAGTAAAATCCCATCCCCGTTCTTGTTCAGAAATTGGTTTAAATTACATGTCCTCCAAGACTATGACACTATGACATAGTTTGAGGGTTTGAAGATGATATCCTTTTATTATAACTGCAAAAGCCTTCTTTTTATATATAAGGCATTCGTTAGCAACCAAACAGGGGCCTTGACTGGGCTGAAAAGGGTTTGGGAAAAAGATTTAGGGCAAGAAATAGATGAGACAAAATGATGGCTCTTGGCCCTGGCAAAATCCATCTCTGCATATATTAGAAAAAGTACCTTAAAAGTGGTTCACAGGTGATACTAGATGCCAATTCAGCTTGCCCATATATTGCCTATGGTCCAATCATAATACTGATGGAAACTAAGGGACTTGTTATCGCTTTTGGTTACGTTTTCAAAATTGATGGCTTGGTTGCACCCACAATAATTCAGGAGCCCATGGATTTCTTACCCCAGTTGTGATTATTGTCCCTCTTTGAAGGTCTAAATGCAGATACAAAGACTAAGGATTTATTGTTTATTCTTTAATTCTCCACTTTGTTATCTACAGCTGAAATCTGGAAGGTCTTACAAGGGCTCATTGTACACAAATGTTTGGGGACTGGGAAAACGACTCATCACTTAAAAGTGATTTAAATAATAATAAAAAATACAGTATGGTGGCCATCTATTCCATAAACAAATGAAACTGGTCTTAAACTCCCCAAAGCACCCTTGCAGCTATGGCTATCTAGAACAGTTTGGCTTGAACTATATTCTTCCCTGGGAACAACTGACTGTGACGGATAAAAGAATTTCTGTGCTGTCCCCAGGACATTCAGTGCTGGACGTTTGGATATTTTGTATGGATTGCATGGATTTGTATGGATTGGCAAGAAGCAGTGCTGTTTTCTGGAGGGACGCATACCTCTAAACATTTTATGAATTTAAGTTTGGCCTCATTGACGGGCAGTATTTTAATATGAGTAGGAAAATGAGAGTGCCCACAAACATTTTGGGGGGGAAGCACTGGCAAGAAGCATTCGGATTTTGTGATTTGTAGATTCAACATTAATCCCAGTCACATCTTCTACTGATCTGAACAGGGCCACTAAAGGTTCAATACATATTACAGAAAGTAAGGCTGATAAGAGCAACACTATCTTGTTCCTCTGCTTACCTGAAAATAATTTGAGTACTGATTGCTTTATGCATAAAACATCACATGGATGACTGCAGATAGCTTTAACATAATCCTGAAATGGTTTACCAATATCTAATTTATACTACCATATTATTGTTGTTTACTTAAGTTTTGTTATACTTGTAAATAAATAAAAACTTATTCTGTACAATCCAATGCTTTTTCAGCATCAGTGAAAACAAAGCTGTTTCATGATGGGGACTTCCGGGTCAGCGCCACTGGTGAATGGCGGAGTTCCTCCAACCGGAGGAACGGGCTCCGTGGAAACTGGGTCTTCCCGCCGCGGCGAAGGTGGGGACCTGCTAGAAATCCCAGGCAGAGGAAGCCTGGGAACGTGGGGTTCGGCAGGGCACCAGAAGCGCCCCCCTACTTGCGGGGAATCCCATTTAGGGGCTCCGGAGCGAAGTGGGGTGAGAAGCGCGGTGCTGCGAACTGACTGCTATTTTCACAGAGTGAAGCCGCACAGCCATTGCCAGAGAGCGCTGACTTTTTCCTGTGGACAATTGGACTTAAAACAAGTACCCGTGAGTAGAAACGGAAAATTGGATCAAGAAATTGCTTAATTTGGTATCAAAGCGGGAAGGTGCAAACAGGAAGTCCGCCTTCCGCTTTTTGAATATAGTCTAAAGCAAAAATTTTGTAAGCTAAAGCCGGGAAAGCTGTCAAAAAAGCCTAAATTTCCTTCATTCAGAATCACTGAAACCCCCCTTGGAAGCAGGAGAAAAGGGGGGGGGGACTCTGTTTAACCCTAGCAGGAGAGGGAGTGAAGAAGGATAAGTTTCCACCGTCTCTAACCTGGGAACGGGGTGTCAGAGACAGAAACTGTTGGAGTGGCTCATTGACTGTGAATGGAATACTTTGACAGATAGCTAATGAAGAGAGACAAGTTGATTCTAATGTTGCCTTTTGCATTTTAAAGAAACAAAATATCTGAAAAACATCTGAAATATCTGGACAATGAAAGTAACTTTCCTTTGCCTTTAAAAAAAAATGGATACAAAGAGAAATTGTCTCCTCTAGAGAGAGCTTGTTAAATTGTTGCTGCAGTATACTTGAGGATCCAACATCTGTGAGATTAAGATCGTGGGAACAGTCTTTTCTGACCTTGACCAAAGATGAGCTGGGAGGAAGACTGGGTGCTTGCTTTATGCAAAACAAATGCCTTGCTGGAACAGATGCACGAGAAGATGAACTTGATGAATGAGAAAATGGATTTGACTGTTGTGGTTAATAACTGTGGACAAACAGGGAACATTGATACAGAAATCATCCAGGGACCAACCTATGATTCTCTACTGACTGGGCAAGTGCAGATGACAATGAAGGAAGATGTGGTTGCACCTCAAATAATTCAAATGGAGAGACCCGAGGCCCTACAGGAGCATAAGCCGCTGTCATTGAAGATTGAAGTTGAAGTGGGCCAGGGGAAGTTTGGAGATGAGGAGGTTCCTAACTTTGGAGAGACCTTGAAATATGATATTAAATACTTGTTGGTTTATATCGATGACTGTGGGGAGTGGGACTGTGGGGAATGGGTGGGCTGGATGAAGGGAAATGGAGACAATTTTGGGTTGGAATCCCCAGAGACCTACTCCTCAATGAGAAAGGAAAGAAATTAAGAAAGAGACCAACAAAAGACAAGGAAAAGGGCAAATATAAACAAGAAGAAGAAGAACTGCAGAAGGGACATGGAAGAGACTTAAGGGCCTCGGACATAAGGCTTCCAGGTTGATGGACTAGATGGAATGGATAGTAAGGACTGACACGATCCGAGACCAGGAAGAAGAGACGCTGGATGACGATTGGAAGAAAACTTATAAAGGAAACTTTTATTTAGAATTAGCTTAATGAATATTAGGGAAAATGTTGGAATGAAACTATATGACTCTAGCAGAAATGATATCAGGAGCTATGTATATTTGAAAACTAAGATTTAAGCTTTAAGGTATTTTGGGGTAACATAAGGTTAAATAAATTAAGGTAATTTGAATAACAGAATATGGGGAAAGATGGAAAGGACTTGTTGAGTTAATTATTAGGTTAAATTGTTAAGACATATTTTTTAACAAAAATTGAGAAAGATGGAAAGAATTTGCTGAAATAATTAATTAAACTAGAATACAAAAAGGGAGGTGTGAGGAGGTCAATGAAACAAGCAAATGGAAATTATAGATATGCAGTTTGGGATTTGTGTCTTTTTTCTTCTTTTTATTTTTATTTTGCTGTATTGTTGTATTGGTTTTTATGTTCTGTGTTTTTCTCTTTTTTATATTGTAGTGTTGTTCTTTATTTTGTTTTTTTTTGTAATTTTGAAATTATTAATAAATATTATTTAAAAAAAAGAAAAGAAAACAAAGCTGTTTCAATTTTATTCTGCCAACTTTCAATGATTAAGTTCGACGCTCTTGTATTACCAGATAGTAAACAGCCTGTAATAAAACCTGTCCAGATGAATATATCTAGTTATAACTTTATTTAAACTCCACGTATATGCTGTAGCAAGAATTTTTATAATATTGATTTAGCAAGGACGCTGGTCTGCAAGATGAAGGTAACATTCCTTTCTTGTGACTCAATGTTGCTTTTTGTATTTTTCCAAGGCTTTGTTAAACCTTTAATTGTTCTACATTCTCCAAATAAGTTATTTAATGGTCCTATCAATATATCTGGGAGAAATTTATGACAGTCTGCAGGCAATCCAATCAGATCAGGTGTTTTATTATTTTTAAGGGAACTTACAGTGTCATATATCTACTGAGTGCGGAGATCACCCGTCCAAATTAGTTTCTCCTCTTTAGTAAATGTTGGATTTTTTATTTTTATTTTTTCCTGGGGTTGTACTGATGGGCATAGTCTCTAAAAAAAAAAAAAGGTTTAAAATAATTTAATTATCTCTTCAATATTTTTAGATATTCATGTTCTTTTTAAAATACATGTGGAATCAGGGCTTTTTTTTTACCTGCTCCTCTGCTAGTGTACATGCTAACAGATTATCAGCTTTCCTTCCTTTCTCAAAATACTTTTGAGTAAAATTAAAGGCTTTTTTTCCTGCTTCATGAACATTGCGCAGTTCTAACATATTTCTGTATTTCTCAAGTTCTGCATACGTACTATCTGACATCACAACCCTGTGTTGCTGTTCCGAATTTCTTATTTTCTCAAACAGCTATTTATTTAATGTGGTACGCTGTTTCTGCAAATACTGTAACTTGACATATTTATTAACAAACCTCGTGCAAAAGCTTTTGCCATATTCCAAATTATTATCCAATTTATTTCACTAGTGACATTATGTTGGGAAAAAATTATTGCAGATTATTCTGTATTGTCTGTACAATTCTCGAATCTTGTAATAAGAATATAGTTAACCTCCAATTCTGAGGCTTAAACACACTGTTCTTCCTTCCCAAGTTAAACATCTTGGACCATTATCAGAAATGCTTTGAATTCCCATTTCTGATAGTAGCTCATCAGCTAAATAAAGCAGATAAAAGAGAATTTTGAAAAGTAAACTTGCGTTTTTGCTTGGTCTGCTATTGAACAACGTGAATTTTTTTATTATTTTATCGGTCAGATGCAAAGTTTGGGATCTCCTTAAAGAAGCTTTGAGTATTTTCAGTGTTTCCAGTTTTAATGTCTTGTGTTCAACTTTGGGGTTATAATCCCATTAAAGTCCCCTGACCGTAACACATTTCCTTCATAAGAGACAATGGTTTCATCAAACAATTTATTACAGAGTCTTTGCTTCTCCTTTGGGGCTAGACATTAATCAAAGTTTTTTTTTTAATCTAACATTAATCCTTTTAAAAGTAGCTATTATTATTAAATGATAGAAGCCTGTATATATATATATATATAGGTTTCTAGCCCTCATGGTCACAGCGGGTGGGCAGGGGGAGAAGCTTTTAACACTAGAGGCATATTTAGGGGTTGGAAGTGATGCATCTGTGGTTTCATAGCCCCATCTGCAACCACCAGGAATCAGCCCTGAAGATTTATATTTATCTCTCTCTCTGTGCGTGTGTGTGTGTGTGGTCTTAGCTACAAGCTTGGTTAAACTAAAGTTCGCCTAGAAACTGACGAAACCACAAACTCTGCATTTCAGAGCCCCGATCCAAAGAGCCCATGGGCACAGAGAGGGCTGCTTGCCCAATGTCCAAGTACTCAGCCCATTTCACAGATGTTGCTCTCAGCAAACTTTACAAACAGCTCTGTTAAGAAGGCTGGTATTATTAATCCCCATATTAAATGTTACAGGTGGGAGGAGGCGGTGGAAAGATGTGAGATAAAAGCTCTGTGCAGCTCACAAAACAACGCACATGGAAACTGCATGGAGGAAGCAAATTAGGGAATGTGTGGCTGCACACAGTGCCGGTTTTACGTATAAGCTAAACAAGCTATAGCTTAGGGCCCCACTTTCTTGGGGCCCCAAAACAAATTAAAGGGAAAAAATTGGATGTATATTTCCAAAATAAGAAAGAAGGCTGGTCGCCGAAGAATTGATGCTTTTGAATTATGGTGCTGGAGGAGACTCTTGAGAGTTCCATGGACTGCAAGAAGATCAAACCTATCCATTCTGAAGGAAATCAGCCCTGAGTGCTCACTGGAAGGACAGATCCTGAAGCTGAGGCTCCAATACTTTGGCCACCTCATGAGAAGAGAAGACTTCCTGGAAAAGAACCCGATGTTGGGAAAGATTGAGGGCACAAGGAGAAGGGGACGACAGAGGACGAGATGGTTGGATAGTGTTCTCGAAGCTACTAACATGAGTTTGACCAAACTGCGGGAGGCAGTGGAAGACAGGAGGGCCTGGCGTGCTCTGGTCCATGGGGTCACAAAGAGTTGGACACGACTAAACAACAACATTCTGCATGGACTGGTTACATGTCAACAGGTGCAAATGACTTTAGATACCTATGAGGTCCATAAATTACCATATAGCATACATTCAACAACAAAAAACAGTGACAATTTGTTGTTGACAAAGGACAGCTGGACATATAAAGGGCCCCATTACCTTCAGTGGCTTAGGGCCTCATCAAACCTAAATCCGGCCCTGCTCCCAACTATTACCAGCTGTTGATAAAAGCTCTGTGCAGCTCACAAAACACTGCACATGGAAACTGCATGGGAGAAGCGCATTAGGGAATGTGTGCGTGCATGCATGCATAAATTGTGTGGCTGCATGCTGCAGCTTCTGAACATTTGCAGTGTCTAGATCCCAGCACAGAATCTTGCTTCGCAGTGCAGGTTACGTTAGCAGGATCGGTTCCCGCAAGTAGAGCTTTGTTCAAAGGCAGGCACTGTGTGTTTTTCTTCTTCAAAACGAAACATCAGCTCTGTAATATGCGAAGTGTGAAGCACACCTCTGAGCGTGTGCCAAATGCATTTTCCTCCTTTCCCCCTCCCATCTCACGAAAAGCCACAGTCTCTCCACACATTTAGGATTAAAACAGTGAGGTCTGTACGTATCATATGGGACACAAGTATACAGGAACCCCAGCACATAACAATATAAAAATTTAAGCACTGCAAACGTAATAAGAAATACTGCAGTCTCCTCTTTCTTTTTAGTTCGGTTTGTAGACTTTCAATTTTAAAGTTTCACACCAGATCCCTTCCTTCCCTCCCAGGGCTGGATTTAGGTTAGATGAGGCCCTAAGCTACTGAAGGTAATGGGGCCCTTTATATGTCCAGCTGTCTTTTGTCAACAACAAATTGTCGCTGTTTTTTGTTGTTGTATATATGCTACATGGAAATTTATGGACCTAACAGAAAGCCATTTGCACATAACAAAATATGTATTTTATCAAAGTAATTGTTGAACTGAAATACAATTAAGAAGTATATTATACTTTTTAAAAAATGCTGGCTTTTTTGGGGTTTTTTTTATTGGGTTGTTGGTTTTGTTTTGATTTTATGTACTTGCTATTTTATGTGAACCACCCCGAGACCTTCGGGTATAGGGCGGTATAGAAATTAAATAAATAAAATAATAAAATAAAATAAATAAACAAACATTTCCGGTTTATGCATTCCTCTTTCAGGGTTGCTATCAATACAATAAATGGTGCCAAAGTGTGAGAAATTCGCCAGTTTCAGCTTGATGGAACTTTTTTTTTTTTGTAAATCAAAACCTTCTAAACTTTAAAAACATCAGCCTTTATTTTTTTAAAAAAATTATGTTCAAGCATTCCATTTTGAGGAATGTTTTTTCAGTGGTTTTTGCTTTTTTAAATAAACGACTATTTTGTGCATTTCACATTATTTCCATTAACCTGATCTCAACAATCGCCCACACTCTCAAGCAGAGGTAGCACATATGTAAACAACAGGACCAAAACAAGCCACCAAAAGCAACGGTACTCATGCACCACGTAACCTCAGAATCTAGTAGCATGAGAGAATCTTACTTTTCAGGGTTTTTGTTTTCCAGAAACAGTTTATAGACCATACCGCTCCACCAAGAGTCTAGGTAGGTTTATCCTAATCTGCCAAATACCTTGCCCCTTCTCATTGCTGGCAGAAGTTGGGTAACTGTGCCAAATTAATCAAATATGGATAAAGTATATTTGCTGAGGATTTATTATATACATGCAGGTCTCACAATGTGCTATTAGAAAATCATACATATACACACACAAACACACACACTTCACCCCTGTATATGCATTTTTGCACACATTAATTTGGCTGGAGAAGTACACTGCAAAATTCTGGTGAATTCCCCCTGGAAGAGAAAAAAAGCCCTGCACAGAAGTGAAAAATTTCAAAGGTGTTTCAATGTGTTTGTGTATTGTATGGAAGAGTGCAAATTAAGCAAGCTTCCTTCTAGATACAAGCTGAACTGAATTTATCCCTACTGCTTGGTCTTTTATACCGAGCATGTATATATTATATCTGTAAGAAATGGTGAGCGTGTTGCACTGTATATTTCAAGGCATTCCCCCGTCTTTGCAAATGAATTGCAAGATATTCTCCCCTCCCACCACTGCTTGGCTCCTTCCTCAAGCCCCTCCATCCCACCCCACCGGCAGTGCAATGGAACACAGGGTTGTGTGTGTGGTTTCTATGTGGCTGGGGAGGGGGGAGCCTAAATCTATAGCCACTGCGGGTGGAAGGAGCGAAGAGCGAGCCTCGTAAACAGGCCCGCCGCCCAACCAAATGAGAAAAAGCACGAAACCACAGCATTATCTACCATCTCGGCGTGGCTCAGTGGGCAGGAGAGCAGAGCTGTGTGGGGAGAGGAAATGGCCGGGCAGAACTAACATACCACCCCTTAAAATAAATTTTAAAACTATGCAAGAAAATGCACGGGGCTACCAGCCACAGATACTCCCACTGCTTCTTGTTTTATTTTAAAGATTGTCGGTGCTTGCTCACACACTGCATACAGTGGTACCTCGGGTTAAGTACTTAATTCGTTCCGGAGGTCTGTTCTTAACCTGAAACTGTTCTTAACCTGAAGCACCACTTTAGCTAGTGGGGCCTCCTGCTGCTGCCGTGCCGCCGGAGCACGATTTCTGTTCTCATCCTGAAGCAAAGTTCTTAACCTGAAGCACTATTTCTGGGTTAGCAGAATCTGTAACCTGAAGCGTATGTAACCTGAAGCGTATGTAACCTGAGGTACCACTGTATTAACTAACGGGAGTGGGGACAGGGAAGGTGCTTTTGACCCGAAAAATAGACTAATGTGCATTTGGAAGATGAGGAGCAGCAACAACAACACAATAAAGCCCAGATTAGGAATTTCGGCAAAGTTTAGGACTGGTGATTTAAGGTAGCCAAAATGAGCAGGTAATCTTGTTATCGGAGGTGGCTCCTCAGAACTTCTTTCCAAAGCAAGACCTCATGTTTGGGACACGTGGAGCAGAAATGAAACAATACCTCTGAGCATGGGCAGAGGGCCTTTCCTTAGCCCCCTCACCCCACCCTAAGCAAGCACAGACTGCCTCAGTGCCAGTGGGGTGGGGTGGGAAGACCAGCGTTCAAATCCCCACTCAGCCATGAGGCTCACAGCATGGACAGTCTCCCTCGCAGGGTCATTGTGCAGATAAAATGAAAGAGGGAGGAGGCCTGTGGATAAGACCTTCATCTCCTTGAAGGAACGGTGGGATGTAAAGTGTGAAAAACTAAATAAACAAGCCATCTCACCTTCTGTCTTGGGCACCTTGCCATCTGCCAAGCTGGCATTATGAGGAAGGCGGCTGCGGTTGTTCAGAGTGGGTGAGCGGCTACGGGAAAGTCTCTCCACGCACTCTCAAGAGCAAACTCCTATTTTTCACATCTTCCAGGGGCTGAGCTGCTGCTGCTCTGGAAGGAAGTTCCGGTGAAGCCTCTATCGTAACAATAAGCTTGCGAGAACCTATTCTTTCCTCCGACATCAGCAGCCGGGCTCCAGGAATTCAGTCAAAGCTTCAACACCCACCTCCCCAACTGGAACGGAGGGCAGATGAGATATTGCCCAGCAGCAGTTTATGTGGCCTTGTTGTATCTCGCTTTCCACAAGAGGGCGAGGTCAGCAAAATGTGGTTGCAAAATTCAAATGTGCTTCTATGGGTGGGGGGGGGAGGGAGGAGATGAAAGCCAGAGGGGTAGGCATTTTAGTCTGCTACAGCAAGAACACACAAAAATGTCCCCCTGGTACCTTGAAGACTAACCCTTTTATTGCACTACAGGCTACTGTGGAGTACAGTCCACGTTTGGCCCCAGAATTTACCATCTCTCTATAGTCTATATACATACTCAGGGTTTCCCAGCAGCTGCTTGGAGTACAACTCCCATTATCCTGAGCTAGCAGGACCAGTGGTCAGGGATGATGGGAAGTGTAGTCCGAAAACAGCTGGAGACCCAAGTTTGGGAAACCCTGGAGTCACTGAAGGTTAAAACTTCATGCATGTCGTGAATGTTTGCACCACAATAAATCTGCTAGGCTTTAAAGGTGCCGTAAGACTATTTTCTTTTGTCCTCCTATGAAACAAAGGAGGCTCTTTTCAGCTTGAAATCAGACCAATCTATAATCTATGCCGGTAGGGTGGCTCCTTACGCATTGTCAAAACAGAGGACAAAAGGAGGATACAGCTCTGCATAAAATTTGCACGTGGCGATCTCGCTATATGGTATTTTTGTAAGGAAAAAAAATGTTGATGTGCTGCAGTTTGTGTCACAACGTCAAACAAGCACACATCCTTTTTAAAGCAGGGATAGAGAACCTGGGGCCCTCAAGATATTATTGGAATCCATATCTAGCCCAACAGCGTGTTATTGAGGGCCACAGATCCCCCACCTTCAGTTTATTGTCCATGCATAGCCAACGTAGGAGGACTATGATGGGTTTTAGCGGTTGCCCTTCAACAGTGGTCCCTAGTGCCCTTTGGACTATGAAACCCAAAAGCTCGTAGAGGAAGCACATATGAGTCATGTTTCATTTTCTGATAGTTCCCGGGGAATGTGTGAAGGGGGGAATTTGCGTGCCCTTCAAAGAAAGCCATCGCAGGCATCGGAAGGAGTTAGATTTAGCCCCACAGGGTCTCAAACCACCACAAAATTCACCTGCGAAAGCCCCTCTGAAATTAACAGGTGGCTCTTGCACAGTCCCCATTCATTTCAATGAGGCACCTGCGGGGGCTATTTCCCAGCATATCATGCCCCACGGTGCTCAAGGGGCTGGTGAATAAGTTGTCTGGCCTTTCAGCCACAGGAATGCACTATTTCGCACTTCCAACATCATCACTATCGCTGCTGCTTTTGTTCTTTTAGCAATCGGCAGCGGTAGGGCTGTAGCTTTTGGTGGCAGAACATCAGCCTTGAATGCTGGAGGGTTCATTGTTCAGGCGGAAAGGACCCTGCCTGAACCCTGAGGAACTGCTGCCAGCCAGTGTAGACTAAGGAGATTGTTAGCCGCTTTGGGACTCCTTAAAAAGGTAAAGGGACCCCTGACCATTAGGTCCAGTCGTGGCCGACTCTGGGGTTGCGGCACTCATCTCGCTTTATTGGCTGAGGGAGCCGGCGTACAGCTTCCGGGTCATGTGGCCAGCATGACTAAGCCACTTCTGGCGAACCAGAGCAGCGCACGGAAACACCGTTTACCTTCCCGCCAGAGCGGTACCTATTTATCTACTTGCACTTTGACGTGCTTTCGAACTGCTAGGTTGGCAGGAGCAGGGACCGAGCAACAGGAGCTCACCCCGTCACGGGGATTCGAACCACCGAGCTCCTGATCGGCAAGTCCTAGGCTTTGTTTTAACCCACAGCGCCGCCTGCGTCCCTTGAGACTCCTTAGGGTAGTGATAAAGCGGGATATCAAATCCAAACTCCTCCTCCTCCTCCTCTTCTTCTTCTTCTTCTTCTTCTTCTTAGCTAAATGGGCCCATGGGTCCGACTCAGCACAGGACAGCTTCCTCTGCTCCTAGTTTGGCTGCGCCTTTTAGGGTAAGTCCTCACAAGCTAGCCGACGATAAAAATGTTAAAAGCAAAGCAAGCAAGCACATGATAAAAACACAATCAGATTCCACCCCCCAGAGATGCAAAAGAGAGAGGAATTGTGACTCACTTAGGCTTCCTGGAAAAGGGCAAAGCTGCTCAAAGAATCTTCTGGCATAAGATATATTGTTTTTTTCTTATCTTTTCTGGATATGATAATCCAAGAGTTCTGGCTTTAATTTTTGTAAGGCCCTTTCTCTTTTTAAACCTACTGCTACTCACCCCAAATCCTTGGGATACTATAGATTAAAAATTGAATAAACAAACTGCTGCTCACTTTTTCGACTATGCTTAGATGCCCCTGCTGATTTCCTGCTACGAGTCTGAGCCACCTCGTGCCAGGGTGGGAGGCCAGTTTGCCCTCACCCACCCCTTACAACTCTAGTGCATGAAAAAGCTATGTGGGCACTTTGGCAAAAGCTGGCACAGCTAGCATGACCCAAGAGTGAATTTCAGGTATGTGGGATAAGTCTCTCCCTCCCACCGTCCCTCTCCACTTGGAGCTTTCATTTTCAAATAAGAGAGAAATGAAAGGAAAGGAAGGGGGGGAGATAATGAACGAACGAGAACGTGATTAAAAACCTACAGTTCCCTCCGCCTTTCTGTGGCTAAGGTTTTGGGGAGAAGTGACTAGTTCAGGAAGTTTAAAAGACCAAAGGAAAGAAAAAAAACCTTTTAGAATTAAATTGTGCGCTCCGTATTGCCAAGCAATGGAAAAGCAGAGTTTACAAAAAACGGAACTGCATTTACAAGAAAGGCAATTACAAGAAAGCTGCAAGCGCTGGTCGCTCCTTCCTCTCAAGGACTGGCACTGCTGCCAATCTTACGATGCCTACATGGACTAAATAACGTGGCACTGTGGGGACATGCCATGCGCATTTGTCCACGTCAAATTATGGGCAAGTATCAGCTCATCTATGTGACCAAGAGTCCAGCGTTCCAGCCTCACATACCCCTTCCTTACTTTTTTCTTTACTTGTGTTGTTGTAGTTAATGCCAGGTTGAGGTGGGGGGACCCCTGAAATAACGATTCAATTGTCAGAAGTATAAATTGGATGGAGGCATGGTTATATGGATGGATGGAGATGAAAGACAAGTTTTGGAAGGAACGCAACTAAGTACTAAGCAGCTGCCCAACTTGCACATTTGGAAATGAAAGAAAAGACCACAACTGCGCCCCGGAGGCCATTTGTAATAGGATGAACCGAAGAAAAGTTAACCGCAGCAGCTGCATGCTTCAGGAGTTGCAGTGCCTGAACCAAGAGGCAGGCAGGTGGAAGAGACAGTAAAGTTTGCATGAAAATGGGCATTTGGAACACAGAGTTATAAATAGGAAGCCAGAATAAAGTACACAGAGGTCAAAACAGCATGTTCAGCTTGTCGATATTGGGACCTCCTTAGCAGCCTCCCTCCAGTACTGAAGGCGTCATCAACTCCAGGGAGATTGATAGCAGACATTGCCCAGGCCCGGCCCTACCATTTGGCAAAGTGGGTCGACCTCGTCAGGCGGCAGATGCTCAGGGGCAGCACTGGAATTCCCTGGCTGTTCCCCGTGGCATGGAAGACAGATTCTGGGGCCATGTTCTGTTGATCCACTGTCTCAAAAGCAACCCTCTTCCTAGTGGACTTGCTAGTGTTGGGACGTTCAAACGCAGCTCTAGACAGACCACTGGGTTCCCATTTTTTTTATACGTATACAACTGATGGATCTAGTTCTTACAGCAATACAAAATTCAGCAAGTGACCTCATTTCCCCTAAGTTGCGCATATATATATATATGAACCCCGCAGCTGTCTTCTTTGTGCAAATCTCCATTAAGTCAATGGATCTCCAAACGGATTGCTCTTTCCTTTACTGTGAAAACAGAAACAAAGGGGAACAGAACCCTCTAGCTCCTCTCTGCCATCTGCACTCCAACACTTCCACATTAGCCCCTCCACACGGTGTCATTCTCTATCTGTCCACAGCTCAGCTCTGCCTACTTGACTTCCCCCCTGCCCCCCCCCTCCTGCTACACACAATGTGGCACATTTGATCTGGTTTTATGAAAAGCCATTGTCTTCTCTCCGTTTGCACGGCATACACAGTTGTCAAGGATCCTCTCGCACCTTGTGAGCGATCTGGACAAGGCCCAACCTGATGTGCCGGCAATCGATAAAAGCAAACAAATAAAATGAAAACCCAGACACAAAACATGAAATGCAACTTGGCTCAAGCCAAGGCTGACAGGAGGATTCTTTTGGTTTTTTTCAGGCTCAAAGGGGGGAAGGAGGAAGAGACAATACCTATAACAATGTCAAATTCTCCCAGTACAGTGGTACCTCGGGTTACAGACGCTTCAGGTTACAGACTCCGCTAACCCAGAAATAGTACCTCAGGTTAAGAACTTTGCTTCAGGATAAGAACAAAAATCGTGCTCTGGTGGCGCGGTGGCAGCAGGAGGCCCCATTAGCTAAAGTGGTGCTTCAGGTTAAGAACAGTTTCAGGATAAGAATGGACTTCCAGAACAAATTAAGTTCTTAACCCGAGGTACCACTGTATAAGTTAGGGAATCAGCTACTGAGCTGAACTTAAAACTGGGCAAACTGAAAGCTGTCTTAAGAATGCTAAAAGTGATCCTGTGGTTCCCTCAGTGATCCAGGGGATCAGAAGCTGTGAATTCTCCTGTCATGTGGCATGTGGCAATTCCCAGGGAAAGGACTTTCACACTTATGATGCCCCCAATGTAGAAAGCCTTCCTCAGGAAGGCTCATCCAGCACCTACACTGATGTCATTTCAGCAGCAGGGAAAGCCCTGTTATTTTATCAGGCCTTTCCATCTAAACTGCTTTTATCTTTATGGGGTTGTTTTGGGTTTTTTTGTATTTATGTCTTGGAAGACGACACTTTATGTTTGGTCAATGTTTTTACATTTTTCAGTAAAGCTTGCCCCCAAAAAGTTTTCAGATCCATGTTCTTACACTGCTCTTTTAAGATCCTGCTGCTTTGATTCTGTAGTTTTTAATGTTTTTTTATTGAAATTTTAATTTAATTTTGTAAACTGCCCTGGGGATTTCTCCACCAGTCAGTGAAGGGGCAGCTGCTCACTCGAGTGCTTACTTCCCTCTTCCCTCCTCATTCTTTTTCCTTTTGTATCTTGCACAGGAAGCAACTCCTAGGGGCCGAGGGGTCTTTGGGCCCCCTCAATAAAATATTTGAGGGGGCCAGACCCCACCAAAGTTGATGGGTATTGCCATTTGAATAGTGTGTGTGCAGCACATTATGCGATCAGTTATGTGGGGAGGGAGCTACCTAGCCACCCCCCCAATATTTTATTCAAGTTGGCACCTCTGGTATCTTGTATCCAGATTGCGAACGTGCAGGCAGGGACCAGCTCATCTTTTGCATTCATGTATGATGCATGGAAATTTTGAGGTGCTTTATAAGCGTTAAGCGACAACAACAATCAATTCCTGTGACAAAATTAATTGCAACTGATCTGCTGTGCGGTTTCAGGTGCTCGCCAGGGGCACAAATAAAAGAACAGGGGGAAATAATGAAGACCTCGAACAAATGTTCTGCTCAGCTTCTTCTATATTTGGATGCAACTATAGTATACACACAGGGGAAAGGGGAAGTGGGCAAGCATTGTTTGGTCTGTGCACTTGCCATGTCTCTGAGATATTTGTCGGTCAAAGCACCTCTTCCCTGAAAAGTAGAATCTTTCACGGTTCACGGTGAAATGGGGCGTATACAAATTTATCGGTATGCACTTGCTGCCTGCTGAGTTCTCCCAGTTTTCCTTCACAAGCTAAACCAAGAATTTGGAAAGAACTGAGATTTCATTCAGGTGCCTTACAAAACAGCACCCAGGCTGTTACAAAACAGCAGCTGTAATGGAAGAAACGACATCCTGCAACACCAGAACAACAGTTTGCAGTGAGGCAAAGTTTAAGACTTCTTAAGCTGTTTTAGACTGCCTCAGGTTTAATTAGAAGGCCCCATCCTTTTTTGAAGAAGGTTGTGGTGGTTGCCTCAAAATTATTCTAGCAAAGCACCAGAACATCTGAGAATTCGCTGCCTATTCTGGAGCGGTTAAAACGAATTAAGATACTGCAGAGTGGAGAGAGGGACGCGGGTGGCGCTGTGGGTAAAACCTCAGCGCCTAGGACTTGCCGATCGTATGGTCGGCGGTTCAGGGTGAGCTCCCGTCGTTCGGTCTCAGCTCCTGCCCACCTAGCAGTTCGAAAGCACTCTTAAGTGCAAGTAGATAAATAGGTACCGCTTTACAGCGGGAAGGTAAACGGCGTTTCCGTGTGCTGCGCTGGTGCTGGCTCACCAGAGTAGCTTCGTCACGCTGACCACGTGACCCGGAAGTGTCTCCGGACAGCGCTGGCCCCCGGCCTCTTAAGTGAGATGGGCGCACAACCCTAGAGTCGGACACGACTGGCCCGTACGGGCAGGGGTACCTTTACCTTTACCTAGAATGGAGAGAAACTGCAGAATGAAGCTTGTAAAAAGAGGCTGCTGGATGACCCAAACTTTTTTCATCTTGTAAATAAAGATTTCCCATCAGTTATATTAATGCTTTAGTCACTGGTGAAGTTCAACAAATAATTGGGGCTGGGGAGGGAGAAAAGAGATCAATGCAAGGGAGATGAGGTTATACCAGACACCAATGGTCTTATCAAGGCTGTTAAACATGCATGCCATGTGCTGGAAGTCCCCCGTTCAAATCTTTTTTCAACAGCGCACCGGGTGACAAATTGTTCTCTCGGCTTCATTTTGTTCCTTTTTCCTGGCGCCCTCCCCCGCAAACAGAATAAACCTAATTAAGAACATAAGAATAGCTGCTGCAGGATCAGGCCAAAGGCCCATCTAGTCCAGCATCCTATTCCTACAGTGGCCAACCAGATGCCTATGGGAAGGCCGCAAGCCAGGACCTCAGCACAACGGCACTCTCCTCACTTGTAATCCCTGGCAACTGGCATTCACAGGCATCCCGCCTCTGAACGTGGAGGCGGAGCATTTACCCAAAACAACCAGCTAATTATACGCACTCTTCTTACATTTATTAGATGTGGAATTTGATGCAGGCAAGGTAAGAGGGCCAGTATGAACAGAGGGCACCAGTGTCTTCCCAACAACATCCCTTTCCCTTGCCTTCCTCCTTGCCCCTCAGGTCCTTTTTCACTATGTTCCTATGGCCTTCCCAGTGCCGGATTTATGTATAAGCTAAACAAGCTATAGCTTAGGGCCCCACTCTCTTGGGGGGGCCCAAAAAAATTAAAGGGGGGAAAAACTGGATGTACATTTCCAAAATATAAGATCAAAAACATACAGCAACAGTGGCAAATGGCTTTAGATACGTATTAGGTCCATAAATTACCATATAGCATATATTCAACACAAAAAATAGTGACAATTTGTTGTTGACAATGGACAGCTGGACATATAAAGGGCCCCATTACCTTCAGTAGGTTGGGGCAGGGGTCAGCAAACATTTTCAGCAGGGGGCCGGTCCACTGTCCCTAAGACCTTGTGGGGGCCGGACTATTTTTGGGGGGGGGGAATGAACGAATTCCTATGCCCCACAAATAACCCAGAGATGCATTTTAAATAAAAGGACACATTCTACTCATGTAAAAACATGCTGATTCCCAGACCGTCCATGGGCCTTAGTTTGCCTACCCCCAGGCCTTAGTTTGCCTACCCAAGGACTTAGGGCCTCATCAAACCAAAATCCGGCCCTGGGCCTTCCCATCATCTCTCTCTCTCTCTCTCTCTCTCTCTCTCTCTCTCACACACACACACACACACACACACACACAGCCCCCCTGAGTCCTTGCCCTCTCACATCATTATAATAAGGCCACCCTCATTACCACGCTGCAACAAACAAAGCTGCCACTCTAGCTTTCTTGCCACATCTCTTTACACTCGGTTCTTTTTCTGGGGAGACGGAGAGAGAAGCAGTGCACTGAAAAAATGGACCCCCAACCTCCTCTCTCAAGGCACATCTTGTTAGCGATTTGTGGGTGGGTTTGAGGTAAAAGCTACCGGGATACGCTCTTAATCTTCTATGTTGAGAAGCTTCGTGACAGAATCACGAATTTGAAACGGCAAGCTCAAAAACAGCGTTACCATCCCATTAATGCTCCTGATAATATGCCGGATGTCACAAACGCTAAGGCACCAAGGGAACCTTAGGAGGGAGATGAACCACAACCTGCTGCTGCGAGACCCAGTAAAGGGAAATGACCGGAAGAGGGGAGAATAAAAAATGATTCTTAGCCACCAGACAATAGTCTTGGCTGGATTTCAGCTGAGTCAGGACGGTGAATAAGCAGTTCTTGTTTTACAGAGGAGGTGATCAGTGGAAGCAATACACTTACTGTTCATTCAGAACCATGGTCCCCTTTCTCCTTCTGTGCCTCCTTGCAGAGTTCAAACAGATCTATGGCTCAGAGGCCTCTTTTCTCACTCAGCACAAATAAAGAGCGGAGGTAGGTGTCACATCGACTCCCTTTGACACATTTTAAATTCACACCCCCTTTCTGCAACCCCTCTCCCCCTCCTCCTTCCTCAAACCTCAATTAATTAAAAAGAACATGCAAATCGAAATGCCAGATTTTTTGTTTTTTTTCAAGAAAGCAAAAGCCAAAACCCTCACATCTCCCCAAACCTCTTCCACCACCAAACGTTTGCCATGAGAGTTGCTAAAATGTATACTTAATTTAAAAAACACGGGCTCTTCTGCCCTCTCTATGGGTTTCCATTTTGCTTGGTTCTCTAGCCACAAAAGGGAGCATTTAATGTCAGGGGGGAGTGGGGCATTATTTCCAACAATATTGCAACTTGTCCAGATTTCCAGAGGGATTGCCCTGTGTTAGTCTGTGCACACATTACCACGTGTTCTGTCTCCAGCACAATCTCACCAGTGATGCCCAGTGCCCCATTCAACAGAGAGAGAGGGATAATAATAATAATAATAATAATAATTTATTATTTATACCCCGCCCATCTGGCTGGGTTTCCCCAGCCACTCTGGGCAGCTCCCAGCAGAATATTAAAAACACGATAAAACATCGAACATTAAAAACTTCCCTAAACAAGGTTGCCTTCAGATGTCTTCTAAAAGTCAGATAGTTGTTTATTCCCTTGACATCTGAGGGAGGGCATTCCACAGGGCGGGCACCACTGAGGAGAAGGCCAGGTTCCCTGTAGCCTCACTTTTCGCAGTGAGGGAACCGCCAGAAGGCCCTCAGAGCCGGACCCTCAGAGGGAAAGCCCCCAATAGGGCAGGAATGGTTTCCCATCTTTTGCATCAAGCAAAGTAAGGCACATCAGTATATAAAGAGAGCCTCCCCCTGTCAGACCATTAAATCCAGAGACTATGGCCTGGGGAGCCGTTATTTTACATCCTCATTCCCTCCCTGCCCCCCCCCCCCAATAACCAGCCTTCATCTGTGACCACTGCCATACACAAAAAACTTATGTATGAATTTATTCTCAGCCATCTTGGAGGCTTACTGTCAAGCAGAAAGATAGGATTAAAACTTTCTAAATATATACATGCTAGGGGTTACGCCACTGCTTGCCAACACCATTCCTCTCCCTTTATATGTCGCCAAAACAACAACAACCCTCAGACCTTGCTATACTTCCCATGTCCCACCTGGGCCACTTGCCTGTCCACACCTCCATCCTTTGGACCTCTCCCCCTCCCCTGGATGGCCCAGCAGCTTGCCAAACTATAGTTCACAGTGCCGCCTGCCTGTGGCCAAGTGAACTGCAGCATGATGACATCCTTATGATTTTATATACCGTCTTGTTGTTGGCATCCATCTGGCTTGAGAGACAATGGAGTGCATCTCTGGGGGTGAAGTCACGCCACTGTGTTAGCAGCACCAAAGTAACTGCCCCTGGGCACAAGTGCGTATGGAAGTCCTGGGCTGCCCAGACAATAAGACTCCCCTCTTGGCCTCACTGATCTGCCCCAAAGGAAAACAGAGCAATACAGTCGTGCCTCGCAAGACGAAATTAATCTGTTCCGCGAGTCTCTTCGTCTTGCGGTTTTTTCATCTTGCGAAACACAGCTATTAGCGGCTTAGCGGCTATTAACGGCTTAGCGGCTATTAACGGCTTAGCGGCTTTAAGAAAAAGGAAACAAACTCGCAAGAACTCACAAGACGTTTCGTCTTGCAAAGCAAGCCCATAGGGAAATTCGTCTTGCGGAATGACTCAAAAAACGCAAAACCCTTTTGTCTAGCGAGTTTTTCGTCTTGCGAGGCATTCGTCTTGCGGGGCACCACTGTACGTTTGGCACCTGCTTGGCTGCAGGAGTTGCTGGAAGGAGGCGTACAAGGCGCCATCCAACCATCTTAGGGACTCCACTCTGGATTTTTGTAGGTTTTACTTAGCCTTTTTTGCTCCCAAAGATATCCCACAAAGCAGTGGGAGGTTTAGGAACAGAGTTTTCCTTCTTCCTCAATGGGCTACCTTCCCACTTTGATGAGCCCCATCTGCCCCTCACTTACAGCAAGTGCAGAAACCATCTTCCAGACCATTGGACCCAATATTGATCTCATCTGCTCAATATACTGGAGCCTGTCTTCGCATGCAGGGGAAGCCCCACCTCACCAAGGGCTTGAGACCCATTGGCTACCCTCACCTGGTTTAGCCAGTCAGTCAAAGCTGTTTCCTGGGTGTTGCTGTCACATGCTGACAGCCTCTAGGAGCCACAAGGGACAGCTGAGTGCAGGGTGAGGACCAATATACAATATTTCTAATATACAATATTAGAAACATATATATTTAAGCACACAGCTGGCTCCTTATCGAAAAGCTCTTGTGGCGAGGTGCAAGTAGGGTGGTCACTTATCCATACTATCCCGGAAACAAAATATACCACCAAAAAGATGAGACAGTTTTGCGTAAAAATTGCATGAGCTAATTTATACGCACAGAAGCGCATTTGGCAATCATTACTGCCATTTCAGTTGAAATTCAATAGTGGGAAGGACTCCATAGTGGGAAGGACCATGGCCAGCTTTGTGGCTGCTCAGTTTGCTTTCCAGGTGCTAACTGTTGATAAGCAAGTTCAAGGCAGGTTAGCCGGGTCAGGTATTGGCTCCCAAGGCCTCGCTGACCTGAATTTCCATTGGGAAAGCGTCACAGAACAACTTACAAAGCAAAACGAATTCACCACGAATGCACTATTATTGTGACTGGAGTGTGTTGCTGCAGCATACAGCTGCAACAGAATAGGCGTTTGGAGGGGCCCAAGGAATTCAACCCCACCAAACTTAAAAACACCCATTGATATGAATTGACACTTACTGGTCATCTCCAACTTTCTTCACCCATGCCATGTCCCTCTCCGACTGACTCGTTGCAAGGTCCTAGGAAACATTAAGACAAGCCCTGTTATAATAGGGTGGGAGAGTAGAAAGAAGCAAGCGCAACCTCACACTTCCATAAGAATAATCCAAACAAAGGGGCCCCTTGATTGGAAGATGCGTTCTGCAACTGGAATATATTAGGCAAAGTGTATTTATTTGTTATAAGTCATCTTAATCTGGCCTGTTCATCATAAGGCCTCAAAAAGCGTCTCACAATAATAATGCAAAGACAAAACTAACTTAGATGGCGATTAAATAATTGCACTATATAAAAGCAAGCAGAGCCAGAGTGTGGGTTTTCAGACTACACGAGCCAGGATGCACTGAAAAGGTTTATTGACAGTTAAATCATGCAGTAGCCCAGGGTTTCACAAAGCTGTTTTTGGACTACAACTCCCATCATCCTTAGCTTGGTGGTCAGGGCTGATGGGAATTGTAGTCCGAAAATGGCTGGAGACCCCAGTTTGGGAAATTTATATAAATCTTTATAAAGCTTTATAAATCCATACTCAGTCTGACTCCCCTCATATTACATGCAGCGTTGGTTTCATCTCCCTTTCTCAACAATCTGCCTTGTTCTTGTCACAGCACACCACAGAAAGGTAGTTTGTGGCTCTCCAGATGTAGTTGAACTCCAACTCCCATCAGCCCCAACCAGCACAGCTAAGGGTCAGGGATGCTGGGAGTTGTAGTCCAGCAACACCTGCAGTATATCATCTCCCACACCATACATTCACTTGCAGGTATCTCAGAATAGACATACTATGCATCAGTTCTTGAGAAAATAGCAAAGCCTACTAAACGGAAGCAGCTGTACTTTTACCAGTCCACTTGTCTCGAATGAGTACTGTGCAATCAAGTCCAGAAACCATATATTATTTTAGCAACAGCAATAATTTTTATTAAGTTTAACAACATCCTGCTTTCACGTTGACACACATATTTGTGCGAGTGGCAATATAAAGCTGTCACTGATCTGTATTTCTGGACTCTGTAAAATGAAAGTCTATCTCTATTCCTATATAGCTCATTGTTGTTATTGTTGTTTTGTAGTCAGGGCAACTGTTTTCATTCTTGAAACCCAAACCCTGCATTCTCAGCAATATGTACAAAATATACACCATATACTATGTTGCTGTGAACTGATCTTTATCACAAGCTAGCTGCATATTAACTGAAAGGTGTAAAGGTAAGCTTCCGATGTCACAGGTCTCGCAGCCCATGACAAAACCACACCTGTGCTATGGACTTAAACCGAGTCATCTGGTCTCGACGTTCCCACAGCACCCTGGACTCTCTGGTCCTATGAGGGCTTGAAAATTTCCCACAGAGATTTCACCCCTCACAAAGCCACCATCTCCGAGATTTTCCAGGAGCCCCAAACATCCAAGTTCAATCCAAAAGATGTTTGGAAGCTGTGTACAGATCACATACTTAAAGCACATTTCTCCCTAAAGAACCCCAGGAACTGTAGCTGATCCCTCAGAGCGACCATTGCCAGCATCCTTAACGCACTTCAGTTCCCAGGAGTCACTGAGGAGCGGAGGGAAATGTGCTTTAAACGTATGGTCTGTACACAAGCCTAGCCCTGTAGTATACATGCTCCCGAAGATGGTCTGATTTTTAAAAGCTAGGCGCGCTATCAACCTCACCTTCAGGGATTACAAGGTGTGACCGGAAAATTCGGTGAATGGTCACAAAAATCGGACTACGAGAAATATTTGAACATACATGCCTTACAGGCCTTCAAAGTAGGCCCCCTCTGATACAATGCACCATTGACAACGTTCATAGAACTGTTGGAAACTTCTGGAGAAGTCCTCTTTTTGTACTGCTTTCAGTTCCCTCGTCACAGCAGCTTGGACGTGTGAAATGTTGGAAAATCTGTGCCCTTTCGGTACAGATTTCAGTTTTGGAAAAAGAAAGAAATCTGGTGGGGCCAGATCGGGAGAATATGGAGGGTGGGACAACTCAGTAACGATTTTACGCAGAATATGCAATTCTTCCGCCACCATTCAGACAGACAAACGCTGATCCCGCATCAATAACTCACGAACCCTGTCGACATTTGCCGCCGTTCTGCTCGTCGATGGTCTGCCAGACTGAGGGTCATCTTCGATGGTTTGCCGCCCTTCACGGAAACGCTTAAACCACTCGCACACTGTCTTTCGAGTTACAGCTTCATCGCCGTACACAACTGTGAGCGTTTTGTGGGTTTCCGATGGCGATTATATGTTCGAATATTTCTCGCTGTCCGATTTCCAGGACCATTCATCAAACTTTATGGTCACACCTTGTATATATTTCAAAATACGTTTTTGTTTCTTAGTTTGCCACAGTCTCCCATGTGAATAAGCAGCTCCAGAGCCGCGGAGGCCATTCTAGAATTTGCACCCTTTATATCCACACCTAGTGATGTATGGAGGTGAGAGCTGGACCATAAAGAAGGCTGATCGCCGAAGAACTGGTGCTTTTGAATTATGGTGCTGGAGGAGATTCTTGAGAGTCCCATGGACTGCAAGAAGATCAAACCTATCCATTCTGAAGGAAATCAGCCCTGAGTGCTCACTGGAAGGACAGATCCTGAAGCTGAGGCTCCAATACTTGGGCCACCTCATGAGAAGAGAAGACTCCCTGAAAAAGACCCTGATGTTGGGAAAGCTGGAGGGCACAAGGAGAAGGGGACGACAGAGGACGAGATGGTTGGATGGTGTTCTCGAAGCTACCAGCATGAGTTTGACCAAACTGCGGGAGGCAGTAGAAGACAGGAGTGCCTGGCGTGCTCTGGTCCATGGGGTCACGAAGAGTTGGACACGACTAAATGACTAAACAACAACAACAACAAATATCCACACCGCATCGCATTCTCCCAACCGGCTTTAAATTTACCTGAGCCCGCGTCTCTTGCAGCTGCTTCACCTCCGCCTGCAGTCTCTCGCACTCGGCCTTCAGCTGCTCTTCCCGGTGTTGCGAATTCTGGACTTCCTGCCTCGTCTCCTCCAGCTCTACTTCCAGCCTCTGCACCTCCAGCCCCTCCACCTGTTCGAGGCCCCTGGGGCTCTGCCAGTTCATTGAGCAATCCAGCACTAGGAAACACGAGAGGCAGGCAAGGGTTGGGTGGGTGATGCGGGAGGAAATAAGTTAACGGGGAAAGTGTAGGAGAGGGGTGAGCAGGCTTCTAGGGTGAAGCTACTGCCCTTTGGAAAGTTCTCAACGCAAGTAATAAGTAAAAACCCTATTATAGTGTGTGTACCCTGCTACTCTCTCGTACCTGCCTCTTCAGAAGCCCAGCTGAGCGGCCCCATCAAATGAACAGAAGTGGGCGACTGCTTTTTTTTAGGAGTGGCACCCCAGTTATGGAGCTGTGTTCCTGGGAAGACTCTCCTAGTGCCATCTTTGTGCTCTTGCTAGGGTCAAGGGGAGACTTTTCTGTTCAGCCGGGGCTTTTAAAGAGCTTAGACCACCTGTACCGCTCCAGTATACCTGAAGGAGCGTCTCAACCCCCATCGTTCAGCCCGGACACTGAGGTCCAGCTCCAAGGGCCTTCTGGCGGTCCCTCCCTATGGGAAGTGAGGTTACAGGAAACCAGGCAGAGGGCCTTCTCAGTAGTGGCACCTGCCCTGTGGAATGCTCTCCCATCAGATGTCAAGGAAATAAACAAAAATAGTTGTTTTAGAAGACATCTGAAGGCAGCCCTGTTTTGATTTTTGTCGCTTTTTTATTCTTATTATTAATATTCTGTTGGGATCTGCCTAGAGTGGATGGGGAAACCCAGCCAGATGGGCAGAGTATAAATAACAAATTATTAGTAGTACTATTAGTATTAGTATTATAATTATTAAATCTGCGTTTTAACTTTAGGGAGTGCAGTGAGGTTTGTCTTTGTTATATTTACATAGCTTTTGATTGGTTCATGTTTTATTTTGTATTTAATTTGTTTTTTCCCTGTTTTTGACTTTATTTTAGGACGCTCAGAGACATTATAGGGCAGCATACAAATAGTGCAAATGAATAAACAAACCTTAATGAAAGCTGCAGCATCACTAATTAATCTTAGTAGCAAGAAATACAGGTAAAATCATCGTGTTATCCTTGCCCAATATTGTTACAATGAGGAAAAATGAGCTCATTTCCAGTTATGAATGCCTGGCCTGTTCATTCTTTTAAAGACATTGCTCCAAATGCTTATTCTGGGATTGGGGTGGTCTTGCAAAGACTATTTTATTTGTATTTTAAAAAAATAAATAAAAAAAAATAAAGCTGTGCTATGCTGAGAAAAATGAGTCTGGCTTTGACCGTCCCTTGGGAAAAACAAATTTGGTGTTTAAACTGTTCTGCAATGGCTATAAATCTTTCCCCCCCCTTAATGCCAAGAGGTCTAAGCTTAGGTGAGTGATATTTCCACACGGCTGCAAAGTGGTCAAACGTAGCTGCCGCAAGTGGCCATTTCGTTGACAATTCCTCACAGCAGGAGTTGCAGGAAGTCTTGAGCGACATTTTTTTTAAAAAAAATTGACACATGTTAAAATGTTCTGTGGCATCATATTCTTGAAAAACATCTCCCATAAAAAACAGGCACTTGACCATGAAGCTCACTGGGTGATGCTGGTAGCGAGTCCCTGCTTCTCAGCCTAACCTACCTCACAAGGTTGTTGTGAGGATTAACTGAGGAGGCGAAGAACCATGTCCTTTTTCCCTCTTTCTCCTCTTGTGATGGAACTCCTATTTGGGGACTTCCCTGGGTTTTTTCTGGCCCATGTAGGACCCAGTCTGGATAGTTAGCTTTGGTGAAGACTTGACGTTTTCATCCCCCAAAAAGTTTTTGATTTGAGTTTTCCATTGAAATGAAGCTGTATTTTAATGTTTTAATGTTGTATTTTAACCTTGTTTTTAAGTTGTATTTAAATCAATTTGTTTTTATATCGGGTGTTAGCCGCCCTGAGCCTGGTCTTGGCTGGGGAGGGTGGGGTATAAATAAAATCATTTATTATTATTATTATTTGACCTTGAACTCTTTGGAGAAAAAGGTGGAATATAAATGCAATAAATAATACATCATAATAATAGATACATAATAATATTCCCGGGAATTGGGATGGCTTATATCAACTTAAATGCTGATGTGCTGATGGTTATTGCATCTGCTGGAAGGTGCGTCCTCCTCCTTCATTTCTTTCTTCTTCCTGTGTTTTTATTTCTTTGCTAAATTAATTTTTCTCTCTCACACACACACACAAAAAAAACCACTACCTTGCAACCTTGGCCAACCGTGGGAAAGTCATTTTAAAGCTCTACTTGGGGGGGCTAAAGTTTATTCTGCAACCTTTTGAAAACTTACGCTATTTCATGTACAAAAAAAAACAAGAATCACAGTGCCATCTACTGGGCAGAAACAAAGCCTGTGTCTCAAAACAAATAAATCCCCCATTTACACAAACACACACACAGAGAGAGAATCGACAAACTAGATTATGCTGGCCTGATTAATTAGGTTCTTGCCTCTGGGCGTAAATGCATTGACTGTTTTTCCAGGCCCCTGGAAATGTACCGCAGGACACTCTGGGACTAGCTACTGCAGTCTGCAATTCATCCAGCCACTTATCTCTGATTAGAAATAGTTAATCAGTGGGAATCTAGTTTTATTGTGTGTGTTTACGCCTACAAACGGACAATCCTAGCACTCTGATCCAGGAAGGGAACTGTGTGCAAAACAATCATTGGCTCACACGATTCCCCTTCCACATTCATGGTAGTCCACCTTTCTTGAATATTTATTAATATTGTCACTTAGCATTTATAAAGCACATTTTAAAGTTTTCAAAACACTTAACATATATTGTTCCAAAAGCAAAATCCTGTGTATGACTACTCAAAAGCAAGTTCAATGGGATTTACTTCCAGGTAGGCATGTACATGACTATTCTTTACAGTATAAATTGTTGTATTCTTATTAAGACTCTTAGCTAAGCCAAGGAATATAAATGAATCAATTAAACCTGCGTCAATTTGCATAGGAGTGAAAACAGTCATCATGAGACGAAAAAAGTGCACTTATGACGCGATGTGTAAGGGGCCAACGTACCGATCGTTTATTTGGACAATTTTATATCCTGCCCTACTTACAAAAGGAACCCAAGGCAGCTAACAAACCAAAAAATAAAAAGGTCACCACACTGACATAATAATAATTCACAATACCTGGGGGCAGCAGTCAAAAAATTAAAATACTTTAAAAATAAATTCAGCCAGAGGCCTTTTTAAACAACCATGCGTTTACTAGCCTCCTAAAAACATCAAAGCAACAGGGCCTAGCAAACCTCAATTAACAAGAGCATTCTGGAGGTAGATTTGGGCCTCTGTAGTTAAGGGCACCCTGTGATCAATGGAGGTCAATGGAGACATACCAGGCCACATCAAGCCCTCACATCCAAGTCAGCTCCTCAGTGTGAGCAACGCATTGGATCTGGTCTGCCCTCCATCCAGACCTTGACCACTAGCTTGGCTTCATCCATGTCAACTGTCTTTGGTTCTCTTGAACTAGACCACTCAACTGAGGCCGGCCTCCTTTTGTCTGATAGACATAGATGAGCAAAATCGTAGCAAAAACATTTCCATTCACACCGAGGGGAGAAAAGGAACCCCTCTTTTAAGATGACGCTTCCTATCTGAATGTTTTGACAAATTGTTAACTGGCTACCTGATTACTTGAGAGCACCTGTTTATTCAATTTAAACACTGCTGAACTGATGAATCAAATCGACTGGTCAATTAAACCAGGCGTAGCCAACATCACAATGTCCTTGGGACTACAACTCCCATCATCCTTGACCACTGATTATGGTGGCTGATGCCAATGGGAGTTGTACTTCTGGAGGACTCTCAGGCCTTAGTAACTCTGAGACAAGCTGCAGTTGAGTGGTTCAGTTCTGACAAACGAAATTTAAAAGCCTACCCTGGAAATAAAATACCGTGACCTTAATTATGGCTGTTTATTACCCATTTTGCATATGAGCAGCTGCAGCTGAGGAACAAAATTCAGCCTAAAGCAAGCTGGTCAATTCACGGCTGAGGTGAAATCTGAATCCGAGATATCCCGAGTCCATGATTTTAGTAAGTAGACACACCACATCATCAGCTTTCCTTCAGAGTTGAAGTTGCAACCCTCCCTCCCAATTCAGGCAATATAAGACACAAATCTCCTGTCAAATTTCAGAACTGAGAAGAGTACAGAGGTGACTACAAGGGACAAGAATTATTATTATTTTTAAATCACCATGGCTCCCATGAAGCGACAGATACTGGACTTCTTGATTTTGCAGCTGAGAGTTGAGATTCTGGAATGAGCCGCCATCTCTCTGCCTCAACTGCTGCTCTAAGCTTCGAATACGATTCAGATGTGTCTCAACCAGAGCTCTCTGTAGAGGAACAAGGCCGGAATGGAGAAAGAGAAAAAGAAGAAGACAAAGAGGACAAAGAAGAAGAAGGCATCTTTAACTTTGGTGCACAGAAGTCTTGACAATGAGCTGCCACTAAGCCAACTGATGAAAAAGGAATCTTCACACCCAATTCTGCTTTGATCGCCATCAGCTTCTCCTTCCTTTTGGCACCCTGAACCAACTAACTGGCTCTCCCACAGCTTAGCTGATCAGATCAAAGGGGGGGAAAACCCTAATTCTCTTATCTTGCTATTCTACCTGCTTGCCTCCTCTGTCTCTTTCTTCTCCATTTATGCTGTTAAACAAGATTCACTTTTTGTTTTACCCTGACTCTAGTTCTCAAACCTCATTTTCCTATTATTATTCTTCTTGCTCACTTTTTAAAAGCAAGCTTCAATTTCAATTTCCCCTCCCTATTCTCATTTTCAATTTCCCCTCCCTATTCTGCCTTTTGTCTTCTTAACCTTTACTACTGTAGAGAGCCTTTTAAACTAGACACCTTCCTGGGTATTAGCCAAGAATGGCAAACATTGATTGGACTTCCTTATCCAGAGGCAGTTTGCCTTGATCAATACACGATAGGACAAATAACCCGGGATGGCTACCTCACCTACTAGTGAGCTTCCAGAAGTTAGATGATTGTGACCCAGGAAGGGAAACTGTTATGTCCTTTGCTAGAGCACTTTCACAAATAACAAATTGCCGTGAGGATAAGGAAATTAGCTGTTTGTTTGTTTTTTGTGCTTGGAAGCAACAATAGCCTGAAGCTCAAGCACTGCATAAGGACTTACTTGCAGAAGCTGAAAATCTGTTTCAAAAACGTACCGTATTTTTCTGTCTATAAGACGCCCCCATGTATAAGACGCCCCCTATTTTGGGGGCAAGAACCAATCGCCAGTCCACCCTTGGCACTATCCGTGTATAAGATGCCCCCTAATTTTTGACATCATTTTTAGGCAAAAAACATAGTCTTATACACAGAAAAATAGGGTATATGCCTTCTTTCAGGACAAATCTACTGCATGGCCTGTAGCTCAGTGGCATCTGAACTGCATGCAGAAGGCCGCAGGTTCAATCCCCAGCTTCTCCAAGTAGAGGTGAAAGAGACTCCTGATCTGGTACCCTGCAGCACCACTGCCAGTGTATGTAAAAGGTAAAGGACCCCTGGACGGTTAAGTCCAGTCAAAGGCGACTATGGGGTTGCAGCGCTCATCTCGCTTTCAGGTTGAAGGGGCTGGCATTTGTCCACAGGCAGCTTTCCGGGTCATGTGGCCAGCATGACGAAACCACTTCTGGTGCAACGGGACACAGTGATGGAAACCAAAGCACATGGAAACGTCGTTTACCTTCTCACCACAGCGGTACTTATTTATCTACTTGCACTGGTGTGCTTTTGAACTGCTAGGTTGGCAGGAGCTGGGATAGAGCAACGGGAGCTCACTCCGTCTCAGGGATTCAAACTGCCGACCTTCTGATCAGCAAGCCCAATAGGCTCAGTGGTTTAGTGGTAGGCAACTTATCTTCCTAAATTCCCTGATCATTCCTGTGAAAAGACCATGCCTCTCCTAGAACTTCCCAGCAAATTCTGGCTGACTGTAAGTGGAGCATAAGAGTCGAGTCCAAATGGATGATTAATGTGACCCAAAGTCAACATTTTTATTTTTTCAGTCTTCTACCACTCCATTCTTAAGAATCGTGGCAGATTGTTTTATGGGGAGAGGGAAAACACAAATTAAAAACTTATCATAAAATCAGACAAAGCAAAAGCCTTTCTTACTGCCCATGAAACCTGCCACCTGATGCCAGAACAACTGAAATGAGAAAAAGTTCAGAAACTGAACTCATCGGGTTGGACATCTTGCAGATTCTCCAAATCTTCGTTTCAAAACAGAAGTGTGCAGCAGCAGCAGCAGCAGCAGCAGCAAAGCTGTGCTGCAAGCCAGAACAGCTACAAAACATGAGCCCCATCTCATTTTACAGACACGTCATGCAAACAGGTACATGCAAAGGAGGCTTACAGCATGCCTCGCATCCGGCCAGAATGCTAAATGAAACCCACCATCTGCCCCAGCTCCGACTCAAGGTCAGTCTTCTCCACACACAGCTTCTCATAGGCTTGGATCATCTCACCCAGCTGTTCTTCCCTCTCCTTGCTTTTCTGCAGCTGGTGGGCGGGGGTGGAGGGGAAGAAAAAAGGCGGAAATCATGGCTCAGCAGCAGCAGCAAGCAACATATGATCCTGGAACTGCCTGATCACTAAGGCTGGAGACAAGGCGACAGCACACTCGTTGCCTTTTTAGATATTCATTACCATCTCCTGCCCCAGATTAAGCTCACGGGCAACCTGGCTCGGATCAGATCTGCACAGACCTGGCCTGCCAGCCCTGGGAATCAATCGTGAAACGAACTTTCCAAGAGCAAGGCTACAATGCACAGAGCTGATAGGCTGGCCCTTGTGTCGATCATAAAGCCACATGCTCACACAGCCTTTCTCAGAGTAGATTTAAGTTTTTTTTTAAATGGCTATGGATGGGAGGGGGTGGGTGCCAAACCAACAGCTGTGCTGATAACTGTGTAGGTAGTTGAAAACAAAACAAAGCAGGCAGCCCACCTGAAGCACGAGTCAGAGGGGCAATAAGCCACACTGAATTCAGAGACAGGTACATGTGTCATTTGAGGAGCGTCCATCAAATATGAATGAGCGGTGTGCAGCTGCAAGCAATCCTTTTTCAGCCACGTTGCTCCGCCCACCGTGTAAGTGGCTGAACAAGCCAGGATCCAAAAATTAACCCATTCTGTGCACCTGCAAAACGGCAGGTAATATGTAGTTTGCAAGCCATTAACCATAGTTTCTGAGTTTGCACATAATGGGAAACTATGGCTAACAGCTGGGTCCTGGTTTGCTCAGTCTCTCATGCAAAAGTGGGGAGGGAGGAAGGCTGCTGCAGAGAATCTCCATGTACGCAGCTCATGCATATCGTGGCTTATTAAGCAGGGACTTGATCGTACAAACCAGGCCAGCCTCACCTAGTTTGAAGGTGTGCTTTGAGACATGTGAAACCCTATCTTCCTGCCTGTCCTTTGCTGCTAGGACCTGTTCTGTGCTATGGAATTTCTGGGAGTTGAAACAGTAAAGTGTGTTCTCCCCCCTTTGCCACGAAACTGCAGTGGAATTAAAGAGGTGCATTGGGAAATATGTAGTGTGAACTACTCACTTCAGCACTGGTTCACACACACACACACACTCCAGCAAACTCCTTGTTTGCTGCGGAAATAGCAGCACGTTTAGGAGCTGTGTGGTCAAGCTACCTGGGACCTGAAGGTTGCTGAGCACTGCCAATTTCAGTTCCCCATTTGCCCCAGTCTTAACTTCAGTTGTCCTCACCGAAAGCAAAGATAAGCCTAATAAAACCAAGTCATGTGCTGGAACAGGCTTGCTGAAAAAGAAGTGAGTTTTTAGCAAGCATCCAAAACAGTACAGTGAAGGTAGGGACATCAGCAGGCAGGAAGTTCCACATGACAGGTGCTGCCCCACTAAAATAATGATTCCTTTGGGGTTGGAAGACTTCCTGGGCCACTGATGTGGGGAGGGAGCGAGTCCCTCCACACACCAGTGCCAGGAGCTGGAGTCAAGCGTAGCACAGCAAGCAAAGGAAAATCTGGTGTCAGTGGAAACTCTTTATTCCAGAAACCAAAACAGCACAGGCCTAGTGATCCCAGAAGCTCTTCCCAGTAGGTCTTGCTCCAAGAAGGCAGTTGCGAGGACTGACAGGTCCCTGCCTTCCCACCACACTCTAAGGCTCGTCCTCTCCGGGGTCTTTCCCAAGTAGCAGAACCTCTGCTGTGCTCTTTTCACTTCTCTGCATGTTCTGGGAGAGGGGAGCTGGTCACAGCAGGAGGGGGAGACTCCCTCAATTATTCAGCAGCCTGCCTCATTTCTGTCTCCCGGCTCCCCTCCCCTCCTGCCTCTGAGCCTGGTCTGCTCTCTGCCCCAGCTTCTTCCTGCTCACTAAACCCTGTTGCCCCTTCAGCTTCCAACACCTCCTCCTCCCAATACGCTCCCTCTTCTCCCTCTGACCAAGCACTGTCGTCCCACCACCAATCCCCTGGCTCTGAGCCTTCTTCCCCTGGGGGTTTCCCCAGCTGGTGTCTCCCACCACTCCTCTGCAATAGTGGAGGAAGGAAAGGGCAAGGGGGGCAGGGCACCACGGGCTGCAGGGCGCCCTCCAGCGGGCCCAGCGCTGTCCAGAAAAAACAGCACTGGGTGCACCGCGGACGTGGTGTGTGCCAGCCTGCAGGGCACGCTGGCTGTTGCATCCCTCCTGGCCCAGCGCTGCCGGAAAAAGGAGTATGGGGCGCACCGCCAGTAGGGCACCTGGAAGGGACACCCAGGAGAGGAGCGGCTGGCGTGAGCTGGCCTGCAGGTTTCCCTCTCTCGTCCTGGGCGCCCTCCGGACGGCGCATCCCACAATGCTTTTTCCAACAGCGTTGGGCTGGCGCACGCAAGCTGCTTCCCTTCTGGGAGCTATGCATTTGCTCGGGTGGCACACCCCGCCCACTTGGATGCCCCCCCTCCATGGTGTGTGGGGGGGTGCGTGCCATCAGGGGTTGCTACGTGGGCGCTCCTCTGCATCTAGCCAGGCCATGACAACCAGTGACCAAAGATGGCACACTTTGCACCACCACGTTTATGAAAGTAAGATTATTTGGGGAGTGGTGGGGTTCCCTGGCCACTACTGCTGCTGAATGTGCAGGAGTAGCAAGCTGGCAAACACCAAAAAAGAAAAAGAAAAAACCCTGCCCAAAATTTTGGACCCTTGCATTGGAATCGAGTAACTTCTTTGGAGAGACAGCCATTCCTGAAGTCCTCCCATTTGTGAGAACTTCAGGTGTTATCATCTGGAGAAGACTTTCTCAGACAGGATGCTATCTGGAAGCCTGTCATCAGCTGCTTAGAGCATTATCAATAATAATAATAATAATAATAATAATAATAATAATAATAATGGTTTTTTTGTAAGCCTTGCTGAGATCCAAGTGTAATCATATTTGCCAGCTGCTTAGAGCACTCTTTAAAACAATTCTTGTGCTATTATGGATCTTTGTAAACCCTGTTGAAACGTACACTTGAAATAAAAAGTTGCCTCTTCTTATAAATACATCGTTGTCACTGCTGTATGCCTTTCAGTATTTTCTGCGGCTCTTAATATAGTACTGTGCCCTTGCCTGTGATTTCGTTGGGGTACCGAGCTGGCAAAAGGAATTTAATAACTAAATTTGCAGGCACATGTTCTTGAGCAACGTGCCGCAATCCACGAGGCAATCGTCCCGTACGCCTTACCTATTACACACAATAACACAAAAACCCACGAGCCAAGATGGCTTTCGCTCTTTAAAAGCTCCTTTCCAAGCATGTCGGGAAGCCCTGCTCACCTCGCGCTGGAATTGATTTAGCTGCTGCTGGAGGTTGGCTTTCTCGCTTTTCAGAAGAGAGGCCTCCTTGGAGTCGTAGGCTGGGAAGATGCGCTCCTCTCCAAACTCGCTAATCAGTGGGAACTGCGGGCCAGGAGCACAAGGGAAAAAACACCAAGCATTTACTCTCTTAAAAAAAGAAAATGCACATTGCAGAAATATTGGGGAAAGAAGGCAAAGTGGGGAACAATAATAAAGCAGTATGAAGCATTTAAAGTCCAGTCGTACCTTGGAAGTCAAACAGAAGCCGTTCTGGAAGTCCATTCAACTTCCAAAACATTGGAAAACCAAAGCGCAGCTTCTGATTGGCTGCAGGAAGCTCCTGCAGCCAATCGGAAGCCATGGAAGCCTCGTCAGACGTTCAGCTTCCAAAAGAACGTTCAAAAACTTATGGATTTCGATCATTCGGGAGCAAAAACGTTTGAGAACGAAGCTGTTTGAAAACCAAGGTACGACTGTACAGGTTTTATATAACATGGGTTAGTGTTAAAGACAAAGTGACGTGTAGTGGCACAACATTTCATAGGCCACAGCCTAAACCTCAGGCGCAATAGCAAATTTTAAAATATAAAACCAGCAATTAATTCAATAGATATCTATATATAAACACACACAATATTATCTCATTCTCACACTCAGCTTCGTGACTGAGTGGGGATTTGAACCCTGGTCTCCCTGACATACTAACCCCTACACCACACTGGTTTTCATAACAGGAGCTGTTAATTTTATTTATTTATTCTATTCCTATCCCACCTTTTCTCCAGTGAACTTGAAGCAGCATGCATGGCCTTTGTCCCCTCTAATGTTAAATTTGTTTTAATATTTTTATGCCACCTTTCTGCAATTAAATCCCCCCCAAAAAAACAATGTACAACAGACCTAAACAATAAAAACAGCAACAGCATTAAAATCAACAGTAAAAACATAAGGAACAACAGCACTACTAAAATAAATGAATCAAGATACCAAATTAAAAACAACAACACCTTTTAAAAAAGCATCTTCACAACTACCCTGTGAGATAAGATTCGGCTGAGGGGATGACTGATGCAAGGTCAACTCAGAAAGTTTCGTGACCAAGGGGGTGATTTGAACCCAGATCTGTCTGACTGTAATCCAACACTCTAACCACGGTGCCACACTGGAGCATTGAACAGAAGACTGATAAAAACAAGTTGGTGATGTACAATGACTATCAAAACCAGCCATAAAGGTGTTGCATTTTTTTTATTTTTTTTGCAGCAGGAAAGCTTTACATGCCTACTCAGAAGTAAGACTTCAGTGGGACTTGCTCCCAAGTACATGTTTACTGGATTGCAGTCTCGAAGTCCTTGGTCATCAATTTCAAAGAAAATGCCCATCAAACATATTTAAACATGAAGTTGAGCAAAGACCAGGACTTCCTTTGGCAGGGTATTCTGGTGTTTGGGGGCTGCTATCCAAAAGGCCCTGCTCCCCCTTAGTTCTCCCATTTTGAGCATCAAGAGCAGCACTTCTCTGGAAAATTATAAAGGACTGGGAGCAGAGGAGGCTAATGTAATCTAATTTATTTATTTAAAATATCAGCCACTTGTGCTACCTACTGGGTTTGACCCATCGAACCATTAACAGATCACCAGGAAACCAAACAGGAGCAAAGGCATCTACAAACCGCCACTCACCTTAATCTCATACATCTTCAGTTTCCGCTTGAGGCTAGCATTCTCCCGCTCCAGTCCTGTCAGGCGGTTCTTGATGTCATCGTAGGCTGTGATGAGAGCAAAGTGGGAGGCAGAGCACATCTCGCTGGAGAGGTCGGTATTGGGGCTGTCCAGCCAGTCGTCCTCCTGGACCAAAGCATCTTGGGTAAGGATGCTGATGTCATCTTCAAACATGGAGTCCATGGCACAATCAGGGACAGACGGGCGTTTAGCAGGAAACGCCAGTGCCTGGCAAACTCCAGCTATGGGAGATGGCAAGAAACAGGAGTGAGACACAGCACAGCATGGCTCCTTCTTCTAAGCTTTTTCCTCCCCTTTGTCTGGGAATGTTTATTTTTTCAAAAATAGTTTGGAAGCCTGTGTCTTATTTTCATTAATGCACATTGTACAGCATCTGCCAGTGGCACTGAGAGCTGGCTTTAACTGTTGTGAAGTGCTCTGGGGGGACAGTTTTCACCTGGAATACAGGAGGATAAAGACAAATTATTATAATATAATATAATATAATATAATATAATATAATATAATAAATATAATATAATATAATATAATATAATATAATATAATATAATATAGATTTTGATCAGTTGTCTGCTATGCATTTGTACATCTCTCAAGATATCGCAACCAAATTTCGCATGTTGGTTCCTCAGAACAAGGAGCAGGCTTTTGGATACAATTGGAAGCCATTTTGAATCAAGATGGCGGACTGAACCTTTCAAAAATGCACTGATTTCAACCACAGATTTCAAAACAGCACTGATTTGGCGGAAGGGGGCTTAGATTTCCCAAGCAACACCAGGTGCATGGCTGCCAGTAAATTACGTAAATGAAACAAAACAAGGAAGAAACAGAGCTAAGCGTCCTTGGGTTTTAAGAATGGCTTTTGCTTTCCTGGATGGAGATTGTGTGTGTGTGTGTGTGTGTAGCTCTGGATTTTGCATGGCTGGAATGTAGCCAACTACACAAAGGTAAGTCACACCCATGGCCCCACCCCTTTTTGCCTCTGGCCCCACCTACCTTAGGGATGTGGCCCCCAGAAGCTTGCCTCTGTGAAACTGTGGCCCTCAGGTTGAAAAGGATTCCCCGCCCTTCCTTTAGCAGCACCCCAACAGCTGATACCCAAGGCAGCCATTTTGCCCCATTTCATGATGCAGCTGCCTCTGTACACTTCCTTATAGAAAGACACACACATATTCCTTCACCGTCTGTTTTGAATGCCTCCCTGCTAAAGTGAAAAGGGAAATCTGTGACATAACCACTGAGTGAGACTTCTCAGCTATCAGACGCTGAGGGAGAAGGTGGATCAATCAACCCAACACACAGATGGCGAGCTCATACAACACGGAACTTAACAGTCATAGCCACAAACTGGGAAAACAAAACACCACGCAGACAGGATTTTTTTAAAAAGAGAGGAAAAAGCTCTCAACAGCAAAGAAAGGGAAATCTGGTATCAGATTTGGAAAAAGCACCAAACGCAGGGAAAAGGTGGGAGTCCAAATTGTGTTGCAGCAACTTGGACGGCGTAACAGCGTATTTAAGGTGGATGGTGTGGGTGTATTTGTTAGAAAAACGAGGCTGCAGGCGCCATTCAGGAAAAAAACAGAAAAGGCTGGGGCATTTTTGCAATGAGTGAATGAATGAATCTTCCGCCACATTTACAAGAACACCCCCTCGTCTGATGAGAAACAAAATCTGGAGTAGTTACCAGCTACCGGCTCTGTACTTACTATTAGGCAGATAAGGAAGATAGAAAACTGCTGATACCAAATCAGGTCACCTAACCGTGCTACTGTTTATTTACAATGACTGACAGTTGGCTCTCAAGGATTTCAAGCAGGGGTCTTTCACTACCAAGAAATACTGGGGGCTGAACCTGAGACGACCTGTATCACTAAAGGCCAAAACAGAAGCCTCTTTCTGTGCAGCTCTACATTCATAGAATCATAGAACTGTCGACTTGGAAGGGACCACAAGGGTCATCTAGTGCTAATCCACCCCCACCCCATGCAATGCAGGAATCTTTTTGCCCAACGTGGGGCTTGAACCCCGGGCCCTGAGATTAACAGTCTCATGTTCTACCAACTGAGCTATCCTACTACATGCATTTTGTGAAAGAGTACTTAAAAAAAAAAATCTTATTAAATTTTCTCCACAATGCAATACAGTGGTACCTCAGGTTACATACGCTCAGGTTACAGACTCCGCTAACCCAGAAATATTATCTCGGGTTAAGAACTTTGCTTCAGGATGAGAACAGAAATCGTGCTCCGGTGGCGCTGCGGCAGCAGGAGGCCCTATTAGCTAAAGTGGTGCTTCAGGTTAAGAACAGTTTCAGGTTAAGAACGGACCTCCGGAACAAATTAAGTACTTAACCCAAGGTACCACTGTACAAGACAAGCTAACCCACACGAAGAATAACAGAAAGGAAAAAAGAAGTCAAGAGATACGTAAAAGAATACAAGATTTTATCTCACAAGAGTACCTTAACTTTTGTCCCATACAGAAAAAGATGTACCCTCCCAGCACTCACCTGGGAGCATCCCAGCCTCTCACCCTGGGAGATCTTCCCTTCCCTGTATCTCACACAGAGTCCTTCAAACTGTTCATCATCATCATTTATTACTTATACCCCACCCATCTGGCCAGGCCTCCCCAGCCACTCTGGGCGGCTCCCAACAGGATATTAAAAACCACAATAAAACAGCAAACATTAAAAACTTCCCTAAACAGGGTTGCCTTTAGATGTCTTCTAAAAGTCAGATAGTTGTTTATTTCCTTGACATCTGGTGGGAGGGCGTTCCTTACCCAAACACAGTAAGAAATAATATTAAGAGAAATAATAATAGAATACTGAGAGAGAAAGGTAGTGATAACAAAGGAGAAAGTGAAAGACATGAAAGTGAAATTGTACTTCTTCATACTGCTAAGCAAAATTCACACCCACAAGAGGCAGTGTTGGCCATCAACTTGGAAGGCTTTAAAAAAGAGAAATGGAGAAATTCTTGGAAGATAGTGGCTGGGAATCACAGGCGAGAAGAGTGCTTGTTGCCCTCAGCTCCCCGGCTTGCAGGCTTCCCAACTCGTTGGCCACAGGGAGGAAAGGACGCTCACCATTGTCTACACTGCCTGGCAATGGCTCTCTCTGGGTTCAGGCAGGAGTCTTTGCCGTTTCTACCTGGAGGTACCAGGGACTGAACCCGGAGCCTTTCTCATGTGCTTGACTCTGGAGCTACAGCCCGTCCAAAAATTAAATAAAATAGCTGAAAGAGACTCTCCCTTTCCAGAGACATTTTGACAAGGAAGCTTTTGCTTTTGACAAGGAAGCTTTTGGACCATGTATGGTGTTGAAACAACTGAAAGCGGGAGCAGCTCAGGACTCCAGCATAGGGTGGGGGGCGGTCAGAGCTGGCTAAATAGGGAGTTTAACGCAGATTTCTTGGGCAGGGCTCAGTCCACAAATGTTGGCTGTAGCAAGTGCCTCTGAGGATGTGCAGGGTTCTCATCCATCACCAGCCAATAAATGAAATCAACTCCTTTCTGAGCCAGAAGCCAGGCAGATGGGTGTCCCCTCTTGGTCTCCGACTGCTGAAGCAGTGGGGCAAGCTGAGCACCAGGCTGGGTGGGTTGGCGGAAAGAGCTGTGGGTGCAATAAGGGGCAGCAGCGAAGGCCTCAAATGCAGCACAGGGTCAAGGCCTAGCGGCTCCAGAATCACACAGCGGAGGAGCCACGTATCCTGTAGCGGAGGAGCCACGTATCCTGTCATGGTAACTGTGAACACTGGGCTGCCAACTTCCCATTTATTCCTGAGCGGCCATGCTCACTTCTTGAATGGAATCTGTTCCGGAAAACCGTTCGACTTCCAAAACGTTCGGAAACCAAAGCACGGCTTCCGATTGGCTGCAGGAAGCTCCATCTGATGTTCGGCTTCCAAAAATAGTTCGCAAACCGGAACAGTCACTTCCGGGTTTGCGGCATTCAGGAGCCAAAACATCCAAATACCAAGGCATTCAGGAGCCAAGGTACGACTGTACTTTAGATGTTTAGCTTCTCCTGCTAAATTCCTCCATGTTGGGCTGGCACTGGAGGCAGAAGAGCAGGGCTGGTAAAAACTGGCAATCCGAAACAAGAGAGAGGAGGATAATTTTTTAAAAAGAGAGAAATCCAAAGTCAATTCCAAAACCCACAGGATGGCTGCGTTTTGCTTTCATGTTGTTATCCTAAAGCCTAACCTCTAAGCTTTCCTAAATGGCCATGAGGGCAGTTGTCTTTTTTAACCCTCTCCCTTGAAAAGTATGTAGAGCCATAGGAGGAAGTTGGGAGAGTGTCTCTCTTTCCCACTTCCTCTTTCAGCTGTATGGGCTTTTGGAGGCTTGCACAGGTATTATTACCCCATATTTACTTGAATCTAATGTGCCATCAGTTTTCAGAACCTCGAAGCAAAAAAAAAAAAAAAGAGCATTTGCTGGAGAATGTAAATGCGCCATCAAATCTGTTATTTACTGAAGTTCTCACCCTGGGCCAGCAGGGGGATACTGTAGATAGTTTTCACTCAGGTCCACATATGCAAATAGGGGATTGAAAGTGATCTTCAGTGATTGGATAGTTACAGAAAGTGGTTACAGTTGCGTTGTACTGGAGCTCTATATAAGCAGGCTGGCTGAACCCTTCAGTTCAGTTCTGTTCTGGCCTGTGAATAAACAAGAGCTGTTTGAAGAATCGCTGTGTCGTCTGATATGTTCACCCACATCTTAACAGAATCTAATGCGCACCTTAATTTTCGCAACGTCCTTTGGCCAAAAAAAAGGTGAGCATTAGATATGGTAATTCTAGGGATCTGACCTTTACCCAGGTCTCTTGAAAAATCAGTTTCTGTGACCACCTTCTTTCTGTCTCATGGGGATGGGGAGAAATGTCACCCATGTGCTTAAAAAAGTGGGAAACTACTTGGAGTTAAAAATGAACAACATAAAAAATCAAGAAGGCTATGAGTGCTATGTTTGATTAATTCAGTCTACCACTAACTTCCCTGTAGGAAGGATTCATCTCTATCTCTCTCGTTTGCTGTGGGTTTTTATTTTATTTTATGTATTTTTGCATTGCTTGAAAACTGCCTTGGATGGGTTTGTATCACGAAAGGGGGCTTGCAAATAACTTCTTGCACCTCTTTTCAGTATTTCTAAAAGCACCTATATATAGCTATCCCTACTAGCAAAGTTATTAATCCATTAAAAGGCTGATGGTTTATCAGACCACTGCTCTCATTATGACTGCATACACACCATACAGTTAAAGAACAAAGTTCCCACCCAAAGGATCCTGGGAACACGAGTTTACCCTCCCCCCCCCCGAGCTACAATTCCTAGCACCCTTAACAAGCTACACTACCCAGGATTATTTGGGGGAAGCCAAGCAATTTGAATGTATGGTGTGTGCATGCAACTTGAGATGATTTGCTATTATGAGCATTTTACAAAGTGACAGGTAGAGGGGAGGAGAGAGACAACTAAGTCCAAGTGACTTGCTCAAAGCTGTCAAACAACTTCCTAGCAAAGATGGGACTTAGATATATTGGCTTTCCAGAGTCCTGCATGTCACATGGCCTCCTTGCTGGCATGGGCAAAATCCCATGGGTGGGTGAAGGAACTGTCAGAAGCGTTAAGCAAAACATATCTAAATTAAATCAACGGCCAGCCCAATCGCCTGCCTAACAAGCTGAGTTGATAATAAGGAGATATATTTCCCAGCCAATCCCAGGCAAAGAAAACTGAAATTCAGATAAGCAAAGAGGAATGGGGTGTGGTTTTTTGGAAGGGTTTCCCCCTATATACCATTTCTTGTTGCAGATAATTTATTTCCCTTCTACGTTCCATTTTTTTCCCTATTCTCTAACGTGCCTTTTTCTGTTTGGGGTGTGTGTGTGGAATTGTGGTTACCAAAAGAATTAGTATTTAAATGCATTCAATTAAATAAAAGCCCACGCACATATATAGAATAGAAATGCATCATTAACAACATAAAAGAGGAACGCCACCCATGCCTGGAAGACCAAACATTAAAAGGGGGAGGGACGAGAACAAGGAACAAAGCAAGGCAAGATGCTGTTCCAAGTCTTAAATTAAGAAGGAAAGAACCACAGTTCAGGGGTGCTTGAGGAATCTAATGTTTGCAAAACCTGATACAGACTGACCAGATCCACAACTATTGGACTAATGAATAGCTCTGTTCTGAGCTGCACTGTGCACTTTTCCAAATGCTTTGATGCAGTTCTCAGCTCAAAAAAAAGTGTTTTAAAAAAATACTCATTTTGAGATAAAATCTGCATTTCTAAACATGTTTCAAGGGGAAATGTGTTTTAAAAACGCATATTAAAATGTGATTTTTTTGTATGTGCGGATTATTCCACCCCACCCACACAAATCAGGCATCAATGTAGAATCAGGGACAAAGCAAATTTATGAGTGAACACATGTAGCAGTGGCATGGGCCAGAAACAGACTAATCTGTCCATCCCCAGGGATAACAGCACCTGCTTACATGGAGAAGGCCCCAGCTTCAATCCCCAACACCTCTAGCAAAAACAATCAGGTAGCAGATGATGGAGAAGACTTTTGCTGGAAATGCTGGAAAGCCACTGCCAGAGTTTGTTAGAGTCTGCAGATACCAGGCTAAATAGATAGGCAGCCTGACGTGGGATAAGGCAGTGTTCTACTTTCATAGGTATGTGTGGCAGCGCAACATTTTAATTTATTTCATTTTATCTTGGTCCCTTTCTCAGTCTTTCTGTTTTCCTCCTGGGCCATCCAGTGTAGGCCAGCCTTCCGTAATCTGGTGCTCCCCAAACAACTACAACTCCCATCCGTCCCAGCCATGGTAGCCATGCTAACTGGGGCTGATGGGAGTTGTAATGTAAAACAGCTGGAGAGTGCCAGGTTGGGGGATCAGAGGCCTTGGAGAGCTGCTGCCAGTCAGTGTAGGCAAACTGAGATAGATAGACAAATAATCTAACCTGCTATAAGGCACCTTTCTTTGTGTGCTCTGTGTGCTCTAGCGGACCTGGGAATGTGACATATCGGCACCTATAGGCTGTGAAGCCTTTTGGCGTTGTTCCCTCTCTCTCTCTCCCTAGAATCAGCTCCGCTCCTTCTGCCCAATGCTGTTTCAGCCGCGAAATGGAAAAAGAACGATGGCCAGGGAATTGAAAGCAATTAGGCAAAAATCTTCCTCGTCACAGCCAAGTAACTGGTAGAAGGAAGGAAGAAGCTCCAGTCCCATCAGAAAGGAACACAGCCAGAAGGGACACTGTTTTCCAAGAGCAGCTGGTACACAGTGTTACCTAAAATCACTGAGCTGGGAAGGATTCCATGGGGCCACGTAGACCAGCCCCTAATCCTGGCCCAGACAGGATGTCCTGTACCCAAGAATCTGGCAGGGTAAAATTCTGGACCAAGGAAAGCTGGATTCTGAAGCCTTCAATAAAAGTTCACAAAACAGAATGTCTGCATTACATTTGCACAGTTCGTCATAATTTATTCTGCTTCGACTTGTCAGGGTGGGCAGAGGAACCCAGGAAGTTGTATGATACAGAGTCAGACCAGCGGACTATGTAAACTCAGTACTATTTACCCAGATGGGTCATGGCTTTCCAGGGTTCAAGAGCGGTTACTTTTCCCAGACTGAAAGAGGTGTACTGGTCACTGAACAACAACACCCCATTCATATGTATACGCACAGTATATCTATCTATGTACTAAGTTCTCTAAGCTTTCTTCATATTCTTTCTATTGACAGTCACACAGTCACAAGATCTAGAAACTTCACATTTTCACAATGAGAGAGGAAGATGATGAAGAAGAAGAAGAAGAAGAAGAAGAAGAAGAAGAAGAAGCCAACCTTCTCAGAATGCTACATTTTGCAGTCAGTATCCTGCACGATAAGGGACGCAGGTGGCACTGTGGATTAAACCACAGAGCCTAGGACTTGCCGATCAGAAGGTCGGCGGTTCGAATCCCCGTGACGGGGTGAGCTCCCATTGCTCGGTCCCTGCTCCTGCCAACCTAGCAGTTCGAAAGCACGTCAAAGTGCAAGTAGATAAATAGGTACCACTCCTGCAGGAAGGTAAACGGCGTTTCCGTGCGCTGCTCTGGTTCTCCAGAAGCGGCTTAGTCATGCTGGCCACATGACCCAGAAGCTGTATGCCGGCTCCCTCAGCCAATAAAGCGAGATGAGCGCCACAACCCCAGTTGGTCACAACTGGACCTAATGGTCAGGGGTCCCTTTACCTTTTTATCCTACACGATGTGAAGGAAGAAACCACACAGACCTGTCCATGCTCGCTTTCTTTTCATGTGTTATGCACACAAAACATGCACTTGGTGCTATACACAAAAGATATGCAAGAAATGTGCTCCACACAAGTTCACATTTCAAGGGAGTCTTGGATTGGCCAGAGCTGTCCACACACATACACAGCCCAAATATGCATTTGCTGCTGCATAACGTATGAAGTTCTCTAACGGTTGGGGTAGCTGCCGAGAATTCCTCTTCCGCATGGCATTGTAGATTCGGTGCACAGATGGCACAGCCCAAAGGTCGGGTTTGAAGATCAGGCCAGGCCAGAGGAGACCGCCTGGAAGCACGCAAGGCAGCTGCTTCTTTTCATGAACCAGCTCAGATGCTTAAAACTTTCCTACACGGAGGACTGCTATTCTCCTCTGCTTCACCCTGTCGCTTTTTTCTGATAGCAAACTCCTCTCTCCCCCCCCCCCATGCCAGCCAACTGCAAGGGATCCATAATGGGGCCATTGATAAACAATAGGAAGGTTATCAAGGCGTTTGGGGGAACCACAAGCGTAGCCCAAAGAAAAATGTCCTCAAGAAGGCTACACAACAAAGAGCCTAATGAGGACTGGGAATACTCTGTGTAACCAAGAGCCATGGAATGATGAATGCCAGCTGGAAATGGAAAAACAGAACATTGAAAAGGGAAGGGGAACTGGCCTGCTTGAGTCTATTACAGCTTCGCATGCTGGAACAGAGGAGGGCAGGGCACGGCTGGCTGGCGCCCACTAGCTTTTGTTGCAGATCCCACTAGTAGCCACTAAGTGGGAAGATGTTCGAGAGGATTTCATGTTAAAACCATAAATGCTCCATTTTCCCTATGTGACCATGATCAACGAGGTGAACACAATGCGTGCAGGGGAAAGAACGCTGCACTTAGAAATTTTAAAAAAATCCAGCACAGCACTGCTGTAGAAGGTCGCCTCTTAAACATGGGAAAGAACCACTAAAGCAAATACTTTTTCACCCTTCAAAATGTGCCAGATGAACTCAGGCATATTACATTGATCCTGGTCCGACTGCACTGGCTACCAATTAGTCTCCAGGCCCAATTCAAAGTGCTGGTTTTGACCTATAAATGCTTAAATGGCTCAGGACCGCAGTAGCTCAAGACCTGGCTCTTTCCATGTGAACCTACTCAGCTATGGGTGATTGCTTAAGAAATCGACCCAGACCCTGAGACCATCTTCTGAGGCCCTTCTTCATGTGCCTCCTCCTTGAGAGGTCCGGAGGGTGGCAACATGAGAATGAGCCTTCTCTGCAGTGGCTCCCTGTCTGTGGAATTCTCTCTCCAGGGAAGTTTGCCTGGCGCCTTCATTATATACACCTTTAAGCACCAGGCAAAAACATTCCTTTTTAACCAGGCCTTTGGTTGATTTGATTGACATCCTATGCCCTTTTAAAATGTTGGGTGGTTTTTTTTGGGGGGGGTGTTATTGGGTTGTGGTTGTTATTTTGATTATGTATTTTGAGGTTTTCTATTTTGATTTTATTTTGTGAACCGCCCTGAGACCTCTGGGCATAGGGCGGTATATAAATTCAATAAATAATAATTAATAATAATCAGGGACAATGTGAAAATGCTCCAGAGACCTCACTAGTCGCCTCAGACCACAGCTGGGGCAGGCAATGAATGTTTAAGAATTCATTCAAATATAAGACAGAAAAAATGAAAATGTTGAAAGTTTAGGAGGCAGTTATGCCTCCCTCTAGGGACGCAGGTGGCGCTGTGGGTTAAACCACAAAGCCTAGGACTTGCCGATCAGAAGGTCGGTGGTTTGAATCCCCGCAACAGGGTGAGCTCCCATTGCTCAGTCCCAGCTCCTGCCAACCTAGCAGTTCGAAAGCATGTCAAAGTGCAAGTAGATAAATAGGTACCGCTCTGGCGGGAAGGTAAACGGCGTTTCCGTGCGCTGCTCTGGTTCGCCAGAAGCGGCTTTGTCATGCTGGCCACATGACTCGGAAGCTGTACGCCGGCTCCCTCGGCCAGTAAAGCGAGATGAGCGCTGCAACCTCAGAGTCGGTCCCGACTCCCTCTGACTGCTCATGCATGGAGGGCCTACCATGAGCCCTCTGCACATGTGCAAAGGCATTCTCATCTATTACTTTACATGTTGCACAGACCCAGCACTGAAAAGATAATCCAGAGGATTGTATTGTGTAGATCCCATTCATTTCAATGGGGGGGCTGCATTGGAGAAATCCCCAGCAGATTGTGCCCCGTCAGATTGCTGCTTAAGAGCAACAGAGTAGGAAACATAATTTAGCACCACTATTTATTAAATGCTACACCCTTTTATTTGTTAAATTTGCATCCTGCCTTCCCACCCAGGGAAGGATATAATTAAGGTCACCTCTTGAGATCGGGGCACTGGCATTAAACCCTGGCAAGGGACCATGGTGTGGGCGAAAGGGATCGCAGAAGTCTGATGTTTCGGGAGCTGGGTGGCGGGGAATGGGAGAACACAGGGATGAAGGATTCAGAGACAAAACACTCAGTCCTCAAGCACACCAGCTCAGTCCTCCCACCTTTCCTGTTACAAGGCAATATTACCAATGCTCAACAATACATATGATTAAGGAACAGATGCAAAACCACAGGAAAACAACAGAGGGGCCTGTTTATCGCAGACCCAGAAGGATGGTTGGCTGGGGCTAAGTTCCATCACCCTCAATACGTAGGGACAAGCAGTGGCTACTCACTGGTGGGGCATATGTACTCTGTATGTACTCAGAGGCATTCTTCTCTGTTATTATTGCTTCATAAATCAAATTCCAAAGGGTGAGCCCCAAACCCAGCTTTGCACAATTTCATTAGGCAGAGGTAGAGAATATGCTTAGGGTCAATATTTTTTTAAAAAATGGAAGAACTGAAATAAGTTCCTGGGAGTGGGGTGAATCAGCAGGATAGGGAAAAATGGAAGCAACCAAACAGGATATCCATCATGCAATTGCATGGATTTTTTTGGGGGGGGGGGTAGCATGCTCCCTGAAGTCCGATGGGACTGGAATAGTGCTACAAATCTCTGGGACGAGGAGAATAGCAAGCAATTAGATGAGAAGGGAGCAAGTCTAGGGTAAGGGAAGGGAGAAGGGAGCAAGTCTAGGGTAAGTTTATGGGACACAGCGGGATAGTAACCAGCATACAGCATTGTTGGTGGGAGTCACTGGGAATGCAATTTGATTTGAATGGTGGGGGGAGAGGAAGAAAAAACATACCCAGGTATGGAAAGTAGGGGCAGGTGAATGGAGGAGGCCCTGATCCAAGGTGGTATGCACAGGTGAGCAGCGAAGGAAATGAAAACAGCTGTCCAGCAAATACAATGTGAATGTGGGAGCCTAATTCCTAATTCTTGGCAGGAGATTAGGGCAGCCAGGGGGGCACTGAGGCCAGAATGCAGTTAGGTTGTGGTGCAGCACAGATCCCAAGGAGCAGGAAATGCAAATGAAGTCGGGGTGGAAGGTAAGGAACACGGGAGAGTCAGGGAAAAGGGCTGTAGCTCAGTGGGAGAGGATCTGCCTTGCATGCAGAAGGTCCCAGGTTCAATCCTGCCCGTCAGTGTAGACAATACTGACTTAGTATAAGGCAGCTTCCTATTAAAGGGAGCGGGTGCAGTTTATCAGGGGGATACTAAGCAACCGGAACAAGACTTGGCCAGGTGGGGTATACCAGCTGGGAAGAAAACCCAGAGAGGGGACAATGTGGAATTGGGCCAGGGGGCAGCATGTTTAAACTCCCCTGGGTCCCTTCTAACTTGCAAATCTATGATTCCCGGTGGAAAATGGGTGTTGAGGGAGAGCAGCGCCTGGCCTGCAGTTAGACGAGGAGAAGGGGGAAAGAATGGGCTTGATGGGGGGCGGAAAGTAGAATCCTAAGTTAAGGGGGCAGCAGGCACTTGGGGACGATGGGGCGGTTGGTCAGCAGATCTGAGGAATAGCTAAGAGTGCGGGGAGCAGAGCTGCAAGGGGGCAGCATGCAAGCGAAGCAGATAGGGAGGTGGGGAGATCAAAAGGGGCAGATCTAGGGCACGGAGTGCTGGAGGCTCGCCATACAGTTAGATGCTGGGGGGGGGGGGGCAAGCATCGCACAAATAACTGGGATGGAGCGAGCCTGGCTCCAGGAAGGCGATCTTGTCTGTTTAAGGAAGGAAGCGCCTCCGCCGGCCAGGCGCTGGGCCGAGGCCCCGGAGCCCCCAGCTGAGCGGGCTGTCCTGCGATGCCCCCACCCCAGAGTTAGGGGAGGAGGACCTTCTCCCCTCTCTCCCGGGAACAGCCTCGTCATCATCATCATCATCCTCTCCCCCAGGAGGACGCAGCGGTGGGAAAGCGCGTTGGTGGGGAGGCACCACCACCTGGCTGCCCCCACGGATGCTCTCCCCCCCGCCCCTTATGCAACCACCTCCCCCCGCCCTCCCCCCTTCCCCCGACACCCCCCTCCCCCGGTTATTCTTGCAGGGAGGCGGCGAGGTTAAGGGTGTGGGGAGGGTTGGACTTACATCACCTCCCCGCTTGGTGGGGAAAGATCCTCCATCCTTAGCAGCTGTAGAAGTGGGTGCTTGCTGAGGGGAGGGGGGAGGCTCTCTTCAGGGGCTTCCTCCCCCCTCTTTGGTGGCTCTCTCCCTCCTCGAGATCCAGCCGATCTCTCTTTCTCTCCCCCTCCCCCAGGGCTCACGCCACGAAGTGTGCCATCATCATCAGGCTGGCAGAACCGCCACGCGTCCCACGTGGTGGCTTCACCTTCTGTGGCCTAAGGATGCTCCGCCACACCTCCCCGTTGCCCAAAGAAAACGGCGATCACATTTCTGGAAGGAGGAGGAAATGTTTTGAAATCTCATTCCTGGCTGGCCTGGTATAGCCTCTTGCCTCGCACTCGCTTCCCTTGGCTTTGCAGCTCCTGTTTCCTGCTCCCGAGAACACACACACACACACCCCAGAAGCAGGAAACAGTCACAGTGCAAAAGAGGTACCCTTTTTTTTTAATTTAAAGAGAACCTGCAATAACAATCTCCTCCTCCGCCTTCTCTCCCATCCTCCGAATCGAACTGATCTCACAGCACAAACGAAACAAACAAAGCCAAGTTTATGCAGGGAGCCGGGGTCGTTTTTTTCTATGGTGACCATTTAATTTCTGGTTTCAAATCAGTGGTTACTTTTTGCAATGAGAGGCGAGGAAGCTCAGCCTTACCGGGAAGACCTGGTTGTGACTTAGGGGCTTTCTTCCATCTCACTCTTTAACACCCCCCACCCCAAAAAAGCCCAGCCCTTTCCCAGTATCCCCAACTCTAGATGCTGGGGCGGAAAACAAAGGCGAAAGCAGGGGATTCACTTCCAATTCATCAGTTACAGAGGTAAAAGCATCCTTCAAAGTCACATTTGAAAAACAACGTTTGAAGGTGTCAATTTTCTTTAAGATAAGAAAGAATGTCCCAATGCCAAAAAGCCAATTAAAATCCTGAAAAAATTGCCTCATTTTGGATGCATGAACAATTTACATTTGTCTTCAGTTCCCATTATAATTTTAAAACACACACACACACACACACACACACACACACACACACACACTGTCCAATAAAAACGTACTGAAGGCAGAGAAAATATTAATGGATGCTGTTAAAAAATTATAGCCTATTATCAGATATGGTTCAGGGGTGAAGATCATCACTTTACAGTTCCATGACATAATATTATTAGGCATGTCGTATCCATTTCAGAGGTGGAAGGTTATTTTGGAAGCAATAGATGTACTTCACATTGAAATCTGAAAGAAGACTTCCACAAAATCATCTGTATGCGGCATTTGATGCCACAAGGATTAAACAGAATTTCTAAAGTATGTGAGTAATTTATTGTAAAGCTAGAAGCCTTCATGACATACAACATATAAAATATACATTATGTTCAGTCATGATGAATTAACATCAAATGCCTGGAAAGGCGGGGCAGAGAAACAGCATTTGGATATTTTTATTACCACTAACACCTGCTACATTCCTTTCCCACCAAAATCCTAACTTTAACTGCTAAAACACCAAACCTGTAACATATTGAAATGTGGGAAGCACTGTGTGCTTCAAAATTCATAGTTGGGAGGAAGCCAAATCTCATGAAATAGTGACCAAGCTTCCAACTTCATTCTTCGTCAGGCTGGATGTTAGACAAAGCAGGTGGCAGGAGGAAGAGGAATAATAATAATAATAATAAGCGTGAATGTTGCAGCCATGAGGTCTGCATTTATTTTAGTCATAGCAGTCTCAAAAAAGGAGATTGCAGGTCAGGTCATTTCTGGAATTTGAGAATAAAAAAGCAATGGTTGGTCCCCATGTTTAAATAGGGTTGCCATATTTCAAACAGTGAAAAACCGGACAGAAAAGTTGTTAAGCTAGTTTTATGGAAAATCAGGGAAAACAACACTGCCGACATGGGGTTGCCATACATCCAGATTTTCCCAAACATTTTCCCAATTTCTGCCCAGCTACTGCTACCAACTACAGTATTCTGGATATGTCCGGAAAATTCGGATGTATGGCAAACCTTGAAAAAGGACAAAGCACAGCTGTTACCCAGGCTTGTCTCATGCCTTAAAGCAGAATGTGTAGGTTCCTACTTAGGCAGACAACAGCAATAAAAAGAAGCAAGGCAGTCTACCTACGTATTAGGAAAGTCAGAGGTCAATTTTGCAGGGATCCTTTGGCCCTGAAGATGTTGCTGAACCACAACTCTCAGCATGGCTAATGGCCCCAGGTGATGAAAAAGCCAAATTGAAGCCAAATTGGATAGTATTGTTAACTAGTGGTTCAGGTGGTAGAAAATAAGTTACCTTCGACTGTAGATTCCATCCCAGCTCCAACATCCAACCTAATTTTTGCCCTTTAAAGATTCCTCATCCTCCTACCCCACTTTGTGTAGCATCTAGCCTGATGAAGAGAAATGAAAAACCCCAAAGCTTGCTCCCTATTTTGTGACATGTTGTTATTTTTTTGTGAATTGCATTTTATTTTTTCAAAAGCTTACAAGGACAATTGTGATACCGAGATTTGCTGATTTTAATAAACGTGTTCCCCAGCTGCAGAGTTTGGATTTTCCTTATGGGCCACAACATGGAGGTTTTCTTTTTTATGTGAACTTCCAAGTGGGATCTGGCTCACAGAAGACTCTTTCAAAGCTTTTGTTCCTGCCTTCCTCCTGAAATTTGTCACTGTTTGTGCAGTTGTGAAACCCCCTTGTGTCAAATCCATGCCTACAGGCTACAGGGGCCTTGCACAATTCACAACCTCTCACCTCTGCTCACTCCACCGCAAGCTCATACGCTTACAAGCTTATATTGCCCTCATAAGGACTAGAAATTGTCTTTAAAAGGGGGGGTGTCGCAATGAGACTGGCAGGATGCCAAATTTACTTCTGGGGTCCCCTTAACAATAAGAAAAGAAGGGGAAATTACATTGAAATTGAAAGAAAAAGATGGAAAGTTTGAATACCATCCAGGATATAACTCTGGTCAATGTGATCCTGAGTAAAATGCTCATGAAATGGCTCAAGGCCTTTTGGGACATGAAACACGTATAATGAAATTTTTTAAAGGCCAGAATCTTTCCTGCTGAGGATATTAGACAGCAAAATTCCAAATAAAGCCTCAACTGTGTTTACGTATGTAACTACAGCGGCAAGGATTCTCTATGCACAGAAATGGAAGGATGAAAGAACCCTCTCAAAGGATGGTTGATGAAAATCTTGGAATATGCAGAGATGGCAAAACCGACGGCACTGATTAGAGACACAAATTTAGAATCCTTCAAGGAGGACTGGAAATATTTTATAGTCTTATTTAAAAAGTTATTTTCCATATGCAAAGACCAAAGCGGGGTTTGAATGTAAGAAACTAGCAGAACATGAATGCAATAGAAAAACAACAGAACTTTAAAACACAATTGTATGTAATTTGGGTTATAAACATTGGTGTTGGGTGAGCAGGAAGTCACTAGTTTTGTTGAATTGGAACAGAACTGTTGAATAACAAAATGTGACCTTTAATCTGGAAAAAGAATAAAATATTTTCTATATATAGGAATGTTTAGATCCTTGATCTACCTCCCACACTACTTGGAAGGTGGAAAGCACACAAGACTCCTTTGTCATTTTATAACTTGGGCCCAGTGGCGGACATTAAAACTCTTCAGTCTTTCATGCAGGGTGTGTGTGTGTGTGTGTGTGTGTGTGTGTGTGTAACCAGTGTCCTTGTCATTTGCCGTCACCTTCAGGTGCCACTCATTTCACATTGCCATCTTGCCAAAACATTCAAAGTCTGTCACGGTTTCACCCACCTGTGTGCTGTTGAACTTCCGCGCCTCTTAATCAGGTTTATTTTTCTCCTCTGTATCATTCAGCCCAGCTGCCAAGGTCTTCACATTGATGTTCACTTTGCTTCAATAAAAGTTCCAAGCAACTTCCACATAGCTAGACTTTTCCTCTGCTGTTGGGGCTGTTATGGTTTATTAAATTTCTATCCTGCCCTCCCTTCCCAAAGGAACCCAGGGTGGCAAACACCAAAATGATGAAGCAATACAATTCGAAATAAAACAAAACATATTTGTAAAAAACAACAACAACCCTGCTATCTATTTTAGTTTGTCATAGGTACTCTGGTGTTTACTGAATTCAATGGGTAGGAAATCAGACGATTAATAATAGTAGTAGTAATGCCATTTAATAACCTCCAACATTCTCCTCAACATTTCTCTGATGAAAGTAGGGACGTCATGAGGAAAAGCAGGATCAAATCGCAAAGTGGGATGGCTTCTGTAAATCCGGGACTATCCCCGGAAAACAGGGACACTTGGGAGGGTCTACCATTTAAACATATGTCCCTCTGTTTGAGCTCAAAATACAAGGAACAATAAACCTAAACATGTGTAAGTCCACAATTGAAACTGTTCAAGGCAGCCATAAATGTGTCCCAACATGGCGTTTTATGATCAGAAGGAGAGGCTCTTCCCAAAGTACCACTGCTGTGGACGGCAAGGAGGGTGTGAATATGAGACAGACAATAGTTCATCTTAGGAACTCCTCCTCAGATGAGACCAGGCATTCCCCTGTCCTGGCTACGGCCAGGCAGAATTTGAAGGCGGTGTTATTTGTCCAGGCCTCTGAATGGGGTTCAAAGGCCAAGAAATGCCAACATGGCTAGTGCCTAGGCCACCCACTCACCCATTACCTGCTTTTTGTGAGGGTGGTTCCCTTTTTTCTCTTTCCTGCTTCCTCTTTCAGCTCTTATGTTCTTTCTAACAATGGGATTCGTTGTACAGTGGTACCTCAGGTTACAGACGCTTCAGGTTACAGACTCCGCTAACCCAGAAATAGTACCTTGGGTTAAGAACTTTGCTTCAGGATGAGAACAGAAATCGTGTGGCGGTGGTGCGGCGGCAGCAGGAGGCCCCATTAGCTAAAGTGGTACCTCAGGTTAAGCACAGTTTCAGGTTAAGAATGGACCTCCAGAACGAATTCAGTTCTTAACCTGAGGTACCACTGTAGTGGATCTGATTCTTAGCCAGCTCCCCTGGGAAAGTGACGAGTGTTTGTGAGTGCATGGTTCTCTCTTGGTGGGTGGGTGGGTGACACACACAGCATTTTCAAAACCCAAATGTGCCTTTGAAACCACCACCAAGACGATTTACACATAAAATTATTAAAAACAGCAAAAAAACACGAAAACACACACACATGTAAAACAATACTAAAACTCTTTAACAAATGGACCCTCACGGAAAACACCCAGTTGTCCAGATGCCAAGTACATGGGGGGGGTGTCTCGTAAGGGATGTGGGTGGTGCTGTGGTCTAAACCACTGAGCCTCTTGGGCTTGCTGATCAGAAGGTTGGCGGTTTGAATCTCCGCAACAGGGTGAGTTCCTGTTTCTCTGTCCCAGCTCCTGCCAACCTAGCAGTTCGAAAGCACACCAGTGCAAGTAGATAAATAGGTACAGCTGCGGCAGGAAGGTAAACGGCGTTTCCGTGTGCTCTGGTTTCCGTCCTGGTGTCCCATTGTGCAGAAGCGGTTTAGTCATGCTGGCCACACGACCTGGAAAGCTTTCTGTGGATAAACGCCAGCTCCCTTGGCCTGAAAGCAAGATGAGCGCCACAACCCCAGTCGCCTTTGACTGGACTTAACCATCCAGGGTTCCTTTACCTTTACCTTGTGTGTCTCGTAACTTGTTTATCTTACTTCAGTCCTGCTGATGGGATAACATCTGAGGCAGACAACCAGATTAGGGAGCCCAGGACAGGGAGACCCAAAAGAGGGGAATATCTGGGACAAGGGTGCTCAAGGGAAATAGTCAGAGAGGCTCATATCACCCCCTACCCCAAGCTGTCTGAAGCATGCACCATAGTCTGCCTGATAGAAGGGCCTGGCTGGTTAGCCTTGCCATGTCTTAGCACCAGATAACGTGTCAGGCTTTAGCTCTGAAAGATAACACCACAAGAGGAAGCCTGCCCGATCAGACCAATGGCCCATCTAGTCCGCCATCTTGTTCCCACAGTGGCCAACTAGATGCCTGTGGGACCAGAGCGCTCTCCCTTCTTGTGGTTTGCAGCCACTGGTATTCAGAAGCATTGCTACCTCTGACAATGTGGAGGCAGAGCAGAGCCGTTGTAGCTGGTCGAGTTGAAAGAGACCCTGAGAGTTATCTAGTTCCAATACCTGCAATGCAGGAAACTTTTGTCCAATGTGGGACTTGAACCCACATTGGGTAAGAACCCTGAGAGTAAGAGTCTTATGCTCTACCGCCTATTTAAGGGTTCGGTATTGAAAGCTAGATAATTTTTAGACCCTGGACTTAATGGCCTTTGGACAGCCATGTGTATTAATTCAGTTGCGAAGCACAAAAATGAATATTCCTCTTCTCCCTGCTCCACCCCACTAATTCATCATTTATACCATGGCTTTTACAGCCCATATGTTAAGAGCAAAGCCCCACAATTTGCTGTCCCGATTAATAAATAAATAAAAGAGTAATACTCTTGAGCATGTACAGTTCTGGAATTTAAATTCATTCAAAACCCGGCAGCATCAACGCTATGACAATGAAAAGGAATTTGCTACTGCTGCCCTGCTGAGAAACACACTTCGCTTGGGAATAAGCATCATTGTGTTGCAGAGAAGGGAAATATACTTTCTGAGTAAAATAAATAAAATGAGCATCTGAGTGCATGCCCAGCTAGTCACTCCCAGAATGAATATATATACATATGCCCATACCAGCCTACTTGCTGATTCAGGTATTGCCACCATAGTTAGCCAATCTCTTGGTAGTCATGGGGGTGGGGCGGGTTGTAAGGCCTGGGGCTCTGAGCCTTCAAGCCTAGCCCCAGCCATACCACTGACGGAAAAGGATATTTATTCAAGCTCTTAATCCAAGGTCTGGCACAGCAGATCACCTGAGATGTTTCATGCAAGCATGTCAAGCCTTTGTGCTATAGGGACTAGCAGAAACAGGAGCAGCAACCAACCTGAAACATCCTCATGAAACCCTCAAATCCAGGGATGGGGAAACATGTAGCCCTACCAGATGCTGATGGGCTCTGACTCCCATCAGCCCCACCCAGCATGGCCAATCGCTGGGGATGATGGGAGTTGTAGTGCAGCAACAAGTAAAGGGCAACAGGTTCACCATGCCTGCCTAGAATGGCAAACGATTGGAACGAGAGGACAAGCAGAATAGTCCGCAACCCGGAATTCCATACGACTTAGGTTTCTGCCTCTGAAGTGTAGCCTCACATCCCACGTTCTAGAATGATGCATCAAATAAAAGAAAGAATATGAGGAGGAGGAGGTGTAAAAGGAGACAGATATTTTAAGGATAGCTAGAGCAGACAACTTTTTGAATTAACAATTGCAAAAATAGTATACCCAGGATTAAGTTTGGATTTGAAGAATTCAGTCTTCCAGATTGTTAAGCATTTCGTTTTGTCACGTTTTGGTAGGGAAAGTCAGGTACCTTGTTGTGACCTCTGCATCTGTTGTATTTTCAAGGAAACTAGCAATTTCAACGCAAACAAGCAGGAGGAAGGGGTGGGAAAATCCCTTTGGCGGCCAGGGTTTAATTTTTATTTATTTATTTTTTGCTGACAAATAGGTCTATAGAAGTGAGAACGGAAAGGAAGAAGAAGAGGCAGGCATTATTTTTCAGGATTTCTTTTCTAGGTTTTACCAATTTGCTGTGGAATACTTTGAAGTACAAATGAGGGCTCTTGATCCTCTCTGATGTTAAAGCTGATGGAAAGGAAGCAAAAAAATAGAAATGAAATGAAACGAACAAAGAAACCACACACACACACACACACACACACAGAGCACATTTCTCCAGCCTGCCTGGTTTTATTGTGCGAGGCTAGACAAGTGACTCAGAAGCGAAAAAACACAACATCTGGAGCTATAAGGAGAACATCCTAGTTCTCACTGCGGTGGCAAAGCTGTTTCTGGGTTGTACTACTTCAGACTGCAGGTAGGAGAATCACATGTTTCAATGTCCCTGCATAAAGAAAACGAAAAACTAGCGCATTTGGGAGGCAGGCTATAACCTGCCCTTCTCCCTGACGTGGTAACCTTCTACATCCAATGAATATTTTGCATGGAGGTACATTCCAGCACGCAAGCCCTACCCTCTGCACTCTGAAGTGGTACAGCTCAGAAACAAGTTTACTGTTTCAGTGAGAGAGGTACAGTAAGCCTTGGCCAATCGCAACTACAGTGGTACCTCAGGTTAAGTACTTAATTCGTTCCGGAGGTCCATTCTTAACCTGAAACTGTTCTTAACCTGAAGCACCACTTGAGCTAATGGGGCCTCCTGCTGCCGCTGCGCCGCCGGAGCACGATTTCTGTTCTCATCCTGAAGCAAAGTTCTTAACCTGAAGCACTATTTCTGGGTTAGCAGAGTCTGTAACCTGAAGCGTATGTAACCAGAGGTACCACTGTACTGGGGTGCCCAAAATAAGGAACTTAGCTCTGCAGGTTTTTTAGTAGTAATGATTATTATTATTTTATTAGTTATACTATTTATTTATACCAGCCACTCTGGGTGGTTCCCAACAGAGGACTAAAAACAGAATATAATTTCAAACATTAAAAACTTCCCTAAACAGGGCTGCCTTCAGACGTCTTCTAAAAGTCAGATAGTTGTTTATTTCCTTGACATCTGATGGGAAGGGCGTTCCACAGGGCAGGTGCCACTACCGAGAAGTTCCTCTGCCTGGTTCCCTGTAACTTCACTTCTCGCAGCGAGGGAACAAGCAGAAGGCCCTCGGAGCTGGACCTCAGTGTCCGGGCTGAACGATGAGGGTGGAGACGCTCCTTAGATTTACTGTTATCCTCCAGCAGCAGGTGAGAAGCTTAACAGATAAGCTTATGAACTTCTGATTTTAGGAATACTGGCCCCCAAGAAAGGGTAGGGGCTAAGGCAGAGACAGATGGACCAGGATCAAAACTAGGGTACAACCAAGCGTGTTGGCACACAATCTTCCTAAGTGCAAGCCAGAAATCTCACTTCCTCAGCCTTGGTCAGTTGTATGGCACAGTTTGTCCTCCAGACTTTGCTGAATTGCAACTCCCATCAGTCCTGGCTATTAGCCATGCTTGCTAGGACTGATGGGATTCGCAGTTCAACAACATTAGGAAGGTCAAAGGCTCTTCCCTCTGTGCCTAGAAGAATCCTTGTGGCTTAAAAGGCATTGTATATGTTAGTTTTAATTATCTGTTGTTGTTGTTTAAATTTGTATACTGCCTCTCACCTGAAATGCTCTGGGTGGTTCAAGGCATATAAATACAAAATAAAAAAACAAAATACATACTAAAAACGAGAACAAAGCAAACCAATAAACCCGCATCCCATAAACACATGTAAAAAGACACAGCCCAAGGCCTGGTCGAAGAGGAACATTTTTGCTTGGCACCTACAGGTGTATAATGGAAAACGAATAGTCCTAGACAGAAAATCAGTTCGGGGGAAAATGCTTCAGGGTTATGTTGCTTTTAATTGATGAGGTGAGGAACTTTGGGAGCCAAAAGGCAGGGTAGAAACGTCTTTCAGAAATAAAAAAACATTTGATGCTCATGGAGCCAGCCTGACAAGGTAAAAATTCTTTCCCCACCTCATGTCAAAATAATATTGTATTTTAAAATGTTCTCTTCTTCCTATCATTTTATTATCTTGCGTTCTTAATGTGGTATAGTGGAAAAGACTTTACCACTTTCCGGGGGAGGGGGGGCTTATTTCCATAAAATAAGCAAGTATGAAACAGGTGGTTTATTACCACTTTCCCTGATGCCCTGGACTTTTTGTTTACAGGGATTATTTTTTTTTTAATGCAAGCATTCAAAATGGGTATCCTCTCCCGCCAGCTTAGATAATACAGTGGTACCTCAGGTTACAGACGCTTCAGGTTACAGACTCCGCTAACCCAGTAGTACCTCAGGTTAAGAAGTTTACCTCAGGATGAGAACAGAAATCGCACGCTGGTGGCGCGGCAGCAGTGGGAGGCCCCATTAGCTAAAGTGGTACCTCAGGTTAAGAACAGTTTCAGGTTAAGAACGGACCTCCAGAACGAATTAAGTTCTTAGCCTGAGGTACCACCGTACACAACTCTGGCTACTGTCTCTTTCTGCTGCCTGAGTAGACTAGACCTCAGGAGCTCATAACTGGGTTAAACATAGTGGCTATTTTCAGCACCAGCTCTCCACAGAGACAATACTGGGTGAATCGTATGCTATCTTAGCCTTGTTTTGTTTTGTTTTGAACTTGGAAGTCCTAATGAAGCCCTTTCTGGAGGACCCCTGGTTAACAGGCTAGGGAGTCGTGGTGGTAACGGTATCAATCCTATTGCTGAACCCTCAACTCCGGCCTCATCTGTTTGCACTATACATTGAATGAAGCAGTACAGTATTATGCCACTGGGGCCTAGGACAGAGCCTAGGACTTGCCAATCAGAAGGTCGGCGGTTCGAATCCCTGCAACGGGGTGAGCTCCCATTGCTCAGTCCCTGCTCCTGCCAACCTAGCAGTTCGAAAGCACGTCAAAGTGCAAGTAGATAAATAGGTACCGCTCTGGCGGGAACGTAAACGGCATTTCCGTGCGCTGCTCTGGTTCATCAGAAGCGGCTTAGTCATGCTGGCCACATGACCTGGAAGCTGTACGCTGGGTCCCTCAGCCAATAAAGCAAGATGAGCGCTGCAACCCCAGAGTCAGTCACGACTGGACCTAAGGGTCAGGGGTCCCTTTACCTTTACCTATTATGCCACTGGCTTCCCCCAAAGCATCCTGGGAACTGCAGTCAGCTAAGGGTGCCGAGAGTTGCTAGGAGACCCCATATTCACATTCAATCCCTCTTCCCAGGGAATGAGAATTGTACCTCTGAGGTAAATAGGAGCCTCCTAGCAGTTCCCAGAACTCTTAAAAAACGACAGTATCCAGGGTTGTAGATCATTCTGCCACTGGTCACTGCTGGGGATGCGTGGGCCTGTCTCCAGGTACTGCGGTCATCTGCAATTGATTCCCTCACAGTGGCGTTGATACTGCCAGCCTTTTGGTCATGCTTGCAGATTTGTTGTGCTAAGTTGGTCTGCCAACAGGCTTGGTGCCTGAAGCTAAGCTACTGGCCCACCTGGTTCTTTTGCAGTCTACTCTTACTGGCAGTAAGCCTCCATGGTTTCAGGATCTTTCACAATTCTACCCAAGACTGACCCCTGGGATTTTTTGCACGCAGAGCATGTGCTCTACCACCGAGCTACAGTCCTGCTAGTCACCCACCACCTTGCCCTATCCTAATGCAATGTCGGAAGGAAAAAATCTTCTTTTGGAGGGGACGGTATAAAAGGTCAAATAGAACAAGCTCAGTGGGTGAACGTGGGCCACTCTTTTCTGTAGCGTAACTCAGGTGTGGCTCATACAATAACCACAGGGTTGCTTCTGCTGAAATTAGGTTTGAATGTTGTAGCTGATAGAACAGGTCCTGGCGCACACGTTACGCAGAGAGAGAAGGTGCCAACGGTTCTGGTTTGCAATTGTGAAAGCAGCTCAAATCCAATTCCTAAAACCTAGTATATAAGCAACATGAAAGCACCCAAGCATATGCAGAGTGTCTTTCCCTCACTACAGTCGTACCTTGGAAGTCAAACAGAATCCATTCCGGAAGTCAGTTGGACTTTCAAAATGTTCGGAAACCGAAGCGCGGCTTCTGATTGGCTGCAGGAAGGTCCCGCAGCCAATTGGAAGCCTTGTTGGACATTTGGGTTCCAAAGCATGTTCGCAAAACAGAACATTCACTTCTGGGTCTGTGGCGCTCGGGAGCCAAAACGTCCGGGTACCAAGGCACGACTGTACTGAGTAACCACACACATACTCCCACCATCTGAACATCAGTGCACACAAGACATTTAGCACAGGCATCTTGTTAGAAACAGGAGCATGGGGTAGCTTGGGTGCAACAAATCAAAGCAGCACATGCCCTGCTCCAGCGCACAAATTCATGCTTAGAAACAGACATCCAATATGCTAGAGGCGGGAGGAAGTTCTGCAACTGCCTACTCCATTTAGACAAGGGAAAGAGTTCCAACAGTAGGAGCTGTGTGAACATTTTTTTACCAATGGCCATTTCATGGCCTTCTGGCCAGCAAAAAAAGTGTTCTTGGCAGGAGTGCTTCAGACACTGAGGCATCTCTCTACTTGCCAACTGGCGATACGTATCTGATGAAGTTGGCTCTTATCTAGGAAAGCTTAGGCCAGAATAAACTTTTAAATGTGCCGAAAAATTGCTGCAACAGACTAAATGGCAGTCCCTCTAGAAAATGAGATGTTAAAAGATTGGTCCAATGCCCTCAGGTTTTCTCAGAATGAACACACATTCATGGAAATATGAAAGTGTGGTGTGATAAGCTTCCTGAATGCGCTTGTTGATCACTAGAGGATCCTGCACTACCGCAGAGACCTTAAGCAAAGGGGGCTGCGTTCTGTGAGACTTTGAAGAGTTGCTCAAACTTACACTGAAGGTTTTTCCAATATAATTTGCGCAGGCCCTGCCCACACTAGAAATCCACAGAAATTTGTCAATAATTGGAAAGCACACTTGCAACAAACTCTTTATTTTTATGTAGGAAGATCCCTAAACCTCGTCCACAAAAAGAGACTGCAAACCTGCAGCTAAATTCTGCTAAGTGAGCAAGTCCGAAGCACTCATCCCAGGAACACTTGTTAGTTATTTCATGCTAATTTTAACGAGGAATTCAACAAGTTATTGCTCACCGCTCTGGCAACTAGGACACAAATCCTTGGAATAAAAGAAGAGGCTGGATTTCATTTCCAGTTGCTACACTAAACATTAATGCAGCAGACATACTGTACTCAAGGAAGTCTTCTGCAGACACTCAAAAACAAGACTTGCCTTTAAGGCCCTTTAAAAAGTGTGTTATGTGTTGCAAACAACATACTCATGTATATCCCAGAAGCTCGAGACTGACTTGTGCTACCTATGAATCAGACGCAGTCCACAAGCTCACCTCAACCTCAGAGCACCTGCCAGGCCACAATCCATGGTTGATGGACTGTGTTCAGCTCGGAAAGTCATGAAGCAGGAAGGCCTGTTCCAATATGAACCAGAACCACACACACATTTCCCCTAAAATAGCTGCATCTATAGGAAGCGGTTGCCTCCAGGCTGGCTGTGCAGTTAGGAAACAACACTTTGATGAACATGCCAGTTTGTATCGCTGACTGCATTTCCAGCTACGCAGCATTTCCTCTTCTCCACACCCAAAGTCGCACAGTAATTTCTATTTTACTTAAGGCAGAGCTGGTGAGCAGCTGAAATCTGCAGCCTCTCAGATGCATTCCATTAATTATAAGGCACACATAAGCCTCCAAATATTTTATAGTCTCTCCCCCAAAGCGAGGAGGAATCAAAGGGGCATGCATGCTTTAAGTAGCTTGCACAGAATATGTAGAAGAGTAAAGAATGGAAATAGAAATTATCGGTCTCTAGCATGTATGGGATTCTTTCTCCCCACCCCCACCCCCAAGCCTAGCTCAGAAGAAAGGTTTTCTTTAAAACAGAGTCTGGTTGTAGCTCCAGCCTCTGCCGTTTTAAACACTGAAGGGCAGGAAGACAGAGAAAAAAAGTAAGACACGCTTTTTTTGGTTTCCACTACTAACTCAGTGTACTTTATTTACCTGCAGCCTACAGCTGAACAGCCAACACTGGACAGAGTTCAGTAGCACTGAGGAATGATCAGATCTCCCCTTCACACACCCATCTCCCCAAATTCAGGAATGGCTTTCGTTTCGTGGGTGTCCCCCAAAGGAAAAAAAGGCATTAAGATAAGGTGGACCCAGGTTTCTCAAAAGCCCATCTTTCAGACTCATGCTGGAGCTTCCTGCTTAGTCATCACCTGGTCTCTTTTTGTACACTGGTTCGAGAAGTCAGCAGTGGGGGCTGCAATTCTGAACCTGGCACTGGAAGGCACGCGTCAGATACCCTGTACAAGAAACTGGCATGCTTGCTTTCCATCGATGGGCAACTGAAGAGGATCCCAGGACGAGCCTGGGGAAGTGTGGAGCCGGAGAAGGGATGGGAGTGGATGAGGAAGGGTATTTTTTTGTTTTTTAAAAAAGAAATGCTTCTTGCAAGGCATTAGATTTCCTGACAAGGCAAGCTTAAAAAGCACCCATCTTTTAAAAGCCCCTAAGCATCAACAGCTGCATAGTTAGAAGCAGGTGCGTCTTATCCCCCCTTCAACCTTTGTCTAGGAATCCTAAACAGCTATAGAACAGCTGCCTCTCCCCCTTCCTTTAAGAAATTGTTTTAAATGTTATAGAACTATAGAATTTAAACTGGTACACCTAGAACATAGCTGCCCATATCTGAACTGCTCTCTTTTGTTAAAAAATAACAATAATGAAGTAACATGGATCTCCTGTTTACTGGAAAGACCAATAGAAAAAAAAGTAGTACTGGGGGAATGTTTGACACCATTTTATTAATCTTTAACTGCAGTGGAAAAATATAACCTTTTACAAGTGCCATCCTGTGTAAGCTCAAGTCAGTATATATATATTTATATAAATTTTTCCTTTTTGAAGTGCAGCAAGACTAATACCATATTCAGAATCAAATAAAGAGAACCAATAGGCCAAGAGGTTTCCAAATCGTACTTTTATCTTTTTGCTTTGTTTGAACATTTGAATTTCATCCTCATTTTTTGCAATCCAAAATATTTCCTGAAGGTTTCTTTTTCTCATTTGGACTTTTGTTTCCTTTTTTTTTTTAACTCTTTGGCACAGTTGTGTGTGGTTCGGGCTACTTTGTTCACGCCAAGAGAGGGGCTGTGTCCCTTTGGGTTTTTGTCGTTGCCAATTTTTTTTAGCATAGTTGTTTTGTTTTAAAGCCTTGCATCCCATTTGGAGAATTGGATCCTAATCTCTCTACTAATACGTGAGAGTTTTTTTGTTTTTTTTCTGGACACCCTCCCCGCCTCCCCCCACCCTGCCCCCTTGGTTTCTACATTCACAGTTGAACAAAATTAAGGAAGGAAAGGCGCTTTTTAATGAAACAAGATCGTGAAAAAGTGTCACGACGGGAGCTTTGAACATCCCACCAGCGTTTCTCTAAAGAAGCCCTATTACGGAGCAACTTCTCTTCCCCCCTCCCCCCCTTAAACTCTTACTCTTCTGCCGCTTCAAGTAGACTGAACTTTGTTAGTTTTATGAAATGCAACTGCTAACCTCTTCAGTATTTCTCTTATTTTTTTTTGGGAAAGATTAACTGCAATGACTTAAAAGTTGAGAATGTAGATATCGCCTCATTCACACACACTCACTCTTGAAAGAAAATCCTTCACCCGTCCCGTTTCTCTCGTGCTCTCTCGTGCACTGACAAGTGGCCAAAAACTCCCCTCCCGAAAGGTGAGCTGGGGTTCCCACCGCCTCCTCTTTCCAGCAACGAAAGCCAGACCTTATTATATGAGCACTCGGAATTGACCCTGAAGCTAGCTTTCCTCTCTCTCTCTCTCTCCAGACTAATTCATCTCCCTCTTCACTGGCGACAAGACACAGAAGTTAGTCCTTTGTCTCTTGTCAGAAGAGACCGCATTGAAGTATGGAAACCAATCATTTTCCACTTCCTGGAGGCAAGCGATGACAAGGTTTCGTTGCTACGCAAGTCAGTGATTAGCTCCATTAACAGCGCTGCTGCCGTTTGCCGTGGCTGGATTTTCACCGTGGTGTGTTTTAAGCCTCTCACTCACTCATCCTCTCATTCCCAAACACTCAGCATCCGTGCACACTCCTCACTTCCGGGTTGGGTTTGTTTTCTCAATAGATTGGAGATTATCCAGTGGGGGTCTCAGGTGTCATCCCAATGGTAACAGATCTGTAAGAGAAGGGATATTGTCAGCGGGAAAAAGCCACTCAAATTCTGGAATGTTTTGTAAGCTTCACACTCAGCTTATACTGGTCTTCACCACTGCTTCATGTAAACTGGGAGTGGATGGGGAGGGAATCAGTAGGAGAAACCTTTGGGAAGAAGGGCAGGATATAAATTTAATAAAAAATTAAGTAGTAGAAGAAAAGCTATCTTCAACTTTCCAGTTTCATTGATCTTCTCATTGAGAAACCCCTGATAGGTTTCTAATGACTTCTAGGGTTTTCAAAACACAGTTTGAAAGCTCCCAAGTTCACACATATTGAGGTTTAAACTAAGGATGTGCATCTTATGACATGCTGCACTATAGCACCCAATTCCACTTCCACTAAGCTATACAATCTACAGCACTGTATGCCCAGGACTGAGAGACTCCATAAAAAGGTAAAGGTAAAGAATCCCTGAAAGTTAAGTCCAGTCACGAACGACTCTGGGGTTGTAGCACTCATCTCGCTTTACAAGCCGAGGGAGCAGACGTTTGTCCACAGACAGTTTTTCTGGGTCATGTGGCCAGCATGAACTAAGCCGCTTCTGGCGAAACCAGAGCAGCACACGGAAACGCCATTTACCTTCTCGCCGGAGTGGTACCTATTTATCTACTTGCACTTTGACATGCTTTTGAACTGCTAGGTTGGCAGGAGCTGGGACTGCGCAACGGGAGCTCACCCCGTCGCGGGGATTCGAACCGCTGACCTTCCGATCGGCAAGTCCTAGGCTCAGTGGTTTAGACCACAGTGCCACCCACGTCCCATCTGAATTACTAAAGTTTGATTATTTTCCACAATTCATTCTGATGGGCTTCCAGGCTGACGGAATTTTTCAGCAAGTGGTGGAAAAACACCAGATGAAAGAAACTGTTCTTTACTGAAGGCTTAAAGTCCTGAGGCCGACATTAGTCCCCACATCTCTAACAAAAACTATGTAGGTGAAGCTGCTTTGAGGAACAGAAATAGCTTCTTTACCAAGCTTGATTCTTCAGTTTTCTCAGCTCTTTAGTGGCCCAGGTAGCAAGCGTTTTTGTTTTGTTCGTCTTTGATCTCCTTCCTTCAGTTAGCAGTTCGTGTATCATGGGCCTAGCTTCTACCAACTTGAGGACATCTTTCCCAAATGCTGTGCACAAATCCCTACGGGAAATAAACAAGGGTACAAATAGAAATCTCTTTATTAATGTGTAAGCTGAATGAGGCTCCTCCTAGCCTTTATCTCAAGTTAGCTGCCATTTTTGAGTTTATAACTTTCTGTTCCACAGAGAAAAGGGGGGAGAGCACACATACGGACTGCTATGGACAGGCCCTTCCTACAGTTACCCAGAACTATGAAATAACCTCCTTGTAGAAGTATGACAATTTAAGCATGGCCAAGCTCAACAGAAAATACTTTTGGAGACTTAGGATGTTGGCTGCAGATATTGCTGCTTTTCTGCTGGGGTTTCAGTGTTGTTGTTTTTTAAGAAGTCTTTGCTTATTTATGTTCTTCTACTATTGTTAAGCCAACTCAAGTATAGTTATGAGTTAGAATATCATTGAAGGACAACATCACTCTAGCAAGGTACCACAACCACCAGTTTGGCTCAGACGGCTGATGTCTAAAGACTGCCTTTGCAAAATGAGTTCACATTCAGTGAACTGGTCATCCTATTCCACATCAATTGCAAATTTAAAGGTGTGCTTACAAACTACCCATACTTACTGTAAAGTCCCTTAACGCTGCACCATGTAAAACTGGTGGAGGCTCCACGCTTAAAATACCTCATTTTGCCTTTATGGTAAATGTGATTCACAGGGGGCACCTGAGGTTCAGTGTGGTACTTCCAAGTTCCCCACTCCCCAAAGCACAAATAAGTTGTCGGCATTTACCCTATGAGCCCAGTCGCGCAGGCTACAACCCCATCAGTGTGATCTTCGTCTGTGGCAATATGGTCAATGAACGACAAGATGAATTCTACTCTGGGCTGCACCAGCATCACATCCGCTGAAAAGAAAGCAGCATTTAGTTTTATTGGCTGGCTGCAAAGCTATTTTCTGCTTGCAGAAACTTTTTAAACTTTTCTTTAAGCACCCAGATCCACTACAGACAACCTATGGTCCAAATGAAACCCACAATACTCTCCCCTCCCCAACACACACACACACACCACCTCAGTCAAGACTGCTGACTCCAAGAACAATATTTCTTTTAAGTGACTACACACACAACATGTTAAGTGGCCAGCACACACATGGTGAGCATCCAAGTTTGCTGCTATTTCAGTCAACATGGAGTAGCCTTTCTTCTTGAAAACCGACACTGCTGTAATTGTACTGCAGCCACAGAACGTAGCAGTCAACGGTCCCAGAGCACAGCAAGTAGGAGACACAGGCAACAGATCTCAGGGTGGATTGCCTCTTCTGCAGCCCTTCATTGTGTAATATTTAAGACTAACGGCTTTGTAAGAATAATGGAACTTAACCCTTTTAAGATACAAGGTGATGAGAAACTAGCCCAAAGGTCATCTGCTGACTCTGTCCAACTTTCAGAGCTCCTGGTCAGCTTTTCCATTCACAAAAACATATTCAACAGCCTACTCACAGGTGTGGCAATTAAGACAATATACTACAACTCCTCTGAGAGCCCTTGAGATAAGAACTTGGCAATTTAGAGATTTGGACAGAGCGTCTTCTCGCCCACATTACACTTCACAAGAGCCACATGCAAGTTGGTTAAATTAAAGATGTTGAAATTGTTCGTCCAACTTTAAATACTCACGATGCACATTCTCTTGATCTCCTTTCAGCCCTTGGATGATTCCTGTGTAGGCCTCAAGACAGCCCTCTCGCAGTTCATTCAGGTAATCCACCATGTCATAGTCAGACTAAGGCAAAAAAGCACAGCAGCAATCAGTCTGGGGTGGTTATGACAGTGCTGCACAGCAGCCCAGGTTTCCAGGCCTTACCTTATCAACTTGGGCTTGAGAAGCCTGTTGTAGGGTATTCAGTACAACTTCTAAGTATTTCTTAAATTCCCCTCCAATTGCAAGAACAATGTCACCAAACACCGAGAGAATCTGGGGCTTCACAGATCGATGCACATTTTCGTTCTGTAAGGACAAGGAGCTATTTTATTCATGGTATTAAGTGTGAAAACCTTGAGCAATTATATTAAGTGTGAAAACATTTTGCATCTCTATTATACTCTATCCTGAAAGTACTGAAAGCTTATTCCAGTTTTAACCAAGCAACCTAGGTAAGATTGTTTGTATGTTTACTCAGAAATAAGTTGGGGTTCAATGGGACTAAGCCCCCCCCCCCCCCAGAAAGAGTACATAGGATTGGGATCCTGAGCTGCAGGAGAGGCAGATTTATTTATTTTTAATTTATCAAGATGCGTTAACTTTTGTGAAAAGATAAAAAGACCCAGGTGTTACACAAGCTTTATTCATGTATCTTGCCCTTTGCCTTTCCAGTTGTGGCAAAGTAGGTACAATATTCCCATTCACTGTAGAAATATCAATCGCTGGATTAGAGTCTTCTTTTGCAATTGTGACTTTTGACCCTCACAGTATGTAAGCATCGGGAAGGGAGAGGAAGAATAAAACTCCATCAGCACACTGAGATCAACCAATAAAACTTGTGCAAGACAAAAGCTTCTTTTGCCCAAAAACCTAGCCAGCGTAGCTACTTAATGTTTACACCTGTTAAGTCTTCCAGCATATTAGGGATTTCTATTTAGAAGCTTTCCCCCCTCATTTCTAGATCATTTCTGCCAGCCTCCTTGTTCAAACAGCTAACTAGGAGGAGGCACTCACCCCCAAGTTTTCTAAAAGCAGCTGCATAACTTCGTCACAAAAAGGCAGGATGTTGGACTGCAGAGCCCGGCACAAGTCACCCACAAGGCCCACTGCAGCCAAACAGACCTGTGGAGAGAAGAGAAAGGCATTACACCCACCCAATCCGTGAGTCACTTTCACCCCCTCTAGTGCTGATCATTATACCCGTGCCCTATTAAAAAGGCTAAATAAAGCCAGCAAGGCAGGCAACGGCTCAAGTGTGACGCGCCTGGAAGAGTCATAGCTTTTGCTAACTGTTTTATGCAGAGGTACAAGGAGCGGGAAGGAGGCAAGCTGGTTTGCTGGCTGGAAAGAAGCAATACTTGGGAATCAGCTTCCCATCAGTTTGTAGTGCCAAATACTTGCTAGGAGCAATGCCCTTCCCTGAACTCTCAACACCAAACTCAATTACTAGTGAGCTACATCCATCTATCAAATAAACCCTCTAATCGAATCAGTTTCCAATTCACCATATCCCACCCCTTTTCCCTGGCCTAGCAAAATATTTCCAAGACTTTGGAACTCGATGCCCTTACACAGTGCTCTACGAATCCAGCAACTTCTAAGCAGGTATCTCCGTTTGCAGTACCCTATGCTGAATTTTAAACCATATTTGTATCAATTGATGCTTAAGCTTTCAATCTGGACATGCAGCACTATGGGGGCTCTCAGGAATGCACCTCCTATCCAGTAGCTGTGGATGGTGTAGGGGGTTCTGCAATATCAGGTTCCCTTCCTGTGCTCATTCTCTAAATATGGTCCCTGAAAACTATCCAAAGTTTTCCTGGCATATTCCAATTTAGTTTTAATTTAGAGTATTATCATGGAAATGTGGGATTCAGACATGCTGATGATTATGATGATCTGTGTGTGGCTTTATATTATTGTTACAGATCTAAATAGAGGGGGGGGTCTTTTCGTCTTCCCTAGTAACATAGAGGTTGTTGGACTACAGCTCCCATCAGCCCTCACCAGTACCCATTCTGGCTGGGGAATACAGCGCCTTGTCATCTAGCCCTGTCTGGAGGGCCACAGGATATCCACCTGCTGTGGTACTATAATCAAGTGTCTTTGCCTGCCCACCACACTACCAATAATTCTGCACCTTTGCTAATCCAGGGTTTGATTTCAAAGCAAGTGTGCTCCTATGGCATGCAATTTTTGACTTGGACTAATAAGCTGATATCGTGTAGCAGCACTGTGCTCCTGATGAGAAGCTGTTGCTTTCTATGGAGGTTGATTCCTCTTCTGAGCTTTAGCACTATTTAAAACGCACAGAAGCCCATAGAATCTTTTCACCAAATTATACCCTGGGGCCCTCTAGAGCATTGGTGAGGAGCTGCACATAATTGACAGTAGGATTTCAAGGCAACTGGAATCAGCAAGGAAGAGCAATTGGGAAAGAGACAAAGTACCTTTCAGGTTTCTATAGCCTCAGGATTATATTGTTAAAACAAGCAACCTGTTCAGGTAACATCTGTTTATTGTTCTGATCAGTAACTGTTTGTTCACCTCTTCCATGCACCTGAAATTACTGCCTGAACTTCTTGCTGGTCTAGACAATACTACCTAGATGCTACTGAGTAAAACATCTCAGCTCCACACATTTCATTCCCTCTTGCTCTCTAAAAGTAACTCCCCACCATACTCTTATTGGAGTAAGCAGGTTTTCTGAAGTCTAATTGTGGCATGGGGTACAGGGGAGACTGAGCAGCAAATAAGTTTCCAAATGAGGCAACATCTGACCTTTGGGCTGGTGGCTCCCCACCTCCTTTCCTAGGGCAGCCTATGTGTTCCAAATCTCACACCACGCAGGCCAACTAAACCCAAGAAAACCAAAATGTTCTGTGAGTGACCAGAGCCTTACCTGGTATTCAGCGTAGTTCTTCAACCCAATGCTCAGGAAAGGTTTGAAGGCATCCATGTACTTGAGAAATTCTCCTCCCAAAACTATGGAGAAGGTGGGGGAGACAAGAAACAGTTAGGGCATCTAAAATTAAGGCCCTGAAGACCACAATCTCCACGTTTGTCCTCTACATGTTGCTAGACTACAGCTCCCATCATCCCTGACCATTGGCCATGTTTGATGGGAATGATGAGAACCAAATCCAACAGCATCTGTGAGCCCCAGGCTCCCAACCTCTGATATACTGAATCCACGTGTCAATAACACATTGTTGTTAATGATACAAAGAATTGAGGCTACTTTGATATTGCATCTATACTTATCTGGATGGCATATCTACTTTTACAGTAGTAAGAATCTGCTGGTCTAAAAAGCGCCCCATAAGACCTCCCCTCCACCCAGTCCTCCTCCTCCTCTCTTCCGACAAGAGAACCAAGGATGAGAACCGATTTCAAGGTCACACTGAGGCTTGCTGCAGATGGCAAGCACACTGCCCAATCCTAAGATGGTGAGGAAACTGGGAGTCAGCGCGTCACAGGCTTGTGTGCTTCTCTGCCTGGGCACATGGTCATTCCACCATCCCTTTGCATCTCAGAAACAACTGTGCTGAGCATTACATCCAAAACACAGTTGGAAACTGCTCTGGTGCCAGCTGTGTGAACACAAGTGTCAAGGGAGACTTCAAGACATAACTAGTTTCCGAACAAAAAGGAGGGCATGGAAAAAGAGGCCCCTGCTAGTCCAAAGGCTGTGTTAGTGCCCCAAGCTAAGTGAGATTTGAACCCAGGTGTTTTATACCCAGAACCCACATCTAATCCACCTAGGTTTCTTATTTATGCGTACACTATGCAACAATGCTCTTTCTTTTTAAAAAATGTGGTATGAAAGGCACACAAAAAGACGATCAACCGTTGCAGTCTAAACTTTAGGATGAATCATTTCTCATCTACTATGTGGTTATTAGAAGCGTCAGAAGGAAGAGGAGGAATGGTGGTGAGGGCTCACTGTGATCCACTCAATACTTTTATTTTTCCATGGAAATTTTTCTACCTAGTTAATGCAGGTGCTGGAGAATGGCAGGTTGTGGGGCTGGATGCCAAGATGCCATGGGCCACATCCTGTCTACAGGTCAGAGGTTTCTCACTTTTGATATATAGGCATTGGGGGGGGGGGGAGTCCAGAAAACTAACATAACTGGATCTACTCTTCAGTATGCAACAAATCACGCAACAGAAAGCTACTCAATGATAGAATAAAAGTTGGGCATTACAGATACCAACCTCTTCTGAAACAAATTCCTTATTCATCTCAAACTAGTTTAAAGCCATTACTTCACTTTGACAGTGTGCATCAAAATGCTATCCTGCTCTTCAGGTTATCAGGGTGGCATAACCACTGGAAAAAGCTTTCTGAACAAGTAACTGTCTAATAAAACTCTCCACACCTCGAACAGTGATAGGGCAATTGTATGCATGTCTGCTCAGAAGCCAATCTCAGTATTTAATTGAACTTACTCCCAGGCAGCTGTGTACAGCATAGCAGCTTTAGCTATTTTTTTTACATAGGAGTATCCCTTATAAGCATTGTTAGTATGGGGCAAGGAGCTTTAAGAAATACACAACGTTATGTATTAAATTAAATGGCGGGTCTTGTTTTTTCTTTAGTCATAACTGCTGTGTGCAATGTGCTGTTAGCCATGTGAATAGAAAAACAAAACAGAAGTCAAGATAGAGGCCTGCCTCTCTCCGTAAGGAATATGTGAAGCCATAAAAGGTAGCTCCCAACAGAGGACAAAAAAAAGCTGATGAAAACTTAGCAGCATGTGGAAGGTGATAAACTTGTGTTTGACCTCGTTTCTAGAATTCCAAGGCACCTCCAAAGCTCAGAATGGCTGCAAATGAGCTACACAGGCTTCCTCAGATAGAGAAGAAAGGTGGAAGGCTCATACCTGCGATGGAAGTGGAGTTGAGGTCCTCCAAAGCAGCAAAAACTCACTTTGCTTCCAAACAGCTCTGAAGTCTAGCATGGTCAGAGATGAGACCCTGCAGTCCCCACCTCTGCAGAAGGGAAGCATGGGCAGCAGCCACAAACTCTGGCTGGCTGCCAAGTGAGGCCCTAAAACTAAGTCCTATTATGCAATTACTATATACTAAAGCAGCAGGCAAACTTGACTACACCACCCCAGGAGTCACTAAAAGGTGAATGTTTTGCTTAATCGCTTCCTGAAAAGAACCATTTTACCCCCTCCCTACAAGTTCTATTCTGCCTTAACAGAGATCCCACGCTCCACATCCATCCTTTCATATTGTCCTCATTCTCATCAGAAGTTTACTTTTTCCAAGCAAACACTTCCTTCTCTTGATAAAAGATGGTCTAGGCAGGAAAGAAGTTCCACAACACCAGGCTATTGACTACTACAGCCTGATGGTCCAGGCAGCAATCCAACCAATTAAAGTACCACTGATTCCTGGTACAGCCTCCAGCAGTTCTCTCCATGGCCATGGCTCCCCCATCCTCCACTTTCCTACCCCAAATATAGCGAGAAATGCCAGACGTGAGATTGGGTTTTGGAGCATTACATCAGCATTCTGAGAGCTTCATGGCCATTGAACATGCACCTGCAGACCTTGGTTTATATACTGAAGAATTATTCCCTCCAAAGACGCCCCCTGAACAGAATAAAGCACTGACCTTCTACCAAGGTGCTGACAGCCATGAGGGCATCTTCTTGGACACCTCCTGACCCTGCTGTGCTTTGGAACATCCTCAAGAGAGATGCCATCACCACATCTGAGATCTGCAAAGCATCTTGGTGCTGCACTTTGCGAAGGACATTCTGGGATTTTGGTGAGAAAAGGAGAACTTAGACAGAGGCTCTCAGATCAGATTTTCTCCCCAGATGTCAGCCCCCCCCCTCCAATCCTATATACACCCCCCCACACCCAGAGGTGAACAGCCATGAACTCTGCAGATTGAGTTTATCTATGTGTAAAAATATATATTAAAAATTTTAAATTCAATTTATATACCACTCTCTATCTGAAGATTTCAAGGTAGTGTTCAGCATTAAAAACATATTTTACATAGCATAACAATAAAATGCAATAAAACAATCGCAGAAAAATTCATAACAACGGTCCCCCCCATCCCATTTAAAAGACCACAGATTGTTTAATGGATGAAGGCCTGGGTTAAGTGGGATGCTTTTGCTTGGCACCTAAAGACATGCAATGATGGAACCAGGTGAACCACTCTGGGGAGAGCATTCCACAAATGGGGAGCCACCACAGAAAAGGCATATAATGAAGAGGATCCAGTATCCGGAGTTTTCAAACTTCACTGCAGAGGCTTTCTCTGGGCAATTCATTTTAGAGTAGGAGTAGGTCCTGGCTGGCTTATATCTGACCTTAAAATACAACTCTGCAGCAGGAAGAATGATGGGAAATGTGCTAGCTTTAATAGGTCGCCCCTATTGTGGTACCCTCTAGATGTTGCTGGACTCCAACTCCCAACAACCCCAGCAATCTGGCCAATGGTGAGGATGGTGGAAGTTGTAGTCCATAAAAATCTGTAGGGCACCATGTCAGCTACCTCAGTGCCCTCCAGTATTAATCTTCTACTGCCTCACCATCCTTCCTTAAGACACCCTTTCAATTAAGCGATGAGCTGATATTTGTGTTCCATACCCCCTGTTAAGATATTTCTAGGCAGCCTTCTTATTCACAACTTCAAAAGAAAAGAAAAAATCTCATGTTTGAGTTACAGAAGTATTCCTGGAGACACTTGTGAAAAATCCCAACTCGTATCTGTTTTCCCTTGATCTCTCCTCACTAGCCCTCACACTAAGTACTTTTGTATGTCCTCACGCTGCATATAAATTTAAGAACAAGTTTTTACCTGTAAAGTGGCACACAGCAAAGACTGCAGATCATTGAACTGGATTCTATCAGACGTGCTCTGGATATGGGACTGAAAAGAAGACATATATCCAGATATCATAATTAGGAATAGCACAGTGCATCAATAATTCTATAACCAGAACAAACTCTGGTCTCTTATGATTATGTTAGGTGAAAGCCTATGTTTACATGCCAATACTGTGATTAGAGGGAGATAAACACATTTAAATCAGGGAAAAATAACCTGAATCAACCAATCATTTATTTGCATGCTGCCTTTCCAAAGTTAAAAGAATTCTCAAGGCAGCTTACAAAATATGTACACTTTGAAATCCCACTGCAGGTAGCAAGTGGCTCTTATATTCCAGTCTTTGTACATACTAAGCCCCCTCCCCCAAAATTGATAGGTGAACTTTGCAGGAAATGATAGAAAGCATGTAAGAAGACACAAAGAACTACCTCCACTATCACTGCAAAGTTATATTACTACTCCATTCGGCACTACTCATCTGTTGGGGCACACATCAACACTTTTTTGCCATCCAGCTAACCTCCATTTGGAGCACTTGCTGTAGCCGTTCCATAATGACTAAAGTTGTCTTCTGAACAGCAGGGTAACAGTCCTTGGCACTGTTTTTCACTATTTCCATCAGAGCTTCATAAGCAGCACTCCTTAGGTTATTCTGGTGTCCATCAGGCCTGAAGTAGAAAGAAAAAGATTGCTTTTAACCACCTAGAGAACACAATTCAAGTTAAATGCTAACCATCATGGCATGATTTAACTTTTGTCCACCTCTCTACCGGCATAACTGAAATGTGGATAGCAAGACCATTAAAGGCAGATCAAACTGAAAGAAATGGGAAGAGCCAAGCAGGCAACAAATGTGGTTAATTGGGCAGTCTGGCCATGCTCAATCTTTCCTTTGCCATAAGGGTCTTTTAGGAAAAAGGGGCTCTTCTTGTTGGCACAGGTACCACTGCCTGGCAGGGGTGGCCAGAGTGCTTTTATCCTCACTTCTACAATTCCACGACAACAGAGCTATTTCAGAAAGTCTGCCCCACTTACCTGTGGGGAGGAGTTGCAGTGGACTCCGTAGCCACCCCCTCTCCTCCGGGGGACGAAGTCCCGTGTTGCCCGGGGGATCCCGGCCACATCATCGCCAGCCAGCCAATCCGGTGGCTGGGGGGGGGCCATGGCCGGGAACATTTAAGCAGTCAACTCAGCCAATTATTTTTTGAAGTATAAAGCATGATCATAGCTCAATCCAGAAATATGCTGAAAGCCCATAAAGTACTTTCATGTTGGAGGGTGTGATGAGAGTGGCAGTCCAAAAACATATGGAGGGCACAAAGTAGGCAAAAGCTGCTGTACATTGCATAAATGGGCAAGACAAGGTATTTTAAAAGACCATATTAAGGTAGATATGCACAAGATCTCAGGTTGGCATACAATGAAAGGTTGCCAAGTATGAGACAGCGCACAGCCAGCTAACCAAATGCTTTGACTTGCTTTAGTTTATATGATTTTGCAATCCAATTTTGCTCTAGTACTTAAGAGAAGTTAGCTACCTTTCCTCTCTGCCTGAAGTAAAGTTCCCTTTTGGAACTGTGACATTATAAAACTCAAGCTTCAAGGCGCCTATGCCTAGGGCTGCCCACACCCTATGCTAAGAAAACCACAGCTGTAACCAGGATATCCCATTCTGGACCATTTCTGTACCAGGATATCCCATTTTCTATGATGAGAGAAAAGGAATTTTGCAACCTGCACAATCAATGCATGTTAAACAAACTTGCATGATTTCATATGATTCTGCATATTTTATTATTTTACAGAAAACCCTGCTGCTTCTGCTAGTCATATGTAAGGGCAAAGAGCCTGAGAGGGATGCAGCAGAAACTTATTCAGTCACTCTGACTTCTGAAATTCTGAATACACTGTGCACACGGCATTGTGCATAACTGTGCAACGATGTGCATTTTATGTATATGCACGTGTGTGTGTATGAACGCCAACTCCTTTTTAGGAAGCTGCATTCTGTGCTTTTCCTGCACTCATGTGGATGCATATGGTTCAACCTCTATGGAAGTTTACTGATATTTTGCCTTAACCAGGTTTTACTAGGCCTACCTTCTCAACAGAAATATCTAAGGAGTTTGAAGCTGTGGGTTAAACCGCAGAGCCTAGGACTTGCTGATCAGAAGGTCAGCGGTTCAAATCCCCACCACGGAGTGAGCTCCCATTGCTTAGTCCCTGCTCCTGCCAACCTAGCAGTTCGAAAGCACATCAAAATGCAAGTAGATAAATAGGTACCGCTCTGGCGGGAATGTAAACGGTATTTCCGTGCGCTGCTCTGGTTCGCCAGAAGCGGCTCAGTCATGCTGGCCACATGACCCAGAAGGTGTACGCCAGCTCCCTTGGCCAATAAAGCGAGATGAGCGCCGCAACCCCAGAGTCGGTCACGACTGGACCTAATGGTCAGGGGTCCCTTTACCTTTTTACAGAAGGGCAACGGCTCACAGCCTACAGGCTTCATTACCTGTCAGTGGTCTCTAATAGTTTCTGAACTATTAGTTCAAATGATGAGGATAAGCAGTACGTTGCAGGCTCCTCCTGATCATCAGCCACATCAGCAGCTTCATAAGCAGCTTCTGCCAAACTAGAGAAAGCCTGAAAGACAGCAGATGTCAACAGCTTAGAAGGAGCACACTGTTTCAGGAAAGCATGTTCCGCTAGCAGACAATCGTTTTCATTTGAATCTGACTCCATACACCTCTCCTTTGCTTCCCTTATCCCCATTATATAAAATCAAATTAAAACAGTAGTCACCACAACTTAGAATCAGCACAAGTCCTAAGTGGTTTCCTGCCCCACTGGCTGAACCAGGTGTGCATTGTACAAAACCTAAACACAAAGTCACTTCCCAATATTGCACCAATAAAAGCAACGCAACCCCACCACTTTGACTCCGCACAGCTGCTGCTTCCCAAATACTAGTCGTTTTCTTCTGATGAAGCCTCACCACAGAAAAAGGATTCTGTCTTACCCAGCATACATTGGAGGCCACTCTAGGCTCTGCACCCAAGCCTTCAATTAGACACTGCAACAGTGGAGCGAGGTAAATATCGTTTATGGCTGCTTCCGGGAGCAGCTCGCAGATCCGACCCACAGTCCATGCAGTTGTATCTCTTACTACTACACTGGGGTCCTTCATTAATTCTATTAGGGTAGGCATAGCCTGGAAGAGAAATGGATAATTAAGAAGTCAATACTCTTTATTTTATATTTATATAACGCTTTTTAGATAATTGGCGAAGGGACATTCTTTCTGATCTTGCAGGGGTAGGGGAACAAGCTGTTCTTCTCTGGCCAATAGCTCATCTTGCCATGGTATTCTTTTTGGGGAGGGATATAAAACTTCCCTGTGGCAACAAATTTTACCACCTTTTCTACCAAAAATAAAGGAAAGTCCATACAGTATTTCCTACTGTCAGACATGACTCATGATCTACACAGAAATGCACACAATGTGTAGCTTATTCATGTTCCTCAGGGCCTTTGACTTTTGTAGAAAGAAGGCACATCTGGTAATTAAAGGGAATCTGAAGCAAATTGTCTTGCTGTTTGTTGATGTCTTGTTTGTTGACATCTCATATACAAGAGCCAAGGTCTATTGAATTGTTATGCTGATTCTTTTTTTTATTATGCCACCTGTGACAAATGTGTTTGGTTTATATTGCTATGATTTGGTCTTTTATGGGTTATTTCAGAATGCATTTGTAAGATTATTGTTTCATTGTAATAAAATGTTTTTTTTAAAAAAACACATCACATTTTTACTGGTGACCAAGGACCACATATGGCCCCTATGTATATCCTACTTCACAGAGTGCAGTGAGATGTTTTCTAGTCAAATCTAAGCAACTGGACAAATGGACAAGCCAATGCCAATACTATGTATGCCCTCGTGGCTCCAAAGTTCAAGCCCCCCCCCTGCACTACTGCAACATCTTACCTGAATAACAAGGGGTTTGAGCTGGTTGGGCTCTGGTCCTTCCAAAATGCATCCAAATGCCATGACTGCAGCATCTCTATATCGCCAGTCTGGGTTTTTTATGTGTTCTTTGATGAAGGGCAGAACATGAGGAACAATGTCATCTTCACAACAAGTGGCCAGGAGCATGAGGCAGACCCCGGCAGCTTTGCAGGGGTTCCAGTCATCATCATCGTCATTCTCATCCTAAGGTGAAAGGGACAACACCCAAATCCATCTCTGTTGGACTAAGTAAGCAAGGCATGACATTTTTGAAACTAGTAGGTAGAACTGAGAATCCAGGCCAAAGCAAACTACAGTTGTACCTTGGCTCCCAAACGTCTTGATATTCGGACATTTTGGCTCCTGAACACTGCAAACCCTAAAGTGAGTGTTCTGGTTTGCAAACGTTCTTTGAAACCCAAATGTCCAACGGGGCTTCTGCGGCTCCTGATTGGCTGCAGGAGCTTCCTGCAGCCAATCAGAAGCCATGCTTGGGTTTCCGAATGTTTGGAAGTCGAACAGACTTCTGGAATGGATTCTGTTCAACTTCCAAGGTACGGCTGAGTCAATTTCACAAGGCAAAAAAAATGTTGGTTACCACACACATGAAGCAATGTTGACTACTTTCCCAGTAGAAACTGGAAAGCTACTTTATAAACAGAGCACTCTTGTGGTAACTGCTCTATACAGTACAAGTAATACTTTTAATACTACGAAGAAGCTTAATTTGAACCGAAAAGACCCATTGCCTATACACAATCCTCCTGAAGCTCCCATTTTGTAGTTTTTAATTAAAAACTCAGATGTAACAGCTTAATATAAAAGAGTAGCATATATTAAGGGACAGCTTCAGGTCAACAAAACTGAAGTATTACTTATGTGTTTGCTAGAAATAAAAAGTTTTTGAGACGCGCAAGACACCTCCTGGTCCAGCCCTGAGCAGAGTGTTCATTCAAAGAGACTGCCTCCTATTGGATGGAGTGGAGAGCACTCAAGAGTTCTGAGCCTCTATATGGCAACAAGTAGAGGTGGTGGGACATTGCTGATGAGTAGAGTGAATGCAATCTCACCACAGACCAAAGACTGCCATGGCTTGTACAATAGCAAGTCATAGGAAAAGGCAGTCCTCTGTAGAATGGGGAACGTTATTTTGTTAAGACCACACTATTATTTTCAGGGGAGCAGGAGATATTCCAACGCTGTTCCTTCAAACTTACAAGAACTGCTGCCACAGGCCCTTAACCACACTAACAGTGCACAGTGACGCAGGCATACCCATCACTTACCTGTTTGGTCAGTGTCTGCGTGAGAATTGGGACAAGGTACTGAAGTGCACCCTTGGCATAGAATTTGCTGGTATGCTCCGGTGGCTTTCCTTGCTCTGCTGCCTAAAAACAAAACCCACACACATTTCCATTAGTTTCAATCATCCATTTGAAATTGGCTTGCTTAATTGAAACTTTAAATACCACCTGGGCTCTCTGAAGATCACCTAAGCCCAGTTCACATATCATATTAAACCATTGTTTAAAACTAAGAAAACCTGCTACACATCCCCCTCACAAACAAAACAAGCCAGAGTCTGGGTTGCCATGTTGTCTGGACATGGGCTTATCATTTTCGCTGAACAAGTGGTAAGTCAAAACCAAATCTTGGTTGCTGCTTATAGTTTGGAAGGAAATGTATGATCTGGTCATGCCCTATAAGTGAGCCTATTCTGGCAGAAGTCATTATCCGTGTTAACGTGATCCTAGGGAAATCACTAAAAATCTCAAGATGCTCACATTACATTCAATTATATTCCAGTGCTACGGATCTTGATGGTGGTGCAATGTAATAGGACTTTGTGTATCCTCTTGGTGGCTAAAAGTGTGATCTACACTGGAAGGAATAGGTGCCCCCATCTCCAAAATGCTCAGGGGTCAGAGGACTTACTCTTGCAGCATACAAAAAAGCCGTCTTCAGCAGGTGACACAAAGATACCAAGCACCCAGACATCTGGATCTGCACCTTGAAATATTTGCATGCAGTATATTCCTAGTAGGCAGTACCAAAGCCTATCCCCTCCCTCTTCCCCCAAACCTCCTTCCCCCTGCAAGTATTGTTCTGTTTGTATTTGCAGGCAGCAACCAATCTGTGCAGGGGTAACATTCTTGACTCTTGGGCACTTTGGCGGGGCAAACATAAGCCCCCCTTGCCCCCCTTTCCGGCCACTTCCGGGTTGCTGCAATGCGCCATCACGTGTCAATTGGACACTTGTAGATCACTTATTGCTTGTACTTTAAGGTATAACACTGCACTACAAATGGTTATCTTTATTTTTGGGTCCAGCAATATCCTCTTAAGCAGGACATACGGTAAGCCCTGTCTCCTTCAAAGCTAATAGCACCTCCTGCTCTTAGGAAAGTTCGGTCTCAGCGTTATAGGTCGTCGCATCACTTTAGTCAGAGTGGTGCATGGTGTCTCATCATGGACCGAAGGCTGCTACAGAAAGTTAGAACTGTCACCCCCTGATCACTCACCTCTGACGCCTCAATAGCGAGGTCCATTTCTTCATCACAGACATTTGACCAGAACTCAATTCCTTGTAGAGCTACCTCATCAATGTCACTTTTCATAGCTTCAATTGTGATCTTTGGAGAGGGAGAGAGAGAAGGCATTTGAGATCATTGTTGCTGCTTTACTAAAGCAACGCACCTACAGTAAGTACCTACACTTCCGTTCTTGATTCCCAGGCTTGAATACTCACAGCAAAAAGTGCAGGACCCATATACGTCTCCATGTACTGATAATAGAGGGACATAATCTTCACCAAGTTCTGTAAGGCAGCTACTCGCACCTAAAGGCAAATAAAAAGACAGGACCCATTACCTCCATGGATGCTTTGTGGAAGCAAAAAAAGCTTATTGTTGCACCAGTTAAAGCAGTGGAACATGGATCCCAAAAAAATCTGCAGTTAATACTGCACTGGTTGACCAAGCAGCAATTCATGGTCTGCTTCCCAATTCTAAATGGGGGGAAAAACTACTGGGAGACTGGAACAAAAAGAGGAATGTAAAGCATTTTGCACACTGTACCAGAGAAATAGCCTTCCTATGGTATTTTTAATAAGTGTCATAGTAATGAAAATGTGAGCCTTCCTAGCTATGAAAAATAACCATTGAAGTCGACCATAGTATCACTGCAGTGAATTAAAAGCAGCAATGCCACAAGCTTTGCCATTTTGCCAGGGTTCTTCTCACAGCATTCTGAAAAGGCTTGGAAGAAAGGCAACCTGCCTTACTCTAAAGCACCCATTCTTATGGAATGCCTACACAGCCAAGCTCTTTAAATGCTCATTTTCTATTATTTTTCAAGACACGATTACTTTGTCACAACCCAGGACGATTTCCCACAAGACTGCTTTGTCACAACACCAGGGAAGAAAATTGCCGCAGGGCATCACTTCAAAATGCTCGTGTGAATCATACTCGGTTATGGACAAATAAGTACAATCATTTGCCAAGCAACAATTTAACGCGTTGAGGATTTGATGCATTGAATCTCTTGGTAAGCTAGTGATCCTGCCAAGTGGCAAGGAGAAATTGATGACTCCCAATTTCCTCCTCCAGACTTCCAACCAGCTGCAGAATTCACCGTTTGGCAGGAAGGATGCTACCATGTAACAACCACTTGATAACCTATGTGTGCGACCTGTTGGAAGCTGCCTTAAAGATAGATGACTTGATCAAGTAAACAATTAAGAATGCTAGCAGGATTGACTTAATAAGACTTGTAATGATGAAAATTATACCTTTTTACATATTCTTAAAAAAATTGTAATCGGAAATGATGAAACGTAATCAGGAAGAAGCACAAAATAAAATAAAATGACAAAATAAAAATTAAAGTAACCATGAGACGGGAGGGGCAGAAGTCAACTAGCTCATATGAGCAAAAATAATGTGAAAATGAAGGTGTTTAAATATTGTAAAATGAAAACTTAATAAATATTATAGATATATATAAAGATGACTTGATCAAGTATAGCTTATTTTGTTCCTATGGTGAATTATCAGATGTATTCACCTTATATTTCATAATAATGCTGCAGACAAAGCACCAAAAAGCTTTCACCAAAGGCAAGGAGTCTTGTGCTAGTGCTCAATGTAGCACATCCCCTCCAGTGGCCTCTTGGAACCAGCAGGGTTGCAGCCTGCATAATTATGGGGCCACATGACCTCCGTATCTGCAGTCTGTTAGGACAATCACCATAACTGAAGTTACGAGAATAGACAAAGGTTCACAATCAGACCCATTCCCAGTAGACAGCCAATCGTGGTAATGAGGCAGCCACATATACTCAGGAGAGATCCAACTGCAAAACCCAACACCGCAATTCACAAGAGGTATGAACCAATGACTTACTAGCTGCCAGAGCTGAAAATGGAAGCATGATCCGGATTACCTGCCACTGCCAAAATAGCAGCACTGCTATTCCACCTACTTACCAGCTTCTGAGCAGCATCTGGCTGTCACAGCTGGAAACAGAATGATGGGCTAGACAGACCTTTGATAGCAACTGGCAAGCATCACCTCTGCAGGTGTAGATCATGTTTGCTTGCAACTGAAACAAAGCTTTGCATCCCTAGCATTATACTTAACTCGTTTGTGTTCCTCTCCCCAATTGTTCAATTATGTTGCTAAATCGTATTGCTTCTTGCTGATGAATGGCAAAAATGTCACCTCTTGAAGTCCCTTGGCTAAAACTGTGGTCCATGCTCTGGCCATCTCCTGCCTTTACATTCCTTTTCTCTGACCTGCCTGCATCAACCCTCCCACCTCTACCCAAAACGCCACTGCTGATATCATTCGTTTCTCCCATTGCTCAGACCACATCAAGCCCCTCCTCAAATCTCTCCAAGCCTTTTAACCCGCATCTCCAACTGCAACCTATCTTAAGGGTGCACAATGGGATTTGCTCACATTAATACTTTGCCTACCCAGATGTCCTTTCCCCATTCTTCGGTTGTCTGCGCCACTGTCAATTTAGATTGCAAGTTCCTTGGGGACAGATACATGCCTTTTGTTTTGTGTACACAACTCTAAAGCACCACATATATTGATTATCTTGATTAAAGGACAATTAAAAACAGGATTATTTAAAGACATTTCTCATGCTCGTTTTGGAGAAAAAAGTATGCTCTGACTAGTTCCATAATACCAGGACCAGTGCTAGAAACTGAGATATGAAAGCTAGGAGCTAAATGGCACCTTAAACCTAGGTTATAGGCGCAACAACGGAGTGTCTAGGCACACTTTTTTATAACAAGAATACAAAGTTGAAAATGAATGAACGGCAGCTAAAATATTATGTTCATTTTTCACATGATCTAGTCCTACCCCTGCCCGCCCCCCTAATATTCTTAAGAGGGTCTCTTCTCCAGTCTTCAGAGAGTAGCTGGAAGTGAGGAGGCAGAAAAAGGTCCTCCTTTCCTTCCACTCTGCAGTTTTAATCTGAAATCTTAGGTGTGGTACTGCGCCCATAGCTCAGAAACTGCTCACACTAATGAAATTCCCTGTCGCAAAACGCACCTAGAGCAGTGGGAGTTTTGAACACTGACCAGAACTACTATCAGTTACTATTGACAACAGTTTAGGACTTAACTTACCCTTGTATCCGGACACTGTGTTGCTTCACAGACTACTTGCATAATAAAGTGCCTTTCAGACTGGAAATAGGGAGAGAGAAGAGAGAAACAGAGATGATTAGGACTGGAAGTTTCAAAGCTTCCTGGCAATAAAGTATTTTGTTTCCAAAATAAAACAGTGTACTACAACACTGACAATTTCAGTTTTTCTTGCCAGCTGTGGTTCTCAATATATGGGCAACCCACCAGTGAAGCATGGACAATGGTCAGAAAAGGCTCAAACTCTTGCATGCTTAGGGCATAAATTATTGCCTCTTCCTACCGACAGCTTTGACAAACAGGTCAGCCACCATTGTCACCTATACGCAATATGCTTATACAAAAAGAAAGCTGAGGGTATCATGATCAAATATATTTTGACTTGTGTTCATTTAAGTCAAGGACCAGATTAAAAAACTGCAGGATATAAAGCAAATCAGGGTTTCATCACTCTGCTTTCCACGTGAAAAGGTAGGCTCCGATATTTGGTCACTCTGGTTTCTTTTCCCAGTAATTATTTGAGTTTTTTAATATAATAGGCTAGAAATAAGTTTTTTTTAAACTAAGACTTGTTAAAAACAGGACTTCTCATTTTCACAAAATAGAAAAGGGTTAGACTACTAAGTACCAACTGACTCCGCAAGATTTTAAAAACCCCAATTGTCTTCCCAGAACACTGCAGTTATTTCTATTTTTTAAGTGGCTAATTAAGTAGTTTAATTCTTAATCTTTACGTTTTCTGGTAAAGTTAGATACCAAAAGGTAAGGAAGATTACTTCAGCAATTATTCCTCGGGTGTAGAAAACTGAAATAAATGATTTGCACCCATTCGGAGAGGTTCTCTCGTTCTTTCCGAAAGCCTCTACATTGAAGAGGCAAGGATTACAGATCTGCATTTAGGCTACCTGAGAGCTTCCTTCCATGCCTCAACCAATTAAAAGAAGGGGGGGAAACCCTAAAACCTGGCCCCTGCAATCACCATTCCAGAGACAGCTTTAATGGTTTCCAAAGGCTCAGGGCAGGGATGACATTGCCTGTACTGACTGATAAGCTGGTCTGCACTACTTTTCCAAAAATGCTAAAACATAGCTCTTGCCTGAAATACACTGGCAATGCCTGAGAAATAGTTACGCAGCAAATTCAGACAAAGGAATTCACCCACAGGCAGTATCACACCCCAAGATGGAGAAGAACACACAAACTAGGCTTCAGAGCACAGACTGCTTAGGAAGCAAATTGCAGGCCCTGAATACCCAAGAGACTGCTTTGCTCCCTATGTACTATGTACTCAAGGGCATGGAAGGAGGTGCTAGCTTACAAGCTGCAAAACTCTTTTACAGAGTTCCTAGAGTGCCTCCGGTAGCATATCAGTTAAAATTCACAGGATTATTTGAGAGTTACAATTTTAGTCGATTTAGTATTCACTCTTCACCACTGCAATAGGATTATGCTTCTCATAACAGGCTGCTAACACATAAATCCAAGTCTCAGCAGAAATGGGAATGCATCAAAACTCAGAGTGGTGCATGGTTTCTCATCACGGACCATGGATTTATTTCTCATGTCCCATTAGTTTCCCTCTTCAGCCACACTCACTCTCCACCGCACTAACATCTGACCACTTACCTCTTTGTCAAAATTTGCTTTGGTGAATTCCAAAGAGTTAAGGAGTGCATTGGTAGCCGCTAGCTTCACATTATTACTTGGCTCTTCTTTCCTCATGCCCTGGATAATGGCTGTCAATATCTCATTAGACTTGTCCTGAAGCTGTTCTGGATCCTAAAAACAGGAATCAAAATAAGCAAAAAATGTCAAGAGGAGATTCTTTGCTAGATCACAACCAGCATGGAGGTATCTCACAGAACAGCTAAGCACCCAATTCACTTACGACTTCTAACCTACAGGGACAGATGTTCTATGCAAGTACAGAATAAATGCATGCCTCTTTCTCCATAACAAATGTATCTAGTTACTCTGGGTCAGCAGCATGCCTGATCTTGTAGGGAACACAAGCGAAAGTCCTCAAACATTTAGGTTCCCAGAACAGAGCATTTTTTCCTTGAAGAACAGTGGCGCAGCAGAGGAAAAGGAACAAGAAGAAATTTGTGGCAAGAGGACCAGTGCAACAGTAGAGAAGAGTTTGGATTTGATATCCCGCCTTTCACTCCCCTTCAGGAGTCTCAAAGCGGCTAACATTCTCCTTTCCCTTCCTCCCCCACAACAAACACTCTGTGAGGAGAGTGGGGCTGAGAGACTTCAAAGAAGTGTGACTGGCCCAAGGTCACCCAGCAGCTGCATGTGGAAGAGCGGAGACGCAAACCCGGTTCCCCAGATTACGAGACTACTGCTCTTAACCACTACACCACACTGGCTCTAGCAGTAGGCATGGTGGAGATGGAAGTGAAGCAGAAAAAAAGAAATGAGAACCCCACTCCCACAGCAGTCTTCCCTCTGTTGGCACACACTCACATCTACACACACTTTCTGTAAGAGCTTTCCTTCATGAAATTGTAGAACACAGATACCACGTTCTACAGATTAGTTTTTACCTTGGTGTGACGAAGTGGCAGACACACAACATAACTGATTTGGGGGATGAGCCCACCGAGTGGCAGTTCAGATTCAAATTAAGCCACTAAAGAGCAGAGGAGCAGAGCAGGAGCAGGTGCAGGGGGGAAAAGCAGCAGATTTTAGCACAGCAGACTCAGTAGGCACTTACAATATCTTGACAAATGTAGCCGATGGCCTCCAATGTCGACTCTTTCATATGTTCTGTGCTGTGCTGATTTGTAACATTGGCTACCAGCTGCGGAATAAGTTCAGGCCACTGATTCATGGGGATCTCTGCACAGGCGATGCCAGCAACGCACTGTGATGCTGAGCTGGGCCTGTAGGTTTCTGTACCCAAGGTCTGCAAAACCTGTAAGGAGATGGGAAAGGAACAAGAGATGAGGCCGCCACACTTGGAATACTGTTGGTACAAGGACAGAGGGGACTTTCAGCTATATTACTAGATCACACAGATCTTCTGGGCATGGGACTTTCAATTTTATTATAGGATCCCAGAGGTCACCGTAAGAAATCTCTTTAAGCTGAGAAAACAATCTCACACGCCAGAGACCGAACAGATTCTTTGACTTTGAAATAAACAAGAGAAAAGTAAACTGAGAAGCAAGGTCTCAAAACACAGATGTAGATGCATGATCTGCATTTACTATAGAATAACAGGGTGGTTGAACAAACACAACTGGGAAGAAAAGCAAAAATGCTGTATTTTTTACGTACATAATTCTTGACTTCTCGACGAGCATTGGCATCGATTGCAAGCCATCTCTGCTGGTGCTGGGCCTTAACATCAGGGTCTTTAGATGTCAGAGAGTTCTTGATCTGCAAACCAGCTGCAACTCTGGCAACCTGGCTGTTCCCTGGGTTTGCCAGCACTCTGGACAGTTCCACAAGGAAAGTGGGCTGGCCAAAAAAAGAGAGGTAAATACAATTCAGTAACTGAAGCTAGCTTGCATCTTTCCTTGAGTGAAGAAGTAGTTACGCCTAAACTCTAACCTTTGCATGAATGTGACAGCATTTACAGTTGAATTTAAGGGTCAAAAACCAGAATGGAAGAATCTTACCTTTCCCAAGCTGAAAGTACATACACACCTCAATATGTAATATCATACATGTTTAGTCCTTCTTAGTAGTAATTTATATAACTGTGAAACAAATAGTGCAAGCAACCTCTGGTTACTCCTACCTTATAGATTAAGAACTGACACACAGCAACCTGCTGAAAGTCAGTCAATGATTCCATGCTCAAGCTCATACAGTATTTGAATACATCTCTCAAGTGTCATACTCTATTGCATGGAAATTTATTTTCTGATTTCACCATTGCTGAGATAGTATGTATGACCATTGCAGCTCAAGATATTCTGCTTGAGCCAAAATGGAACAATCCTCATTTCACTCTACCCTAGTAGGGCCAACATTTTAAGGGGGCTTGTTGCAGCATTCAGACACTGCTGTCTATCCCACTTCTTGATACTACCTGAAACAAGTTGCTACATTCTGCTATATGGCAGAACCATCCCAATTCCAGTTCTCTCCTTGAGTTGCTAAGCAGATTCTTTTAGGACTAGACTACTACAACTCAACCCAAATATGCAGAATTTCCTACAAAGTTGTACAACAGGATTGTAACAGGGTTGCAGGAGAAGGTGGGCATAAGCCGTTTACATCAGGGATGGGGAACTGGAGCTATCCATCACCTGAAGTCACAATGCAGTCAGGTGACCTCTTTTTGCCCGTGCAATGTGAATTTAAACCATGCAGGCAAAAGCACTGTGCTTTCCAAGTTCCGATGAGCCTACAAAGCTGTGTGCACAGGTATTGCAGGTGTCACCAATCAGTAGATGGTCAGTGCCTGCACTCCACCTTCCAGTCCAGCTACATCTTTACCTGCCCCACACCGATTCAGAGCAAATGGGTGTGGCTTGGTCATAACAGCCTTGCAGACCAAATGGGGAGGCCTGACAGACCTAGGCAGGAAGTTCCCCACCCCTGGGTCTGCATAGTAGATAGCAACTAAGCAAATCCACAATTACTTCTTAATGCTCATAATACAGAGTCAAAATTTATACCCTCAAGTCAGTATAATTAAGGCATTAATAATAATACCAACAGAAGAAGAAGGTAAGTACATCATATCCATCAACTGTTGTTTTGCACATGATCTTTACGGTAGGCAAATGAATGCATGGTATCCAACCAAGTCCTATTCAAGATAGACCTACTGAAACTAATATTAGTCATGCTAACTATCTTCAGTGCAGCTACACTGAGTATCAGTAGCATTTCCACCCTATGCAAGTACACAAAGTTACTATCAATTGTGTCCTTTTTGACTCAGGGGCTTTTCCAGACATCTCAGTGCTGACTGCCCTGCTGTAAAAGAAATGTGACTTCAAACTAATTACTAGAAGTAGCTAGCAGTGGCTTTTAAAGCAGTCAATTTGCCGAAGGACACAGGAGTTGTTCTGCATGTTCGAACATGATCTCCTAATAAGGAAACTGTCACCCAAAGGTCTTCATGTGTTAATATGATGAACGAACTGGGAAATATTTAGCCAACATTCAACTAGGATGGCTCTATAAAATTCTAGCAACAAACCAGGATGGGTGTTAAACTGCAATTTGCTCAAAAGCACTTGGCAGATTTAAATCCCCCTTTATTTTCAGTGACACTGGAGTGCACTGGCAGACTAGTAATGGATGGCTGAAGAGAAATCATGAAAAGAAAAACAGCAAATGGTAAAGGGTAGGTTGTAGAGTTTGGATATTTGTCAAGTTTTATTTACCCAGTTTGGATGTGCAGACGGTGGGACAGCACAGGGTGGGTGGTTGAACATCCAATGGCACAAACTGCAATGCTTACTTAAGGCACATCCTCAGGCCAGTTTGATGGAGGAGCATAGCCAGGTCACAAAGATCCAGGAATCTTAGTATAGTGACACCTGAAAGCTTGGTACTGGTGTCTACGAATCACAGACTTGTCAGTATTTCAGAGTGCTTGAGGGATTGGGGCTGCCTATTATAATTTTTTTACTTTCTTTGTATGGAAATTACATACAAACCCATGACATATTACTAACTGCTTTTGGAAATTTCCTCACTTTCAAAAAGTGACTTGTTATGCAGCTTGGAGGGTATCTGTTTAAAGGAAAAACAAATCCAAATCCCCATGGGTATTATTCATATCTCAGCCTCTCCACCCCCATACTCTATCCACGGCTGGTCCCTAAACAGGAACGTTGGAATTTTTCTCAGCTTTCCTGTAGAATCCCAATCCGTTCTCTATCTTTCAACCAATTTCCCTCATCCTACACCAGCTCAAGATGCTCTTACACGATCTCACATATCAAGGGTCACTAATGTGGTTCCTGCAGTTGCACATGTGTGCACACATGCGCTGGCACCCACAGGGTAAACCCCCCCAGTGAAATTAGGCACAAAAGCAGCATTCTGTTGTAGCCAATAGATGATGTTGTGTGTTTTCGGCTGTGGCATGTGTTTGTTGCCTATGATAATTTCTCTCGTTTCCAAATATGCCCACAGGCCACAAAATATTGCCAAACTCTGCCTTATACCCTGCCCTTAAATCCACCCAGTATGAACTTCCTTAGCCTGAACTCGGGTGGTACAAGAAGCAAGTCTAGACATGCGGTCCACACGTCACACATGCACCTCCCATTTGAACTACGCAGGGTTATGGAATGCTTATGGCGATTCACCCCTCTCATACACAATATGAGAGAAAACTCTGAGCAGTTGACAAGTGAGTAGATAGAAAGCAACTTGGGTAAGTGTTTATATGGCTGAAAAGGATAACTTTAGAGAGCTTAGGTGAAGAGGGATGGTTGCAATTTTGCAATGAAGCTGATCTATAGAGGGGTAAATTAAGGTTAGGATGCATTTAACCGTGTATTGTAGAACCTGACTCAGTCCTGCTCTCTGCTGTGCAGCAATCTCCTGATCCTCCTCCACCCAGTTATCATTCTGTCCTAAAAAAATAAAATCACACTGCATTTTATGCAGAGTGTGGAACTCTGAATTCAAGGGGCAGCGAACGTTATACTGGTAAATGGCAGTCCAGGAAGAAAACTTAAAACAATCCTAAAGTACTGCAACACAGGACTTCACCTCAGGGAGTGCAAGTAAGGCCAGAGCTACAAACCGCCTTGACAAAACAAGTTCTGAAAGCACTGTCCTTCCCATCTCTAACACACAAGGTTTTAAGTCTATGCTCAATTCACAGACACTAGGGGAATGTCACTGATGTCTAAAAGTTGTGATAGCACTCAATTATTAACTTATTTCTATTTGTGGCAAAGCTGGCTCCTAATCACCTAGACCTAGGTCACTTAAAATCTGTGCACTTTGCACATATGACCTGCAAATATTTTTCAGCTCTTTGCAGGACTCACAGTAAGAACAAGTATGGTGCAGCAAATAGTACACTAGACACTGAATTGTGAAACCCAGTTTCAAATCCACAGAGTCATAAAGCTCACCAGTTGGTCTTGGGCCAACCACTGTCCCTCAACCCCAGGTATCTCAAATATACTGTGAGAATAGAATGGGATACCTTGTATACACTTTTGAATGAGGGTGGAATGCAACTCTGATAAATTTTTAAAATATGATGCTTTGATTGGAAGGGGGCTGCACCTTAACCAAAACATTGTGGCAAGGCAGGGAGATAGCTAGGCAATGGGTCTTACATAGTTAATGTTACCTTTAACATTAATTTAAAACATGCAAGATCTTCAGGGCCAAGGGCATTCGTTACACAGCACAAGAAGTAAATCAGCATAGCACTAAAGGAACATTTTGGTGCAGATTACCTTGCACATGAACATTCTTGCTTCTTTATAACTCATGAGCTTTAACCCCAAGAAGAACATTGTCTGTCTATCCACAGGTGGTGTATGAAACCATACAAGAACATCTCAAAGTCCCTCTGTTGCTTAACTTTAAAGAGAAGCAACAGTCAGGCTATTCACAGAAACGCTACTGGGTGGCGGGAAGACACTGCTCAGGTAACACACATACGAATGTTCCCTTGTCTTTACTCCTTTTATTTCTATTTCACTGTTACAGTGTAGAAAAAGTACAGCATGACCTCTAAAAATAGCAAGTATGTGTTAACATCAAATATTTCAGTGCAAAGCAACCTACAGAACATGACCCTGCAAATTAAATAGAAACAGGGTGGATGGGGTGGAGGATTCAGGTAAGCACCTATATGGAAATTAGAATACAGCTTGTCACCTGAAGCCTAGTAAGTTACTCACTCACCCAACAATGCCAATGCAACACATAATATGCAATTCAGAAACGATACTTCTCTGAAAGCCTCCAAGATTGCTGGATTCAACCCAAAGCCTCAAGAGTATTCCCACAGATTTTAAAGGCAGGGGCCCAAGACGTGTTAGTTATGAAGAGCCACTTAAAGGTTCTCTCAAATAATGAATGTAACGTGCAACACTACCTCAGTAATACCTGTCTAATAACTAATTGGGACATGCTACTACTGATTTCAATGTATGTTGAACAATCTTTCCTAAATATGTATGCATGTCTAAGTAGTCCATCATCTGAAACACAGGCTCATTTGCCTTTATTAAAACAAATAATCTAGGCAATGTCAATCACCTTTCCATTCAGCGTGGAGATCAACCGCTAAATTCAATACACTCATCTTAAATTGATCCAATAAAAGGCTTCAGTTACCCATTTCTCCTCTCCTACTTTCTAGAATATACAGTGAACTGAATTTTTCTTCACTGCTTTATGTGCTGTCAGTTCAAGTACATAACCTAAGCTGCATTCTACATTAGTTTAGTGGGTGACATACTCAGGACACCCACTTGGCTGTGTCCCCTTTTACAATGTATCCCTACTTGCCTTCTTAAGCAAGGCTTTTGCATACAGAAATGAATTACTATTTCACAAAGTTTTAGAAACTGAAAAAATGTGCTGAGGGCATTAAGAGACAGACCAACAGATTTCAAAAAAGAGTCTCGAAGAAAACGAGGAAAATATTATTTATAAAGCATGCAAATTCAAGGGAGACGTTTTAAGAATAGGGCTATGGGGTGGAGTTGCAAAAGAATGGAAACGGAAAGTAAAATGCAGGGAGATTCGGAGGCCCAGCACGGCAAGCCCTAAAATTAGGGAGGGGAGCCAGTAGGGAAAAACGAAACCTAAGGTAGGCCCGCCTACGAGCACTTAGGCGGACTGGCCCGTTTCATGCAGCGGCGGCCTCCTCCTCCTCCTCCGGCGGCATCTAGCTAGCTACTCATGCCGGCTTCCCCACATGGCCGGCCCCCGCAGGCCTCATCTATCCATCCTCCTCCCCCCGCCTTTCCCTCCATGCATGCAGCGCGGCAGAGCCAAATCGCCCTCCCCTTCCTTTTCCCTCCCGCGGGCCCGGCGCGCCCTCACGATTGGGTGGCGCGACTCCCGGGAGTCTTGCCATTGGCTGCCTCCTGCATTTCCCCCTCCCTCCCCCCAAAAAGAGAGAGCGAGAGAGAAAAAGGGGAAAAAAAGAGAAAAAAACCCTTCAGTTAGGCTGCGCCCCTCTATGGCGGTTCGGCCTGCTATAGCTTTTTTTTTAAAAAAAATAATGATAATAAAACACACACAGGAAAGGGATTTCGCTTTTCCAAACCCCACCCAAGGGCAGCCCAAGCCCGGTTTTTCTCTTACCAGGTTCTCGATGGCCGCCTGTTCCAGGAACTTCTGAGCTGCCTCAAGCTCGGTGCAATCTGCAGGGGATTAGGAGGACGGGAGGGGGACATATACGAGGGGGTGTCAGTGGCGGCCCCCAATTCCGGCTCAGCAGTAACTTCCCCATCTGCTCGCCCCTCTTTCTACTGCTTGAACAAGGCGCTGACACCCCACACCAATCTAGAAGCGCCCACATGCTCACATTCCTACCAGGCGTCCAGCAACAGACCCCTCCCGATACTGAGGGCCTCGGGAGCTCTTTCTCCTCCTAGTCAAACTTCGTTTCTATCAGCAAGAAGCACCCCAAGATGACTGGGAAATTCACTTTCTCGGTTCCATTCACGGCGGGCCGGGGGGGGGCGGAGAGAGAGAGAGAAAGAAATGATACATTCTCTCCCCAAAGGCGGGATAGCGGGGAGATCGCCTCCCCGACACAGCGAGTGGGTCCGGTGTGCATCACCCGAGAGTCTCGCTTCTGGAGACCCGAGATCGCATCCCTCCAAATCGAAGCGTATTTTGGGAGTGGGGGAGAGGAGAGATGCATTCAACTTCCCCCAACATGTGCTGGGCCGCGACTACTTCCCCAGTCTGCCAGCTCTGAGCACGGGGGCGCTTCTTGCTGCCACCCCACCTCTCCGCTTTGGGCCTGCACCCCAGGCTAGAGACAAGACCACCCTCGGCCAATGCCGGCCTGCACATGGACCGCTTTCTTATGTAAGTGTGCAAGTTCCCCCGGCGCTACATCTCAGTCCGAGTGTCAAAGGCTGCGAGAGATCCTGATCTCACACCCAGACCTCTACTGACCCCGCCTGGGACCCGCTCTCACGACCCACCCCGCAATTCACACAAGACTTATTCCCACTCTCCCCCTCTAAGCGAACATATCGGGGGGGGGAGACCCGTCGCCCTTCGCACACGAGGAGCAGAAAAGGCGGCTTGCCCCACAGCCATATGCCGAGGCGCCTTTCGCAGAGGCAGCTTCCACCCCACCCTTCCCTTCTCCCTCCCTCGTGCCACGAGAGGCGCCTCCATGCTCGCCTCGCACAGGACCCCCCGCCCCACATCGCTGCCCCCTTGACGCAGAGGCCGTTCGCTCGTATCCCCCCGCCCTCCCCTCACCCACTCAGACCACCCAACGGACCCCCCCTAAACAACATAGGGGCGGATATGAAGCTTTCTGCCTGGGCACCCACCGACTCTCGGCCCACCGCTTCAGTGGGGCTGGCGGAAATACCCATCCAACTAACTGACCTCCCCCCACCCACCCATTCTCTTTCCTCGTCCTTCCCCCAACATTGACCCCCCCAAAAAAACGTACCTCTTCGCTGCCCACACTAGAAGGCAGGAGCCCCTTTTCCAAACGCCCGGCATCCTCGGCTTCCCCCTCCCCCCGTGGCCTTCCCTTTCCCTTCCGAGACCATGCATTCCTTTGACACCCCTTTCTCCCCCTCGACCACCCACCTTTAAATAGCACCCACCCCCCACATATTATTCTATATGGGGGGGGAGGCAGTTGGTTTTTCCTCCCCTGGCCTCCCGCCCATCCCCATGGAGAGAGGGGCCTGTCGGGATGCCGCCTCCCCTGCCTCCGCCCAGCCCTCCTTCTCCCCGTTTTTACCTGGCGAGACCGTCTTCTCCAAGATCGTAATGAGCTCCATGTTGGCGGCGGCGTGAGGCGAGAGAGCCTGGTGGGGAGGAGAGGCGGAGGGGGGGAGGGAGAGGGAAAGGGAGCACCGGAGTCGGTGATCGCCGCCGCCGCCGCCGCCTGCTGTTGCTGCCGCTGTCCCCGCTCACTCGGCCGGCCGCTCTCTCCCTTCGCGCTCTTTACTTCTCTCCCTCAGCTGCGGCGGGGTGGCCCCACCCCCGGCGGAAACGACTCTCCTCTCCTCTACTACTTCCCCTCCCCCCCTCCCCACACACAACTCCTTGTGGCGGCGGAAGAGGACGAGGGGGAGGAGGCGGGGGACGGACAGGAAGAGGGGAGTTTCAAAAAAAAAAAAAAAACCGAAAAAAAGCGCGCGCGCGGCGAGGTGAAGCGAAGTAATTCACCCGGAGGAGGAAAACAAAAGAGCTCGAGGGCGTGCGTGGGTGGGGGCGTGCGTGCAAAAAAAAAAAAAAAAGCCCTCACGCTCCTCTCACACGCAGCCTCCCTGAGGGGAAGCTGTTTCGCTCCCTTATTCACTGACTTGACTCGACTGACTGACTGACTTGGACTGGTCAGGCCTCTCCCAGGCCCCAGCCCGCCTTCAGGCACGTAATGTTCGTGCGTAACCAACGTGCTCACGCAACAGCCAAGACGCAGGAACAAGAGCAAGCTCTCCCCTCCCCTCGTTTTCAACCGGCCGACGCCCGCCTTGCTCTTCCTCAAGCGCCGATTGGCCAGTTATGGCTCGTACGTCATGACGGTGTTAGGTCTAATGGAGCGCAGTAGTTTGCTTTAAAAAAGGGGAAATTCCCTTAATAAAGATTTGTGGGAAAGATGTAGGCTGTGATCCTGTGCACACTTACTTGGGGGTGGGGGGTGAGACCTATTAAGAGAGGTGAAATTTCCTTCTGAGTAAACATAAATAAGTGCAGGCTGCTGATGTTCCACATGCTTTATGTTTGCCTGAGTATGCTAATATATTTAATAAATATATTGCTATGTTTTCTAACCTCTTCCCTTGCTTATGTTACTCTGCCCCATGCTATATGCCATGATTGTCAGATACGTCATCTAATTATAACTTTATAATATTTGTTTGACATTTCTCATGGGATGTATGTACAAGATCTGGAAAAACAACTTTTGATACTGCATTCATTTTAGCTCTGGGTCTTTAGCATGTTATAATCCATAGCGCAACTTATAGGTAAAAACTGACTGATCGAAACATAATGAGTGCACATCCTAACAGATGGTTTCATGTGAAGGTTCATTTGCCGCAAGCCCAGTTGAAATGAGCTGCATGAAAGTAGTAGTGCATATATAGGAACATGAACTGCCTTACACTGAATCACAGCATTCTGGGGCAGCTGAAGGTTCTGAACATTTTTCAAAGGCAGCCCCATGTAGCGTGTATTACAGTAGTCCAGCAATGTCCAACCAGTCGACCGCAAACGGCAGGTAGATCGACAGGGTTCTCCCGGTCGATCGCAGGAGTTAAAGAAGAGATTGCCTAGTTGTTCCTGAGCGATCATGACGCCCCCCTCCCCCGGCGCTAGGTCCCATTGTTGCGCTTCCCCCAGTGGGGGGAAAGAAGGGAAAGTTGTAGACTGTTGCTTGAGCGATTTGATGCAACCCTCCCCCCAAAAAGTTCAACAACTCTGGTCTCTCTTGACAATATAGGCAATGACAACGGGTAGATCATTGCCAGTTTTATTATACTGGGAGTAGATCGCAGTCTCTATAGAGTTGGACGTGCCTGTAACTAAGGCATGCATCACCATGGCCAGATCTCATGTCACAAGTAGTGCTTTATGATTATTACACACTTTATAATACACTCTATACTTATTAGTTGCTGCTGCTGTGTCACTTTAGTAAAATTTACTCCCTTATAACATCTATTTGCATGGCTCTGGGACTTCCCTGTGGATTCCGTGGGAAGGAGCAAGGGTGCTTCTGTTACAGTAGTCATAGGCAAGGGGAGTTAGTGATGAAAGTTAAACTAGCAGGTGCGTTTGGAAATTCCAGAACAAGGCCCATTTCTCATCCTCATCTTCATCCTTCCAACAGCATTAGCAACCCAACTTGCCCTGGACTCATTTGGTGTTTCACTCAGTGCCAGATCAGTGGATAAGGAAACTCTTACAATTTATTAATAACCATGGATAAATGCGTCAACATGGCTCATGTTACTGAGACCTGAGTAGATGAATGGGGGCGGGGAGTTGATTTCTTCCTGTTATTTCACCTGGGATCTTGGGGCAGTACCAGAATAAGCTTTAGGATCTAGAATGGGTAGGGATGTTATTAGATAACATCATCCTTGTCCACTGGCCACATGGAGAAGGGCACCTTCTTGGTGTTGGGCAACCAAATCAACCCACTACCTAACCATCTCCTTACCCAAGCTGACAAAATTAGTCTCTGAATGTGGAGTGGCTTTCAGTAATGTTGGTGGGTCAGACTACTACCACAGAGATGGAGGGTTGGCTTGCAGCAGCTAATTTGCTTTGTAGGGGCAGTAGTCCAATTGGGATGGTCTTCTCTGAAGTCCTGTGGAAGCCAAATGGTTTATGTCTGGTCTTGGAAAGTTTCTTGTTGATGTTTGGCCCTCCTGTTGAAGATCTGGTCACTCTCTGGGAAACAGAGATAACCCGAGTAGTAGACATTTCCTAAGCTCAATCGGCTCCTTAGTGACAGTGAGCTAGAGGCAGTGTAGCAGGATGGGAGGGATTATCAGAAGTCAAGGGACATAAAGTTGAAGCAAATTTGGCAAGACGCAAGGAACAACTACTTACCAAGCCTGCTTTATGGTTATCAAGCAGCTATACTCCATCAAATTGTTTTTTAGGGGAGCATTTCTGAGTGGTTTGGTGTTTACTATATCTTGGAGCACAGGACAATATCAGAGAAGCCCAGAGTGACAGCAAAAAGTGGCCCATAACTATCTTGATTTCGACACTTTTGCTTTTCAGTTGTGGGTGTGTCTAGAATACTGTTTTTCTTTCTTTGGTAATTAATAGTTTATTGAAGTTTTCACTCTTTTACATTAACACAGACCACCTGTCTCTCTTTGCCTGGCTGCCATGCTGCCCCAACCACTTAACTTACTTCACAGCAGCATTTTCATTTTTTGCCTGTCATTCATTCATCAAGTCATGCAGTGGTTAGGTGTATATCAGGTAAGGAGTGGAGAAGAAAAGTTCCAGCAGTTGTGTGCTGTGCCTCCCATTTCTCCAGGAAATGAAGGGTATTCCCAGAAGAGGTGTGTCAATTCTGCTGGTGGTCACACAAACACCTTCTGCATCCATCTGTGGACAAAATGCTCAGTCACATAAAACATGCTGGTGTCCGATAGGCTTGGTGGAATATTTCTTTGTTGAATTAACTTCAGCCAAAGTCTTTTGTGTGCTACTTGCAACATCTCCTTGGATACAGTCTACCCATGATTATCCACATTCTGGCTGCTTCTAAGATAAGACCGTTGTTTATAGGACTGCCATTTAAGGCTTGACAACTTCGGTTAATTAGGAAGATAGGAAGCTGCCTTTTGCCGAATCAAACCATTGCAAGTCAGTATACGCTGCACATACTGGCACACCTACCTACAGATGTCCGGGATCCAACTTGGGATCTTCTGCATGTAAGCAGGTGCTCTACCACTAAGCTACAGCCCTTCCAGTTCAGAATATATGTGGAAGGCTCCTAACTAGGACTGGTCACCAGGAGCTTAACCGTATTTCAATCAAAATTCAAATTCAAAGTCCAATTCCAATCAAAATTCAAAGTGCTAGTGACTTCCTTTGAAGTCCAATGCTGCTTGGGACTAGAGACAAGAGGGACCATCTTTGCAGCAGCCTGGGTGTTAAAATCACCATCTGAAGCCTAGATACCCTGGCCAGGTAAGCGGTGATTGGAAACCACTGTGCAAGCTATGTTACCCCACTTGTGTATTTTTCCCCCGAAGGGAGAAATGGCTGTACAGTCGTACCTTGGTTCTCAACTCCCAGAACCATTCGAAAACCAAGGTGCAGCTTCCGATTGGCTGTAGGAGAGCCCTGCAGCCAATCAGAAGCTGTGGAAGCTGTGCCGGACATTCGGCTTCCGAAAATCGTTTGAAAACCAGAACACTCACTTCCGGGTTTTGGTTGTTCGGGAGCCAAGGCATTTTGAGATCCAAGGTACAACTGTAATTTAGTCGCCAGGTTATTTCTCTCTCCCTTCCCCACTGCCACACTTTATTTAAGCAGGGTATTTCCCAGTCTATCTAGAGATGCCAGGGATTGAGCCTGGAACATTTTACGCGCAAACTACATGTGCTTCAACTGCACCACCATGCTTCCTTACACTATTACCCAAATGGACCCTTGGACGAGAACTTTGCCCAAATGTAAACACATGCAAGATGGGTTCTGAGAAGCAAGTGGTGTCTCATTGTTCCATGAGCTCAGGGAAGCCATCTGGACAATTTTAGAGAAAGCGAGTACAAATTTTGGAAACAGGTGGGGTGGCTGTGTAATGCAAGGTACATTTCAGAGTGCATCAATATAAGATTTCAGCATCCTTTAAATTTGAGGTACCATAACTAAAGACCCAAGCATTAGAAATAACTGAAATCCACAGCCAGGGCTAAAGAAAAATCAATGAACTTAATTTCATCTAAGATAATTTAGCCAGCCTGATGGTCCATAAACAATTATCTTGATTAGAGGTGCAGCTCCTGAGCATGCTGGTATTTCATAGAATCATAGACTTGTAGAGTCAGAAGGGATTGCTAGGGTCATCGTCCAACTCCCTGCAATGCAGGGATCTCAACTAGATCATACATGACAGATGTTCCATAAAACTTAAAAACCAAATGCTAACCTAGTCTGTAAAAAAGAAGCTGTCTTTCATCTTCCCTTTGTTTGCTCTAGGCACATGCTTGAGCTGAAGGCAATAGCTGAACACTAGTGAAGAAAGGAAGTCAGTGGGAGCACCATCACTAAGCCATAGGTGGCCACAGAATGTGAAGTTATGGAGAACACAGACTGGACAGAAGGAGGAATGCTTGTTTGAACTAGTAGGCTGGAAGGTGCCACAGCCAGCTTGGTTATGAAGAAGGCTGAGGTGACCTCCCACCATTAAGGACCTGCTAATTTTGTTCCAAGTATGTTCCTGGGCCCTAAATTCCAGCTCAGGCATCTGAAGGGCAGTGAAGGTTACATGCAAGGTTAAGAGTGTTTGATCCAGCACAATGTCATGTTTTTCAAAACAGCACTTCAGAGCGTGTGTTCAAAGAAAGCTGCCACAGGATGTATATGGCTCAACACCATTTAGGAGGTGGCAGCTGAACCAGGTGACAGATTAGGAGGTAATCAAGTGGCTCACAGTGTCCAACCTCAAGACTTGACAACGCAGCATCAAGTTGCAGCATTAAGTGTGAGAGTGTTAACTAGGGCAGCCCACCCGCAAACCTCTTCAAAAGGCCCGTAAAAAGCAACATAGGCACAAATGCTTAGTGGTTAGGGGGTGGGTCAATAGTCAGTGCCAATGGTTAATTCCTTGCTGCTTTGTTCTGCAAGGCAACAAGAGCCAGGTAGGTAGACATCAACTTTTGTAACATAACACTGTGTTAATAAAGGTTCCTTGACAGTGTGTTGCACAATAGGTATGTGGTTCTCATCCCTCTCTCCACATTAAAGTGCAGATACCCATTTAAAGACATCTCCCCCTTAGAGTGGAATGTGCATGCTCAACTCCTAACAGTCTATGGCTTTTGAAATATGTCTAACCTCTAATTCAGGGGTGGGTGATGTGTCTTGGTTCAAGGACTGCATTTCTCTTTAGCCAACCCTCTGAGGCCACATGCCAGTCACATATTCTTTCTCTCTCTCTTACACACCCACACACCACACCCCTCCAAAGGAGATTCATGCAGATCAGTTGAGAGGGCTGAATGCCCCCTACCCACTCATCAAATAAATGAGTTGATGATGGGAGGAGGCAATTTATTATTAGATTTATATACCGCCTTCCTTCAAAAGATCTCAGGGCAGTAAACAGAATAGAAACACATCCACGTCAGGATGCTAGGCTGGGCAGATTTTCACCAAAATCAGGAAGGTGGGGAGTGGGTGTCAAAAGCATTTGCTTGAGGGGCCAGATCAGGCCTCTGAACCAAAGCTTAGTGATCCCTGCATTTCTGTGAGACAGCTTTCATACAAACAACCACAGCGGCAGCCAGAACAGAATCGTCACATGGAATATAGGGAACCCGCTTCTTATGCTTATTTTACTTATGCAATCACAGCTTTATGCAGTGTGTTAAGAAATAAATAAATGGAGATAGGAGGAAACCCTCTCTCAATTTAATTATTCCCCCCACCACACACACACCTGCGCAAAGCTACAATAATGGGTTTACCTCCCTTTTGGAAGGCGGCATGAGGGCTCTGGAAGCATCCCAGAGCCCTAGTAGTAAGCGAGGTGCAGGGCTTTGGGAAGGAGAGGGGACTCAGGTAGGGTCCTAGAGCCCGCCCTCCTCCTTCCCAAAGGAGCAGAAGCACTTAGTAGGCTTTGTGGAGGCGGCGGAGGACTCTAGGACCCAGCCAGCACCCTCCCAATTCCTACCCCACGCCTGCCTTTTTGTAGCCACACGGATGATCCAATACATGTAGCTGGATCTAGACTTGCTGGCTGAATTTAGATTTTACTGACATCCATGAGGTAAGTCATTATTTAAGTTTCATGTATTGTAACAGAAAAAAGTGCAAACAGCACATTCCACTAAGCAGTTCTCCTGTGCAAGCTCCATTAAAATGAAATGCAAAAAAATCACACGCTTGCTAATTAACATGAAACACAAACCATTGGAAATTTCCCCCGCAGCAGCCCTACTGATATCAATATGAGCTGTCAAAGAGCTGAATTATTTCAATGGGGCTTGTGCAAGAGAATGTCCCAGTGCTTTGTGCCCCATAGGTTAAATGTATTTTATTCCACCTATGCTACCATTAATGGCACCCAAAATCTCTCACATGAAGCAGCCACCTGACTTTGTGGCATTGCAGAGTGACCTCTGGCTCTAAAGCATTCCAAGTGATAGCAGAATTAAAGATAAATAGGGAAGACCCTCATCCTTGCATATTACGGCCCATCAAAGCAGATTCAGTGTTGTGGCAAGACAGTCCAAGGTACGTACAAAAAAAAAAAGTTTCCAGCTTTTCCACCAACACACACATACCAAAACCAAGACTCTTCAGTTTCACATTGACTTTCCTTTTTATTAACGCCAACTTGTCTGAATTTTTTCCTTTTGTTTTTCTTTTAAAACAATAGCACAAAAAATGTGTTTCCAGGGAAGCAGTTTGACAGCTAGTATCTGATGACCTTCTGAAATAACAGTTAAAGCCACACCAAATATGAATTCCTTTTTAAAAAGGTGCTTTTTAAAAAAGGGAACTGTAAACGTCTGTGGGAGGAGTGGTGTCGGGTTTGAAATCTGGTTAGCAGGAACATGCTACTCTGGTAAGCAACTGATGGCACACAACTTAGAATTTCATCATCATGCCAGCTAGTACAAGTTTTAAGGCTTCTGAATCAAATTACCAAACGTCACCAAAGAAAGGGGGGGTTGGAAAGCTGCAGTCACAAGGTATTTAGGGGCGGTGTTTTGGTTTTCAAACAGGGTGAGTCTTTCAGACAAACTACAGTGTTATGCGTAATGGGGGCCAGCCATAACAGCGGCCCAGAAGGATCCAGTCACAGTACTAAATCTTTATTTGCATGCAGTGGGAGGATATAATTTAAAGAATGAGAAAAAGGTGGCATGAATTGTTTATTTTTATTTTTTTTATGTGGCTGAAAAAGATGTTTTCATACAGGGTTGTGTAGTTTTTTTTATTTAAATCTCTAAGAAGGACATCAGCAAATGAAATCAAAAGAAGAGAGGGGCAGGCAGAGACAGAATATTTGATTTCTCCTTCCCTCAAAAGGTAGTGAGACAAGAGATTGGGAAGGGCAGGACTCTTACAAGCCTTCAAATATAATCTGAGATTACAGGACATCTCCAGAAACACCCAACTCGGCACTACCCATTGGGTTGTGCGCCAAGCTGCCTTTCATTATTGAACCAATACACAAAACACGTACATGTTTTTGCTGTCTTGTAGTGTGCTCTCTGGCGTGCTCAGAGGCATTAACCTATTCCTGCCCTCGACGTGCCACAGAATTCAACTTTCCTAGAAACCACTGGTTTCCCTGCTTCTGCTTCTTCTTTTTTTTTTTAGAAAATGGGAGAGGGATGGTTAAAAAATCATCAGTAAGTGTAAAGAAAGGAGGGGTGTTAAATATTTTGACCACTGACAAGGCTTAAGGAAGTTTCACAGTTTTGTTATCCTCTATTTTATTACCATTATATTTACAGGGTGTTTCTGTTTTTGCTGAATTGTTGATAATTTTTTTTAATAGAATTTAGTTCCGGAGTGTGAGCAGGAACCAGTTAACTACATTCATTGTCCAATCCCCTTGGTTTGAGAAAAGACTCCAATTTCCTTGGCGTATGATTCAGCTGTCGGGTAGCAGCTCCTCCTCCTCGCACCGAGGCAGTTGGGCCACAGCAGTTGGGATGTCAGAGGTGGGTGAGGGTGGGCTCACACAGCAGTCGGTGAGGCCTTGCGCTGCAGGAGGTACTGGTGGAGATTTTCGGCATCGCGCTTCAGCCATGCAGCGTTCAACAGAATGTTTTCACAGCACTGCTGGATGGTGCGCTCAGCTGACGGAGCTGGGTGACTCTCAAAGAAAGCCTATATAAAACGAAACAACATCCACTGGGAGTTCCATATATGTCATTTTAATAAGTTTGAATCTTAGGATAGAGGTCTCAGTTCCACAGGAAATAAAAGTTTAGGGTGTGTGTGTGGGGTTTTTTTTTCTAAATACAGGGTGGGCAAAAAAAGCAGAACCTAACTACAAGAACAGGGACTGCTCAGTTGGGCATGTGTATCTGGATACAACCCACAGAGCATGTTTACCATTAAGGCAGCTAAATGCTTTTGCAAGTTTCTGCTTAAAATTGTCTTGATTTTTCTACGTTGCCGCAGTGAGAAGATATCCTATACTCCCAGGGAGAAAGGCAGGTGTTAAGTTTATAGCCATAGATGGGGGTTTTTTTGTAACAATAAATTGTCCTTATGCTTATTCAAGTAGGTAAAAAAGTAAAGGACCCCTGCACGGTTAAGTCCAGTCAAAGGTGACTATGGGGTTGCGGCACTCATCTCGCTTTCAGGCCAAGGGAGCTGGCATTTGTCCACAGACAGCATTCCAGGTCATGTGACCAGCATGACTAAACCGCTCCTGGGCAACGGGACACTGACGGAAACCAGAGCGCACGGAAAAGCCATCTACTTTCCCACCGCAGCGGTGCCTATTTATCTACTTACACTGGTGTGCTTTCGAACTGCTAGGTTGGCAGGAGCAGGGACCGAGCAATGGGAGCTCACCCTGCTGTGCGGATTCGAACAGCTGACCTTCTGGTCGGCAAGCGCAAGAGGCTCAGTGGTTTAGACCACAGCGCCACCTGCAAGTACCCAAGGTGATGTATAGAGGACAGCAAAACGATAAATATATTCTGGCATATATTCATCCATCTCCGGACATGTAAACTACATAGAAATGTGGGTATGGGGCTAGTTTTCACACAGAATTAATTAGCAAAATCAATCTTTGCTAACGTTAGAACAGTGTTCATCGGGGCCTTGCAGACTGCTGAACAATATGTAGAGCACATTCAATATGTACTTCCACAGACCGTGAGGTTTACTAGGTCTTGATCACTATAACAACCCCAAATGCCATTGCCTCCAAATGTCTCTCTGATTTGGACTCAAACTAAGGCAGAGGGACTTCTTGGTAGTGGCACCCACCCTGTGGAATGCCCTCCCATCAGATGTCAAGGAAATAAACAACTATCTGAGTTTTAGAAGACATCTGAAGGCAGCCCTGTTTAGGGAAGTTTTTAATGTCTGATGTTTTATTGTGTTTTTAATATTCTATTGGGAGCCGCCCAAAGTGGCAGGGGAAACCCAGCCAGATGGGCTGGGTATAAATATTTGTTGTTGTTGTTGGGTATAAATATTTGTTGTTGTTGTTTTTGTTGTTGTTGTTGTTGTTGTTGTTGTTGTAGTAGTAGTATTTCTGTGTGTTATCTGAGACAGCTATAGTTAAATCCTACCTTTACCCTAGTATAATTCAGTGACCGCCACCATGGGCAGTAGAACAGTGCAACAGGCAACTTAAATGTCCCAACACTTTGAGTGACAGGGGTTTATGACCCCAACTATTCTGTGCTCCCTTCATTGTGATATGCTAGCCAATTAATCCCTCCGCAGCACAACCCTGGGGAAAAGAACTCTCCCTATAGTGTAACGTGCTTAAAACTGATGGTTTTTAAAGAAAAAGTCAAAAGTTTGTAACCATGGCAATTTCCTTCAACTACCTGCTTAGGGGTTTGATCATTCAACCCTTACATAAGACAAAATCAATTCACATCGTTTGGCTTCTTTGCACACTTGATTTTATTTATCGGGAGAATGCCGAGTCAGGAAAGAGAGTTCTAGAATACCTTGCTCTGACATATATTTGTCCTTGCCCCTACTCCCTCCCACAATGAGGATGCCCCAACAGTGTGCACAGAGGAATGAGGTCAGGCATATCATCCCTTCCTTGGCCTCTAAATGCACAGGCCCTGGCAATGCCATCAGCCAAGATGCAGATCAGACTGTCTTACCTTAACCTCTGCAGCCATTTTGTCAATTGCAAATCCATCCACCGATAGCTGAAAAACAAGGAATGCACAATAAATCAGGAGGGGAGGGAACTTTTTAAAGCCTCGTATTTTCAATGACTGCTGTAGTCAAAACTTTTTGTGCGCGCACCTTTATTAGCCGGGATATTAAGAACCCTCCTTGGTAGCGATTATAGAGTTCCTCCCAGTTGTCTCTGACAAACTTCCAGGCAGCTTTCCTGCCCTGCTTGCTGCCTCCGGCCACTCCACCAATGACAGATACTGTGTCTTGAGGACGTACCTCTTCCTGCAAACGGAGCAAGAAATTGCAGGTAATTCTAGCAGCCTTGAATCCACATTTAAGTTCCCCACACACCATCCAAGAGATGCCATCATGTGCAGCTGCAGCACCAGCTTGCCTACTTAACTAGTCTGGGGAAACAGCATTCAGATATTCTTGCTTCATTTAACTCACTCCATAGCGACTTGCCTGCTTCTCTGTGTTGCAAAGGATCCTGAGAAGTCTTCCAGTACACACCCTCCATTGATGGCAGTACTAGCCAGGCCTCTTGGGCCTCACTGTTGCACTGTGTTCACTGCTATAACTAGATGTTAGAAGAAGAAGGGGAATGGTATGGGACGGTTGGTTTTGGTGGCAGCCCCATGTGTATTAATCAACCATGCTGTGGAGCAGGGGGGCATTCTAATAGCAACGGACTATTCCCACAGCCAGTTTCAGCAGTAAATATTTCAATTCTGTAATGGTCACATGGCCATTCCAGAGGAGATGCAATTATTGCTATTTCTCAGTCATTTGGGCCTGTGCTGTGAAGCTGCAAGCATCCCACACTTTTCTGCATTTAGACTGAAGATTCTACTCCTAGGCAATCCAGTCTCTTTCAAGCACCCAGAGGAAAACAGCAGCAACCACTGATTAATCTTCCAAGGTATCAGTGGCCACACATGAACTGGCCTACAATGGAACACTCAACAGTAAACCACAGTAAACTACTAGTGCAAGCCTACCACTACCCACACACATTTTCTTTATTTTAACAAGTCGCTAGTTTTCAAAGATCCAGAGGAAGATATTAACATACGCCTGATGTGTGATCCAATTCTGAAAAAATACATGGGCAGGGAGGCCAATCACTCTGAACTCTTTACACCTCTCGCAGCTTTGTGTCATTGCTCCTCCCTCTGTCTCTTTCTTTTCAGCTTATTTTGCATTAATTTTATGGCTTCTCCTTGCTGTGGGAGATATGCAGGGCAAGTGATGTACCAATTGCTGCTCAATTTCCCTTTGGTTTCTTTGTCATCAAGCTGTGCATATATGTTCCAAGCCAACGTTAACTAACTTTTCTTTAAAAATGAGGTCTTGTGCTGTGGCGTGAGGATTTTGAGTCTTGTGAGAATACCAGTAATCATTTAGGAATATACAATATGTATTTGTGGTACAGTGGTACCTTGGTTCTCAAACGCCTTGGTACTCAAACAACTTGGAATCCAAACACTGTAAACCCAGAAGTAAGTGTTCCAGTTTGCGAACTTTTTTCGGAAGCCAAGCGTGCACCGTTTTGAGTACCACACTTCCGTTTTGAGTGTTACACTGAGGTCTGTCTGTTTTTACTATTTATTTTGCGTTTTTGTAGCTTTTTTGTGATGGTGTGGAACGCAGTCCAGCTACTGATTGATTGATTGATTGATTGTGCGACTGCAGTACATTGTTTATTGCTTCATTTTATGGATCAATGGTCTTGTTAGATAGTAAAATTAATGTTCAATTGCTGTTTTAGGGCTTGTTTTTAAAGGTCTGGAATGGATTAATCCATTTTGCATTACTTTCTATGGGAAAGCGTGCCTTGGTTTTGGAAGGCATTGGTTTTGGAATTGACTTCCGAAACGGATTAAGTTTGAGAACCAAGGTACCACTGTACATTGATTTTGATGTGTATGATAGAAGCCATAAAAGTAAAAAAATGTAAACCAAGATTCTCAGGATCTCGAAAACAGGCACCCGGTAATTCCATGTTTATGCAACTGCCGATGCATGGGACACACACAACCGAGCATTTTGTTGGTTACTCACTGAAAGTGCAAAAGTGAGAACTTTCTGTATTAACTCCGGCTGAGATATTGCGCCAAGTACACGTTCTATTCGGTTCTTCTCTTCCTGCATATCAGCTTGCTTGTGGAGCTGAAAGAAATCAAACAGAGCAAGTGACAAGGCTCTTTCTCTGCCACAAGCAATCACCCTCTCTGCTTCAAGCTCAAGTCAGTGAAGCTAAATTAGAAACCTGACATGTGGTACGCTGGCAAACCTGCTCAGCCTCTGGGAGCATGGCCAAAGGGTAATCCACACAGGAATATTTGCCACTTAGTTTAGTGGGGGTCAAACAGAGGCCGCACTTCCGAATAACTGCACATTTGATATGGCAACAGAGCCACTAGGAGGCACCCTAGCTCCATGCGGTGGTGAAATGAGAGCCATTTCCAAATAACCTGCAGTGCTACCTATATTTAACTGAACTACTTGTCTTTTTTCAAAGTGTGTTCATGGCCAGACCCTTTATATAGGGGTAACATGTTACTTAGATCGGAGCTCTTCTGCAGGAGCAAATACAGATGGCTGCAAGGTATAATAAAAGCCACTCAGTATGATCTGAGGGATGATTAATCTTCCTGTGAAAAAATGCTGACGCAACTGGAGTTTAAGCTTGAAAAGATGGGGGGAAACACAGAACATGGCAAACGTCAACAGCTGTGCCATACAGTGCAAGAGTATCAGGGAAAACCCATTCTTAAAAAAAACTTTTGCATCCTCCTCTGAACACTGCAAAGCAATTTGCTCTCCCAGCACATGAACCACCTGTGGAAACAGTTGCTATGGAGTGTTTTGATGGCCACTGGAATTAATAGGTGATCAGAGGCCATTATAGCCCAAAGCACAATTTCCATGGAATGGGATGGGCCAGAATCCAGGATAGTAAGCTACATTGCTCTATGGTTTTTAAGAAAATCAAAGTCGCCAACAGAAAAATAACCATTTGGTTATGACTTGCAAGCTCTTTTTGTCAACTTCGTAGACATGATTACAGCACTCCCAGGGACTTTGTGAATCTTCTAGGCTTTATATTTATTTGAATTTATGGTACTGATATCTTACCCATTTTGAAGGATTAATATTCATAGGACTAAATTTTTTTAAAAAAATTCAATTTGTGTGCGCACACCTGTGTAACAAATGGGGCTTTTTAATCCCATTCATTTCAATGGGAGAGGTTCAAGAGCATTTAAAAATCTCTCCTGCTGAACTGAAGTGAGCATTATTAAGGGCAACTACTGTTCACATGGGACAGAACAAAAAAGAACACACTATCAAAATGCCAAATATTCAAACCACCTGTGCCCTTGATCATTAATGCATTACTGACCAGGGCTCATCACATTCATTTATTGATGGATTCTTCCCTGTATTTTTTCATGCACAGAAATGCAAAGAACACACTCACCTTTAGCATAGTGTCTAAGGTTGTACTGTCACCGTGCTTCAAAACAGTTACATATACCTGGAAAGAATGATTTAAAAACGATAAAAAATCAATTTCTCAAGGAGCACATTTACTACCATTCAGTTATAAAGCATCCTCACTTTTAGATTTCACCCTGCTGCCCCTCCAAAGTCTGCCTAGGAATTTCAGAAACCACTGGAAGCATATGAACTTGCCCCCATGCAATCAGTATATGTTCTGCTTGTACAATTAAAAACTTCTAAACAGATATATTTAGCAGCTGCTCAAGGAAACTTACTGGCCAACCATGCAGGAAACTTACATGGTTACTCAACACTGTATAAAAGACAGGATTTGTACACAGGCAAGGGATGCAGAGGATGGGGGTGGGGGAGAGAATACAGATCCTTTAAGGAGAAAAGGATGTCTTAATGCAACCTACAGGACTTCTCAGATCAGCAGAGAGGATGTGCTTCCCTTCCACGTGGTCCTTAAACCGGCGCCGAGCTTCTTCCACGGTTGCCTTATGGCCGGCTTTTCCTAGCTTGCCCAGAACTAAACCCCTCAGAAGTGCATCTAGATGGCCTGATGAAAAAACAAGAAAATATGTTTATTTTTAAAGGATTAGCAGCATTTCTTACTGGAATTTTTTTTGGGGGGGGGGTCACAAAATCTGAACTGAAAAGGACATGATATTATCAGTTCATCAAAAATCAGGGCTTGGAGTCAGAGCTTTGTTTGTGACCTGGCTTCTACAAAATGCTTGCTAGTTTTCCTCTTCCTAAACTCCAGCAATGGAGCTTTCATATACAACCTCAGGTGTGGTACAGGTGGGTGTGACTTTGGGAAAACATCCTTGTGAGCCAAATCAGGACCCCCTGCTGCACACAGATAAGCCGAAAGGCTGAAATGTTCCCCCACCACTGATGTAAGTCTCTGGGAGTCTATTCGGACACAGTGAAATTGGCAGGGCAAAGATTCATAGTGCTGAAATCTCACAGCAGAGAAACTTCCATACCCTCGCCAGGTCTGGGGTCCCAGCCCAGCTTCTCTCCTATGGGTGAAAATATATCACGGACGAACGCCTGGATCTCCTCATAGAAGTCTGTGTGGGACAAGAGAGTCGAGAGAATCCCCAGGTTACAGCTCAGGTCGCTCCATACGGTATAGTTGGGCTCATTCACAAATGCTTCCATGACTTTTAGAACCTCTACAGTGCTAATAATTCCAGCTCGGGCCTGAGAGAGGAAAAGAAACAAGTTACACTCATCTCCCAAACCAAAATGAATTAAGGCTTACCGCAAAGAAAGCTCTTTTGTGTTTCTTCCTCGTATCTGGAGACTGGATGTTGACTGCACCTTTTGCAGGAGGCAGGGACAGAGAAAGGACAGCGCTACTTCACATGGGACTGGAATCAGTGTGTTTTAGTAGGGATACAGAGTTGGTTTCCAGCCATGTGACCAGCCTGGAAGACTAACCATGCCTTCTTTCTTTTGCAGGATATTTCATTCTCTATTTATAAACAATTGGTTCCCAGCTCAATATAATTTCACAGGGATCAAATCAAGCCCCTAAAAGGGGATATGAAAGAGGTTTAATAAATTATGAAACAAATGTGAAAAGGGAAACAGAATTTTCTTCTGTCTCATAATTCTGCACTTTGGTGTCTCCTAATGAAATGGCTCTGAAGTAGGTTCAGAACAGATGCAAGAATGTAGCACTCAGAATTAGTTTATGGAATTTAGAACTCACAATTAGTTTATGGAATTTACCTCCAGCGGATGGTATTCTGGTCACTAGCTTAGATAGCATTAAAAAGAGATTAGACAGATTCATGAGAGATCTGGGAGACCAGGATTCATGAAGTTTGCTGGGTTACCTTGGGCCAGTCAGTCTCTCAGTCTAACCTACCTCACAGGATTCCTAAGATACCACAGGGGGGCCTGCCAAGAAGCAGCATCTAGCTGGGCACTACTGAATATAAGATGCTGGACTAGGCAGAGCTATCTTCCTCAACCCTGGCTCCTGGCTTTCCTTGCCCATTTTGTCTTCCTACCGGATGGTCTTTTGGACGGAAATCCCAGCTGCTCCCTGCCCACAATGTGATCTTGGTGGCAGATAACCTGCTGCTGGGCAATCTGTTCTATAACACACACTCACTCATTTGTCAGGAATTGGCTTGGCCTGTGTCAGAGGCACTGCTTAACTCTGTGAGGCAAGAGTGCCTAGGGTTCTAAAGCTTCTTAAGTATTTCTCAGTGAAATCAGTAACCATCCTTAAACTACAACTTGCCCACCATTCCCAATGTTCCTCTGCAACAATAGGAAAAGGTAGAGAGGTAAGCTTGGTGCACTGTGCCACTACGCCCCTAACACTAAAGTCTAGTGATAAAGTTGCACTTCTGCTGATTTCATGATGCTTTCAAGTCTCTAGCGGCTGAAAAAGATGCATTTATTATCATGTACAAATATTGGCTTCCTAACTAAACCGCCTCTATTTGTGCTGTCCAAACCCACTTTCTCAAGTCCTCTGACATGTAAAATGCTTCTAAAAGAAGTAGGTATTTCTGTCATTTGGACTGTTGTATGAAGGTGGTTCTTGCCATTTCTACTATCTCCAAACTTCAGTGTGAGTGAGCTTAGCTGGAGACCCTTCTTACCAGAGGTCCTCACCCACGGCGATTTGTGAATGTTTGTAGCTAGTGAACTCAGTCCATAGAAGTGTGCTCACACTCACAAATCATTTAGGATTACTGCAAAGTTCAAAAGGCCCGAGCAGTGCTCTGTGTTAAGTGAGCACCCCAGAATCCTCTGTAAAACTATTTGTCAGCAGATAAATTTATGTGCAGGAAAAGGCTTAATGACTATGTAAGTTTAAAAAACGCTGGTTTAACTGGGAGACATTACACCCACCCAAGTAAATCACTCTTGCATTCTCTTTACCATTCTCAAATTTAAAAGGCATGTTACTTAAGAACCTACATTCTCTATGCAGGACCCAATGGAACTTTTTGTTAAAATTAACAGAATCAATCTATTCTGGTTTCTCAAGGGAAAACACAGCAAGGAAAGTCACCCACAGATTTGTTATGCAAATCCTTCCATTTCACACGCTCTCACATAACCCCCCCCCCCGAAACCAGGAGGTCAGGGTGTGTGGGGAACCTATGGCACTGACATGGCTGTGCTTATTTCACATATCTGCAACTGCTTGTATAAGGGCACAGTTTAGTACCAGGCACAAAATTCAGCACCAGCTCTTTCTACAAAGTAGCACTTGTAGCTGTAGCAAGCAGCTTCTAAATGCCAGGCACTGCTCAAGTAAGATCCCGAGAGACCCAAAGATCACAGAGTGGAGCTTCTGTGCTCTGTATAGCACCTCCCCACAAGCAGAAGCGGCAGAAAAAATAATGCAAAATTAGCCAAAACAAACATAGTGGTCAGGATTCAAAGAAACATGAAACCAGTCTCAGCACTTGGCTAACTGCTTTTGAAACTGAAGGGGGTATCAAAAGCAGCTCAAGATACTACAAAGGAGTCACCTATTCAAAAAAGTAGAAAATAAGGTAAAATAAAATAAAGACTTGGCTTGCAGAATACCACTAAGCATAAATCAGGACCTTCCACTTGATAACTCATTTGCATAATTTATTCATGTTTCAGAATACTGGTTATCTAAGTTTAAACACATTGCTCAGGCTATTAGCTTAAAGTAAAATATTCTCTTGCAGGAAAACAGCATTATGACCAGCTGGGGCTACAGGGCCTTTGCTTGATCACGCTGAGGTGAAACTTTCACACCTCACTAACAAGATGCCAAATTCATTAACTGCAACTGTATGCTGTAGATGCTGTACCTCCAGAAATAGCACCTAACTTTGGGGAGACATTTCTACAATAACGGAAGCAATCTGCTGCCACAGGAAAAGTGGGGGGGTGGGCGGGGGCAGGTTAATGAAGAGAGAAGACTGGCAATCACTTACCAAAGAAAAAAGATCATTCTGCAGCCCCAACCTGTCCACAGGGGGTAAGGAGAGGTCACGGATAGCTGGGAGCAAACTCTCCAGCATGTCAGAACTGTATTGTGTACGGTAAAACCCTACCGTTCCCAGGTTCAGCTGAAAATACAGAATGAAGAAATTCAGTCAGCAGCTTACAGAAGACAACCGAGAAACAAACCCACAGTCCCCAAATTACCCTTGACGGTATTTGAGTCAAACAGGGAGAACAGAACCAGGCAATTATTTTATATCACTGGTAGTACTTCGTGCAGGAAGATAAATGAGAATTACCATCAACAGAAGGTCAGCTTTAACAGAGAAGAGTTTCAAAAAGAGAAGAGATTAAAGTTCTTGTACTATCAAACTGACAATCAGAAAGATGGCTAGTTTTCCTTACTGGAAAGGACCATGTTTAGTTTGATTAGATTTGTGCATCACTTCTCTCATCAAAGAGAGTCCTGAAGTTTTATAGCCAGAGTGAAGAACCTCCAACTTAAAGGATAATCCTGGCCCACCAGGCTGCCCATTTGGGCTGTGAGGCCAAATTGGGCAAGCCACGTCCACCCACCCTAAACCTCCCATCCTGCAGGTAAGAGCAGGGGCTTGGCCAAAGCCTGCTGGAGCCACTTTCAAACTGCCCGACAACCAGCTGGTTGTCAAGAGCCTTTCAAACACTGTGCAAAACAGGATTGCCCCAAAAAGGTGTGCGACCTTGCTTGGTCCAGGGAAAGGTTGTCCCAAGATACTGACATCCCAAACACTGCAAGGCTTTATAGGTCAAAACCAGCACTCTGAATTAGGCTTGGAAAGAAATGGCAGAGGATGCTCTTCCCACAAGGCTCAGGGGATTCCTTTTACAAAGTGCTTGTAGTTGGAAGGCTCTCTTAGATCAAGATGCAATGCGCCACCTTCATGCAGACCACATTTTTGTCTTGTTTAAAGTGATTTTATTATTACAAGCACTTAATAGCCACATTAATATCCCAGTCACCTTTTGCAGACCCTTTAGCATGTCTACTACCAGCAGGTAGCTGTTATTGCTGTGCAAAACATAAAAGGTAAAGATAAAGGTACCCCTGCCCGTATGGGCCAGTCTTGACAGACTCTAGGGTTGTGAGCTCATCTCACTCTAGAGGCCAGGAGCCAGCGCTGTCCGCAGACACTTCCGGGTCACGTGGCCAGCGTAACGAAGCTGCTCCGGCAAACCGGCACCAGAGCAGCACACGGAACGCCATTTACCTTCCCGCTAGAAAGCGGTACCTATTTATCTACTTGCACTTAATTGTGCTTTCGAACTGCTAGGTGGGCAGGAGCTGGGACCGAACGATGGGAGCTCACCCCGCCGCAGGGATTCGAACTGCCGACCATGCGATCGGCAAGTCCTAGGCGCTGAGGTTTTACCCACAGCGCCACCCGCGTCCCTGTGCAAAACATAGTGCTATTTTAATTTCTGTAGCGCTTTGCCCTGTAGAAAGCATATTGTGGTTCTTCTGACTGCAACACGCCTACAAGGCAGATCAGTGTGAGACAGTGGTTTTCAACCAGTGTGCTGTGGCACCCTGGGGTGCCTTGAAGGATGGTCAGGGTGCTGCAAGCAACACTGGCCTCTGTCCCTTTTCATTCCATCCCTCCTCTGATGATCTCTCACGTCTCTGCCTCCCAAAGGCTTGCACAGCTGTTTGTTGCAGCAGCCCTGGCTATAAGATCCATAGGCGAATAGTGCCTCTGGGGCAGGCCAGGGGGGTGCTTCCTGTATGAGGAGGAACCTCTCTATGGGGTGGGGGTGGGGCAGCTCAGAGACCAGGGACAGCAGCAGTGGCTGCCTGGAGGACTCCCAAGAAGAGAGGGCTGATGGAACACTCCACAAGAGAAGGTGTTTGAAAAAGGGTGAGAGGCTGCCAGCTCTGCAAGCAAGGGGTGACATAACTGGGCTCCTGAGCCCCACAGCGGTGCCGAAGAAAGGATGTAGTTGGTCAAGGGAGCCATGGATTCAAAAAGTTTGAAAACCTCTGGTGTGAGAGATCATTATTTCTGTATTGCTACAAGGTAAGAGGGGATTAGAAAGTCTGTGTCTTGTGCCCATGCTGAATAGTATGTACACATAATCATACTTGGTGCTGTTGGAGGATGCTGAAACATGCTTAGTTTGCTGCCCTCCAGGATGTGGGAGAATCACCTGGAAACAAAGAGACTAGAATGGCAAGCTTCAAAGCCAGAAATAATCAGCCTTGATAGCAAGTGACATTCATTCAGCAATTCCATTACTACTGTCCTTGTCCTATCTGCATATGTATATTAACTGTGCCAACATTCACCAAGTCTCAACAATCCTTTCCCAGCCTCTGACATCTTAGAGAAGGAACAGCCTAACAATCCAAAATTATAAACCAAAGCAACTTGCACGTTCATGGATATATCCTAAGTTCGCAACATCTAACTTAAGTGAAGATTATGGACTCCTACTTCTGGAACTCCATCCAAGTAATGTGCCTGCCACCAAAAAGATTTTGAAGACATACTTGTTTCAACTTTTTTTGGTAATCCTCTTTGCAAAAGAAAAAAAATTGACTGCAAAAAACCCTCTCTCAATCAACATACTACATTTTATGAAGTAAGTAAAACTGGATTTTAAAATTATTTTGGTATGATTCCTGCTAGTTTTTTGGAATATTGGTTTCACAGCTGATTATTAGATTATTATTTTTTAATGATTTTGCTTATGCTGGGCTAAATGATGTTTTAACTGTTACTGCTAGCTGGCATTTTTGATATTATAATATATTAACTTTGCCCTCTTATATTTTAATGTAATTGTGATATGTGTTATATGTTTGTAAGCAACCTAGATAGAATGGCCTTAAAATCATTCAAATAATTAAATAAGCAAGCACATCTTCTCTTCTGAAATCCACAATTAAAAATTAGTTCATATAGTATCTCTGATTTATAGCTACTTTTTCAGACAACAGCAGCTACTATAACTTTATCAGCCAGAAGGACTCAGGACACTTCCATAGTCCTGGTGTTTGGGTTGTGAGGCAGCACAACTTTAAGGTAACAAGACCATAACATGCTGCAAGAAGATGCATCTTAGAGCACTGTGCTGGCCAATCAAGGTGCTGACCATGTTTCGACAATCTGCCGGGTTAATTCAGAAGACTGTCTCCCCTTTCTGCTCACCTTCACCCACTGCTCTGGCTTCACGTCTTTCAAAACCAACGTCAACTCGGGCTTGTCCATCAACACTTGCATTTTGGCATGGGTTGGGTCTTCACTTGTACAGATGCTGATGGGTATCATCCACAGAGGGTTACCATCCCCTATATGAAAAAAGAGAAGAATGCCTGACAGAACAAGGCATGGTATGGCAAACTGCCCGGCCCCATGGAAACACCCCTTTTATAGCATTAAACTCACAGCTGCTCCAAGTCAGCACATTTGTATAGTATCAATGCAATGATTCTGCAAAGGGAAAATATCTAAGTTCCTTTTTAAAAAACAAATAATAATAATCTGAAGAACACTTTGGAGATCTACGACTTATATTTCAGAACAGTAGTTCTCAAGTTCAGCACTCCAGTTGAAATGAAATGATCGATTGACTTCCTGCAGACTGTAACCGAGGGAGAGATATGAGGGACCATTCCATGGGCTCTGCTGACATGCTGGCTCCCTTCCTCATCTGTCACTTGGTAGCAGCCATTTCATCAGGCTGCAGCAGAGAGAGATGGGAAGTGGCCACTCTGTTAGCTCTGCTGGGACAGCAACTCCATTTGGCTCCTCCACTCCCTGAGCTGTTCCCATTCCGGTGGGTCATTACAAGTACTATTATGAAACTAGGAACTGGTGTCAAAGTTTACTCATTTCCCTCTTTCCTCCTCATCCTTTTCCTTTAAAGTGTTATGTCTTTTGAGTTATAAGACTGCTGGCAAGGACTGTCTTTTTCCAGTCACTTTGAAGGTGGAGGTGTCATTAAAAGCTAGGCACAAACTATTTATATGAAGAATTACTCCTTTAAACACACACATTTAGCCATATTGGGCTTGGGTTAGGCAGTGCAACACCTGCTAAAAGTCAGAACCGTGTGGTACCAGTTCAAGTGAGGCCTGCACCCTTTTAAGCAAGCCAGCTTGGAAAGCAAGGGTGCTCTGGTGCCAATGCATCAATGCTACAACTGAATGGTTATCCTTTCACACATCCCAGATGGTTCTAATGTTTAGCTATTAAAAGTAACTCCACAGAAGGGAGACAAATGTGAGGAGGAAACACAGTATGGTTATAAGTTTGTGTGAGAATGTGTGAAAATTTCTCAGGGCTGCTCTTGCCTCTGTCAACCTGAGCAAACAGCTGCTTAAGCAGAAGCACGGAAAGTTCAGTGCTATCCCACTGAGTTCATTTAGCAAGCTACTCCTGGGATTGGGAAAAGTATGAAACATTCCAATTCTTCATTACTTTCCTTTGAAAAATATTCATAAAGCTATTCAACCACCATGGTTTTCAAGCAATGAAAACTGCACAAAGAGCTTAGAAAATATATGCTCCTACATAAACTCTACAAAACTATTCAATTCTGCTCATGAATGCTTAGATGAACTCTTACGTTCAGTCTGGTAATGAATATGAAAGAAATACTGTATTTTCAAGAGCAGCAAATAGAATGGTCATAGGAAGGAAATACATTGCTAGGAACAAATATGAGAGCTTAATCTGCTCAGCTTAGAAAAAGAAAGGTTGAACAGGGACATAATTACACTCCACAATAAAAAGGTAAGTAGAAATAGAAGCAGTTATAGATAGCTGCAGATATAAGGCTAAAAGCTGACTGTTAGCAAATATAATCTTGAAAATCAATGAATGTTTTGAACTAGTGAGAGGTATGACGTTCTGGAACAGTGAAGATAGCTTAGTTTAAGAGTATATAGTTATGCCTCCTTCACCGGATTGTCTGTAAGATAAGGTGGGTTCTCTTACTTCTCTTCTTGAAAGGGAGTACCACAATTAGCAACAGAATATCCTCTAAGTTCCTTCAGGTCTCTTTCAAACCCAGCGTCTGACTGTTATATTTGCCACCAGGAAAGTAATCTCTGCATCCTCACGTAGGAGGAGCCAGTGGCTTGTTTGCCTTTTTGTTATGTGCTTTCTCCTGGAACACATGGTTTTACTGCTTGCATCAGTAATCCGGTGCTATTTGAAGAAGGGGTGGCTAACCCATGGCCCGCCACATACTGGACTCCAGTTCCAATCAGTCCTAGCAGCATGGCCAATGGTCAGGGATAATGAGTTTTAGTACAGCAAAATATGGAAGTCCACTGGTTAGCTACTCCTGCACTAAAGGCTCCTTCCTGAAGTGGAGCTGTATCTTGATTACGTGCACTGATGACTCTGCCGTCCAGCACAGATAATGCTAAAAGCTTTTTTTTTTTTTGTCCTTTCTAACTGTGATAAATAAGCACTCAGATATCTACCAACTACATGCCTAACAAAGGCTAAATATGTGATTTGTCAAATATGTGTGGCAACGGAGCAGCTGAGTGCAGTATCTGCAATATTGAAACCATTCTCCACTAGAGTTCCATGTGCAGGAGGAGGGGGAAACACTGTGTAAATCCATTTCTACTGCCTTCCAGAAATGTTCTGGATACACATAGGCACTGAGTACACATTGCAAAGAAAATTTAAAGGCAGATTACAATCTTCCTAGTTAAAACATGCAGACTGTAAGAAGGAAAATAATGAAAAACTAGAACTTCAGGCTTAGTAGTTCATTTTTATATATATAAAAAAGATCAAGTTATTTCAAACATCTAAATCCTAAAAAGGACACCTGCCTGCAGAAACTGACAGTGCAAGTGCTGTTTCCCAGAATGGTTGGTGTCACGTACAATATGGTGCGCTGCTTGGCTCCTGCTATTAGCCATCGCCTTACCACTATATGGTCCGCTGGCACAGAATTTCTTCTGGACTAGCTTCAACACTTTTTCATCTTCTCGCTGGAGTAGAGAACAAGAGGCAAGAATAGTATTCAAAGGTTTCAAATAAGATCATATGCCCAGAACCCATCCAGCTATGAAGGCCTCATTCCTTGAATTCACAGGCCACATTAGGCTGGTCAAATGTCCAACATGCTGAGCTGCTACTTCTTTCCCAATTCTCACCCCCCTCTGTTGTTGCCCTCGCATTCCCACATACCTTTTTTCTGTTGGTCCCAATGATCTCTGGTGCCCCAGTCACAGCTGCCATGTTTTCTTATGACACTGTATTGTATCACATATAATATAGCATAACCAGGACTGGGTTATCAGTAGCTACAGGTTAAGTAGGACAAATGAGATTCTAGCAAGACAGATTAGGTAGTCTGGTTGCCTGGCAAAATGTGGCCCTGGCTCAAGCTGATCCATGGTTCAGTTTAACAAACTTAAATTCTACATCAGGCCCCAGGCCTTGAACATAAGAAGACATAATCAAATGCGTTTGGATGAGGGTCTCCAGTTAAATAACTATTCAAAGCCTCTCATGCAATGCTGCTAATAAGACTTCAGGGATATAGAGGACCAAAATATAGACTTTTATGGCTGAATGGTTTTCACCACAAATTTATTTATCATATTGTTGTACTATATGACTCTATGACTTTATGTTAAATTACAATTGTTTTAGAGGAAAGTCATACCAAAACTTGGAATAGTGCTTAGGTCTCAGTCCTTAAGAGCATGAGTCATGACACAGGAAGTTCCTGCTGCAAATCTCAGCCCAGCAATGAAATCACTGGAGAGCCTTATGAGGCACTTTTTCTGCCCCCAAAATAGCATTTGCAACATGGGACTTAAACTGGCTCCCTTTAGAGAGTTACGTCTAATGAATACGTAAGTACTTGTACTTTGGAAAATGTTCTATAATGTCACATTAATTAAAAACAAATATGGATATTCTTCTAGTAAAGGTAAAGGGACCCCTGACCATTAGGTTCAGTCGTGGTCGACTGGGGTTGCGCGCTCATCTCACTTTATTGGCCAAGGGAGCCGACGTACAGCTTCTGGGTCATGTGGCCAGTGTGACTAAGCCACTTCTGGCGAACCAGAGCAGTGCACGGAAATGCCGTTTACCTTCCCGCCGGAGTGGTACCTATTTATCTACTTGCACTTTTGATGTGCTTTTGAACTGCTAGGTTGGCAGGAGCAGGGACCGAGCAGCAGGAGCTCACCCCGTTGTGGGGATTCGAACCGCCGACCTTCTGATCGGCAAGTCCTAGGCTCTGTGGTTTAACCCACCACGCCACCCGCGTTCTTCTAGTGTTTAGAAAATTGAGGCTTGCTACACCATTTACATTTCCCATCTTCTTCCCACACCCGAGTCCTGTTTTCTCAACCCTCTCCCATAAATCCTGCCCACTACTCTACTGCTTCATCCATTCTGTTTTTAGTTGCAGCTCCAAGTAACAATTTAGGATAGTTTCCTTCCTGCATTTACAAGCTTGTTATTTTTGGTGGGGAAGACCCCAAACACAGACAAAAAAATCCTTATCTAAGATTTTGAAAGTTATCACAGCAATGCACTGTTAAAAACAGTCTGCTGCACAAAGCACTGGAGGAGCAAGGGCATTCTAGGAAAGCAACTCATTCATCTCACACCTTTAGCACCTGCTATTCTTCCTCAGAGGAATCAGATGCAGGGGTGGGGTGGGGCACAGGAGAAACAGAATTAGGGACATTCTTCCAAATGGACTTCAGAATTTGGAGAACTGTCCACAAATGGAGAAACAGAATTTGTGTACAGCTTACAAATGGACTTCAATGGCAAGTCCAAATTAAGCAACAAACCATTTCAAAGCTGTACTGCCTAGGCTCCCTTATTATAACTGCTTTCTAGAGAGCAGCAAAAATATTTCTCATCTGGCTCCCCCTCAACCTCATTCTAGATTTTGTGTTATTTAAATTGTTTTCATGTTTTATTTATAGACATCCTAGGACTGACAAGCAGGATAGAAATGTTTCAATGACTAAAATAATCTGTAGGAGCATTACTGGTTGTTTAATAAATTGGTGAGGCTCATTTGATATCAGGACAAAACTGACCTTTGGTATCATTGGCCCAGCCCTGTGGAATGTTCTCAATCAGCAGATGTATTCTTTATTTGCTGAAAAGTTTGCTGAAAACTTTTCTTTGCCACCAGGCTTATGTGGACAATTAAAAAAAAAAAATTCTTTAATAATTAGCTGGTGATCTATTTTAATCTTTCTAAAAATTTGTATTTTATTGATTTTAAGTTACAAATAAATTAGATCTAAGAAAGAAGAAAATGGCTTAATTTTTATGTGTTTTTTATTGCAAATCGTTGCAAATCGCTTTGCTATTTTTAAATGAAATTACGGCATGCAAGCATTTTAATAAATAAAAAATAAAGAACATCTCAGAAGGAATTTGCCAACTTTGTAATCAGCAAGGGACTCTAGAGCTGAGGTTTTTGGTAATCCATGAATCCATGTAAACAGATGCACCAAACTGTATCAGTAGTTTTGATGCAGCATTCAGTGTTAGGAATTTAAGACTTTCTGGCTATGAAGGTAACTACTGAAAGTTCATGTGAGCAATGCTTAAGCAAGAGAAGGAGTAGCTGAATCCAGGTGTGAGGCTTCAGTACCCTGCATCTTCATTCCTCATTTGTTCCAGAAATACAACACAAAAATATATAGTATTAGCTTGATTTGCACAATTTACCCATCATTGGATTTTTAAGTGCAGAGTATATAACCATCAGTATTATCACCAATGTCTACACTAACTAATCAATTCAGTTGCTCCCACAAGTGATGCTAGGAAAATCTGCTTGCAAATCTGCTTTATTTGCATAATCTATCCAGTTTAGTCAACCATTCCAATTAGGAATACATTTTCTGCCTTTGCCATCTCTAAAATATCACAAATTTTATGAAGCCTTCAATATCACAGTAAGAACATGTAAATTCAATGTTTTTGAAATTTTGACTCATTTATTCAACTTAGATGCTGGTGACGTGTGAATGCACGTGTTGTGTTTGACAGAAAATGCGTAATTCAGGCATCAAGCTCAACCATGGTTCAGGAAGCGTAAGTACGGAATGGCATGATGTCTGCAATAACACACTATGGTTTGTGACCAAGTTAGAAAACTAGAGTTTCTAGTGTGTACACAAAATACTATTCAAGCTAACTAAGGTTTGGTATAATATTTGAACTGACAAGCCAGAAGTTACAGCCGCTGTTCCAGAGGGCCCTTTCCAATACAGAAATGGGAGTGACGAGCAGATGGAAAACAAACTGGGATTTGTGTCTATGTTTGAAAGCGCAATCATTTTGCATGTTGTCTCAACTGAGCCACAATAAAAGTAAGAAAGTAATATACCTACCTGTTCTGCCTCCACATAAACAAGTGGAAACCCCATTTGCTTGGTCCATGTATTCATCACAGCAGCAATAGGTTTACCACTCGATTGTTCCAGGCTTTCCCAAAGATCCTCTGTGGAAGGGGGGGAAAACTCACATGAAAATGCTCCCCCAGCTAGTAAGCAGCTGCAGTTTCATTAATACCAACACACAATTCTCTACAATTCTACTGCTGTTAATAATTTTAAAATAATTTTAATGCAAAGAGTAATTTCCAAACAATTTGTTCACAGCTCCAACAAATTCTTTTGACAAGGCAAGCAGCCATTACTCCCATGAAACCAATGGGGGGAAAGGGAGTGAAACCCTACAGGGGGATTTGCTTCCCTTGTCCAATCTTCCTAACCACCAATCTACACACAGCTGCAGCATCAGGACCCTCTCAACTCAATGCTGCTGCCACTTTCAAACCTCCTACTTGGAGCCAGTGAGAATACCCCAGAAATAAAAGTTATCATTACGGCAATGCAAATGTCTTTGGTATCACAGTTTTAAGCTATGACAGCACCCCAAATTACTAGGCCCATGTTTTCTAGGGATGTGCACTTAGAAAAAATGTTTTGCTTTCCACTCATTATTATCCCAACACTTTGACTTCACCCCAATAGGCTCGCTCCTCCATTGTCTTCTGAGACAGACGGATGCTAACAACGATTGTCTTATTTCATTTGTTTTATTCATTTCTTCTTTGTTATGGTTCTACACTGAATGCAGTGCTGATCCAGCCTGTTTTCTGGTGCCTCCATTTCTTAAATGAAACCCAAATATCATGAAAACTGCAGGTGCTTTACAAAGATTGCAGAAAGGGTTCCCAAAAGCTATTATGGGGTGCCATTCTCTAAGCTTCCCAGTGCTTTATGCTTCAGACTGGACAGTTTTCATGTCTTGCCACTTTTAAAAGACTCCATGATTACCTCATCCCTGGCCTCCTACAGAATATTCCCTTGATATATCCTTTGCTAAGCAATGTAATGCCATGTGCATGCTGATCTCAGGGTCTTCTCCACATGGTTTCTGGCTGCTCCAGAGCCAGGAAAAATAGGCTGGCTCAAATCCAGTGGCTCTCTCTTGTAGTCCTGATGAAGTCAGTACTTTGCATGTGGTGAAAACAAAGGCTGTGGATTGGACCTATAAAAAGGCGCACAGTCCGTGCAGTGTGCTGAGCAACTATTAGGAGAATTGCCTGCAGGCTGGAGATTCACTGGCTTCTGAATTCTCCCAGTTAGAAGCTGCCCAAGGGGAATGGATTGCACTGCCCTGTTTCCCTTCCTTTAAAGGGGGGTGGGCAAGAGGGAGGTGAAATCCAAGAAGGTGTTGAAAAGAGGGAAGTAATCAACGCACCCTGAAACAGTCCAAGGAAGAAGTAATCTGGGGGGAGGGACCAGTTAAATTGCAGGAAAAAAACCAAGAAAATTCAATCCAAGCAAGGAAAAGGAAGCAGGTAAAAATACCAACACCCCACATGTGTTCCACTCACTGAATTTGTTCAGTGCTGAAGACAGGGATGGTCTGGAAACTATGGGATGACTCCTCCCTGCAAGATAGCATTGACACATGACCCTGCCTGATCAATCAGAGGAAGAGCATCCCAGCATAAAGGCTGTCCTCCAGGAGCCTCTGGGGAATTAAAGGATTTTGCTTCTCCCATTCAGTTTTGTACTTTTCATTCATTTCTCTCAAGAGATTAATTAGGAACTAATGGTTTTGTTTTAAATTTCTTTTAGAAATGAATACACATCTGTACTAGGATGGATCTGGCTATTGCTTTGGTTTTTTATTTAAAATGTATCACTACACACTGAAGTTACTTATAGAGGTTCACAACAATTAAAACAATATAAAATCTAAATTAAAAAGCAAATGTAACACTGAAAATAAAACAGCAAAGCAGCAGTTAATTCCCATAGGCCAACTGAAACTGAAATATATTTGCATATTTCTGCATCTGCAGACAGCAGAGTTATGACCAGTTAAGCCTGCACTGATCAATGAATTATGTTAACATGGGTCTTAAAAACTGCCAGGAGTCCCACAAAATCCAGAACATCTCGTATGGGTTCTGAAGTGCATCAGAAATCTCTTCTCAGTCCTGTCTTTCTGACTGCCAGTGACATTCTGGAATTATTTGGCTGTTCAGTGTTCATTGATGCTGGTCTGTCAGCAAGAAAATAGGCTGCTGCCAGGCTGCTTCACAGCTTGTGCCAGGAATTCTTTGATTATGCTTCTTCCTGATCTCACTTGGGCTTCTCATTTGTTTCTCTTTGTCCCTTCTGTGAGCTTACATTCTGAGGCGGTTTGTGTGCCCAGACTTCATTTCTGTTTCCCTGCCTACTCCCATCGTTCCACTCTGGCTTCCCTAATCCCAATTCTGTCCAAGCAGCTAGGCTGCTTGTGTTCTAGCAAGTTCCTGAGAAATCGGAAACTGTCTGCAGTGTACGGGTATGACTTGTCAATGCACAAAAGAAACAACTCAGATCTGTTAGGGAAAGCACAAGTTCAAGCTGACAACATTTAAACCCTTAGTTAAGTACTTAAATTCCACTTATTTCAAGAGAATGTAGCAATGTGCCTCAGTTCTCTGTAGCCAATATATTTCCCAAGGAAGTGGGAAATTACTGAAATGTTGCAAAAAAAGAAAGGGGAAAAAAGCTAACATCTGAACTGGCTTTGAGTTGCCATACACCTGCCAGTTACATTCTGATGGAAAATAACTGCTGACAGAACTTCCTCCTCTCCCCCCACAAATCCTTTTGCTTGAAGAGAAGCTGGAATGCAAAGAGCCACACAACCTGTTTGCAACACCCAATTGAGTTTTGGGTTTGCCTTGTTAGAAGGAAAAGACTCCATCCCCCAGGGGAATCTACTTTTGAAATGGGAGGCGACAATGAAATGACAATTTGTGATATGGCTTGAGGTTCTGCTGTTCAGGCAAAGCTCCCTTTAAATAATGTCAAGTCCTTGAGCAAGTCAAAAGCAGCTCTTCAGATTGATGGTCAGAAACACTACTGAATACTTGGAACAGTAACCCAAAAAAGCATCAACAGGGTGCAATCCCTCCCTTGGCAGAGAGGTATAGTTTCAGCTCTCTGTTCTGTACAGAACTAACCATACGACTGTATTACATATATTAAGAGCAGTAAAAGCAAAATGAGCTTCTTCCCATTCCATCGTCTATTATTGATTTTCAGACATTTAATTCATGTATGATCATTTGGGGGGGGTGGTTAGCAGAGGAATTAATAGAAGATCAGGGTCAGGAAATAAACAAGCCAGGTTTCCAATTCAGAATCTGATCTGGGTTTCCCCCAAAGTAAATTTAGCCTATTACTACTGCAAATTTCCAGATGGTCAGAGAAAAGTATTGTGAGAAGGATCACACACTCATACAGATAAAGTTTGATAGGAAACACTTTGCTGGTGAACTTCCCTGCATTTCAGGCAGAAAAAAATTATCACTGGGGGGTGCAACTTCTCTGTGTAATGTAATGTTCTGGGGACAAGGGGACAACAAAAGAGAGAGTACAAACACAACAGCCAATTACCTGTAGCTGCATTCTTATGTTGAAACTTGGTAAGGTAGAGGTGCATTCCTTTCCGGAAGTCCTGTGAATGTAATATTTTTATTTTGTTAATATAAACAACTTCAAAATTAGCTTATCACTGGATGGGACTGGAATGTAACGTGTTGTTTTCCACCAAACTATTTATCCTTTTCATGAGCTAACAGGGTTTTTTTGGCAAACCCATATTAAATTTGTGCACCATCCTTGCACTCTTCTAGTAGCAGGCAGTCCCTTAAAACTGGCATATTGCTGAGGAACAGAGTCACAAGCTTCTGCAACAGGAATTCACTACTTAATTTAAGAGTGCTGGAACATGTGAAACTAAATAATGTGACTTTTAGATAGGCTTTGAGCCTCTACACTATTAAGCCCCAATACCAATTTTTAGATCCTTCCAATCCTGTGGCAACTCCTAACCACTTTAACTTAACCTTTCTGCTGCTCACAGATATTTTGTGCTATTTGCTACCATTCTGATGCATTAATGGTTGAAAGCCAGTTGAAAAGCATTCAAAAAACGTTTCAAAACGTTTTAAACATTAGTTGAAAAATAAGGAACCTTGTAATTGCAAAGTCCACTTGGGCACTTAAATGGATAGTCTGATTAAAATCAGTACTGAAAACCTTTATCTGCTTTTCATTTCATACTATAATAATTATTCTTTCACTGCAAAATGCATTTACAAATGTCTTTTAAAGTGGTTAATTTTAGAACAGCCATATGTGAGCAGCTTTTTGGAATACTGAATTAAGGAAGATTAAAACAGTGTTAACAAGGCAGTTTCAATATAATTTTAATGATTAAAAATGACAAAATTGAAAAGCATGAAGTCTGGCATTGACTTAGAATTCAAATCATACATACTACGCCATAAAAAACAAGAGGCGTGGACAGCAGGTGAATGCAGGGTGCCTATTTACATAACATGTAAAATTGTGACTTGCTCTTGTGCCCCACGTGTTGATTCTACACACCAGAGAATTTTGGGAACCGACCCAAATCCAATTCTGGGAACCAACCAGATCTTCCGAAAAGTGATTGAGAGTAAGAATTTCAGCTTAAGGCAAATAAAGATCCTGGGTTGCGTCCAGATGTATGGAGCATATTTAATATTAATAAGGGTCACAATTAGCCACATAGAGTAATGGAACCAACATCGAATCATAGAATTGTAGAGCTGGAAGGGACCCCAAGGGTCATCTAGTCCAACCCCCTGCAATGCAGGAATCTCAGCTACAGCATCCATGACAGAAAGCCATCCAACCTCTGCTTAAAAAGCTCCAAGGAAGGAGAGAGATATACAGAGATAGGATCTGAATGTCAGATGCTAAAGACAAAGCTAAGGAGAAGGCCACCACTTTCATGTTTTGCTGCTCAACTCCCAGAGGTATCTGAAAGCTGGACTAAATGGACCTTTGCTTGATCCACCAAGCTCCTTACCACACAACCCTTTCTACATAAAAGAACACAGGACATCCACAGTTACCCTAGATGTCAGTGGCAGTAAAGTTATAGATTTACCTCATCCCCAACGTAGTCATGTAGCATTCGAATTACTGACGCACCCTTGCTGTAAGAGATTGCATCAAATATTTCATCAACTTCAGATGGATGGCCCACATTGACCTGGGGTGAGAAAGGCAACAAGGCATCAGAAGAGACCACATTTGATTTGCATCTCCAGTTACAGATATACGAAGCAGTGTTAAGGTCATTTAGTGTTTAGTCATTTAGTCTCTAAGATAAAGCATTCTTGGTTGCTTTCCTCCGGCGCCCCAGCCCGTTATCAGAGGAAGAATTTCTAACAATGAGAGAGCATGCGGCAAAGCATATGCAAACTCCACTGATTGCAGCAGTTGGCACTCACTTCAATAGGGTGACTGTTGTCTAAGGCATCCAGCTCCTGAGCTCGTGTGTAATCAGCAGAAACAAATTGTGTCCAGATATCGTATTCTGGAAAACAATGGTCCACACAGAGGTACTCAATCCAGGATGCAAAGCCCTCATTGAGCCATAGATGGGTCCACCATTCCTACGAAGAATTGAGAAAATTGCTGATACTAAAAGCAGAGCACCAGAGCATCAAGATAAAAGGACAAGGAGTTGCCATTGGTCTCTGAGATCTCAGGTCTCCATCACTGAAACCTCTGATTCTCTTAGAGATGTGGAACTCCTTACTAACAGGTACAAATATTGTGCAATTCTGTGTACGAGGAGAAAAAACACAGAACTCGGCATTCTATAAAATAATGTCTTTACAAAGCAAGTTTCTAGTCCCCACACCTTAAAAACTAGGAAGACAACGCTTGATGAAATCTCTGTAGCAGCCCGGGAGGGGGGGGGGGGGGGAGATGGCTGCAGTATTGTGGGGAATAAATCAAATGGGAACATTCTCTATCAGCCACTGAAGGAACGCCTTTGTTTAGTAGGCTAAGATTTTTAACAGAAATGGGAAACACAATACAAGTGAAAGCTGCAACACAGTAACTGTTCTCTGTGCAGAATGAAATGTATCAAGTAAGAATGAACCCCACCAGTGGATAAGAAATAACTAACCGAATTCTAGATAAACTCAATCTGAATTTGATGTTGGGGTGGGTGGGTGGGGGACAGAAATTCCCAACTCTACCGCAGCTTCAAGTAGATCAGGTTTCAAGGTAAAGTTCTAGGGCTTCAATGCTCAGAAGCATTACCAGGATTAATGCAAGTGAGGACAATGATGAAATCCACGCTAACCACACTTTTCAATTCCCCCCTCCCACCACCTAGGAAATATTCTCCTTTTACACATTTTTGTGGTCTTTGAAAGTTTCATCTAGGCAGTCAGTCAGCCGAATGCAGGCCTGCAAGGCAAACTGAGCCACGTAGCAATAATTGCTGGTCACGTGATTTGCAGCTGAAGGGAAGAGGGTTAAAAAATCCTGCCTTACCACCCCTCTTAGCACCCTCCAACTTCAATGTTCAATGTGTTGTCTTTCAAACCTATGTTCAAAGATACTAGAAATGGGCTTTTTAATTTATTTTTTTAAAAAACAGCTGAAATTCTCAGAATATTTGAACATATTCTGTTGTTCTTTCAAGGAAACTCAGAGAAGCTTCTAAGTGACTTACAGGCAGCCTCCCATGCAGACCAGGGCAAGACCTACTTATCTTTTAAAAAAACTGTCCCATCTTATGGTCTTAAACCAGTCTCTAGATGAACTTTACGCATGTATAATTCAGAATGCTGGTTTATAGAACCCAGACAAATTTCCGTGCTTTGCACAGTGGCAGTACTGTAGCCCGTGAGGTTAACCTGATGCGTGATTATTGCTAATTGGGGATACAGAGTCAGTTAGGGGGTGGAGAAAAATAGATTTACTTATTTTTTAAGAGGCATAATTGAAAGAATAGAAAAGATGACAATGCAAGACATTTGTCCGCAAAATCGAAAATAGACATTACAATAATACCTGCTTGATTAATGTGGTACGAACATTGAATCTCACATGCTAAAAAGTGGTGCATACACTATTCCAAATAGAGACAGGATAAAGTGTGAACCGCATGAGCCATGTGCACTATTGTTAGGCGCACAGTGCATGAAAATCTACCAGTGCAGCCACATTCTCAAGTACAATTGAGAATCTTTGCAACTGTAATGGGGAAGAAGAATGCAGGAGTTTTATTTAGGGATTGAGAACCAATAGAATTATTGGCCAACATCTCATGCCTTTTCATCCTTTTCTGTGAAAAGAATCTCATTAGCTCAGGACCGGGGTGCCTGCTGAAGTCTAACACTAGCACACCAAGTGTGATGGAACCATTTTCTTTCTGTGGAAAGTGTCTGTACTTATCACCAGCTAGCCATGCCAGACATGCAAGCAAAAATAGTGTACTGAACTCAAGCAAAGAGAAAGAAAAGTTGGCACACAAGTTGCTGGGCTTTTTTTTTTTTTAAAAAAAGGGGGGGAGCTACTTTGATTTGATAAATGGATTTGAAAAGCCCATAGAGTCAGGTGAATACTGCTGCATGCTTTGGTACGGCTGGGTTTATTGAAAAGGTCAGCTCTCTCCAGAGTCCCTCCTTCATTTCATAGAAGAGCTGGTTAGTCACACAAAGCTGCCTCTGCCATGTTTCCAACTGCCCTGGTGGCATGTCAACTGCTAAAAATATGCCACTGGTTTTGTGAATAATGTTTTTCCATTTCAACAAGTTCTACTGTAGCAACGGAGAGGTCATGTAACAAAGGAGGAAAGGTGGCCTTGCCAGTAATGAAGGGGTGGGGGGAATGACGTACCAAAATTTAAACTGAAAAGAAAAGAGGTTAAACTTCCCTCTCATTTGCAAGTAAAATTATCTTGTGGGCACCGATTATGGAGACATTAGGAGGAAAAGAAAGCTATTCCCCTAGCTTTTAAGGCAGGGATGGAGAACCTTTATCCCTCCAAATATTGAACTACAAATCTCATCAACCTGGCCATGGTGAATGACGCTGATGGAGTTGGGAGTCCGAACAATATAAATAAATATTTGTAAACCACTTAGAGATTTAGTATTAAGTGGTATATAAACATATGAAATAAATAATAATCAAACTGGAAGGTCACAGGTTCACTATTCCTGCTGTAATATATGGAAATTCAACAAGCACCCTGAAACGTCACAGAGTAAAATCCTTTTCCACAAGTGGATATTATTTATTGGATTCGAACGTTAAGTTTATAAATAGGTCTGTATTCAGTGATTTTACACTAATACCACTGAAGTATAATTGTCATCTAACTCAGCATCCTAAGAATTTCAGCCCCCCACACTTTTAAAAGACTTTACAGTGGTACCTCGGGTTACATACACTTCAGGTTACATATGTTTCAGGTTACAGACTCCGCTAACCAGAAATAGTACCTTGGGTTAAGAACTTTGCTTCAGGATGAGAACAGAAATCGCGCAGCGGCAGCGCGGGAGGTCCCATTCGCCAAAGTGGTACTTCAGGTTAAGAACAGTTTCAGGTTAAGAACGGACCTCCAGAACGAATTAAGTACGTAACCAGAGGTACCACTGTATAGCTGCAAAGATAAGCTTGGAAATGTGTGGATCACCTTCCCTTCATAGATCCTCTCCCCATGGATCAGTTCCCTTCATAGATCCCCATGGATACTAATTTTAGAATTATGAAAAATATCTGCAAGTCTGGTGAATTTGCAGATTTGCACAAATCAGAAGTTTCTGACCTGCCTAGACTTGCAATGGGTGAGGGGGATCATAATGGTATTTGGGTTAAGCAGTTAACGCAAGTGTGAGGTTTTAACCTTATTATTATTTATTTAATTCAATGCTTTATTGTGTATTATGGCACATACTTTCGCATTGCCGGGCATTGTGAATCCTAATCCTAGAGGGGAGCAGACAAAATGTTCAATGGTAGTGCACAACGCTTCTCCCTATAGTGTCTCATGAGGCAACCTGTGGGCCACATCTAACCTACTGAAAATCTCCAGGTGCTGCTGATGCCCCAATACTGCTGTTTTTCTTAATAATACTCTGCATAGGCAGACATGCACACTTGCAGTACCATACGAAAACATGAGGCATCTGCTGTGACCATGAGCAGATACACTCAGGACAAGTAATAGGTGGGGAACTGAGTAACCTTGATGTAAGCCCAGAGCAAGGGAAAGTCAAATACAATTTTTGTACCATAGTCACAAGGTTCCCAAACCACTGGTGAGCAAGTTCATGGCCCACGACGAGAGCCACCCATTGGCGGGAGGAGGAACAGGAGTTTTTGGGATCTATCAGCAGTGCAGTTTCCCTGTGTATGAGAAAGAACAGAGACTGAAGCAAGGTGACTTAGAGAGAAAAGCACATTTTTTGAAATCAATCAAGCTATCAAACTCATCTAAACAAGAGTGCTTCATGCTTATAGGTGAAAACAGCAAGGTTAACATTTCATATCTGCTAGGATGCAGCAAAGAGTACTTTTCCTCAGAGGGAAAGGAGGGAAGACAGCACCATCACACCTACCCCTCAAAAATGCATCTCATTTAAAAATAACTGGTCTGAAAAAAGGCAGCTCAGCAAATAACTTTCCTCAGTTACACGTCAGTTTGTTGTGTTCATTTCATAAATTATCACAAAGCTACCAACTATTTGTTCAACCCCGCAAGAGTTCACCAACAAAAACTCTCTACAAAAGGACCTATTATATAATGAATTTTTGGATTTGGGATGTTTTACTAATTGGCATAACCAAAGCATGGAAAGAGGCTTCCAGGTCATTACAACTCCTAAAACTCTGCAACTCTCCAGACCTATTTATTAGGACCCCATTATCCACTCTTAGCTAAAGCGTTAACATGGCTGCTCCACAGTAACCTCCTGATGCCTTGAAATTTGCCCCACATTAATGAGATTGCAGTTGCCATGTTGAACGCCAGAGATATAGGTGCCAGTATTCTGATACTCTGTGTAACAGGGACCGAGCTAAAAGGGTGGGCTCTATTATTATTATTATTATTATTATTATTATTATTATTATTATTTTAATGCTATTGCTGTGTCCTTCAGCTCAGTGCACGCAGGGATGCAAAAGAAGAAGCCACAGATCTACAAGGCATGACTTCTTTAAAATGAGCCACACAGAGTAAATAGAAAAGCTTACTCTAGAACTGACACACAGAAAAAGGATACAAGGTGAGTTGTGCTCAGGGGCACTACCACTCCACACCAATATGTTTCAAAGTCTCCTAGTGACACTTCAATCTAGCTACCAGGGAATAATTTTTAAAAGGGCTTTTTCAAGGAGAGACTGGCAGAGAAAGGAAATCAAACCCAATGATCACATGATTGTGTACAAAAAGTAAAAGCTCTCTTATGGTCCTTGCAAAATTTCGCAAAGTTGTCTCTGGTCTACACCTCTTTTTTTCCAGTGGGAGCAGTGACAGGCTGGGCAAATGGCCAAACTATGTTCCATCTGCTCCATTTGAACATTCATTTGGTTAGCACAGAGCCATCGTAACAAGGGCTGCTACAATTAAATAATCAGTTAACACTGACTGATTAAACTGGGCTAGATTTTTAGTCACTCAGCAGATTTTTTATAAATTTATTGTTTTTTACAAATACTTCGAAAAATGGCAGATGGGAAATGCTTTTTACGAATGAAAGTTTGGGAAATGGTGGGAAAGGAACAAATGATTCTTTTTTCTTTTGTCCTGAAAGCCTTTTAGAGGGATGGCTGGTCAAGAAAAAATACAGTATCTACATAGGGGGGAAACTGCTGTGATTCAATGGTCAAAGATATAGGAACAATGGCAACTGGAGAGGAAGTCAGAGACTTTGTGTCATTATAGCCTACCAAATGCCTTCTGATGACCTGGGCTAGAGTTATTTTAAATCAAAATATTTTAAAGGGCACACTTGCCATGGCTGTACCAAATCAGAAAGGTGGCGGTACAGTGAGCTCAGTTACCACTAACCATTTTGCCCAAACTTTCCAGCAATGGTGGAAAGATGTTGGAGACCACCAAAGGTCACAATGATTTGCGTGGGAGAGGGAAGGATTTCAAAATTTCAAAAATAATTGGCAATCTGGACGAATGGGGTTCAGTCCACAGAAAGATATGGCACTAGAGTGTTGTGATATAAAGAAACCTCCCTCTGTTCTCACTGTAAGGTAAGGCCCACCCAAGAAACCCGAGGAGTTTGCCTGGCAGCTTGAAACAATTTGGAAACAGCAGGATGGGTTGAGAAAAAGAATGCATCTGCGCAGGCCCAAAGACTGCCATAAATCTGGGGCGAAGGCGTTAGGAATGCAACAAAGATAGATCAGATGGCGTGTGTGTGTGTGTGTGTGTGTGTGTGTGTGAGAGAGAGAGAGAGAGCGCGCGCGCTAGGCAGCAAGGAAAACTTGGTATACTACTTTAGAACTACAAGTTGAACTAAAAGTTGCACAAAGATCTTTTCTAAGTGTATAATGCAGAGACTCATCCCCACATACAGTTTTTCTTCAACCGCAACCCTCACTCCCCTGCTCAATGCACCTACAAGCTAAGGATGACAGGGAGAGTTTGGTTAGAGAATTCCTAATGGCATGCGTTATCTTTCATATGAATTTGTGTCAGCTGCCCTAGCACCAAATCCCCAACTGCTCTTTATATTTGTAGTAAGTTAGAAGCAGTTTTATATGAAAGGAAGGAGGCTATTCAAGGAATCTGCTCATGAGACTGTTCTTCAATGCACTATATGTAATGCTAGAATATGCATGGGTTCATGTGGTTCTGGAGATTTATTGCTGGAAAATTTGTTAAAGGCATATACAGCCCCTAAATTATTTGAGAATTATCGTATTTTTCCACCTATAAGACGCCCCCATGTATAAGACGCCCCCTATTTCTGGGGACTCAGATTTAAGAAAATGGGGAGAGGATGTATCCATGTTTTTTGACCCTAATTTTTGACATTATTTTTTAGGGAAAAAACCTAGTCTTATACACAGAAAAATAGGGTATATCTTATGAAATGCACACTGAACGCCTGCATTTTTGCATAAGGAGCTTATAACTTTTTAAAAATGGGAATCTCCGAAAGGACAAAAAACATACAGAATTTTTTTTTCCACTTTGCAGCTACAAAAGTTTACCTGCTCAACTTGAAAATAAAGTGAACTTCCCATTCTCTAAATGAGTGCAGGGCGAAATACTGGTGTGCTCTTGACCACAATTAAGTTAAATATGGAAGTTCTGATACTGACCGTGATTATGGTTAAGCAGCATTTGAAACCAACTTAGAACTCTGAATTCAACTCCTGATCAGCTAACCCTGCTTAGCCTCAAATATAGTGAGCATCAATGTCAATCGAAGTTAACTGTGGTTGAGGAGAAGGGTAAGTTCATTTCCGAGAAGAGGTATAGGAGAAAACATGCAACTCGCAATTTGTTTATGATATCGTAACCACGGTTATGAGAGTGGTAGTGCTCACACACAACAAAAAACCACAGTTTGAGTATGCGGTCTTGTATGCTCCCCATCTACCCTCTTCAATCACGGAAGATTGGAAGACTTTCTTCTGCTGTCAGATACATGCATTTTCTTGTTCTGTTTAAACTGACAACTGTGGTTGGTGCTAGCTATGGTTTACTGTGGCATACACATATCACTAACAACAGCCTGAAGTTGGCTTGTTTCAAAAAACTTTAGTTTGCTTGTGTTCAGACAGAAATAGGAATTGGCTACTTGAAAATGGAAGCAAAAGCCTAGAATGTCATTGTGGCCATGATAGTGCAGAAGAGGAGAGCATATGAGCCGTAAGTATGGAATACTAAACTTTGTGTTGGCATTATGTGTGATTGTAGCTTGTGTCTGCATTGGGCCACAGAAGGGTGGAAAAAGATACAAACAAAGGATCTAAATGAAAGGTGCTGCATTTTTTAAATAATGTAATATTCTTGAATATTGTGGCTTTATAAAGCTTTACTTTTCTGAGGGATATGCTCAAATACCTATTTTTGTGGAAACTTCAACTTGCGCAAAATGGAAAATAATTTTGAGGAAATTACCAAACAAGCCCAAATCATTACAGCTTTCTACACTATATCTGATAAAATGTGGAAAAATTAGTCAACAAAGGACACGGAAGGGAGGAAAGACAGTATTTAACAGCATACCTATAAGTAACAAGGCCCCAGTTCTCCATGGCACCTTTATAAAATAAATACAAAGGTTTATTGATATTGATACACACAACCATCTCCTAAAATGTTTTACAATTCAAATAAAACTCAGAGGTAACACAAAATACTTTACCAGCTGCAAAGTCTGCAATAGCTATGAGATCAATTTTAGGGAGAGGGTAAGGAACATTGAAGTAATCCTTATAAAAAGGCAGCGTTTTAGCAGCAACCTAAGGGGGGAAAGGAGAAAAATGATAGAGAGCATAGTGTGTTAAGTCAAAATGAAGAAGACCTGTTAACTGACTTTAAGACATTGTGCTTTAACTTTTACTCCTAAGCCAACTGCAGTTGTTGTTAAAACTGTGTCAACTCTGACCTTTGCCAAATCTACACACGCGACATGTTTACATAAAGGAACACACGTGTTCTGATGAATATCTGCAAAAAAGAGAGGCCTGAACAAATTCCAAAACTATCTAAACCCTGCACCAAAGAGGACTTAATGGTTGCCCAGGGGACAGGGGTAAGGTCTTAAAGCCATTTTATCTGCCCCCAGGGACATACCTAAACAAATTTGAAGTAGTATGTGTATCCACAGTTTTACCCATAAGGAAAAAAAAGTTTAACAGAAAGTTCACAATTTATCACTTCATCTCTTCCCCAGCTCCACCCAATCACACAAGCTGTAAATCTCTGAAGCCTAAATAATTAGGTGACGCTAAAATATTATGGAGCTAACCATTCATAAGTTGTTCAGCTTAGGTGACAATATATGCCCTACTTCCAACCAGTGCCTGGAAAACAAAGTTCCCCCTGCCACAGCATGAACATCAGAAGTTGCCCAAGTCAGGCCTTATGCAAAATTCATCTAGGCCAGGCTTCCTCAAATTCGGCCCTCCAGATGTTTTTTGTGACTACAATTCCCATAATCCCTGACCACTGGTCCTGTTAGCTAGGGATCATGGGAGTTGTAGTCCCAAAACATCTGGAGGGCCAAGTTTGCCTATGCCTGATCTAGGCTAATACAGTGGAACCTCGGTTTTCGAACGTAATCCGTTCTGGAAGTCCGTTAGACTTCCAAAACGTTCGGAAACTGAGGATCAAAGGGCTGTCAGCAAGTTCAATGAGGAAAATTGAGAAACACACCTCGGAAGCCGTTCAACTTCTAAGGCACGTTAAAAAACGGAAGCATTCACTTCCGTGTTTTTGGCATTCGGCTTCCGAAACATTCGGCAGCAGAGATGTTTGAAAACCAAGGTTTGACTGTGTATTGTCTACACTGACCACCAGCAGCTCTCCAGTGTTTCAGACATGGGTCCTCTTCAGGCTTACCTGACGATGCCAGGGATTAAACCTGGGACCTTTTACACTCAAACAACCATGTGTATTGTCAATAAGCTCCCTGCATTAAGCAAATGCATCTAAGTTTCTTTCTTTTTTCAGATTTTCTCCAATTTAACACAGGAATGGCAGCTAAGCAATTGAAGCAAGAAAGTGCAAATAATATTAAAATATTTCAAGTCAAAAGCAGGGGCACTGTCAAAGTTACTGAAAGATATGGAAGCATGCTTTACCTCTAATGCAAACTTTCCTTGTTCTGCTTTGCCAACTGGAGTGTAAACACGGACTAACACGCCATCAGTGGACCTGGTCTCAACGAAGTCATATTCTCCAACCACAAAAGCAACGAGATATGTTGACATCACAGGAGTTCGGGCAAATTTCACTTCCACCAGGTTTTCATCATCAGGGTAGGGCCTCCTATCAGTGACATTCTTTCCAAGGAAAGATGTTTGGAAGAGACTTGTTAGATTGGCTTTGAAGCGCCACCAGATTTCACAAGATTGCAGGAGAGATCAGGGCTGGTATTTCCTGTGCTATTTTGCAGTATCAAACAGATGTGTGAAACGAGTCTCATTAACCTGCTCTTTTCCTTTCTGTGCAGTTTCCCTAATTTTGTTCTATCATATCCATCTCCTTGCTTTCTGCCAAGTTGCTCTTCATTACAAAAAAAAGGGGGGGGCAACAGGGTCCACATCTCCAGTTCTTGTTTTACCCATTACCAATGCAGCTGGGATGTAGGAAAGGTCATCAAGACAATTTCCAGCCTCCGTAACCACCAAAATCTTAATTTCTTGATCCTCGTACTATTTAGATTGCCAACTACTATCCTGCATGCTCTTGCCTCCCCACCCATTTCCCCCTAGGTTGCTGTTAACCATAGTTCAGTATTATTTCTACATCAACCTTGGTTAGAGAGTTGCTGTAAACGAAGAATTCTAGGTTTGCTCAGAACCACACTAAACAGGCTTGCAAACCATGATTTATGGCACGTGAACTGAGCTAATGATTTGAAATAGACAGTATTCCCTGCTCCTCTGCTTGCAAGACAATAAATGGACATACAAGCTCTTCAGGCTTAGCTTGGAAAAAGGAAAGAACCTCCAGGTGCTCAAGAAAAAAAAGTTTATTTAGCCCAAATAAGTTCTTCCTCAGGAGCACTCTTGAAGATTTGCTTCAAGACGCATTCAAGTTTTTAACTAGGGTTAAGTCAACAAACCATGATATAATACCAGAGGTAACCACCATGCCTATTTATATACAATGATCAACCATGGTTTCGCTTTACATGAACAAGCCACAAAAGGCCTCAGTCTCTCATGCAGTCTTTCTAGCCACCAGTCTTTCATGCACAGTCATTCCCATCTACTTCCTCATTCTCTGAAAATGATAGCTTAACAGTTCACTCATATAAGCTAACTAGTAAGAAAATAAACCATTTCGGGGTGTTAAAGTCTGAGCACACACATTATATCATACTGAGTCTAACACACATATAAATAAATAGTGTAGAAGAAATACACTTAGAAGTATTGGGTTTATTTTGTTTGTTTTTAAGTCATATACATACTGCTTTATTGTAAATAGAATCCCTAACTGGCTGTAAAAAGAATTTATCATACTCATATTAGACCCACTGAAATTAATGTATCTAAGTTAACCATGTCCATTAATTTCAGTCTACTCCGAATGGTGTTCGATACAACCCATTGTCTTAGATCTTCTTGCCGGCATTGCCACAACTACAGTATCAATCTACATTTTATTCATTAAACACCTGACTTTTTAACAAAACAAAAAATGTATTTTATTAAACACAAACTAAACAGAACAAAACCAAACCAAACCCGGAGTACAGTTTGATAATGACATTTGGTACAGTTGAAGTACACATAATGGTAATTCATTACTAAAGTAGGTCTCTCCATAGTGAAGCTTGTGTCACATGCAGTTGTAGCAACAGTGCTGATTTGTTTATATAATCAATTAATAGTGACCACATACTTAGAAAGCTATCCTCCTTACGATGCCCATTTATTACCCTGCTGGGTCAAACATTCAGATAATGCTATTTCCCATACACAGGTAAACCAAGATTATAAGTAACACTTACCATATTTGACAAAGCTACCCTTTCTTTAGGAACCACCAATGAGATATCAAAAGTTGCCTTGATGGCCGGCTCATCCCAGCAAGGAAAAGCCCTACGAGCATCTGTAGCCTGAAAGAAATAAGAACATTAACTAGCCAAAGCAAGTGAGGGTGAATTTCTGACAGTACCATGCAAGAAAAGACCTTAAATCCAAAAAGCTACATTTTCCAAGTAGAATACAGTCTTTAGATAACCTGGACAGAGGAACACAGAAATGTACTGCAGACCAACAACGGGGAACATGAAGGCAAATGAAAAGAAAGATCCAAGGAAATGAGAAAAAAAATTACAGGTATTCAAGAAGCATGCACAAAACTACACTGAAAGCCATTAAATTTGAAGAAGACCGGAAGCATAAAATTTGGAGAGGCATAATAATTCTACTTGGCAGCTCTTGTATTTTGCTTCTATCCCTGACGGTTCCTATTAATAAGCTCCTTTCTATTATATATTTGGTGCAGTAGCAGCCAGTGAGGTGGTACAAGCAAGGCAAGCACTAGTCACCAGCTTGTTGCAGTGCTGTTACTGCTTCTTGAGAGGAGCGTGAGTGAGGTGAGCAAGTGCACTGCAGGTGCAGAAGCAGGAGAGTCAGATTGGTGCTGCCGCCACACCCACACCCCTCCCCTCAGAGGAACTGGCAGCTATGCTCAGTATTTGGAAGCCAGGTGAACAACACGGCCCCATGGACTGCTACTCCCTTGGTGTACAAAATTCGTTTCAATCCTTGTCCTTTCAATGTGAGGAAGGTTATTAGGAAGCCGTTTTACAGACACAAACAAACAGACACAGCTTGTAACTTATTCAGGGCCAATCAGGCCTTAGTTCATCAGCCAATCAATGACTGAAATAATTCTTCCAAGGTTTAAATCAAAAGCATTATCCACTTATTCCACATGGATAGTAGATGCAGATCAATTACAAAAAAAACTGTACAGTTTCTGGTAAAGGGTCAGAAACCAGGCAGGGTTTGAGGTGGGGCTTTTCCAGTAGACTTCCTACCTCACCCCTACACATACCATATTTTTCGCCCTATAGGACGCACCAGCCCATAGGATGCACCTAGTTTTTTGGGGGGGAAATAAAGTAAAAAAAAATTATTTCCCCCCCAGGCGCGGGGCTGGGGCAGGGGAAGCCCGAGCTTCCCCCGACCCCAGCCCCCAGAACAGGCAGCTCTCCGCAAGCCGTGGGAGCCCGGCGCTAGTCAGCAGCTTGTTGGGCTCCCACGGCTTGCAGAGAGCTGCACAAAGCTCGAAGCCAGGGTGCGCTGAGCTCAGTGCGCCCAGGCTTCAGTATGCAGGCAACTCTCCGTAAGCCGTGGGAGCCCAACAAGCTGCTGACTAGCGCCGGGCTCCCACGGCTTGCGGAGAGCTGCGCGAAGCCTGGAGAGCGAGAGGGGTTGGTGCGCACCGACCCCTCTCGCTCTCCAGGCTTCAGCGAAAGCCTGCATTCACCCCATAGGACGCACACACATTTCCCCTTCATTTTTGGAGGGGGAAAAGTGCGTCCTATAGGGCGAAAAATACGGTAACCAAATGTTAAATCTTGGACAACTCTTTCCATCTCCCAGGCTTCTGTTAAAAAAATTAAATATTGGGGAGTGGGGGGAGAGATACACAGTTTACAACAAGGACTATCAGTGAATTTTAGCCCTTTCCAAAACACTGTTTATTACCTAAGGCTCTACCAGCTACTAGATCACAGCTGCTTCATTGACAAGAAATGGAAACAGGTGGATTTCTAAAGAGGCAACAGCAGATTAGCTACAGCTAAGAAAGTACACAATTGTCTTGTTAGAGACTCTAGGGTACATGTACAAGACATGCTACTTCCAATGAAAGTATTAATGGAAATGGTAGACAACAAATCATAGGAGTCCATACCTCAAACTGGGTAACAGCAGCGTAGCGAGTATCTCCAGAAGGGGTGGTGTATTTACTTCGATAGAAGCCTTTCATTTTATCATTCAGCTCTCCAACAAAATCTATTTTTAACGTCCCCATTCCTGTGATTAAAAAGAGGAAGACAGTTTATGAAGACTTGCTGTGTGGATGTGCTCCATCCAGAATATTCAAATGGGCAAGGGTGTTTGGACTATTTGTTGTCCCTTTGGAATAACTTGTTTCCTCTCCAAATGCCTTGAGATGCAATATGTTTCAAGCATATTCCAATTAAGATGCAATTTATCTAGTGTAAATGGCACCTCCTCTCTTGTTGCAGATCAGGATTATGTGGATTAATGCAAGGGTGCTGTGGTAAGGATGCTAGGGCTGGGAGGTTAGGGATTCACAACCTTAACACCATCACTACATATTAATGCAGCAAAACCAAAGTGTATGTAGAGTCCAAGCCCTGAAGACTTCTAACCTAGATTAGTTAAGCAAAGTAGGAATTTGGACTTGGAGATAGGAGGCAGGGATGGAACTAGAGCCAAGTAGCAGTGAAAAGAGCTTGTCATACAAGTCCTGGACAACTCAAAAAAATGTTTTGCTGCAGAAGCATACCTAGAGGAAGAACACAACATGGTGAATAAAGAGGAGAACTCTGCTGTTCCATGTTAAGCTATTCCACGGCATAAGATGGCAGGGAAGAAGCTGAAGTCACACACAGATGATCTGAACTCAGAGGAAAGCATATGATGTATCACTTAAAAGCAGAGATGGAAAACAGAGCACAGAACTCTCAGGTGCCCGTTTATCCTGGCATCTAAAATGTTTGATAACAGCACAAGAATTTGGGGTTGTTTTTCCAGGCCTGAGTGAAGGTTTAAGTTTTAGAAGCTATTCCAGACCAGCAAATTAGATACCTGCTGATTAAATATCATGAGTAAAATTTGACCAGCATTCTGGATTTTTTTTTGGGGGGGGGAGTAGGAATAAAACTGACAATGCCATCTTTGTAAGTTGCCGAATACAGCAAAATAATGTCTGGATCAACCTATAATAATTTGTTTATAGAGCAGAGCATTTAGGAGCTTTGTTTTTTAAACTAATTTTCAAAGCAGTGTGTAAAATTTCAGTGCTGACTGTAGCCTAACTTGACCAGCAGTTGTGCATTAAATGCCTGAAGCAGCACCAACCAAAGTTCAGCTGAACACTTTATGGGTATCAACAAACAGATCTGTCTAGCATAAATAGCTCATCTGCCTCCAGCTCCAAACAGAAAAGCACATGGCAAATGTTCCCACAGCACGTTTTGCTGATGATGAACACCAAACAATTCTGTTGGTCAAATTCATTCTGCCACTCATCACAACTCATACCATCACCTACTTTTGAAAGGTGAAGCTCATCAACTACCCATTAAAAGTACCCATCAAAGTGAAATTTAATTATTCTAGAATAATATCATGAATAAAACTGAATAGTTCAAGAAGCATCAACTTCTACCTCATCATGCCCAACCCCAAGTGTGCTGAAGCAGCTCACCAGAGTCCAGTGGCTGCATTCGGTCTTTCTGCTAAACCAGCTTTCCCAGAGCTTCCATGCCCCCCCCCCACTCCCTCAGTGCAACCATAAGGAAGATATTGTAAGCCTCTGCTTCCACTTTACATAAACTGCAGTTTGGCATATCATCCAAGCACTAAACTGTGGTTAATAATAATTATGCTTTAGTGAAAGCAAGCCAGCTTCATAAACCAAGGTGATAATGACAGCTTTTTGGAGGCCAACTATATGTTAAGACTGAAAAAAAAAAAAGGAAAAAGACTGCAATAAGGCTGCTGTTCAAGACAGTATCCTCATGTTGATTTATCCCCTCCAGAATGTGTACTATTGCTTAACCTGTGTCATATTCACCACAATGGACATTAACTTGCCCCACAGAATAGACTGTCTTGGTGAGGCAAAGAAAACATTAGTTTTTTTTCCATGATCATCTCACATAAGCAGAAGGCAATGGTATGAAGTAGGAGATGGGGAAGGGAATATATGAAATGGTGACAAAACAGGGTAGGTAACAGTACATATTGAAGGAGAGTTTCCAAGGGGGAATCTTGATCACCTGTAACCTGTTGCTACACAACACTGCAAGATCTCTAACCAGGCTTGCAGTCATTATAGTTTTGGGGGTTAACAATATATACTATGCATAGCATTTCATTGGTTTTTATAAGCAAAGTTTCTTTATGGGTAACTGAAAACGTTTATTCTTTGTTTTAGGTGAGAGTTTTTATTTGCTCTCAGTTTCTCAACACTCCACTTCTGCCACCATGAGCAAATGTTTGCAAAAGTTGTGACAAAATCCCTCTTCATTCGGCTCAGTATTGAATTTCGGTGCTTGTTGACATATTCTGTGCTTGTTGACATACTTTATTTTAATTTCAGTTCCTTTCTTATTCTGTGTAGTAGCTTCTGTGTAGTAGCATCTATGATGGCTGGACTAGTATTAGCATTCCCAGAGGGACTGGAGTGTTAGCAAACAGCAGGAAACACGCCGGAATCTGGTAGCACACACGGATTAAAATGTATTGTGACACAGCATCTGTGGACCAGAGCCCACTTTGCCAGTTGTACAAAGTTTTATCCTTCAGCTGACATACAGATGTATATATGTGGCTACAATCAAAAGTGTGGGTGGCGTGAAGCCAACATCATTACAAAGACAGGCATGAAGACTAGCATATCACATTACTATACAAAGCCCAAACCTGGTCAGAAGAGTCACTCAACATGAATTTAATCTACTTCTACTTTGTAATGAATTGGCACAGCATGACGAATAGTGCACATAAACTCCTACCGAGGGACAGTTACTAAATTGGATCCAGACTAGATTAACTGTACTTCAATCCCATTCAAATTCATATGAAAATTCAAGTCAACTAAATATGAGGCAGTTTCCAGTTACTAGGGCTTTAAAGGTTTTTGGAAAGTTTCTTGAGCTTTAAGAAACTGGATTCTATTTGGTTCAATTACCAACATATTGAGAAATACAGGGAAGGATGAGTTTTCAAAAACATATTCCAACAGAAGAAAATCCTACCCTGGGGATGAGGTGCAAAATGTTTTGGACCTCTACTGAGCCATCTAGCTTCTAAACCAACATTTGTAGAGAAACCCTTTACCTTTTTGAAGTGTGCTGGGAAAAGAGAGGGTCACTTTCTCATCTTCGTTTTGGTAGTTGAATCCTGTTGCATGGATTTCTGAAAAAAGGAAAGGAAAGTGCTCTTAAAAGTTTTGAATAGCAATGACCATTCGTGTGATGTGAGGACACTTGGATTTTGGAAGAAAGAGCTAAATTCCTGTCCTCTTTTTTCTTAATATATTTTTAAAACCCTTTTTGTGGTCTTCAATATTAATCTCACTGCTACCTTTGCACAATCAATTATATTTTGGAGATTTGATCCCCAGCTTGAATGCAGGAATAATAAAAAAAACCCATTCCCTTTTAGGACCTGGGTAGAATCTACACACATGTAAAAAACACTGTGAAAATGCTTTTTTTTAAAGGTTTTGAAAAATATATTGAACTTCCATAGCTCACTGCCATCATCTATTGTTAATTTGTATATTGCACTTTACAATACACATAACCGTTTAATTTGCAGCTGCATAGCTGAGTCCAGGATCAACATGTTTCTCTCTCCTTTCAGTTTTTGTGTTGGTTCTGAATTGTGTTGGTTCATTTTGTGTTGGTTCATTTATTTCCCTCAGCATGAAGCTCCTCATAAATAGCAACACTCCGTGGAAGCCTATTTCTGAATTTGGGAGGAACTATGCTTTGGAAAGAAACATTCTATCACTTTCTGCTATTTCCTCCCCAGCCCCCATTTCTTCTCACTGTCCCATCAGAGAAAAAGCCGTTCTTAATAAGTTATCAAACTGTGTGTCCCACTTGCTTTCCTTCAGGCTAACTCCACATTCAGGTGGCGGAGGGATTGTATGTGTGTGCTATTTTCTGCTGACAACTTTCTGATACAGAATGCAGTCCCCTTTGTGTGGCCCACATGCTTCACTAGGTTTGGGGCAGGGGAGGAGCCTTGTTTGGAACCTCCCAACATTTTGTAATTAACTATTTTATGGCAGCCATTTTATGACTCTCCATGCCTTCCTATGGCAGTCATTTTGTGGCAACGCCCACAAGTACCCTCTTAAAATTCTACAGGTTACAGACCCCTGCTCTAGCCCTTATAATCCGAGAAAAACCTGCAACATGGAGTTTTTGCACTGACAGCTCAACAAGTCACACCGTATCTTGTAGCTGGTCCACACGGGAGGACATTCACTCTGAAACTCCTCTCTTTCCCCTTTTTAATCACCTGCCACTACTGCTCCCAAGCCCCACCAGCACATTCTAACTGCTCGGCAATTACAATGCAAAGATGCTTGGTTTAGTACATGGCTGCAACAACATGAACTTTGAGACTTCTCTTGCATCCGTAATTCTAAGAACCGCCCCCCCCTTTTTGTAATGCTACTAAAACTCATGGTTGTGAAAAACAGATTTTTAAAAATTATGGCAATAGCTGCTTAAAGCTTTGCAATGGAGTGCAGTAAAGTTCCAGTAGCCATGGAAGGCAGTTTCTTCAAACAATTCTTACTCCACAGACCCTGTGCCTGTTCTGAGTCCCAACCCCCTCAGCAATCTGTGAAATGACCATCAACCTATTTAGCCATTTTCAAAACATACTTAATCCAATGTGAGTGGTATTGCCTCAGATAATTACTACAGTCATACCTCGAGTTACAGACACTTCGGATTGCGCATTTTCAGGTTGCGCACCACGCCGAACCCAGAAGTACCGGAACGGGTTACTTCCAGGTTTCGACACTCGTGCATGTGCAGAAACACTAAATTGTTTAGTAAACACTCCCACACGGATCACATTCGCAACCCGAGCGTCCACTGTACTACCAAATAGGGTATACATCCAAAAACCTAGGTGAATTTTAGGGAATCAAACTTTTACATGGTTTAATTAGGTATTTCCTAGAATTCTGCTTTGCAGTCACAGCAAACTAGTATCCTTAGTTTTGCTTCCCGTATATTTAATTATGTAAATATGTAACGTGCAGTAGCGAGCTTATGTGCACACAAAAACTATTCAATACAGGCAGAATAACCATATTTTAATATGTACCAATTGTATTTTGTTAAGCACAGTGAGAGGACACATGAGGCATGCAGGGATATCTCTCTCTCTCTCTCTCTCTCTCTCTCTCAGCAGAAGCAGCAGCAGCAGCAGCACAAAGCTACTGGCTACCCCCAGTCCATAACAACTACTGTAGCATGACATTCCTCAGCTGACAATTTATAGAAAGGCTTAAGATCCAAGCCTCAAGTGCTGGTTTTAGGATAGTGTCTCACACACACACAAACACAAAAACCCACACAGAGCCCCACTCACACCCCTGTTGAAGATCAAAGTTCCATCTAAGTTCAGCATCCTGTTCTCACAGTAGCAAACCAGATGCCTATAGGAAGTCTAACATAGTCTAAAAGCAGGAGCACTCTCCCAACTTGCAGTTTTCAGCAACTGGCAATCAGAGGCATATTGTCTCCAGTAAACAAAATACTGCACCAGTGGTTACCCAACTTTTCCCCACTCAAAAACCACATGAAAACTGTTGAAAGTCTTGGCAGACCACTAACTTTTTCTGCCTGTTGTAGCAAATGTAACACACTAGGCTAGATGGGATATGAATTTTTATTGTACCCTAACAGAAATTTATTTCATAGACAACCTAAATGAAGTTCACATACCAGTTTGGGACCTCTGTACTACACAATAAATTTGAGTTAAAGAACGCTATTTCTGAATGGCCAACACAAAATGTGAAAAGAGGCTTAGAAGTGGCTCAGGTACTTGTTAATAATTCACTACATTCACCTACAGTACCATGGTATACATGTCTACTCAGTAGCCTCTTTCTGTCTAATAAAAATTATTCCCAGGACAGCTGCCTGAATTTTAGTTCAGGGTTGGCATTGGGGGAAATGGGGTTCTTGTGCCTTCAACAGCTGCACAATCAGGACCAACTGCAGACTTTTTCATTTTCTGCAAAATGCATTCAGCTATCTATTAGCATGAACAAGTAACAGGGGTTCCACAAAGCTTAGCTGAAGGATCAGGCTGAGTTCTGGAACAAGTAAAGGAATATTGAAGAGGGTCTTTGAGGATGCGTGGATAGAGCCTTTTCCTCTTCATTGAACATCCCTACATGCATATACAATTTATTTGTTTTACTATGAAGAATTCTATTCTGCCCCTTCAGCATTGAGGATCCATACAGAAATATTCCTTAAGTTAGAGGGCATGATTTCTAGGTAGGTATGAGAGGAAGCATTTCTTGTTCATTTCTTAACAGACCTAGAAATAATTTGGTCCCATATATATTACAGGCAATTTTGGAAACACTTAGCATCAAAATGTACTCATTCCACCTTCCCTTTTTCTATCTAATATCTAAATGGGAAAATGTGTACAGCATTTTTTAAAGAGTATGTGGGAATTACTTTATTAACAGAGTGGTAAATGAGTTAAAACAAAAACAGATTAGCAGTAGAAACTTGCTTCTGACTGGATGTGAAAAACCTGTTGCTTGCATCCTGCTGTTTAGTAACACATGGGCAAACCACAATGAGACACTATTCATCAGCAGCATTGTATAGTCGTATCTTGCACCTATCCATAACGTATAGCCCTGTAGCAATGGCAAAACAGATTAAATTAACTACTTGGACCACAGAAATGCATATGAAGGAATTAAAGTCTTTTACATACACATCCCCATTGTTGTACAGAACCCAGGAAGATGCCATCTTGCTAAATAGCTGCCTTTGTTCTATCTTGGTATGGATCTCTCCTTTCTGGTAACCTAGAAATGTAATCTGTGTGTCTCAAATGTTTTTGAGGTCAACTGAGTCATCAGAAATGGCTAACACTGGATTAGGAAAGGAAAGCTGCCCATGTCTGGCATCGCTTACACCCCTCCTTGCAAAGCACCTACACAGATTTTTAGGGAGTGGGTGGTGCTGTGGTCTAAACCACTGAGCCTTTTGGCTTGTGGATCGGAAGGTTGGGGGTTCAAATCCACACAGTGGGGTGAGCTCCCGTTGCTCTGTCCCAGCTTCTGCCAACTTAGCAGTTGGAAAGCATACCAGTGCAAGTAGATAAATAGGTAACGTTTCGTTAGGAAGCTAAACAGCACTTCACGGTGTCCCGTTGCACCAGAAGTGGTTTAGTCATGCTGGCCACATGACCCAGAAAGCTATCTGTGGACAATTGCCAGCTCGCTTGGCCTGAAACGAGATGAGCGCCGCACCCCATAGTTGCCTTTTAAAAAAACATTTACACAGATTTTTCACATGCATTATCTATGGTACAAGTGGATAGTCAAATCAATTTGGACTTTGCTATAGGGGTGTATGCTAGCGATTGCATTGGATTTGATTGGATATAGACAGTTGCAATCAAGGAAACTGTGTTCCCATGGTTAAAAGTTAAAATATCTTGACTTGCAAGGTAATACATGGAACATGAATAATCCTAAATCATTATTAAAAAAAAGCTTTTACAACCGTCTGCAAACCCTGCTGATCAGTGTATTCTGTGCTAAAAAAAGAAACCTATTAGATATAATACTGTTCTTTGCCAAAAGTGTCTAGAAAAAAGTGTAATAGCACATTGGCTGAGCATCCAGGTGGTACCTGGTCAAAACCGTAGCATCTTCAGTTAAAAGAATCAGGTGACATGAAAGTCCTCTGCCTGCGATCTGTGCCAATCACAAGCAAACAATATTGAGCTAAAAAGCCAAAATACTCTAAAACCTGGACTTTGTAGCTTCCTATGCTTACCCAGAGCAAAGTCTGCTTTGTGGTTTTTGTGTGTGTGTGTGTGTGTGTGTGTGTGTGTGTGTTCTTAAAAAAAACAGAAGTAGCTCCCTTTCCATTCTCCCCAAAGAACTCTTAATAATAATAATAATAATTTATTACGGCCGTAGGCCCATACAGATAAAAACAAGACATAAATAACAGCCTGTGCACATGGGAAAAAAACAGCCGCTAAAACACTACTATAACAATAAGCTACTATAAGATGGAATGGCATACTACGCCTTAATTAGCTTGTGGTGCTCCTTGGCGACGCTTTTGGGTAAGGACAGCGACCAGGAACCTAGCCACTTTCAGGGTCGTATGGGCATCCTTATCCTGCAAGATTTGGGCAAGGTGGAATTTTGGTGGAGTACCCTCTAATTTCTGTATGATTGATCCCAACAAGTTTGCCCGTGGCACCTTAAATAAGGGGCAAGTGAACATAATGTGCTGAAGCGACTCCGGCATCTCCTTATCACATTCGCACATGGCGGAGGTTTGGCCCTTTGAGAATCTATGTCTCAGGACATTGGAGGGAAAACATTAAACCTCGCTTTGGTGAAGGCCAGCCTATGGGCAACAGTCGAAAGGGAGGAGAGGTATGATGGAACGCAATAAGTTAAAGTGATACCAATGTTCTGGGGCGAACAAACACCTCCCCCCAGCATATAATTTTGCTGTAAATCGATGTCATCCAGTCTTTGGCGGATCAGTCTTTGAGCAGTAATTTGATCTAGTTTTAGGGAATCTAAGGGAGAGATTCCATAGCTCAGGAGTTTGGCATGAATTCTACTGGTCCAAAGGCTGGGGAATTCATCTCGCCATAAGCATTGGGCAAGGTAATGGTCTGGTAATCTATGCCACAATGATAACCAGTAATTGAAGACTTGCTTCCACAGGCAGGTTTCTAAGGATGCGATCCTCAATTCTAAACGCATGGCTGCGTTGCTTACGCACAGGGGGAGCATTAGGAGCCGACGTAGGAATTGGTTTTGCAAAGTCTCAAGAGGAGCAAGGTCTGTCATCACGACCCAGAGCGGGGCAGCATAAGCAAGCACGGGAACCACTTTTGCCTTGAACACCTTTAGGGCCGAGGAACATGCAAAGCTCCATCCGAAAAGAAAAATCGGAGGAGCGCATATGACAGAGTTTTGGCCTTATTAAGTAGGTGTTGAATATGTGCTTTCCACCCCAAATTGTATTGAAAAATAACTCCTAGGTATTGAAATTTTAGGACTTGCTCTATTTTTGCTCCACCAAGCTTCCATTCGTATAATCTCCGTTTTTGTGTGTGTGTGTTCTTAAAAAAAACAGAAGTAGCTCCCTTTCCATTCTCCCCAAAGAACTCTTGTAACATGCATGAATACTCAATACACAAAGCTCATTTAAGTAAAGAGCTCATCCTATCTCTTTTCCAGGTAAACCACCACAAGACATGGGCCTACAAGCAGTGTTGAAGCTATACAGGTGCATTCACTCTGCCTGTGAGACTTCACAAGTAAATATAATCTCTTAAAACAGACAAATGAATAAGCTGCATAAAAGCATTTATCACAACTGTTGGCTTCTACAATGTACTACAATTCAATAAACAGAGATCGCCATGGCAAGGTGATAACAAAAGCTATCCTTGTCATTAAAAAGTCAAGTCTTAAAATGAGTGTGAAATTAATGTGAACACAGAAAACCAATATGGAAATAAAGCCTTAATAGAACTATGCATTTTGAGTTTTCATTTTGAAACATGGGTGCTTTCTTCAACTTTCACAACTACTAAAATGAAGTAAAAATAAATACAATATAAAGCTCTACCTTCAGAGTACACTTCTTACTTAAAGACTCAGCTGATGAGCCATTTCTGCACATGACAATATTTTGGTGTGTGTTCTAGACTGACACTCAGTTCATGCGGCACCACCTAACATCTTTCTTCAATGTACAGTGGTACCTCAGGTTACAGACGCTTCAGGTTACAGACTCCGCTAACCCAGAAATAGTACCTTGAGTTAAGAACTTTGCTTCAGGATGAGAACAGAAATCGTGCGGTGGTGGCACGGCGGCAGCGGGAGGCCCCATTAGCTAAAGTGGTACCTCAGGTTAATAACAGTTTCAGGTTAAGAACAGACCTCCAGAACAAATTAAGTTCTTAACCTGAGGTACCACTGTATTCAATTTCCTTGAGTGCATGTCATTCTCGATGGCTCCAACCCACCAATCTCAGATGTCATGCTTGTTTGTGATACAGCAGAGAACATTTTCTAAAGGAAAGCAGAATAGCTGGGAACAGATGCCAAAAAGGGAAGTAGTGTTGACTGTGGATTGATTGGAACATCAGGCTTGGCTGTAGGAAACCTAGGTTCAAATGAAGTAGATCTGTGAGGATAGTCAGAAAGGCTTGATGGGCCTTATGCCTGTATCTCTCCTCACTGAGAAGCATGTGCTTAACCCATGGCTGACAAGAGTTGCCTCAGAATAGGGTGAAAGCAAAGTAAACAAATGTCAATCCTTCCACTGAAAAGAACATGCAAGTCCAACCTCTCTCTTCCTTTGCCTGAAACTAATTGTGAGCAGGAGGCAGAAAACTTCACCCCCCCAAAACAGACAGGGATTTAGCCCCTTTACACTCAATAGGATAAACTTTAAAAGCATAACGTTAAGCTATGGTTTGGCATTATGTCAGAAATGAGCCTGTTCGACTTTCAGGCTTATGCACATATGCGCGCGCGCACATGCACTGGGGAGAAAATAAAAAAAACTTCCATTTTAGCTTTATAACTAAGCAATTCTAAACACACATGAATGAACCTAGGGAACTATAGTTTGCTCTAACCTATGGTTACAGAACAAATCAGTATTTCAGACTATGGTGTTTTGAGAGGTGGCATCATTTTATAGGAAGTGGAAGCAGCAGCAATTAAGTAAGAGCAATTAAGCAGCATTGGAGTGTGGCAGCAGTTAAGGATTTGACATTCTGAAGGACGAAACTACAAACTGGAAATGTGAAGTTTAAACAGTTTGAATCATCACTGGGCAAAAACTCAGTGAAATTTGATCCCTGCTATCTTTAGATTCCATATGGAAAGAAAGCCTGCTGCAACAGGATGGTGCAACAGTGTTCTCAGCAAACTAAAGGGAGGGGCTGAACATCTGCCTTGAATATTTCAGGGTCTGGAAAGTGCACTTATCCCAACCAGAAGTGCCATTAAATCCTCCTGACAGGCAGCCTTTGATCAGGATGGAGAAGCATACAACCCAAAGGAATACTCGCTGAAAGCTCATGTTGCTTCTGTAGTGGTTGTTTCATAATGCTGAACACTCTACATAGTGCTGACTTGGTATCGTACTATCCCTTAATTGTTTAGCAATTCAGTCATATAATCAGAAAACAGAGGTATTCAACTAACAAAAAATATTTCAGTTTATCATACTGTGATAAGGGTTTTCCATGTTCACTGAAGCTGCAAAATACTGGGAAACTGTAACTGCTAAGGGCCACACCCATAACAGACATGTTTAGGGGATATAGTACTCACACGAGCTGGAGGAACAGCAGGGCTTGGTTGCCCAGGTGCTCCCCATTTATGAGTACCACTTCCAGGTACCCAGCACCATGCATGTGTACAGTTGCACAGAAATAGAACACACATAAATTGGGAGTTGCCTGTAATATGTTCACTTGCTTGAACTAGGACTTTTATTCTGAGACATGTGGCACTTACATGTTATCCTCAACCTTTTCAGACCATGGAACCACTTTTAACCCAAACAGGCATTTGGAGACCCATTTCTTAATTTTTTATTATCTTAATCTTCTGCATGGTGGTTGTGCTCCTGTTGTGACCCAACTTGGATCAGGCTATGACCCACTAGTGGGTCCTGACTAAGCAACATCCTTCCTTCAACGGAAAGCAGTCTTTTCTTTCTTTTTTTGCCTCTACTTTGATACTCTGAGCTAGGAAAATTTCAGGCAGCAGTTTGTATAAAAATTGATGCTGTCACTTAAGAGTTTTCAAATATTTCCCCACTCTCTTGGTATTCTCATCTTACTGAGATTGCAGTATCAAACTTTCAAGAAGTGAAATGGAATGAGGAGGAGAAAAGGAGGGAGGATTAGGGTAACAGAAGAAAGAAAAGAAGCCACTGTGACTGAGGGAAGAAATAATACAACAAAAACATCTCAATCTAAACTCATCTTTATAAAGAGGAATTGCAAGCTATTACAGGCAATGAAGAAGGACACTGCATTTTATGAAACATTAACTAAACAGCACCTGGAAGTCATAAGAAAAATAACTTGACTGTGAAGCACGGTAAGAACCTTTGCATTAGAACCAAAAAAGGAAAAATAATTTATATTCCAAGATGTAATTTGCTAGGCCAATACTAATTGTGCTTACCTGGAAGTAAATCCTTTCAACTTCAACAAAAAATATGTTTAAGATTGAAGACTAAATCAAGAAAGTATGAAGACTGGAACAATTCACTATTGACACTAGTTTACATTTCCTACTACAGTGGTGCCCCGCAAAACGAATGCCTCGCAAGACAGAAAACTCGCTAGACGAAAGGGTTTTCTGTTTTTTGAGCTGCTTCGCAAGACGAATTTCCCTATGGGCTTGCTTCGCAAGACGAAAACGTCTTGCAAGTTTGTTTCCTTTTTCTTAACACCATTAATACAGTTGCGACTTGACTTCGAGGAGCAACTCATAGAACGCAGTGTACATAGTAGCCTTTTTTGAGGTTTTTAAAGACTTTGGTGATTTTTGAAGCTTTTCCAGAACTTCTTTTGCAGCCATTTGGTAAGTTAAACTTTTAAAACTTTTTTGGGGGTTTTTGGATTTTGGGTTGGGGTGTTTGGAATTCAAGGACTTGGTGTTGGGGAGGGGTTTGCAAGAATCTGGAAGCTTGTTTCTTTTTCTGCATTTTTATGGTTTTTTGTGACCATTGGGCCACTCTGCTGTTTTTGAAAAAAAAATTCTGGATTTGAATTTCTGTGTGCTGGGTGGCTGGGGGAACAGTTGTGGAGGGGTTTGCAAGAATCTGGAAGCTTGTGTGTTTTTTTCTGCATTTTTATGATTTTCTGTGACCATTGGGCCACTCTGCTGTTTTTTTAAAAAAATTCTGGATTTGAATTTCTGTGTGCTGGGTGGCTGGGGGAACAGTTGGGGAGGGGTTTGCAAGAATCTGGAAGCTTGTTTTTTTTCTGCATTTTTATGATTTTCTGTGACCATTGGGTAACTCTGCTGTTTTTTTAAAAAAATTATGGGTTTGAATTTTGAAATGCTCTTTACAGTATGTGTGACTTTAAAGAGCACTTAATAAACTCTTGTTGTACCAAATTTGGCTTTGTTTGGCCTTTTTTTGACCATAGGAACACATTAATTGATTTTCAATGCATTCCTATGGGATTTTGTGCTTCGCAAGACGAAAAATTCGCTAGAAGAAAAAACTCGCGGAACAAATTAATTTCGTCTTGCAAGGCACCACTGTAACTTCATTCAGATTACATATGGCTGTATCACTTTGAAATTACTTCTTTCAAGTGAACTGAAGGCAACTGACTTACTATTTCGAAGCCGCAAAAGCCTGACAACAAGCCTGAGCATCCAAGGCAGCAGTAAAGATTACATGGGAACGTATTCCTATCACATAGTTAAACTTATCACTTCAACAAATGACTTCTAGAAATGTGCCAAATTCTTTGCAGCCAGCATCAAGAGTTATCCCTGATTAGGACTGAAAACTATTCTGAATCCATAGATACCAGCACAAAAATTTTAGGAATCCAGGCAAATAGACACATGGGGTTTTCCCCCTCCTATCCTTGCAGGGGAGCAGGGCACAAAAACTGAAGTAGAAATCAACTGCAGTTTTTCGTACTGAGAGTTATTTAATATAAAAACACAAATCAAATGTGGTTTTCTGATGAAACATGGCAATTACTTGCATATTTAGTCTTAGTTGATTCTGAATACAGTGTCATTACATGAAATATACTGCACATGTCATTTTCTGTTTTAAAATACTGCTCTGAGATTTCACTTATTATGATCTATGGCTATATAACCAAATAAAAGTACTATGACGAATCATGAAAGACTATAAGCCTTCAACCAACAGAGCACTATGCATATTCACAATTTGTTTGCAAAGAGCTTGTAGTACAGATTAAAATAACTGCATCTACAAAGCAATTTCTGAAATTACAGAGTGGCCAGATGGATATGTCAATTAATTAATGATTCCAAATTATAGTCCTGCAATATAAAAAAAGCTTGGACCCTGGCCAAAGGTTGTACACAATTATGTTCCAAAGGAAGGACAAAGGCAAGTGTTCAAGCCAGAATTGCACATACTGGGAAGGAAATAGATTATACTGGGATGCCTCCTTCCCTTTTATAGGACTGAAACATTCACTGTATTTGAGGTTTGGCTACGATTGTGCATTCCTCCCTTCACTGTGTGCCTGCTTCTCTGAAAAAATCCTGGCCTGCATTAATCAGGAGTTCTCCATTACATCCCAACTGGTAAACTCTAGCAATGTTGGTTAACAAACCAATAAGTCAAGTCTGATCAGGTAGGCCTGAGGGCCTGCAGCATACAAGCAGACCCTTAAAGTCATCTGATCCAACCTCCTTCAATGCAGGATTCTCAACTAAAACATCCATGACAGACGGCCATGCAACCTCTGCTTAAAAACCTCCACTGAAAGAGAACCCACCAACTTCCGAGACAGACAGTTCCACTGTTGATCAGCTCTTACTGTCAGAAAGTTCTTCCTGATGTGTAGTCAGAATCTCTTTTCTAATAACTTGAATCCATTGGTTCAGGGCCTACCCTTCAGAGAAGGAGAAAACAAGCTAACTCCATCTTAAAGCAAACCATGTGTCTGACTTGGTTTTGGGTTACTGTTTTGAAAAGTTGCCTCACAAACACATCACCTTTCCCTATCCATAGGATACAATTACTCACTCCTGGCAACAAGAACACACATGCATCCAGATAAGGAACCCCATATGCACAACTAATTAAAATCCAATGAACAACCACTGACCCATTAAAAGCAGCAATAGAAGGAAACAGACAAATGCAGGCCACAAATCTTCTTCCACTTGGCCCACTGCTCACTTGGTGCCCCCAGCTGGCTAAACGAGCCTTTTAGCCTTGGACAACTTTTTAATAGTAGTCTTAAAAAATGGAGAAAATGGCTATAAATGCAAAAAATTGTCCTCGTCCCCATATTTTCTCTTGTCTCCCTTCCTCCCCAGTCTTCAGCAAAGACATCAACAATGATCTGAATCATTAAACCTTGGCCACCTATTAAGAATGTGAATAATAGCAAGTGCAATAGCAATGTAGTGAATAAGTGCACTGGCTTGGCTCTTTGCAACAAAGCTTTGATCCAAACTGACTGACCACTACACTATCCTATCAGTAGCACTACAACTCTGCTTCAAACTCTCAAGGCACTAGCATCAAGATTTTATTTGCCAGTGATTTTTCCTGCCCTGAGGAGGGGAATGGTAATTTACACACAAGTTAATAATAGACCACAGTTCTGGGGAGAGAATAATAATAAGGGAAAGAGAGGATGAGTTGATCTTTTGCAGGACACCATTTGCTTTTACAATGTGTTCTAAGATATTACCCTGGGATTTGGCAAGTCCACAACTACTAAAAGCTTCTGCTAAGTGCTATAATTAATTCTCTCTGGGCAAGCGTGAATATTACACTTTTTATATGGGCTCCATTTAAGAATCATTGGAATGTCACCACAAATTTTCAAAAACTCTTAACCCTCCCCTTCTCCCAAGCTGGGAAGAACAGCTCAATCATCTAAATGCCTTCTATAACATCAGAAATCATGTTGGTGGTTGAAAGACGTTTGTGAGGCTTCTTTACCCAGCAACAGGGAAAGAAATCCTGAAATCCTCACCAGTTCAGACAGGAACTGTGCTTTTTAAAAAATTTAATGTCTGAGAGTAATAACATTATCCCTAACTAGCCCTCAACAAAAATTCCAGGTTCTGAGGAAAAAACCAAAACTTCTCTCAAGTCGTTAATCAACTAATTTTGCTAGAGGCAAACTTTGCAAAAGTGATGAAGCTCCAATTCTCAATCCTTTAGATTCCCCTTACAGTGTCCCCCTTTCACAGACACTTTTAGCTTCACACCCCTCTTTTGATCTCTGGTTTGGCAACTATGGGGCAAGATCACAGAACAAACACTCAGGAAGCTGGATATTATGTTGAATAAATAAAGCAAAAACATGCAAATCCAGACACTTTAAACATATTTATTTCTACATAGTTATTCCTGGAAAAGAGAGGGTCTGATGTAAGCTTAGTGGTAAGAACAGTGTTAGAAACTCAGATATATAAGCTAGGTACCAAATGGCTCCTTAAACCAAGGTTACAGTTGGAATGTCTAGTTGCCATTTTGGAGCACGACAGCTCTAGAATGCATGCTTAGATGTATGAAGTCCCAGTATCTTAAAAGAGAATGTAGCAAAGGGTCCCAAGACTTCAGAAAACGAAGTTAAAGATGCCAAGTCAGCCACTAATAAGCAAACTGAACTACAGTCATACCTCGGGATAAATATGCTTCAGGATAAGTATTTTCGGGTTACGCTCCGCAGCGACCTGGAGGTAATGGAGTGTGCTACTTCTGGTTTTCGCTGCTCATGCATGTGCAGACGGTCAAAATGACGTCACGGGCATGTGCGGAAGCGGCGAAACGCGACCCGCGCAGTCGCGTCTTACGTTCTATTCAGGATGTGAACAGGGTTCCGGAACCGATCCCGTTCACATCCCGAGGTACCACTGTATATAGATTGTTCCATTTTATTCTTTTTAATTTATACTAACCGTCAGCTCTGTCCTGAAGGGCTGAAATGCCTCCACGTCCTTAGATCTATTTTTGTAACTAATTCTCATCCTCAATATGTGAATGTTCTAGCCTTTTTCAAAACTTTGCCCTGAAAAAGCAGTTTTCTTCATGTTTAATATTCTAGCAACTTAGTGCTGGATGGAATACCCCCTTCCACCCACCACCAGGCAGCATTAGCTTACCACAAGCTGAGAACTACTGCATATTGTGCAGAAGCAGCTTGTCTCAAGCCAGGAAAACATAGAAGCACTGTTTGAACACCCAACACCCACTGCAAACAAAATACTGTTCTCTAATTACTAACAGTGTGTGCTGTCTGATCTCTGAAAAGAGCGATCTGCTCATTATTTGATTCACTTTCTTTGCATTCAGCATTTACACAGCACTTTTTATTTACAAGGTGGTTCATCACCTTGAAAGGCAGAACCCTACTATCCTTATATTAAAATGTTAGCTTAGTGTACACGAGTATGAATGACTTGCATGACGGACTTAAAAACACATCTTACAAAACCAAACCTACCAAAACAAAGTGTATCTCAAAAGTTACACTAACTTTTGCTTTTAAAGTCATCCTTTGGCCCAATATTTGCATCAGGGGCAAACATACACGACAATATTTCATTTTGCAGAGCAGCCAGGCATTTAAAAGCTAGTCATAGTAAAGTTAAATAAAGGCATTGGCTTCTGACTCATTCCAACAGGTGCCACAGAGCATTTATCCAGCAAGTCCTCTGCCAGATTCATTCTCTTCCACTTTCAAAGCCATTATGCTCTGGCAGTATCCCAAATGGAATCAAATTTCTTAATCCTATCAAAAAAATAGTCAAGGTATATGAATAAACATATTACAAATACATTTCCTCTGCAATCAAGCCATGCAGTTATTATTTTTATTATTCAATTTATTACCTGCCCTTCATACTAAGGTTCATAGGCAGGTTACAGCAATTTAAAGTACGATATTAAAAAATACTTTAAAAAACTTAGTTACAAAAACTGTAATCAGAAAATATAGGGTGGGCTGAAAATATGCATCTCAGGTGTCAAATGCCAGAGTAAAGAAGTCCGTCTTCAGCATTCACCAAAAACTGTGTAATAAAGTTCCCAGACACACCTCTATGGGGAGGGAGTCCCACAACTTAGGGGTTGCCACAAAGAATACTCTCTCCCCGGGCACCAAGCTGCTGAATGCAGCAGAGCTACCAAGAGGGCACCCTCTGCTGATCTTAACACCAAAGAGGGTCCTGGGGTGACTTTATTGATTATACAAATAATGAGGCATATGGTAGAATAGTACCCACATTTTCCAGTACAATCTGGCATATATGGAGTACATATTTTATTTTTTTTCCTTCCCCTCACTCCCCCTTCCTATAAACGCCTATAAATTCTAATTGTAATTGATACAAAATACCGTTTACTTATGGTCACCAATCTAAGCAATACACATTACTATACATATTTTAATATCTGTAATAACTGCAATAATTTGTGTACCGTATACACATTTTGACACAACTTTGTTAATCTATTCAGAAACGTTTATCTGAGTGTTTGTTGTTGTTTTATTCTTATTTTTAATTTTATGTAATTGTTGCAAGTCAAATACTCTAAGGTAAACTAAGATATATCTCAATGCAACCATGTCAAGCAATTTAAATAAAGATGAAAATGAATAAAACTTTGTTACCCCCTCCCTAAAAAAAATTGAGAGGGACTGTGAGGAAGGAGCCCATCTTGAGACATGAGTCGTTTAGGGTTTTAAACCAGTACTGTAATGTGAGCACCATGAATTGGGCCCAGAAACGAAATGGCAACCAATGCAGACATTTTAAGGCAGGGGTTATATGTGATCTAAATGGAACCACAGCCAATAATCTGGCCACTGCATTTGGGACCAATTGAAGTTTCTGAGTCATATTTAAGGGCAGCTTCTCATAGAACCCACTGCGGTAATCCAATCTGAAAGTTATCAGAGCATGGAGTACAATGGCCAAGTCATTTCTGTCCAAAAGGGGCAATAAACTGGTGAACTAGCCTGTGATCTGCTCTTCACAGGGGAGAGCAACCCTGCCCAGGACAGAATGTCTCCTGTCCTCCCAGACATGAGAACTTGGAACATATTACAAGTTTGTCTTTACAGGGTTGAGTATATTGGCCGGCCCATATTCAGCCCATACTGGATACATAGAATTTTGTAGAACAGTTGTTGTTTTTTAAAGGAATTTACTGGGCATTCCAAAAAGTTATACAAGGCACATTCAGGCTTAGGCTAAGGATTTATATAAAGGATATTTAATATACCACAGAATCTTGGTTTTTGTTTTATAACAAAAAATATATTAATTAGCTCTTTAAATTAAATTCCATAATTACCAGCTCCAAATCAGCATTAAGAACTACATACCTATGCATTGTGTCAAACCAACGGTCTACCTCATCACCTTATTTCTGACAGCTGACAGCCAGATAACCCCAGAATGTGCAGAAGCAGGATACACTATCAATGCTTCCACATCCCTGGAACCCCAAATTACGTATATAAGAAAGTTGTAGTTCATGAAAACATCAACACTGCCTCCCAAACAGAAGGAACCAAAAACTGCATGCATGCTACCTCAAAACTGGCAGAACAGAGGTGGGAACTCGCAACCAGTTGGGCCTCCTGGCTTAAGCAGAGGTGTAGGTTGGTGAAGCAGATACTCCAGGCTCAGCAAAACAAAGAGCACTTCAGAGGGGATGACCCTCCATTCCCTTTAACTGTGCTAGACTTGACTCACCTCTAGTAAGACATGTTGATCCAAGTAAGGAAGCACTTCTCAAACTATTGTCCAGGGACCACTAAATGTCTGATGACACCTTAAGGTTTGATGGATGCTAGCAGCTCACAACATACAAAAATACACAGGCACATGTGGGAGCAGGAGTTGGCTAGAATGGAGGCTGACACATGCAAAATTGGAGAAAAGGAAAAGGAAGGGAAGATGTGGCTGGCTGAATGTAAGGATAGGAAGAAAAACAAATAGAAAGGAGGAACTGAATGAGAGGAAAAGGAGAAGCAGCACTGAACCTTCTTGTCCCTTTAAACACAGCTTCCTTAGAATAAAGGTACATACTTGCTGGTGTGCTTCATAATGCTGCCCATGCAAGACTGAAAGGCTTCCATTCACCAGATAAAAATCAACCTAGTTTTTTTTTTTAAGGCAATGTATCACGTTCCTTTAGGTCTTCCACGGATCTACCCAAACACAAAAACACATTTTTTATGGTAGTGCTGGTAAATCCCTCTTATGATTCCCACTAGATACAACCTAGATTAAATTGAAGTAATAAAGGCTGAAGCTACAGATTTAATGATTCCTGTGTGTTAAAACTCAATTGCTTTATCCTTAGAGCCATTCTGAAGGGAGTTATTCTCACCGTTCTATAGACTGAAAACTAGCCAGATAGAGAACAAGGAGCATGAAATGTTTCTGTAGGTTAGGAGCAACATTTTAGACACCTGATATTTTTCAAGTCCTGCCCAAGCTCACCCAGTAAGTCCATTACAGAGCAAGGGTTTGAAACCTCATCTCTCAGGTCCAGTATTCTATTCACTAGCACATACCATCACAGAGCTGGAAAGATAATCTAATTCAAGATCCCCAAAGAAGAATAATCCATTTCACCCTGCGTGCCCTTACCAATCAACTGTATTCTCCTCAAGCCACAACAGAGAAGCAAATGCATTTTTAAAAAATGATACTCTCAGAGCTCCAAGTGAGCTCTCATCACAAAGACAAAAAAAAGAGTATTAATAGAAAACCAAAACATTTCGTGGCATAGGCAATGCAAAATCAAACTGTGTGGATCTTCTCTTCTGTGCGTCATAGGGGAAACCTACTTTGGTGGATCAAATTCCATTTTGTGGATCAAAATGAACACTTTATGGCAGATAGAATAGCAAAAAGCAGATCTAAACAATTAATCAAATTGATAAGGAAATGTAAGACATGTCTGTTCTCATTGCCAATGCCTGATAGATCACCTACTGCCTACCCTGTTTCAATACCAAATGTTTTCCACTAAGCTGTGATGATGTGCGACGTTAATTCTGGGAGTAAAGCAAAGGGCCACACAGGAGGGAACTCCATTACCTGAAAGGATTTAACTTATGAAGGATACCATGATCACCATACCCTGAGAAGCCACAGATGTCAATTCTACTGACTGGATCCAACTAGCCACTGAGACAGGCTTCCTTATGACAGATCTGGGTCTCACAAAAGCCCAAGTCAGAGGCTGAACAATTCTGATGATAGTGCAAGTATGCATACAGCCTGCTCTTCATAGGGTTGCACTCCCTTCTGAAGCTGCAGGTTTGCATGCTGGGAATATTCCTAGGCCCAAATGCACCCTTGCATTTCCATGTGGAGGCAGGAAAGAGGAGCTTCGTCCATTTCCTTGAGAAACCAAACCTCTCCTCAGTTATTCATACTCTGGTCACCTCCTTGTTAACTACTATAGCATGCTTTACATGGAAATACCCTTGAAGATAGACTAGTTTAGAATGAGACTTACAGGGTACTGACCAAATACAGTATGGAAGATCAGATCATATTAAACTAGTTCTTAGCTAGCTGCACTATTTACAAATTTGTTTTGAGGCTCAGCTCAAGTTCTGAACATCTTGGGTCCAAACTATTTTAAGAACTGGCTCTCCAAGAATTTCCGCCAATCTTCTCGGAGACCTCACCACCTTCACTTGTGCAGAAGAAGCGTGAGAGAGGAGGCCTTTTTTGGTTGTGGCACCAGGTTTGGAATAACTCCCTGAGCTACCGTATTTTTCGCTCTATAAGACGCACCAGACCATAAGACGCACCTAGTTTTTGGAGGAGCCAAACAAGAAAAAAAATATTCTGATTCCCAAAAGCCAGAACAGCAAATGGGATCACTTTGCAGCGAAAGCAGCGATCCCTCTTGCTGTTCTGGCTTCTGGGATAGCTGCGCAGCCTGCATTCGCTCCATAAGACGCACACACATTTCCCCTTACTTTTTAGGAGGGAAAAAGTGAGTCTTATAGAGCAAAAAATACCGTATACTTGACCTAATCACTGCTCACTTTTAGGCAAGTAGCAAAGACTTCTACTACGTATCAGCAGTTTTTAGAATATCTTTCTTAGCAATCTTTATTTATAAATTGCCTTAATCCTTCAGAAATATATAAATATTAGAAATTAAACATTTCAGTCACCCTCTATTTTACAGCACAACCACAAGAAAGATAAATTATGCTTTGAATTTCACAAAAGCTTTTAATACAGATATGGCTTGGCATGCCATTAAAAACTTTGAAAGGCAAGGCCTTCAGAACTGGAGCATGACAACACTGAGAAAGCCAGAATAGGAAGTTCAATAATGGCAAAGTTTCTGGTCAGCTAACTGGAAAGATAAGGCATATAGTTCCAGTACAGATGTAACAATCCCAATATTTTAACCACCATTATGAGATTATGAGGGATTGAAGGATAGCTTACTAGATCTTTCTGGCCCCTTGCCTCCCACAAGAATTCCCCTGCACTGCCAGTCTTAATTGTGGTTCCATGTTACATCAGCACTAATAGTAATCACAGATGATGCTAATGGGGGTCTCTCAACCATGGGAAAAACCTCAAATCCTGGTCTCAGCTCTTTGTTAAAAGGTAACCCTAATTTAAGGCTGGGAAGAGAAATCGTACTTGAGGAGGGAAGGAGCATGCAATCCCATGACTCCCACTATTTTAAAGTGTCATTACTGTTTTTAAAACTATACTACTTTTGTGTAAGTCTTGCAAAAAAGTGGCGTATACATTCACAAGTAATAGTAGCAATAAATAATATATTTTAAAAAAATTATCTGTCTGATGCTTTCCATCCAACAGTCAACCCCGCCCCTCATGGTTAATATACCTGCTTCTGTGTACAGGTGATGGAGAACTGAATTCAGCTGATGGGCCAGATTCTTCTCTCATCCCCAAGGGATGAAAGGTGGTCAAAATCCCCACTCCCCATCGGCTGCATAAGGAACATACTTTTGGCACACATGCAAAATCCCTGCTGAACTGAGCTTTCTGGTCCCCATCCATGTGCTCTCACCAGATATCATGTGCTTTGAGCTTCGCAGAGAATCCAAAAACCCAGATGTGTTCCTGTCAGCTCAAATGTACCAACATAGATTTAAAGAGGCAGGAATCTGCCCACCCGCCCCTGTTCAATTTTGATAAAATTCTCAATGGGGAGAGAAAAGGAGGTTTCAGCAGGTGGAAAGGTCACCAGGAATCCTCTTCTACCCCCCCCCCCCATATCATCTTTTGTATGTTGAAGTTATATATAAATGGCATAGGACTGGCTGACTGAGAGAGTCTAATTGATTGTCTACTCCATTCCCTTACTGTGAGGCAGACCACAATCATGGAATCCACTGCAGTAACATGTAGCAACCAACCTGGATGACTTAAAAGAGGACATAACCACGCATGATAAGCTCATTACTTTGTCATGATGGCTATGTAGTATTTTCAGTGTTAAGAGGCAATGCTTCTCTGACCACTACTTTTTGGGCATTACAAGCAGGAGAGCTACTGTGCGTATGATCTACCCATAGGCTCTGGTTAGCCACTGTGAAAATAGTGCTGGACTAGATGGGCCTTTGGCCTGACCCAGCAGGGCTCTTCTGTTCTTATGCTGTCACTACCACACACAACCACTGCAGTTCAATCCAGTGTGTCACAAAGAGAAGTTGCACCACAAAAAGCTATCCACAAAACAAACCAGTTTCAGATTACTCATTCAAGTAATCCAAGTCACACATTCCAGAGGAGGGTGGATCATTGCCCAAGTTAAATCCTGATCAAAAAGTCATCTCTAGGGCATGTTAAATAGGCATTTTATCGAAGGCTGGCCTACAAACTTACAACCATCCAAAACAAATGTAGCCTACCAACCATCTGTGCTTGACAGTCAGATACTCAACAATTCCCCTGCAGCAACCAAAACCAGTTTTGCATCACTAGTGTAACACCATACATGGCTGGTAAACTATACCCAGTTTTCAAGATCACATGTTTGTAGACTTGGTACAAAGTATGCAGCAGCTGAAAATACTGAGGTGATAGTGCTGGCAGCCACAACAATGCCTCCTTAATCAAGTGTCTTCACTTTCTTGAAGAACTGGGACAAGCCATAATCTTATTAAACCCAAGATTTTTATCATAATGCCCCAGTTCTCACGTAGCACTAAGCCAAACCATGGCTAAGCATGAATTAACAAGCTGCATAATATGATAGAGGAAGATGTTTTAAAGCAAAAAAGTTATAATGGCCTGGTTACACATAAGACCAAGCCAAACGATGGTTCCATATGCATGAGTACACAAAGTGAAAACTAAAGGCATTTTACTCTTCCCCAGACCCAGCTGCTGCTGAACAAGCCCAGGTTTGCACATATCTCCCCAAAGAAACCATGAGCAGTAAGGCAAGAACAAACCTTGGCTACTACGCAGCTTGCGGTTTGTTTAGAGTGAGATAGACTATGAGCCCATGTTCACATATAACACTAAGTCAAACCATGGCTTTGCTTTGGGTAATGTGACAGCAGCAAAACGAGGGGAGGTGCAAAGCAGCTGTGAAATTTTCATTCTGTGTACCCAACACACTTGGATATTCATACTTAACCATTTTTTAGCTCAGTATTATGAAGAAACCAAGTCATTATCTCTTTTTTACTTGAATACATTTTCCTTTCTAATATGCTGAGGATTTTAGACATCATCCAAAATGTAGAAGGGAGAGATTACTTTAAATTCACTATGTCCAAACAATCTGGAAACACTTGCTGTACAACTAAATTCATTATTTGATCAATATTGCATCTGGAGACTGAACATACAGAAGCTACATGCAAATTCCCTCTTACCTTCGTCTCCCTCTGGTGCATAGGAAGCTGTAATGATGTCGATGTCAGCACAATTCATCACAATCTGATTAGTCGCCTGCTTCACCTGTAAAATACACATTCAACTTTATAACTTAATGTTTCATTTAACATTGAGTACGGTAACATTTAAAAAAAAAAAAGTTTGGCAAGCTGTTGAAGTGAACTTTTAAAGCTGCTTCAATGCAAATAAAACCCAAGACCACTATTCTTCCATTCACACCTACAGCATTTTCACAGGAGTGATTGTTTACAACATAGTGAACAATCATTATATTTATAACTTTATAGTGACTATTACAATCTCACAGTGAGCAACTTGCTCAATACAGAATATGCCCTCTGGATAAGTAGTTTACCATACCTAAAGGAGAGCAAGGATTGCACAGAGTGGCTGGAAAGTCAACTGGAATCTGCAACCTAAGCTACCTCACAACACTGTATCAGCTAGGGTTGGGAAAAGTCCAAAATTGTGGTCACACAAGTGCCTAGAAGTTTTAAACTGATATTCAGAAATCCAAAATAATTTTTCAGCTCTCTACATGCTGGTGCCTCTACAGGAAAAAGCTGATTTTCAGGAAACTGGTTTTTTATTTTAACCCTAAAATACTATTCAAGTTTTGCATGCACCGCAGCTATTATTATTTATTAAATTTCTATACCACCCTTCATCCAAGAATTATAGGGTGGTTTACAATATAAAAATACAAAAATGCATACCAAAGTAACAAACAAGAACAATACCACCACAGTATTATTATTAAAAAGCCACGAATCCCCAAATGATACAAATTTGTTCAAATCTCAATAGTGAATTCAGAAGACTAGCATTCCCATCAACACCCATGCCCCCCATACAGTTGCATAGTTACTATGCATTGAGAACCAACTGGAATTAACTGACAGATCCAACACATGAAGGCCCCAACAACCAATGCTTGTCTATTCAACAAGACTCCTTTAGCAAACTAGGTCCACTCAAATATCAAGCCAAGGCAACTATGTAGCATGTCAATAAAGAGAAACAGCTAATCCATATTTGACCCAAAGGGAATGGTGCCACATTTAACTTTAAAGACATACCTTTAACACCCTACACCAGAGGTGGCTTCCCATCAGATCCAGCCAGCATGGGCAATGGTCAGAGCGATGGAGTTAGGAATCCAACATCTTGAGTGCCAAATGTTAGCCACCCCTGTCCTACACACTCCAGAACATATAATACATGAACAACCAATATGTGGCCCTGAACAACATGAGAGGCTGTTTTTGAATGTTCCTTCATTGTCATTTAAATGTGATAATATGTTAATATTCTTGCAAACAGACAACAGTGCCTTTCAAGAGCGTGTGAAGCACCAGAAAACATTTACAGGAACCAAGTTAATGGTTACATATAATTAAATGTTCAGCCCCATGAAGATCCAGAAACAAGGCATCAACAAATTGTGCACACAGGCAGCAGTTTATACAAAATGCGAGCTTGTGAAAATGGACTCGTGCTAGCAGGAGTCAAATTGATTTCAATAAGGCTTCACTTACATGATACGCTCAGGATTAAATCTTGTTTGAGAGCAACAAAAGCAAGTATCCAAATGCAGTTCAGCATACGACATTTTATATTGCAGGCAAATAGAAAATGCAGACATTAAATGCTTTGCAGGGAAGCAGATACATTAAGGAAAGAGCTATGCAATGGTGATTAATATTTGAAAGCCTCTTACAGAACTGGAAAATTTGTTTTCTGGAAAGCAGCTAGTACAAGCATGAATACTGACATGTGAACTATTTTTTTTTTTTAAATCAAGTAATTAGAACAGAAACTATGGATTGTATCCAACTAAGTTTTACTCAGACCAGACCCACAGAAATTTATGGATCTGGGTTAGCCATGCTCATTAATTTCAGTTATACTCAGAGTATAACTAATGTTGGGTACAACCCTGTATGTTCATCAAAAACATTCACTTCCAGTTTTCCTGCAACAACACCTCAAACAGAGAATAATTACTGGAAATACTAATGCTATTCTTGATTACATCTATTAACAGGGGCAGCCTGTCCAATTTCACCAGCTGAGGTGTAATAGGAAGGTGCTGCCCTGCCCATGCACTGCCTGCCTCCCCCCTTGCCACCTCCACCAAAGCCTTGCTGACCAGGGTTGTGCAGCTGCAGCTTCCAAGGTTCTGGCAAGATTGCCCAATGTATCCAGAGGCATCTGTGAAATATTGCGGGCTCTCATGAGATCTCATCAGAACCCACTGCAACCACTTCTTGCTTCTCCAGCGGGAAAGGTGCACCCATGGATGTGCCCCTTGGATTCTGCTGCCTGAGGTGCCTGCCTCATAGACAGGCCAGCCCTGACTATTAAGGAAACATGTGATAGCTTGAACAACTGTAGGGAATATCAGTTTTTTACAAAAAGAAATGCAGGTTTTAGAAAAAATGCTGAGAAATGAGATCAAAACAAAGTTTTCCCATTAATACAGTGCATGCACAATACAGAATCCCCATGCACCAGTGAAAACATTTTTCATAAAATGGGAGGTCTGTGTTCCTTATTATAGAACCTTATGTTGATATTTTCAGCAGCAGTAGCCAGCTGTGGTAATATGGATCGAATGTGGAGTCTGTATGTTATTCAACAGAAAGTAGTCAATGTGGTGCCCTCCAGAGGTTCTTTACAACTCCTGTTTTCCTTGCAACTGGCCATCCTGACTGGGGTTGATGAACATCTGGAGGGCACGAGACATAGCACAACTGCCACAGGGCTAAAAAATACTCTCCCAATGTCACTCTCTGAATTTAGCCATGTAGATAGGACTAGAGCAACAATAACAGAGCACCCAAAATTCCTATCCCGTGACACTAGTCCAAGAGGATACCATGGTTGATGGTATCAAAATTCACAGAGGTTGTGAAGCAGAAGCAAGGTTGCACTTCCCATGTACTGCTCCTATAATCTGAATAACTTTAACAGAGCAATGGGGAACCTGCGGCCCTCCAGATGTTGTTGGGGCCCCACCCAGATTGGCCAATGGTCAAAGATGACGGCAGCTATAATCCAGCTATTTTTGGAGGGCCACAAGTTCTGCATCTATGCTTTTAACAGTTAGCCTTTCATTATATTTTATATTACACCATCTTCTATTATAATATGTTCTATTAAGATTTTAGGTGTATTTTAGAGATAGATAGACTTTTATATACCAGCAATCTATGTGTGGATAATTGGTGTGTTGAACTTTAAAACACAATAACTTTAGCCTAGGATATATCCTTCTTCATATTCTCTCTTATGCACTATGCTCTTCAAAAGAGGATCTGTTCCCTTATTCATTAAAGTATGGATGAGGACAAAGTTCTAAGAGAAGAAGTAGCATGTAGAGGCCAGGAAAGTGAGCAGTGAGATGAGCAGCTAATCCCTCAATCAGAATCCACCACTGCTTACAACTTTATAGTCCATGCCAGACAGCTAGCCCGCCCAATATATTGGACTGTAACCAAGTTATTTATTCTCCAAAATACATGAAATCAAACCAATTTCCACCCAACAGCAGAAAGAGCTTTGTAAGATCACATCTGTGAACAAATGAAAGCAGCTACAGTAATTATAAGGCTTTATCTAGGCAACCACATTTTCCCACTGATTTGCATCCAATGTGGATTATAGTATCCAAGCAGTAAATCTGCTAATAGAAAACAAAGCAACAGCTTCCTCTGCTCAAGACTCCTGTTCTATGCAGGAAAAGAATGCAATTCAGCATTCAGATGACAGTTTGACAACCTTTGTCAAAGTCAATTCCTATGCAAAAGTTGTTCTTAAACTTGTATAACCACTTGGCTGAGTTTAACTAATTACAACGTTGCTGACATCAGGAATTTCAGAGGTTGGAGGGCCAAATCTGCCTAGATCTAGAAATAATGGACCAACAGGCTAGACATGAATGCCAGGAATTCCAAGATATCCTGGCTGAAATATTGCTACCTTCAAAAGGCAATTGTATTCAAAGATCTACTTTAGGTACCTTTGCATACCAAGTAATATTTTTTTCTCTTTGAATAGCAAAGCACCCCATACTATAACACAAACAACTTCTAAAAATCCCCAGATTATCAAAAATAATTTGTTGTGTGGCATAAGAAGCTACAGCTCAAGGAAACTGTCAAACATCCTTTATAAGTGTGTGGAACTAGTTGTGTGGATCTTTGGATCCCAGCCATTGCCCTAGTTACTGTAATTTTCAGAACCTCTGGTGGAAACATATTACTGTGTTAAAATTTTTTACCTTCAACTATTGCCCAACCAGTGTACAAATATATTGTGCGCACACAGTCGAAGATATTCAGCATCTTAAACAGACTGAACTGAAACACAAAATTAACACCTAATCAGCATGATCTACAAACCTGGCAGATACTGAACAAGCAAGCTATAAAAAGCAGCAGGCAGGTTAAAGTTTACTAAGTACATCAGCATGTCCTTCAGCTAAATCAAAAGACCAATGAGACACTACAAATGAAGAGATTTAAAAGGTCCCTTCCTTTGTCTGACCTTTAAGGTAGAAGATGCCATTCACAATCTGACATTTTCCTGACAGCTTATATGCATAGCAGAAACCTACCCTATTATAGTTTGGAGGGCATTATTTTACAGTTGCTCACAAAGTTAAAGTCAGCTTCCAATGTAAGGGAAGGAACCCTTAATACCTGGTACCCTTATTCTCATAGAATATGTCACACCATAAAAATGCTTTGGCTCTAATACAGGCTTGTAATACAGTTTCAAGGTCAAAGGTGAAATTAGTTTTCTGGCCCAGTATTGTTGGGAACAGCTCTCCAAAGACTCAGTAAGGCTGGGAAAGTCCTCTGCCTATGTTTTGAACTGGAGATTCAGAACTAGCCATGAAGTTACATATCTCCCCTCCCTGAATCACCCCCACATTTATTTAAAACTACTAAATGTTTATCCATACAAAAATATTTTACACTGTTTCAAAAATCTGTTCAAGGCAAGGACCTCCACAAACTCCCTGTGGGAGGAATTCTGCAAATTAATTAAAAAGTATCCATGATCCTTTGATGTCTAAACCTCATACAGAGCAGGTAGCACAGAGCAAGGTGTTCTCAACTGAGCACTGAGAAGGATATGAGGTTATAAACACTTTGGGGTTTTAAGTTTATGACTTAGTTTACTATCTGAATCATTGCTTAACAGTGGTAAACCAGTGCTTACCATTGATGCATCATTCCCTGAAGTCCCTCCAAAGGGACATTTTTTCTTCCCATCTGATGTTGCAGGAAAAGCCAGCAGCATCTCCTTTCTGCTGCATCTCCCAAATGCCCAGTGGGAAAGAAATCATTTCTCCTTTCTGCCACCATGGTTTTTTTGTGCATGAAAGTAGAGGTGGTCATTGGCAGAAACGGCGCTTTCACAGAGAGTACAGGAGTGCTCACCAATGGGGAAAGCCAGTGTAAGAGTTTATGGAACCCAGCCTCTGTACTGTGCCTCAAGAGTTGTTGTTTTTTAATTTCAAAGATAAGAGTATTTTAGTTTCCAGGATAAAAAGAAGAGACACCTTATGAAAGAATGGAGCCAGAGACTTTTTAAACTTAGCATAAACACTGCTGTTTGCATTACAATCCTATGTTTTTGCTGTTGTGATTCCGTTTATGTTGCTTATATTTTAGATAATTTTACAGTGTTTAAATGTTGTTAAGCTGCAATGAGAAAATACTGTATTTTTATGGACAAATTTATTAAATATACATATCTATTCAGAGCTTCCATTTATCTCACTGAACTTATTTCCAGGAAAGTTTTTTGTTGTTGTTTTTTAAGGTAAAGGACCCCTGGATGGTTAAGTCCAGTCAAAGGTGACTATGGGGTTGCAGTGCTCAACTCGCTTTCAGGCTGAGAGAGCCAGCGTTTGTCCACTGACAGCTTTCCAGGTCATGTGGCCAGCATGACTAAACTGCTTCTGGTGCAATAGAACACCATGATGGAAGCCAGAGTGCACGGAAATGCTGTTTACCTCCCCATCACAGCAGTACCTATTTATCTACTTGCACTGGCATGCTTTCGAACTGCTAGGTTGGCAGGAGCTGGGACAGAGCAGCAGGTGCTCACTCCATCACGGGGATTCAAACCACCAACCTTCCAACTGGCAAGCCCAAGAGGCTCAGTGGTTTAGACCACAGTGCCACCCACGTCCCTCCAGGTAAGTATATCCAGTACCGTAGCCATAATAAATTGCCTTATCAACAAAGAATTCTGCTTTCATGGTTCTTCAACAAAAAATGAAAATGTTGCACAACAATTGTAATGGGTCACTAGACAGGGAAGTATTTTTGTGGCTACCAATAAACTTAGTGATTGTGTTAACATACTATTGGTGTATGTGCCAATTTATTACACTTAAACACATCATAGCATTGGGTTTTTCTTCCCAATATGCCAAGTTTTTTAGCAAGTAGAAAAACAAAGCAGTGCCAAAATGAAAGGCTGAAAATAAAGTGTAACTCATTTACCAGCCTTTGAAATAATGTGACTTGCTACAGCATCAATAATAATCAAATATCTTTATCAGATGATCAAAGTTTCCTGTTCTCTAGAGCTGGTATGAACAAGAGAGCTGCCAAAGCAAAGGGTTCAATTAAAAAGCTTATATGCTTGGCCACTTAGTGTCCTAAAATGAGGTTACAAGCACCGTTTAGCATATCTCATTGGAAACTGAAGTGCATAAGTTGTCACCAATGGAAACTCTCTGCAACAGCTGAACTCCTATTACAAGTCTCTTTCACTGATAAGTGTGTTGACCTTCTGCTAATCTGGTGCTTAAATTGGTGGGTTAACATTATGATTTTCAGTTGTTCTATGATTGTTCACTGACCTTGTGAAATAGTAGAGGAAATTACACTTTCAAGACACAGCTGAAAATGTTTCCTTCAACGTTTGGCTAACTCCAAGTTACTCAGGTGGCAACATTTTATTACTTTTTTATTATTAACCTTTGTATCCCATGCTCTATGCAAGGAGTTTAGGGCAACATGCACAGGGATTTATCCTAACAGCCTTGTGAGATAGTGACTGGCCTAAGGTCATGCAATGTGTTTCATGGCTCAGTGGGGATTTGAAGCCAGGTCTCTCTAGTCAAAGTCCACTACCCCCACTGTTCACTATACCACACTGGCTCCCTTTAACCTTCAAGTGAGAAAGTATTTTGTCCCAGGACTTAGCATGAACCTGTGCAGTCAAAAGCAATACTGGCTTTCTCTCAAATTACTGCTGGTTTCAGGTCCTGTAGATTAGGACATATCACAATCATCATTCACAAGACACTCAACATTATTAAGTTAGGTTTGTTTTTCATTTCTACACACACTGAAAAATACAAAATCGAGAGATATTCTAAGTTATTTTCAGATCATTCTGACCTCCCTTCTAATAGGAGGTTGATTCAAATTAGACACACTGACCACAACAGAAATATATTACTTCCATTTTCCTCCTGGGGATTTGTTCAAAATCACCAAGCAAGTGCAGGGTCAATCTGTAACTTGAATCAAGGCCCCAAGACATACTGTAGGCACTGGGCCACCTTATAAGCTGCTAGCATATACCTAAGCACATATTCTGACCCTTCTTATACAACTGAAGGCTTTCAAGATAAATTTTAACTTAAGACAACTGTCAGGAATGCTTCAGAAAGTAACTTAGGTGTGTTAAGCACACACATTCGGATTCCTGAACATTATCTCAAGATACTTTAAAACAGCAATTTCAGAAATTCCCCAGAATTTCCCCAAACTATGAAATGGAACTTGCTAAGTTTAAGCTAAATCATGTACATTAGTTCTCCACAAACTGCCCATTTCAGAAACATTAGCTTTTATAACTACTGGAAACATGCTCAATTCTATGCTAGGGCTCAAACAGGGAAAATGTTATTGTCTCTTATTTTAAGTGTGTTATCATCAGCCACAAACTACAGCACATTTTGAAATGATTTTTACAAGTGTCAAAAGCCAGTCACAGGGAGCTAGCATAATTGACCAAGGAACCTTTGCAGCAAGGTGGAGGGAAAATAATTAATACGCCTTGTTCAATCTTGGCTACTTTCCATCCTAATTTAACACCCAACATTTGCAAGTGTCACCACACTTATTGAACACATTTGCTTGAGAAATCATGTTTTTATTTAACTGAACTGGTGGTTCGTTTATAGCCTCATTCTCTTCCCTTCCTCCCACCCAACCCCCATCAACAGACATACCACAGTCCACAGTTAACTTGGAAACATGCACACCATTCTCTGCTGGAGTTGTTTTCAAAATCAGAATCATTTTAGCAACTTGCATTCCATTTCCCTGCACGTTGTCTCCATGGTATTTACACAACTGGTCACCTTTCAGTGTTTCCTGCTCTGCTTATGTAGCCAAATACGCTCGCTCAACACTTCAAAGTGAAATTTGCTCCTGCTGAGACACAAAGCCAGTTATGGACAAAACAAATTTTCTCCATCCCAGTCAGTTGGGGCTCTTTCTGGACACTGCTGCCTTCTGAATAATGGAGTTTAACTTGTCTTTTAATATCTATAGTGTCTTGAAAATACTTCCCCTTATAAATAATTCAGTTGGTTTGCATGTACCCTTAAAGGCTGAAACAACTAGTTTGTATTGCAAACTAGCTCACTTGAATGCTCTTACAGATATGCTCTTGCTGAATGAAAGGAAACTATCAAACCTTTTTTAAAACACCAAGAACACCACCACCTATGATTTCTAGACATGGCTTCAATGTCATGGCTGAACTATCTGGTCGAGACTTAGAATTGAAGCACTCTGAACAAAACTAAATATTGTGGGGTATTTTAGTACTAGCCTGAACCAGGAAAAGTCCCAGGCTCCTGGTGATCCATCTGCCTGAATTAATGCTGAAATCTAAGGAATTGCTGAGTCATATGAAATATACATTTTCTCAGTATTGATTATAGCATGTTTGAAACTTTCCAATTTTAAATGTCAGTCTAAAGACCAGCTAGTAGAAACTAAGTGCAAATAAACATTACAGGACATAGGTTTGTATTTTAGCAAAGTTTTGGAGACTGCTGTATTAGCTAAAGGAAATAGAAGCAATTAAAAAAATCTACATTTCCTTCCTACCTGTAGTGCAATCTTAATCATGTCTACTCAGAAGTCAGGCCTATTCAACTCAATTGGGCCTGGTTCCAGATAAGTAAGGATAGGATTGCAGTCTTAATAACTTTTATTCACCAACAGTATTCTTCAAGATTCTCACCAGTCCCAGAAATTCTCTCCAGTTTATATCATGCCATCCTCCCCAAATCTAAAATACGCCAGAAATAGAACTAGTTTAGCATACAGTACTCCTCTTGACCGAATTATGCCCCAGGAGACTTAACCAGCCTTACTCATGAAGGATTCATTATTAATGACAGGGTTTTAGAACTCTATGACAAAGAGCTGTGTTACAAAGAACTGAGGCTCTTCCTGGTATCTTAAACTGTACCTTATTCATTTGAATGATCCCAGATTAGGAAAGAGCCCAGAGAAATCTAGCAAACTGCATTTCTCACACACCTGTTTTCAAGGAAAACCGTCCTCTGTGTTAAAAGAAACCTGATGTCATGATTGTGTATTGCACAGACATTTTCTCAGATAGGTAGTTGAAATAAGAAGCAGGCCTATCAATCTCCATCCCGTCTGCATTTTAACATTGTGCAGAAACTTTACCCAAGAATCATCCCACTGTTCTGCTGACTGAAATCAACAATCCCAAATCTAAGAAAAAACAGCAGTGTTACTACAATACTGAGGAAAAAGTAAAAAATACTGACTACAAAAACAATATCAGCAACACAAAACACACATTTCTTTAGGCTTTGTTAGGAGTCTTGCCCTATGGGAATGTAAGGCAATGGATAAAGATCACTAATAGGATTCCTTAGTTCTACTTACAGGTAGGTAGCCGTGTTGGTCTGCCATAGTTGAAAAAAAAAATTCCTTCCAGTAGCACCTTAGAGACCAACTGTTTCAGTGTATCTGAAGAAGTGTGCATGCACACGAAAGCTCATATCAAGAACAAACTTAGTTGGTCTCTAAGGTACTACTGGAAGGATTTGTTTTGTTTTGTTAGGATTCCTTAGGAGAGACACAGGGAAAGAAAGAGCATCACAAGAATGTGTACCAAGACATAAGGAAACAATTCCACTTGCATCTCTTTCCTAAGCTCTACTCACTTCCACACCTAATAGGCGGACTATCACATAACTTGAAACTGACTGCAGATACAACCTACTGAAAGATACATACTCCATTCCACTACCTTTCACATCACACAAAAGCCCTACTGCTGAGCAAGGCACTCCTTCATCTGCTCATATTAATCCCTATTAAGGAAGCCATGAAAAGCATGAACCAACAGTCCCCCATCTCTTACCCTGAGTCCAAGAGGAATGTCCTGCACATATAATTCTCAACATGACACTCATTGGCAAAAGTCTCCCAAGCTCAGCACTCTTTAAAAAAAAAACCTTTCCAAAGAAAGTTCCTGCCCTTAATTCTAAGAGAAGACATGCCAAACTCATGGTTTGCTCCTTTATAATTCTGATCCAAAATAATTGAATATTGCCCGTCTGAGGTCATTTTGCTACAAATTTTACACTGCTTACTTGAATCTCCTTGCATAGTCAAAGATACACCATATGTCATGAATCCAAGAAGAACCTCAATCACAAATTCCTCAAGTAATTGTTCCCATCCTAACTAAGAAACCTTCTCCAAACCTACAGGACCAGAGATAAAAAACTGCTAACATCAGGATTCCCCAACCTATTCAATCTTACAAGAATGTATCCACCCCTTATGAATTAGACTTCCTCATTAAAACCAGAAAATCTTCTCAACTTCTTGAAGAAGCCAAGAGGCCACCTCCCATCCTAGAGAACATGTCCTTCACTCCTGGAAACACACTTATCTTAGGCAAGTTTCACCCAATTTGGAAGTGTACTTCCCAACAGCACACTCAAAGAACAGCTCTCCCTCTTTCACCAAAGGCAGGCATACCTTTCCACTCAGGTAAGTCTTAACTCCCCCCCCCAAAAAAAACCAACAACAACAACACAACGCACACACAATACAAAATCTCAGAAGAGCAGTAACCACTAACCTTCTCGGGAGGCTGCCCACCAGAAACATGATCCAGAATCAGCCCAACAGGTACCACTGTCCCCCAAAATACTCCATCCCACCCCTACACTTCATAGAAACCCTTCTCCCCTTTTTACTCGTGCACCTTCTTCCCATCCCTGCTGCCCAAGCCCCACACCCGACGCTTACCCCAATTCTATCCATCACGGAGCTATTCGCCCGCATTCCTCCTCTTGGGGCCAACTCCCCACCTTCTTCCCCGAGCGCACCTACCCTACCCCACACACCGGGGCCTTCCAAGCCACAGTCACCATCGGGGCCCCCCCCCGAACCCTACACGCACTCCTTTCCCCACCCCAAGCCCACACGTTCACCCTCAGATCTTTACACACATACACACACGCGCGCGCCCTCCCCTCGCCTCGCCCACTTCCAGCCCCGCGTTTACCTCCACGGCGGCCTCGAGTTTCCCCTCGAAGGTGAAGTCGATAAGGTCAGGCTTGAGGCAGAGCCCGTAATTGATGGGGCGCACCTCGCCCGGGAGCCGCTCGAAGGGCCGCTTCTCCGGCATCGCGGCGGCGGCGGCGGCAGCGAGACGGCAAGAGAAGGTGGCTGAGTAGAACGACGAGGCGGCGGCGGCGGCAGCGGAGGTTGCTGCTGCTGCTGCTGCTGCTGCTGCTACTGAGGCGAAGGGGGAGGCCCAGCGCGCGCGCGCACTGAGGGGGAGGCGGCGACCCCCCAGTGACAGAAGGCGGAGACCGAAGCCAGGAGGCGGAGGAGGATGGGGAGGAGCAGGCCGCACCTGGCCCAACCGAGAGAGAGAAGGGGCGAGGGCCTCCCGCGAGCGAGCCAAGTTGACCTGCTGTGGGTCGTTGTGCTGCTGTCGCTGCTGCTGCCTCCGCCGCCACCCTCCTCCTCCCTCCTTAGACGGCCGTGGATAGGACTGCCTCCACTGCGCGTGCGCGCTCCAACTTTCTCTCCTCCCCTTGGCCTCGCGCGCCTGTGCCCCCTCCCGGCCGAGGAGGGGAGCGGGGAGGCGGAGGGCGCTCGCGACGTGACGCACGCGCCGGAGCGCCTGCGCGCTGGTGGTAGTGGAGGGCGGCGGCGGCAACCGCGAGGCACCTGAGAGGAAGAGAGCTAGGAGACGTCCACCACGGGCCATTGGGATCCGCCCGCGCCTTTTCCTCCCTGTTGTTGCCCGAGCTTGGCTTTTTTCTTTCTTTCTACGGCGGGTGAGGGGGAGGGGACTCGCGTGACGGACAAGTCTCGTGGCAGAGACGTCAACTAGTAAACCGAAGCAAAGGTGGGGGGCGGGAGAGAGAGGGGGCGGGGAGGGCATGGCCGCTGCTCGCGCACGCGCATTGCGATAGAGAAAACGCTCCTTTTCTGACGGAGGGAGGGAGGGAGCGGCGGTTTGTCGCGAGCGCATCCTCGCCTTCCGCCGCCGAGGCTAGAGGAAGAAATGCGGCACGCGCGGGTCACGTGGTGCCTCCGCTCTTCTCCCAGCTGTCTCCCGAGAGCTTAGCGCGGCGGCCGCCGCCCCTCCAGCCGTCAATTCTCTACAGAAATGAAGAACGGCAACGAAAAAAGACCAGAAAAAAGGCACCCCGGAAAACAACGTTTTGCAAAAAAAAAAGCCTACACGCGCCTGTACAAATAAGCATCAGGAAAAAGCATAATTATGGAAAACCTTTGGCTTGTTGGGTTTATGGTTTTTTTTTAGTTATGACAGCATAATTAGGTATTAAAGCAGACTTTGGTTTTTTATCCCAGATCTCTCATACGTATTTTGAGTGGGCGTAGTTTTATGTTTGGAAGAGCCGGATGAGTATTTTATGCTGAGTTAGGTGAACTATTGAAACCTGTCTCTGCGCTGGATTGCAGCGTCAACACCTTACTGATTTCAATGGGAGACTCGCAGCCTAGTCCTATTTTATCTGGCGTGGCAAATCCTTGGTCTGGGAGCCTAATACAAAAAATTCTGCCCCCCCCCAAAAAAAACCCAAATGATTTTGTCAGCAACAAAACGAGGGAGGATTAAAGTAGACACAGTGCTGGGAATGGGATCTGGGAAGTTTGAACCTCTCAACCCAGCCCACCACCCAGATGAGCAGGGAGGGACAATTTGCATCCCCATCAGTCATATGTGCATCCTCTGTGCACAAGAGTGTAAGAGCATAAGAAAACCCATGCTGGATCAGGCCCAAGGCCCATTGAGCCAGCACCCTGTTCTCACAGCGGCCAACCAGATGCCTGTGGTAAACCTTATAGAAAGACTGGAGTACAATAGCACTCTTCCTTTCTGTGGTTTCTAGGAACTGAGAATCAAATGCATTACTGCCTTCAACTATGGAGGCAGAACATAGCCATCATGGCTAATAGGTATGGAAAATCTCATCTATGAATTTGTCACGTCCTCTTTTACAGCCATCCAAGTGGTGGTTATCATTGTCCTGCGTAGGAGTGAGTTCCATAGTTTTAACTATGTGATGAATGAAGAAGTACTTTCTGTTATCTGTCCTGAATCCACATTCAGCTTCAGAGGATGTTCATAAGTTCTAGAGTAATGAGAAAGGGATAAAAGCTTTTCTGTAGGCAGAAAAATTTTGTCATGTCACCTCTTACCTATTCTCTAAATTAAAAGTCCCCAGTGATTCAACCTTTCCTCATAGGGAAAGGTTGCTCCATCCTCTTTATCATATGTAGCCCATGCAGAACAGACATCAGTTATTCTATGACTGAAACCAAATACATGTAACTTTCTTCCTCGGGTATCTGAACTGGGACATATGGAAATAGGATTTTTCTCTCTGCCTTGCACTGAGATGGTTTGTGCATGGGCTCTGTACAGAATTATACACACAATCATGCAGCCAGAATGTTGCTACTAAGGCTGTGTACACGCCATATATTTAAATCGCATGAATTCCCCCAAAGAATTCTTGGAAGTGTAGATGCGGGTTATTGTAGCTCTGTGAGGTGTAAAATACAGTTCTCATGATTCTTTAGGGAAAGCTGTGGGTTTTCCCAGTAGTGATGTATGGAAGTGAGAGCTGGACCATAAAGAAGGCTGATCGCCGAAGAATTGATGCTTTTGAATTGTGGTGCTGGAGTCCCATGGACTGCAAGAAGATCAAACCTATCTATTCTTAAGGAAATCAGCCCTGAGTGCTCACTGGAAGGACAGATCCTGAAGCTGAGGCTCCAATACTTTGGCCACCTCATGAGAAGAGAAGACTCCCTGGAAAAGACCCTGATGTTGGAAAAAGATTGAGGGCACAAGGAGAAGGGGATGACAGAGGACAAGATGGTTGGACAGTCTTCTCGAAGCTATGAACGTGAGTTTGACCAAGTTGTGGGAGGCAGTGGAAGACAGAAGTGCCTGGCGTGCTCTGGTCCATGGGGTCATGAAAAGTCGGACACGACTAAACGGGCTTTAAATGTATGGATTGTATGCAGCCAAAAAAGGAAGTCCTGAGCTCAATGGGGCTTACTCTACTGAGTAAATGGAGATATCATATTGCAGCCTTAAGTATTAATTCGTTGAACATTAAACCTGGCTTAAGATGAATCTAGGTTACCCAAAGAGCCTCTCCCCTGCCTTTTCTTGAAACCTGCAGAAGTCAATTCCATTTCCATTCCACTTTTAAATGTTTACCATTTCCCTCTGAATGAACAGAATAACCTGGAAACCTGTAATTGAACCAGGAACACTTGCATATCTCCCTTCTGGTTATAACCAGTAATCTAATTAAAATCTCAAATGCCAGCAAAATAAAAAGTAGCGATCATGTCCTCTCTGGGATATCATACTATCTCCTTTATCGGGGTTGGAGAAAGGCAAGGGGTTTTTATCTAGGGAACAGGAAGGGAATTGGGTGGTTTAAGTTCCTGTTATCTCTGAAAACTGTGTTTTTCATAAGGTTTAATTTCAGTTCAAAGTGCTATCTCGCTGTTTTAAATATAAGTTAGCACAGAGCATGAAAGACAGAGAAAGAATACTAATTTAGCATAAGTCCTGAGGCAACGCAACAAGAATTTGGGGCAGGCGGGTGAGAACAAAGATTTTGAAGTGTAATTCGAAGACAGCTGATAAAAATGGGTGTAGTAATATGAACCAGCTCCTCATGAGATAAATGGGTGTTTCTTTTTTCTAGGGAAATGCAGTAGATTATCTCCAGCTCATATATATGAGTATTCAGTAGGCCGCAGCCTTTCCACAGATTCAAACTACTGAATCCTGCTTGGCAAGCCCGCAGCTCAACTCTGATTGGCTCGTAGTCTAGGACTACCATATTTCAAAAAGTAAAGACCAGGACATCCCGAGCTTTTTCCCCACAAAAACGTGATTTTTCAATTGACAGCTCCCATGAGCCCCAGTCAGCATTGCCAATAGCCAGGGATGACGGGAGTTGTAAGTTTAGGGTGGCCATGTGTCTTACTTTACAGAGGACCGTTCTCTGTTTGAAGGGCTGCCTAGCCCAAGTCCAGCTGAAAGATAGGGAAGAGTTGCCTAATAACAGTGAACAGCACCAGGCAAGCAGTAACGTGTCACTTTGTCTCAGTCTTCCCTATGATGGCGAGATGTATTGTATTTCTATTTGAATTACAGTAATCATTTCTCAATTTGCATTTATTTCTCAATTTGCATTTTATACAAAACTGTCCTCATTTTCTGGTGATTTATTTCCTCTTTGGGGCAATGCTAAGTGATGGTTCATTGTTCATTATAGTAGCCCTCTGCAGAGAGCCCCTGCCATCTATCATCCTAAAGAGAGAAAAACAGACGTACAAATATGAGAAGCCAGTGGATCTGGGTTGCATTTGGGATTAAATATATGTCCTGGATCCGAGAAGGACAAAGATTTAGAAGATCCGCTATTGACTCCAGTGGACCCAGGTCCATGAGGGCAACTGGACTTCGCCGTACCAAGTAAAGTGCCCAGTAATTTATTTTTAAGTTTCCCCCAAAATCTCAAAGCCACACTCCTTTCTGTTCTCCACACCCTTCCGTAATCAATTTCAGTGTAGAGACGGTGTCCTAGATACTTTTCTATCAATTAGCTTTTTGTATCACTCAGCCAATCTCAATCCGAAAGGTTTGCTTTTGTTGCCAGGAGCTACCACCCCTCTGCCTCCATGCAGAATATTTTTCTATAATTTACCTAGCTGTGCAGTTTTCCCCCTCCCTTCTATGGCCATCAGGAGAAGGACTTAAACCAAGTGAAGAGAATCAAGTTTACCAGGGAGTCACGTGTTAGAAAACTGAAGAAGATCCTCAGTTTCAACTTGCCTCAAGAAATGAGAAATCTACGTTCCTTGCTTGAAACTACTTCATCTCCAGTTGTGTTCTGCTGTAATGACTGCCAGTAAGGAAATATTTTGCTTCTTGAAAGTAGAGAGAATTATGAGAAGTAAATATTGATGCTTATTGCTTGGAGTACAACAACCACAATTGTAGAGGGTTTGACATTGGAAATCACTTCTGTGGATGGTCGTATGATACCCAATATTTAAAACAAATTTTCTGCAGCATCCCTCAAAGAAGCAACAACTCCACTTCATCTCCAATTACCTAGCTGCATCTCAAAGCGCGTTTGGAAATCTGAGCAATGAAGATAAGTCCAAAATGTATTAAGAAATGTTGGTTGAAGTAAACAGGTTTGCCCTTGTGTCTCATTAATTCTGGGGTCTGGGGCCCATTATACAGGGATGTGGGTGGCACTGTGGTCTAAACCAATGAGCCTCTTGGGCTTGCCGATCAGAAGGTCAGCAGTTCAAATCCCCACGACAAGATGAGCTCCCGTTGCTCTGTTCCAGCTCTTGCCAACCTAACAGTTTGAAAGCATGCCAGTGCAAGTAGATAAATAGGTACTGCTGAGGTGGGAAGGTAAACAGTGTTTCTGTGCTCTCTGGCACTCGTCATGGTCTTTCGTGTGCCAGTAGCAGTTATCTTTCCACAAGGGCCAACATTGATGCCGAAATTCAGCGTTGCCTGAGCTCTGCAAGTGCAGCTTTCTCCCGATGGAAGTGCAGAGTGCTTGAGGACCAGGACATTCTCAGGGAAACCAAAATGCTTGTTTACAAAGCTATTGTACTACCAACCTTACTATATGCTTGTGAAACATGGACCACTTATAAACGCCATCTCCAACTCCTCGAAAGATTCCATCAACGGTGTCTCTGAAAATTTATACACATCACTTGGGAAGACAGGCGAACTAATATCAGTGTACTGGAAGAAGCAAAGATCACCAGTGTTGAAGCAATGATTCTTCAACATCAAATTCATTGGACTGGTCATGTGCGGATGCCTGATGATCGTCTTCCAAAGCAACTACTCTATTCTGAACTTAAAAATGGAAAGTGTAATGCTGGTGGTCAACAAAAGAGGTTTAAAGACTGTCTCAAGGCAAATCTTTAAAAATGTGGTATAAACACCGATAACTGGGAAACACTGGCCTGCGAGTGCTCCAATTGGAGAACAGCCTTTACCCAAGGTGTCATGGGCTTTGAAGACACTCAAACTCAGGACACAAGGGAGAAACGTGCTAAGAGGAAGGCATGCTTGGCAAATCCACACCGTGATCAACTCCCGCCCAGAAACCAATGTCCCCACTGTGGAAGGACGTGTGGATCCAGAATTGGCCTCCACAGTCACTTAAGGGACTCATTGTTAAAACCATGTTTATGGAAGACAATCTTACTCGGCTATGAGTGATCACCAAAGAAGAAGAAGAAGAAGAAGAAGAAGAAGAAGAAGTAGTCATGCTGGCCATATGACCTGGAAAGCTGTCTGTGGACAAACGCCAGCTCCCTTGGCCTGAAAAGCGAGATGAGCGCTGCACCCTATAAGTCACCTTTGACTGGGCTTAACCGTCCAGGGGTCCTTTACCTTTTTCTCTTTTTTTAACCTATACTGGCAAATATATCTATTGGGTTTGGACTATGCACTCTAAATACTTTATTAATGTTTAATGTTTATATATATATATATATATATATATGTTGGAAGCTGCCCAGAATGGCTGGGGCAACCCAGTCAGATGGGCGGGGTACACATAAAATTATTATTATTTTTACCGTCAGCTCAATAAATGGCATTAACTGCATACCCTCCAACATTTTGATAATGAAAATAGGGACGTCCCATTCCATACCGATATTTTACTATTTACACCCCACACATCTTACTGGGTTTCCTCAGCCACTCTGGGCAGCTTCCAACATATATAAAAACATAATAAGATATTAAACATTTTAAAACTTCCCTATACAGAAATGACTGCAGGTTGCTCAGGGGTTGGATAACTTCATACCTACCCTCCAACATTTTTGTAATGAGAATAGGGACATCCTAAGGAAAAGTGGGACAATTCAGAAACCGGGATGGCTTCTCTAAATCAGGCACATCCCTGGAAAATATGGGCACTTGGAGGATCTGTAACTGGTCTACTAAGTTGGTAGACTCAGGAGCCCACCATAAATCTCAGGGGCTAGGTGGGAATAATCTGAAAGAGAAGTGTGAACCTCTAGGGCAGTTCAGAAGAAGTTCTGTAACTTTTGAGGCCTATCTTAGGCTTCTGTTAAAATGCAGCAATAGTTCCCCAAGAAAATAGTTAATTTGTTCCTTGTCTGAGTGTAACATTGGCTTCTATTTTTGTCAGTGTGAAATCAGGCCTGGAACCATTCTAGTCTCTTGACTGGATTTCCTTAACGTTACAATGATTACCATCTGTTTACGCTAGAGCCAGTTGCTTCTGGTTGGTTGTTTTTTTCCTTGCCATTTTGGTAGAATAGCCATGATTCCATTTATCATGTGGCTGACTGGTGATTAAAAGTTTCTATTTTAGGTTGACATTACAGCTGCAGAGACACCTTATTACGTAAATACAAACAGAGCTTCCTCGTTGGCAGATGCCAACTAGCCATGGCTAAGGGTGCTGACTAGCCATGGCTTACAGCAGAAATGAAACAAAAATCTAGTAGCGTATGGTCTAGAATAGCAATGATCCAGTGACAGCAGTGACCCCTTCTAAACCAAGGTAAGACACTTTGGTACTAGGCGTTGATAAAACTGAAATGCTTGTTTCTTTGCAAAGGAAGAAGATAGGGAGAGAACCACAACAGATGGAGGCCACACAACTTCCTCTCCCAGTGGAGAAGCAACTGTGACAGCAAGGACCCCTTCTGAAATAAAGTATGGCACTTTTCAGTTTAGTAAGGTGCTGTTTGTAAAACTGCAATGCTTAAGTATCTGCAGGATCTTTGCAAAGGTGAATGGGCATAAAACAAGAACAATTTGGCCACACCCCTGTGACCTAGCAACCACATCAGGTCCAGTGGAAATTACTAGGGTTACCAGACATCCCCAGTTCCCGGGGACAGTCCCCAGATTTGCAAATCTGTTCCTGGGAAACGTGGCAGCGGCATCCTCAGCAGCCCAGAGCCAGCCTGGTAGTGCAGTTGGCTCTGGTTGGCTTCAGAAGCTGCTCGCTGCCATGACACCCGCCATTTTTCCTCGCTGGAAGTCCCCATATGATGTGTCTTGTGTGCAACACATCATATGGGGACTTTCGGAGAGGAAAAATGTCGGGTGCCACAGCAGCGGGCAGCGAGCAGCTCCTGAAGCCAGCCAGAGCCAGCTGCACTACCAGGCTGGCTCCGGGCTGCTGAGGCTGCCGCTGCCACTGCCAAAGGGGAACTGGGGACGTCTGGTGGTACAGATCTCCTGCCCCCTTCCTCCTTTGTTTTGAATGATCGGGGGAGGCTCGGGAGTCGTGGGTGGGCGGCCGTTGCTCAGTTTTTTAAAAAAACTGTGCGTTTTTGTTTCACAGGGTGCGAAAGAAGGGCTTTGCACCTTTATACAATATGCATGTGTGCTTGGGCCCAGGGTCTTTTGCCTCACCATCCCCACTACTGACTCCCTGTTGCTACTCAGCTTCAAAAAGAAAAAAAAGTGTCCCTGGATTCATTGAAAAAAATCTGGTAACCATAAATTCACCACTATTGCTTGCTTGGTTCCCTGAAATACACTTTACACTACATACAGAAGAAAGGGAAGGGTTTTGTTTTGTTTTGTAATAATAATAATTTATTATTTATAGCCCGCCCATTTGGCTGAGTTTCCCCAGCCACTCTGGGCGGCTCCCAATCAAGTGTTAAAAACAATACAGCATTAAATATTAAAAACTTCCCTGAACAGAGCTGCCTTCAGATGTCTTTTAAAGATAGGATAGCTGCTTATTTCCTTCACATCTGAAAGGAGGGTGTTCCAGAGGGTGGGCGCCACTACCGAGAAGGCCCTCTGTCTGGTTCCCTGTAACCTCACTTTTCTGTTTTGTTTTGTCTTTGTAAAATAGATTAATTACGCCATTGTATTATTTCTATGAGAAGCGATAAATAAAAATGTCTTTACAGACCCCTCAAGTGTCCCTATTTTCCAGGGGCAGATGCAGATTTACAGAAGCAGTCCCAGTTTCTGATTTGATCCCAGAATGTCCCACTTTTCCTTAGGACGTCACTATTTTCATCGCAGAACTGTTGAAGGGTATGGTAGGACGTCCCTATTTTCATCGGAGAAATGTTGGGGGGCATGGAGTTATGCCACCCCCGAGCCAACCTTTAGAAGACATCTGAAGGCATAGGTATAGGGAAGTTTTTTAATGCTTAATTATGGTTTTATATTTGTTGGAAGCTGCCCAGAGCGGGGGGGCAACCCGGTCAAGATGGGCAGGGGATAAATAATAAAACCATTTTTATTAGTAAGGAATAGGACAAGCCTATTTTTATCAGATAAATGTTGTAGAGTGTGTTGTTAATACATACATACATAGTACAACATTCTGTTGAAATGTTCTGCATTCTTGGGGTGGAGCTGAAAAGGGCTGATAGTTGAAGTTCCTGAAGAGAGTTGTTAGCACCTTGGGGGAGGGGAGCCAATTGCATGTTGCTGCATAGGTCAAATTTGCTTAGAGAGGCATATTTTCGCCTTCCATTAAAAAATAGCCTCCGCGCATATTCTGGCCACAGTCTGTGAGCGAGTTATAGGCCTCCTGTGTTGGAAGGCGTAAGCTTTGGTTTGGCACAGTGCAAGCACATTTGGAATAGATAGATCTATTCCTGGAATAGGTTGGCTTCTTGTTCTGCCTCAATCAAGGGATGTTTGTTTGTTTCAAATGGCTTATTCAGATCTCGAGTGTCTGTCCGTTTAAAGACCGTAGCCTGAGAAGAGCAAGGGATCCGTCGTGCTGCCTGAGCTTTGCATTGCACTGCAGAAAACTGAGTTGTTGTGAACTGCAAAAACTCTAAGAATGAGGCTGTTCCTGCCATGTTCTGCCATGTCACTTGCATCTGTCACATTGGGCATGTTAGCGGTGGAAGAATAAATTTCAGATTTATAAATATAAATTTCAGGACCAGAATAGAACTGGGAAGGAAGGGTGGTAGTCAATGAAGTTTTATTTACAGTAAACTCATTAAACATGGCTAAGGTAGGTCCATTAATTTCAATAGGTAAGTTGAATACCACCCAAAATTTTGCACAAAATGCAAAATCTGACAGCAATTCAGAATTCATATTTTGAATCTTAAAAAGTGTTACTTTTAGACATTTGGCAGCACTCATAAAGCACACTTACATGGGAATTTGGCCCACTGAACACAGAAGCACTTTTTCCCAAGTAAACATAGATAGGATTGCATTGCCTGGCTGCTATCCTATATTGTACATTGTTACCTAAGAGTTTGTTCCATTGAACTAAATTGGAATTGCTTGTGAGAAGACGTGTTGAATTCACTGTGAGACGAGTACTTCAAAATTAATCAGCTTAAAGAGATGTGGTTTGGCTTATGGTTTGACATGTGAACTTGGTCAGTGTTTTAATACCTTGGTTACATCATCCTTTATTGCATTCTCCAAATCTCATAGTATTCATAATTGCAAATTATGGGGAGGGCTGAGGGAGCTCTGCAGCAGGGCTAGAATTCAGGTTGGAAGGAAATAAATAAATTCTATAGCACATTCAAGTTTTCAAAGCACTTCATGTGCATTATCTAGTAGTAATTCTTCCAACAACCCTGTAAGGTGTGTCATCATTCTTATTCAACCATCTTGCAGATGGGGAGGGAGAGGGTGGCAGAGGAGAGATTCAGAAAGCGCAAGCACATTTAAAACAAATCACTCCTCCCCAAGAATCCTGGAAACTGTAGTTTTTTAAGGGTGCTGGGAAATGCAGCTCTGTGTGGGGTAAACTACAGTTCCCAGGATTATTGAGGGGGGGGAAGCTGTGTGGTTCAAATGTCTGGTGTTTACACAACCCTCCTGATTCTTAATTCAAGGTGCTGCCTCGCACCAGCTTGTTTTGATCTGTCTCCTAATTAATTTCAGCTTTGCAAGCCTTTGCCTTCGTTCCCATCACCTAGACCACAATGGAAGTGTTGTTGTTTTTCTGACGGTTTGCACCTTGGAATGACATCCATATGGTGCAAAATTCATATGCCATGCATCCTGAGAAATCGAATGTAATCAGGGACAGGCCAAAGTTGAGCAACGGCTGTGCACTGAATCATCCCAAGGAAATGTCGTTTGGTGCGTGCAACTCCCCATGCTCAATATCCTGCCAGTAGTTGCATAAACTGAGGCCCCAGAGGAAGGTGTGGCTGAAATACGTTTGGGAGCAGGAAAAGTCTTGTGAGCACTCGAGTTGGGGAGCAGCTCATTGAGCAGCCTGGGAGACGGAAACAAGGTCCTAAAGTAAGAACTGCAGAACATGCCCAGGCAAAAGGTCTCCACTCCAAAACACACACGAAGAGAGACGCACAAAATTTCAGAGCTGCATGCTGCCAGTGTTTGTTGAGACTTGAAGAAACCATGTTTGTTTCTTTGATTCTGAAGCCTACACTTTGCTCCGCGCTGCCAAAAGACTGTTATTTTGGCTTTGTGCCTCTCTGCATATTTCCATCTTTCCTATCTTTCGCAAGCCACTATTGAGGAAACACAGGTTGAAGAGGGCAGTCCTTAACTTCCCAATAGATGCCAAGGTTGGTTTCAAACAGCAGCAAACTCTTTCAGCTACCTGGCACAGAACTCTAATCTTCAGAACCTCAACTTTTAATTTTTTTAATTTTTAAAGAGCAAGTTAATAAACCTTAACACTGTGAAGATACAACGGGGAAAAAAGAGAGCAATGTATTGTTACACGCCATCCCAGTCTCAATGGGTGGTGCGAGATTCCAAGGGTTGCAAGTGTGTTTACTTGGTCTGTGTTCCCTTTTCAGGACAACGAGACACAACAGAGACTGCAGTGTCTTTATGAGATATGGTTTTTTTTACACATATATACAACCTGCACCTAGATGGAGGGATTGCAGAGCATTCACTTCCTATAAGGGTCTGACTTACCTCTTAAGGGTAGCACTGGATTCTGAGGACAGCAAAAAGCCACCTTCTGTGTCTCTTACTTCCAGGCTGCCATCCCCAGTTCTGCCCCTCCCTTTCCTTCTCACTGCTAACAGACTCCAAGGCCCTCTCCCAACCTGTCATTCAAACTTGAAACCCTCAACTTGGTCTTTGCCTCTGCCCACTAGCACCCAGCAAAGAAGGGGCCCCAGGCCTTCTTGCCCAGCAGTCTTGCCCTCTGATGGTGCCTTTGATGGGCCTACACTGACCTTTGTTGCTGCTAATGACCCATCCAGTTGGCTGTGAAGAGCTGGATTGGCTCTTTAACATAACTAAATGCAAGGGACTTTGCCATGTTTGGCAAAGTTTAATCAAAACTTGATTATTTCAAGCTTTTACTGGATCCAGGAATTATGGGGAGTCTGCCCCCCACCAATTCATAACGGTATTGTAAAAATAATTTTTTAAAAATATAAGCAAGCTTTAAATTTATCTGCTGCGTGATAAGTTTTGTTTCAATATGGGCTCTTTTTCAGTGTTAGTTTCTCCTTCTCCTTCTTATCTCATACAGTGGTACCTCGGGTTACAGACACTTCAAGTTACAGACGCTTCAGGTTACACTCTCCTAACCCAGAAATAGTATCTCAGATTAAGAACTTTGCTTCAGGATGAGAACAGAAATTGTGCTCCGGCGGTGCAGCAGCAGCAGGAGGCGCCATTAGCTAAAGTGGTGCTTCAGGTTAAGAACAGTTTCAGGTTAAGAATGGACCTCCAGAACAAATTAAGTTCTTAACCCGAGGTACCACTGTATAGACATTTTATTGATTTTTGACATGTTATAAAGTTTCACTTTATGTTTAATGGATTTGTTTGTATCTCTTGCATCATATTATTGTTTGTTTTGCTTGTCATATTGCCGTAGCGGAGAACCTGTGGCCTTCCAGATGTTGTAAGTCTCCAATCCCCATCATCCCTGGCTAGCCTGGCAATGATCAGGGAAAGATGGGAGTTGTAGTCTTGTAGGTCCACCGCATCTTGCTCCAGGGTGAACTTACACATCTGGCGATACACACTTCAATGGTTTCAGGGCCTAGTTCTTGGCCAAATCAAGCAACCTGTACTCACTCTTGTCCGTGAAGGCCGGAAATATACATATTGTTGTCTGCAGCAAAAATGTTTTGCTCATGGTAACTGTGGTTTATTCAGTGGCAAAGCTCGAATCAAGTTTTTGCCGAACTGGCAGTCAGATATGGCACTCCGAGGTTCCAAGTTGGCATGCCTTACTTCCTTTGTTTTAGGTGAACGTTTGCATGAATGAGTGATGCTGAGATGCTCTGTTGCCTGTGCCCTAAATAAAACTTGGAGCTCGGCCTGCCTCTTCAGAATGCTTGCACAGAAGTGTAGTTTGTCTTTGTTCCTGCCCAGCAATACCACAAATCTGCGGGGGATAGTACAGAAGTTAGTCGCATCATATGTAGAATCCTGCTCCAAGCCGCCTTCTCTCATACTTCCTCCTCCCACCCCCCACTGTTCATCAGCCGTGAAAAATGTCTCTGTCGCAAGACTTGTGAACGCCATAAATCCCCAGCTGGGATTTGAAGTCCAGCGGGCAAGTCAACCCTGCCCTCGGTAGCAGCAGAAAAGCAGTTCTGTTCCAACAGCTACAAAAACCTACTGGAAGGTCTCCAGCTCTGTCCTCGGCAGTTGAGAGAGTCAAAGTGTGAAACCACTGGGTGCTCAGCAACTCGGAGCCAAAGAAACAGGATCTCTTTTGCTGGAGTCAGCAAAAGCAGGTGCCAGGTGGCATACCCACTAAACAAGAGGTGCCCGGGATGGTATGCTTTTGTAGGACATGACGCAGATAACACTTGGGTCACACCACGCCTGTCCTTGCCTCAGTCTCAATCTTCTAGTCCCCAGTTATTTTTGGTTCTAGTTTCCAAACATTCTTAGCTGAGGAATGGGGTAGGCTAAATACAAGAGCAGAATCAATTTAATTTAATAATTGCTATACCTGGGCAATTACCTAATTCACCACCACAAACCCACAGTGTAATTAAATAATAGATCCACCTGTTCAGGGAATTGCCACAAAATGCATTTCAATATTCTTCAGTAGTGTCCAGTTAATCCCAGTACATTTTAAAGAAAGCCACACATGAGCCTGCTGGTTAATATTTTAATGACACTGAAGAAACGGTCTTCTAGAGAAGATGCTATTATTATTATTATTCCTCCTGCTGATTTTTTTCTTTTTGCAGAACAATTTCCTACTGCAAATACTCACCGTGATAATAGCCAATTTTAAAAGTCATAAAACAATAATGGAACCACAAGGTTAAATGTTTTGAATAGCCTGTAGCAAGTTAATTCAGAATTAGGGTTTCACAGAGCTTCCTTCTCAGTCCTTGATAAATGTTCCAAGCCTGCCCAAACAGCCTGGTCCTTACTTGCCAGTGAAAAGAGCAAAGAGAGTTGCCAAAGAGTTCTTCTTGAATGGGGAGTGCCGCAACAAAAGCATAACCACATAGTCTGAGGCTCCAGCAATGTCATTTGAAGCCTAGGTGGCCTGGATTGCTGAAGCACCTCGTTCCAGCTACAGCAGTTGTGTACCCCTTCCTGGAAAGAGAGGACTTGGCAACGGTGACCTATGTTTTGGTAACCTCCACACTGGACTATTGCAATAGGTGTGGGAAGCTTAAACAAAAATGACAGTATTGAGGGGAGGAGTTAACTGAAGGAGCTATTATGTCAGCTCACATTCTATTTTTATGTCAGCTCACATTTGTAGTCTGATGTGGCACAGCCCAGACACAGATTTACCACCTGAGTAAGAAGTGGGCCTTGGAGAGGCATCTGAAGAATCCCTGTGTAACATCCCCCTTCCATGCCTGTGCTGACCTCTGCTTCCAAACAACATGCTTCCTTGTTGAGTCAGATGAAACTGAGGGGGAAATTGCTTCTGGTTCTGAGCAGCTGCTGGATTGCTTTGAGAATGTAAGAAGAGCCAACCAGAGCAGGATGATGGCCTGTCTTGGCCGGTATCCTGTTCTCACAGTGGCCAACCTGTGAGGGAAACCCAAAAAGCAGGATCCAAGCACAAGAGCACTTTCCCCTCCTCCAATACCCAGCAGCTGGTATTCGGAAGGATACTGCCTCCAACCATGAAAGACAGAGCATAGTCATCAGGACTAGTAGCTATGCATAGTCTTATTCTCCATGAATCTACTCAGTCCTCTTTTAAAGACATCCAAGATGGTGGCTTTTAAAGACATCCAAGATCGCTGTCCCTTGTGGGAGTGAGTTCCTTAGTTCAACTAGGGCCCTCGTATCTACGGGACCACCTCTCCTGGTATGCCCCGCAGAGGACCTTAAGGTCCATGAACAACCATAGTTTAGAGGTCCCGGGCCTTAAGGAAGTCAGACTATCCTCCACCAGGGCCAGGGCCTTTTCAGTGATAGCTCCAACCTGGTGGAATGCTCTGTCCCATGAGACTAGGGCCCTGCAGGATTTAACCTCCTTCCGTCAGGCCTGTAAGACAGAGCTATTCCGCCTGGCCTTTAATTTGAATTCAGCCTGATTTTTTATTTCCCTTCTCTTCCCTCCCCCTTTCCTTTTATGACGATCACACCGCTAATTCTCCCCTCGCCTCCTCGCTGACCCAAGTAGGAACAATTCAGCCAGCAAGCCCTGGGGATTATCTAATGTTTATTTCCCCTAAATTGATTTTTGAATTTTATTGTTATTCGTGTTTTTATACTGTATTTTATGCTGCTTTTATAATTAAGTGTTTTAAATTTGTTGTTAGCCACACTGAGCCCGGTTGTTGAACCGGGAAGGGCGGGGTATAAATAAAAAAATATGATGATGATGAAGTGCTTTCTGACAATGGATCTCACTATCAGCAGGTGGACCTCTCTCTCTCCACCCACGGAGAGGAAGGTCTACAACAGGCATAGGCAAACTCGGCCCTCCAGATGTTTTGAGACTACACCTCCCATCATCCCTAGCTAACAGGACCAGTGGTCAGGGATGATGGGAGTTGTAGTCCCAAAACATCTGGAGGGCCGAGTTTGCCTATGCCTGGTCTACAACATCCTATGACCCCCTAGGAGGCCCTTCCAAGGATCATAGGATTGCACCTAGTCTTAAAGACCAATAGATTTATTATGTCATAAACTCTGTAGACTAAAGCCCACTTCCATACCCTCCGACATTTCTCCAATGAAAATAGGGACGTTCTAGTCCATAATGATATTTTTACTATTTATACCCCACACGTCTGACTGGGTTGCCCCAGCCACTCTGGGCAGCTTCCAACAGATATAAGAACATAATAAAACATAAAACATTAAAAAGATTCCCTACAAAGGATTGACTTCAGATGGCTCGGGGGGTCAGATAACTCCACACCTTCCGACATTTCTCCAATGAAAATAGGGACGTCCTAAGGAAAAGTAGTGATGTATGGAAGTGAGAACTGGACCATAAAGAAGGCTAATCGCTGAAGAATTTATGCTTTTGAATTGTGGTACTGGAGGAGACTCTTGAGAGTTCCACGGACTGCAAGAAGATCAAACCTATCCATTCTGAAGGAAATCAGCCCTGAGTGCTCACTGGAAGGACAGATCCTGAAGCTGAGGCTCCAATACTTTGGCCACCTCATGAGAAGAGAAGACTCCCTGGAAAAGACCCTGATGTTGGGAAAGATTGAGGGCACAAGGAGAAGGGGATGACAGAGGACGAGATGGTTGGACAGTATTCTCGAAGCTACCAGCATGAGTTTGACCAAACTGCAGGAGACAGTGGAAGACAGAAGTGCCTGGCGTGCTCTGGTCCATGGGGTCACGAAGAGTCGGACACGGAACGACTAAACAACAACAACAACAAGGAAAAGCAGGACATTCTGGGATCGAATCAGAAACAGGGACGGCTTCTCTAAATCAGGGATGTCCCTGGAAAATAGGGACACTCGGAGGTTCTGCACTTCATCGGAAGCCTTAAAAACTCTACATCATCATCATCATCATCATCATCATCATCATTATTATTATTACACCCCCAGTTGAAAAAGTGATGAACTACATCACCAAGCATGCCTCAGAAAATGCACCCATGGCTGACTCAGCCCCAAAGTCCCAGGGCAGGTGGAGATGTTCACTTGGAAAGCGAGCGCTTTCCTCCTTATTGGTGTGGCTACTCTTGCCTCTTTATCACTCCTGGTCCTTCCTTGCTAGATGAATTAATAATGATAAGAGGGAATAAATGAATGAACTGCAATTTGTCTGGTACCTTTGGGATGCATATAAATAAAATGTCGCTGCCAAGTTTAAGGCCAGCCTTGTAACTCGCAGAGCCACATGCAAGGATCAAACACGTAGCCAGATTGCTGGAACAGAGAGCTTGCTTTGCAAAGGCAGAAGATCAGTTCTGCACGTCCCAGGATCCTGGGTTTGCGCTGCTATCGCTCTTCACGCGCTATACCCCCGACTCCAGAAAGCTGCCAGCAAACCTCAAACACAAAAACTTCAATTCAGGAGGACGCCAGGCTGAGCAGGGAACGCTCAATGGTTTTATTAAGAGCTGGGAGGAGAGGCATGTGAAATGTGAGGCGCTCTCGGTTCACGTGCCTTGTCATTCCTCACTTAATCAATAGAGGGGAGGGGCTGGGGCGTGATGGCTGAGGATGTGATGACAGGAGAATGTGGACTTTGGAACCCGACTGTGGCAAGACCTGTGGGCGTCCAAAGCCCTTGATTAACAGCAACAACATTCAAGTGTAAAATCGAGCCTACACCTACCAATCATCCAGAGCTGGTCACATCAACATCCTCCTCCTCCTCCTAACATGGATAGGCAAAATTTGGTTTCTCTCTGTTTCTGTCCCCCCCCCCCCCCGGTCTTAAATTCAGTCCCACACATTTCCACATCAGTTTGTGATTTTTTTTGGGGGGGGGGAAGCATCTTCATCAAATTTCACAAGCCTGTTAGTGCAACAGGATGCATTTTGTATTATCACTCATTTACATGCACACCTTGCTCTGGTATGCGCATTTTACATGTGTCACTTGGCTGGAGAATTGCATTGCAAAATTCGGAGGTGGTCAAATTTTGAAGCAAGCTTGTATTTTGAAAAAGTGCAGATTCGGAAAGCTTGCCTTTAAATGCGAACGGAATCGGATTTCTCCTCCATCCCTAACCCCTAATCCTAATGACTGGGAAGACCAATTGATTTCAGTAGGATTTATTTTCAAGCAAGCATGCTTAAAGACTTCACAAGTGTATGAAGCAAGACTGTGGTTTTCAAAGTTATTTAATTTCAGGAAATCATTTTATAGGAAACTACCTTATTGGTCCCGCCAGCTCAGTATTGTCTTCTATGCTGGTGGGCAGTAGCTGTCTGGGGTTTCAAACAGGAATCTTGCCCAGTTCTAACTAGAGGTGCTAGTTTTAAGGAATGGACTTGGGATTTTTGAAAACCAGGTGTGTGTTCTGCCAAGGTATTATGTTTTTGATGGCTGGGGAACCCCGTGCATTTCAGAAGAGACTGGGGAGTATATTAGGGTGCACATACCCTTGTCTCTTGGGTCTCATGGCTACCCAACATTAGAACAGAATGTGCCCTAAGACACCCAGCACCACTCTGGGACTGCATTGGAAAAATCAGCAGCATTTCTGTGACATTTCATTGAGAAATGTCAGCACAGTTTAAAGATGAATCAGCTAGGTCACAGCTTTCCAAACTTTTCATGTTGGTGACACACTTTTTTGGACATGCATCATTTCGCGATATAGTAACTCAGTTTTACTAGCAAACCAGAGGCTAAACTAACCATTTCCAGCCCAGGAAAAACGCAGGGAGTGTTAGCGCAACACACCTACACAATGCAGCTGACACACTAACATGTCGCGACACACACTTTGGAAAGCTCTGAGCTAGGCGAATACTGTTCCCATTTTGCAGATACAGAAACCGAGAGCTTTAGTCAAGACCATTAAGAGAATCCATAGATCATATAAGATTTGGATCCATGTCCAAACCTATATCCTGGCCTATCCTAGAAGTGCTGGGCAGGTAACTACATATAGTTTTAAAATATTAAAATTATGTTCAGGGGTTGGCAACTAGATTTGCCAGAGGGCAAACTCAAGACAGGGCCCAGGGACAAGCAGCCGTGTCACTTCCACTTCCCCTATTTACATAATGATGAAATCCACAGACATCCTAAGAAACAGTGTGGTTGGTCTAGTGGTTTTCCTTTTCTAATGAAATTACCGTAACTGAAGAAAGTGAAAGGACGGCGAATACACTGGGCGAGGAAAAGGAATCTGTATCAAGGCAATGTGGATTTTGCCAGTGTTCCAAGTAACTGCAACACTAACCTATGTACTTACGCAAATGAAATGAATTTGCATTACTTGTATTGTTTTGCAGTTTATTTCTGCTAATCCTGGGGTGGGGGACAACAATGAACTACAGAGGACACTGAAACCCGTCCTCCCCCAGTTTCTAGTATTGAAACAGGCAGAGAGGATGCACACTTTTCAAGTCAATTCAGCCTGAGAAGATAGACTTCTTTTCAAATGATAACTGAGAGGTTCATGGTGCTAAATTCTTAAATTGCATAATGTACACTGTCCTGTTTTTACCATAGTTTCAAGGGGGTATGGACTAAAAATTCAGATCAAGGGAATAGTGTGAAGTGTTGCTTTGCCTGATAATACTCCCCCTTCTGTCAATTTTATAAACTGCTCTTTGAACACCATAGGCTTCCACATTATGAGTGCTTACACAGGAAGGCGGCCTACTGCTGCTCACATCCCCTCATATTATTTATTTCTAATCCTTGCATGTAAAGAAGCAGATGCTTTGAGAGACTTCACATCCCCACACAGTTGCTTTCTTGCACCCCCTAAATGAAGCACGGAGGAAATAGCTTTCCAAGGTGCACAGACTGAGGTTGAGGAAGGTGATGGAGGTGTGTGTGTGTGTGTTCACAAGAGGTGCCTTTGGAGAACATGCCAATGCAACAGATGCACTTGTTTGCTTTTCCCTGTTCAGTAAAGATCCACATTTCTGGGTTGAGCCCCGACCTAGCCACACTTAGGTGGAATCTAAACACACATTAAAAAAGTTTTGAAAATGCAAAAACACATTGAATTTGCCGTAGCTCACCATCGCCATCTAGTGTCACATTTGTATAACACACTTTACAACACACCTGAAACGTTTTATTTGCAGCTGTATTTAGTCCCACTGAAATCAACGGAGCTGTGCTGATTATTTAAGTCACATTGTTTTACACTGATGCAATTTAAATAATCCCGTTCAGTCCTGCTGATTGCAATGGGACTTCTCTAAATGTGACTTAACAGCCTTGGCTATGCGAGTAAACCAGACTGACTTAACCGGGGCTTACTCCCAGGTAAGTGGGGCTGGTATAGGGTTGCCATATTTCAAACAAATCCGGACAGAAAAGTTGCTTTCTTTGGCAAAGTTGTTGACCTTTTGTTTTGTTTTTTTGCCAAAGTTGTTGAGCTTTCCCCCCCTCCCCAAGTTATTTTCCCCCTTCAAAATCGCAACAAAATGCCGGTTTTGCACTATTTTTATGGAAAAACGGGACTGCAGACAAGGGCGGCCACACATTCGGATTTTCCCGGACACCAAACCCCATTCCCCCGCGGACACTGCTGCCGAACGGGGTGTTCCCCCTGTGCCCGGGAAACTCCGGACGTATGGCAACCCCAAAGTCCCAATCTAGCCCTGCCTGACGATTGGTTTTTCATTCGTTGTCCTCCCTGAGCTATGACGACGCCTGGTCTCCTGTCTCTGGGACTTTCATCATGCGCCCGCGTGCGAAATATCTTCCTTTGGACGACTGACGCCGAATATAAGAAAGAATACCAGAGCCTTTGGCGGAGCGGAGCGAGACCGTGACGTCGTCGCTGGAACTTCCCCGCGTTCCACTTCCTCCGCCCTTCGCCCCCTCGTCCTCCTCCTCCCCGCCTTCCTCCCGGCATGCAACGGGCGCGTCTCAAGATGGCTGCCTCCGTGCCGGGGAGAATGGCGAGGCTCCCTTTGCACGTGGGATGGCAGGTACTGGATTTTCACGGGGGAGGCGGGTCGGTGGGAATGGACGGAGGGGGGCGGGAAGCGTGTCTGCCTCAATATCTCCTCGTGCATGCATTTGCCTTGCCTTGCCTAGCCGTACGAGTAGTTACGGCATGCCAACATATAAGAAGCAAGAGATCTCTCCTCCCTAAACCCCCACAATGTACAACGGAGAGGAAATAAAGATGATAAATAAACTGCAAAAAAAAAGTTAAAGAAAGAACGTTAGAAACTGCATCAAAAGGCACCCCCTATTTTGCTTTTGTTCTTTTACTTAGGTGTGCGTTACTGCATATGTGTGCTGTATCCTGTGGGAAAGGCAAACTTGTTTATGTTTGAATGTGTGCATATCTCCGAGGGTTTTTTTTGGGGGGGGAGTTTTTAATTTGCATCCCTCACAGACACCATTTCAGGAAACAAGGGGGCACTTGTGTGCTTGCTTCTGATTTTGCTTTTAGTCTCTGCAGACTGCTTCCTTTTTTCTTTTTCTTTTAAAATTTATTTGTTGATACTTATTAAGTGATATGCAGACTACTCCTTTTTGTGGGAAGTTGTGTAGGTTTGTACTTGCCTTTTTAAATTGTTTTGGAAAGTGAAGTGTTTTTGCAGGAGAGAGAAGATCTTGTGAAGGCAGGCAGATGTATGTTTTTGACATCCTTCTGCCTCAAGAGGCAATGGAAAAGTATGCCATCAGGGGTAAAATCAAACCATTGGAGAGTTACAGCACCTGCTGTGGCTGTAGAGAACGATGTGACAGAGACATGATTTATTGCAGCTGGGGCAGATGAAGACATCCAGTTTTGCTGCACTCCTCCCAGTGGCAATTTCTTCTCTGGCTATTGCTATGCATGCACAACCTGACCGCCTGTCTGCAGGCACCATGGTCATCTGGAAGGGATTCCCACACAGTAGGGTTAATGTTGCCAGCCTTCATGCTACATTTGCAGGCATCTTTATAACAGAGTTGGTCCGCCAACAGGCCTGGGGCCAGCTCTCTGTAAAGCACATCCTTGGGGATCCATCTTCCATTCTATGTACATGATCAAGCCAGCAAAAACATTGCTGAGACAGAAGTATACACATTCTGGGAATATGGAATTTGCAGTCCCAGAAGGCAGACTACCTGTTTTTTTGGTAAGAAGATAAATACAATTGGAATGTACCTTGGAGATTATCTAGTTCACCCTTCTGCTCAATGCAGGACATATACAGCACCTTAGAACATAGAAAATTGCATTATACTGATTCAGACCATTGATCTGTATAGCCCAGTATTATCTGTACAGTGGTACCTCGGGTTACATACGCTTCAGGTTACAGACTCTGCTAACCCAGAAATATTACCTCGGGTTAAGAACTTTGCTTCAGGATGAGAACAGAAATCGTGCTCCAGCGGCGTGGCAGCAGCAGGAGGCCCCATTAGCTAAAGTGGTGCTTCAGGTTAAGAACGGACCTCCGGAAGGAATTAAGTACTTACCCCAAGGTACCACTGTACTTATTGGTGGCTCTACAGGGTTTCAGACAGGGGATGTTCCCAACCTTTCCTGGAAATGCCAGAGATTGAAGCAGGGACCTTGTGTTTGTAGAGCAGATGTTCTACCACTAAGCTATGGCCCATTCCTGTTCAGTCTTGGCTTAAACGCTTCCAGCGAAAAGAAGCCCTGAGGCAGTCTGTTTCACTGTTCAACAACTCTTTACCATTAGGAGTCTTCTAATATCTAGCTAAAACTTGCTTCCATTCAACTTCTACCCATTATTCTAATCTGCCCACTTTCTACTTGATAATCCTTTGGCTGTTTGAGGACCACTATGTTGTCTTCCCTTTAATCTTTTCCAGGCTAAACATGCCCTGCCCTTTCAATCTTTCCCCATACAGCATCGTTTCCAGACCCCTCACCGTCCTGGTCACGCATCTCTTGGACATGCTTCTTGCTCCTTCTGTGCATTCATGTACAGTGGTACCTCGGGTTAAGTACTTAATTCGTTCCGGAGGTCCGTTCTTAAACCTGAAACTGTTCTTAACCTGATGCACCACTTTAGCTAATGGGGCCTCCCGCTGCTGCCACGCCGCCAGAGCCCGATTTCTGTTCTTATCCTGAAGCAAAGTTCTTAACCTGAAGCACTATCTCTGGGTTAGTGGAGTCTGTAACCTGAGGCGTATGTAACCTGAAGCGTATGTAACCCAAGGTACCACTGTACAAGCTGATATGTGCCGAATGCTTATCTAATTGGAGAGCATACCGGCCAACGTGTACATATCTGGGATGAAATCAACTTGATTTGGGAAGCAGATAAACGGTGGGTTATCTGCAGTGCGGTTCAATGTTGTTGCTTTGACTTGCTTGTTCTTCTTCCGTTCAACAGGGTGTGGAATGTTTACTGAATGCTGCCCGCTTGGCTCCATCCTCTCTTGTGGTCCCAGTGAGAACAAAGAGGCGGCATTTCATCCCCCCTGCTGTCAATGCAAAGTACACAACTCCGGAAGAGCAGATGAAGCATGCCAGGGCTGCAGGGTTGGTGGTACCTCATGAGCGGTTGATACGCCCCATGAATATTGCCTGCACAGGTAGGTGGATGTGATTATTCATTATGGGGAAGGTGGTTAAAATAGTTCTCAACCTGTGTACCGGACTTTTTGAAATCTTGAGCCCAAAAGCAAAACGGATATCTCACTCATTCTTTTCACATGTTCCTTCAATGCTGTCTGAGTCTTCCTTAGTGTAGAGGAGCCATTCACAAAGTGGGTATATGACTTTTAAAAATGAGCAAGGTGCTTTCATTGTAGCTTTAGGGTCCAGGGTGTGACTTTTCCTTGAGTGGGAGCTGGTAGGCTGCCTAGAGACATACTTTTGTCTAGCAGCGTTATGTGTTTGTTTAATTTATTTAACTTTTTTAATCCTTTTCTTTTTTTAAAGCACCCCATAGCACGGGGGGCATACCTGTGCATGCATGGGCAACATTTGATGATTTCTATGTCAAGCTTTGTGCACGTGTGGCTGAACAACAATATTTCAGTAGATAAATTAGCAATAATGTGTACCTTAATCGCCTCTCCCAAGAGATAATCTTACATTTTGTCAGGGGGTTAGCTGGTGGTGGTTTTTGTTTAAATAACCTGTTGCTATATTTGATTGTTTTCTGTTTGGTTACACAGCTGGGATCTTTGATCCTTATATTCCTCCAGAAGGAGATGCCCGTGTGTCCTCTTTGTCAAAGGAAGGGCTGAAGCAAAGGACAGAGCAGGTCAAGCAGACTGCAGTTTCACAGCTAGCGTATGTCCATTCTCATTCTCTCTCTCTCTCTGGCAGCCAGTCAGTCTAAGACCTCTGGCCACTATTCTATGACTCTGTATTCCTTTTTCTTGCAATACCTGTGGTTTATGTCACAGACCTCCATAAAGCAAGCCTTATTGTTTTTCCTATATGTATGTTTTAAGTGTACTCCAACCCTAAAGGCTCAAAACAATAATTTTATGTACGTCCCCCCCCAAAGCACGTTGTATAGCCCTCATGAGACAGTAGTACTTGAGAATGCAGCAGTAGTGATCTCATATTATAAATGTTAAGGCTTCTTAGAAAACGCTGGTGTGAAGGCTAGGTTCAAACACTTCCCTTTAGTGTCCAGGCTGCCTGTAGGGAAGGGTTTTTATTTTTACAAGGGGGCAGCAGTAACGTAGGAAGCTACCTTATCATTGAGTCAGAACTTTGGTTCATCTACCTAAGTGTTGCCCACACTGATTGGCAGTGACTCTCCAAAGTGTCAGATGGACATTTCCAGCCCTGCATAGAGATGCCAGGAACTGGACCTGATACCTTCTGCATGCAAAGCAGATGTTCTGCCAATGAGCTGCGGCCCCTCCTACAGTGGTGCAGTCTTAGGAAGTATGATGTGCTGCATACTTTGGCTCTTAGGAATGCACAGACACCTAAATAACCTTCAGAATGTACGATTAAGGTATGTGAGCATACAACATCCACTAAAGAACCTAAGTATTAGTGGAGTAGATGGAAATTCTCATCTCCTCCAGTGCTGGCCACTCGGGCACCCTGAGTGAGTTAACAAACAGGGTATGGTAGAAAGGGCTGTTCTTTGTAGTTTTTCCTTGGTTCCTGGAAATCTGCGATATATTTCCTCTTAACATGGAGGCTCAATTCGTGGTTGCAGTAGTTAGGTTTTTCCCCAATCTTCTCCTCCTTGAATTGATCTAACCCTTTAAAGAGCATTGTAAGATAGTGGCAACCACTACATCTTGTGACAAGAAATTCCGTGAAACACCTGTGTACTACAATCTATACAAAGTAACCTATTTTGTTTGATAAATTCATATACCACGTCTTCAGAAATTTATCACACGGTGGTGAATAGCGAATAAAGAGTTGAACAAACATGTTTAAAACCAAATGGAATTATTATTAAAATTAAAATTTATTTACTGCCCTTCATCGGTAGATCTCAGGGTGGTTCACAACATAAAAGTACAATATAAAACACAAAATACATGATAAAAACAAGAACAAAAACCACAAACTAACAACCCCCCTCCCAAATACATTTAAAAGGGATATAAGCTGATAATCAGCCCAAGGTCTGGTTGAAGAGGAGCATTTTTGCCCAGCGCCTAAAGCTGTATAATGTAGGCGCCAGTCGAACCTCCCTAGAGAGAGCATTTCACAAATGGGGAGCCACTGCAGAAAAGGCCCGTTCTCTCCAGACCTCTCATGGGGGAGGCATCTGAAGAAGGGCCTCAGATCATGATCTCAGGATCAGGGTAGGTTCATTTTCCATTTGTTTATACAGAATTGGCTGTGAATCTATATCAGCTTCATGTGCAAGAGCCCCTCTGCATCTCTTCTCTGCGTTTTGCCACGATTTGTAATGTGCCAATTTATAAAATTTGCAAAGGCGGTTCTCCCTTAGGGTAGTAGCATGCCTTTGATTTGGATTGCTCCAGTCGGACTCCTTCCAGGAGGCAGGGCTGTGGTGAATAAAACCCTTCTTTCCAGCAGCATCAGTCCACCATTCTAGAACATTGCTGAAAATGCATAATTTAGGGGGGGGGGGGATATAGACTATCATGGCAAGTCATGAGGGGGGCTTCTCTTAGCACCTCTCAACCTTCCACAGTTGCTTGAGGGCAAAGTGTGTTAGATGTGGAAGCTATCTTGGGGTTTAATCTCACTTCTGTGGTGTATGCATAGTTTCGATAGACGCGAAAAGGCACAGTGTTAACCTTTATGAGGACTGTTTTCCTTGAACTATGACTGCTTTCGTCCCATCAGACTTCTCTTGTCGTTTCCTTGGCAGGATCCGAAAGATCAAAGATTTTGATCCTGACTTCAGCACAAAAACCTTTCCAGAAAAAGCCCAGAACATCTTTATTGAAGCTCACAATAACTTGACAAAGTAAGATGCTTTAGGATATATCTGTGGGTTCTTGGTTCTGCCTTCTACTCCTGACTTGCAACAATTTCACAATATGTCACAGCCTTTTTCGGATCCAGAGGACTGTTTATATAAAATAGGTTAAATATTGTTTATTGAATAAGTGTAGGTTGGTATAGGAGTTTCTCCAAGCTTTTAATTGAGAGTCCAATGAACCTCAGAAGCTTGCCACATACCAGATTTATTTTAGTAAAATAACCAGGCACTGATGTGTCTGCAATTCATGGGGATTTTCTTATCTGCTTTCTGCTCACCCTTGCTGTAACCTTTTAAATCCCAATGGAGAAGCCCCACATTGACTAATGTACCATAGTTCATGCAAACACAGTCTGGTTAAAGGAAAAAAGTTGTCCCATCTTAACTAGTTGTGACCAAATAATGGGATATTGCGTATGCATTGTTAATGATGCTTAAAGACGGGGCAAATCAGGAAGTTTAGTTTCTTGAGAGTGCCACTGTTTGGGGAGGTTTTCAAGAGTTTAGAATTTACCCCTGGTTATGCACAAATGTGCTTCAGGATTATATTTGTTGCTGACAGTAGAACACCAAACATTTTTAGGAAGAACAGTATCTCAATTAAGTTGGTCTGCATAAGCATTTTGGTAATGCTTTTTTTTTTTTTAATCCATTACAGCTTTAACAAACAGAAGCTTCACTCCTTAGTGACTGAACGCTGTTACCCGGTAAATATCTGAGAAGATCAACAAATGTCTGGCTAAAGGGTTAAAAGTCCCTAAAAATGTTAGGAAGAAATGTTTATATGTTAGTGCCTTTTTATGATTTTATTGCATTTGTTTAAAATGCTTTTGAAGCATCTGTGCTCATAGATCTTGCACGTTATCCTGTTGTAAAAGAACAAAATAACACATCCTGTAAATAAAACAATAGCACTGCAGAGGGAACTCCAGCCCGTGGTCCTAATTTAGCCCAGGAGGCTGTTTCCTCCAAGCCGCGTCCACCTGCCTTGCAACCAACTTCATATAGGCACATGTGAAGACATGGCTGAAAAGGAGCAATCGGGAGCCTTACAATGTGCTCCCTGTTGATCCTTGGCAAGCAGGGTTTGCATTTGGCACCTGTTAAACTTGGCATCCAAAAAGCCTCACTTGGGAGCTCCCCATAGGAGCCGAACCCTTCCACTGGGCTGTACACCAGTTTCTTTCAGGAACCCCGGACTGTCGCTAATCGCCTGCTGAAAGTGGGGTTGCCTTGGATCACATAGTTTGAGAGGCTAGAAACCCTATCCTCACCCTTGACGCTAAAAACGCAAAATGTTGAATTGCTAGGAAATGGTCCGAGGAAACAGATACAAGACTATCCGGTGGAGTTTTCTGGAGTCTCTGGAGCCTCCTAGGGTGGTTCAAGTGCGATGCCCCGATATGGTGAGCAAAACCAACCTGTATGGACAAGTGACGGTTCGGATGCACACTCGGCAGGTGCGTATATCCAATCTCCCTTGCCCTGGATGCAATGAAACATGTTCTGTCTGCCACTGATTACTGATGAAACCTTGCCTTTAAAAAAATAAAATAAAATAATTCTTCCTGCTAGAGTCTAGCTATCTATGACCGGTTTGGGAGGCTGATGCACGGCGGAGAGCAGGTACCAAAGGACGTCCTGGAATACGTTGTGTTTGAGAGGCATTTGGCCAATCCCTACAGTCCGTGGAGATTACACGGCAAGATTGTTCCAGCTTGGGCTCCTCCAAGGGACCCAATTATTAAGGTACTGTGTCACTAGCAGGAAATCTCAGCATTTTGCTAACCCCTGCACGCTATTTATAAAGGCATCTCCAGGATATGGATGCAAATGTGATGGGAGCCATGCAGTGTTGCTGGTGTTCTTCACGTTACCTTATGTGCAAGATACTTTTGCTTTTTATCTCTGGCTGAATGAGCTAGTGACCTCCCCAAAGCCTCCTGCTGATCTTCATGGCCACGCAGAGATTTGAAACGGGGCCTTTTTAATGCCTAAATACAAGACCATCAATGGCGCTCACCCCATTTGAGACACCTTGCAGGCGCTGAAATCCACAGGTGTAAAATTAACCTCAATTTAGTTGTAGAGAGGTGCCCTCCCTTTTCTAAGAACGTGCAGAGGTACTGAGAATATACATTGGAGTGAGACACACAGTGTACAGAGGAAGTTGGTTGTGTGAGACTTGCTTTCACATCCTGTCTTTGGATGCCTTTGGGTATATTTCAGCCTTAGTTTCCCCATTTAAATAATCGTGGTTAGGCGTGGGATAAGAAGGCAAGTGCAATCATTGTATAAACAACTTTGCAATACCTACAGAAGCAAGTTCCCCATATACTCTCTGCCATGCTCTTAAAAGCCCAGATTCCCCATCTCGATGTAGCATCATGCAAAGAACTGGGTGGGCCTACACAAACAGCGGCTTGCACAGTCCTGAGCATCATTTTGGGACATGGCTGAGAGGGGGGCCAAAACCTGTCTTTCATTCCATTTACCATGTGCAAGTTTAGGCCCTAGTCATTGGGTGGTTCTGAGCACGTGCCTCTTCTGCTGCTCAGTCCTAAGGGATAAAACAAAGTGCTGCTTATAGGGGCAGTTTGAAGTTTCATTTTTCCTTACAATCAGGCAATATATAAATTTTATGAAATAAACATGGATGGTGGTGGTAGGGAAGAAAGGGGACCGTCTTCCGGCTCCTGCCACTGGGTGACCTGGGGATCACTGGCAGGGACCCTGTGGAGAGAAACAAAGTCCCTTCCCCATTGAAATCAGCTTCTGCGATGTGGAATCAATCAGTATAGATCAGCACTCCCCATTTATTTCTCTCTCACGCACATACCTGGAGAGGAGGCGGTTTTAAACATTGCTGCTTTTCTCACCCTCATCCTGAATGCAGCTTTGGGATTGGCAGGGAGAAGCATCTCTTATCTCCCTTTCAGTGTCTGAAAGCCATTTCTGGTGTAAAGAAAAGGAGCAGGACCAGATGAGGAAAACCAAGCTTGGCCTTAAGGCAACTTCCTCCATGATGTGTAGAAGGAGGCTGGGGGAAAACCTGAACTTTCCCTGCCCCCAATCAAATTTGATGGACACTTAGCTAGTATAGTAATTACTGGAGAGCTGCTTCCTTTGAAAATTGATGGGCTCCTTTGTGTCCTTCCTCCCTTCTCTCTCCCCCCCCCAACTTTACAGACTGTTATGATTCCAGGACCAACGCTGGATCCCTCGCAAGAATATGAGGAAATGGATATTCCCCAACAGCCACCAGCTCCACAGACTCAGTGGTACAAATAATACCAAAAAGAAGATCTGCAGGGAGCAGAATTCGATACTGACAGGCAAGGAGTTCACCGTTGAAATGAGCCCTGCCAGCTTTTAGAGGCCTCTTCCGTTTCATGCCTCTGTTGCAGTCCTTTTCACATGCATTATGGGCAGACGTTTGTTCTTGAGAACTTGCAACAAGCTGTTCAAAGATGCACTTGGAGCATTCAGGAAACTGCTGTATATCTCTCCTGTTTTCCGCATCAGACTGGCTGCTGTGTGTCTTCAAAAACTGGCCTGCAACGGCCTGTTACTTGTTGTTTAGTAAATTAATAGATTTGAAAGGAGTGTTTTAATTCTTAAAAAGAAAAATAGCCCATTTACTGTTCCTCCAGGCTTTCAGGAACCAAGAGTTCTGTTATAGAAGGCTGTGCTCCCTAATGCCAGATGGGTTGAAGCTGGCTGAAAGCCTTCTGCACATGTTCAGAGGCATGCAGCTACTTCTTGGGTAGAGAAGATAGAACTGAGGCTTTCAGAATAAGCCTAGAGTTAGCTGCTTTTAAACCGAGGGCCTCTCTATCCATTTACCCAACAGTGCAGCAGCTGCATGGAATCCAGCCTTGTTCCCAACAAAGAAACCCTGTTGTTTTGGGAACATTGCATTTTCCAAACACAACACTGCATTCTTATAATGGCTTAAATAGAGCTCCCCTGTTCTCGCTATCTCTGAATATTCTACCTACAAGAAACATACAGGGAGTTTCTCCTGATTGTTGCTTGGTCAGTTTTAGCTGGAATGATCATCAGTCCTTACCAAAGTGGAGGTGTCGGCAAGGCTAACCTCTTCCCTGACACATACACAGAGAGAGTGGGCACATGGCATCATTCTGAATCCTCTTCTTATATGTGGACTTGATATCAGACTTGTTTTCTTAAATTGGGATTTATAAGCAAGGCTATACATGTAGTCAGTGCTAAAATAAGTTGTTGTTGTTTTAAAAAAATGTGCCTTAAAAAATACTACAGCCACAATTGGCTGGGGTAACGATAAGCACCTGATTCCTTCTGCACAGAGCATTGTGAAAACAAGGTCAGTGTTACAAAAAAGAAAAAAGAAGATCCACCCCTGATATAAATCCAAAGAATCAGCCACACACATCCTATCAATATAGAGATAAGTCTTTTATTTATGTATTTACATTTATTACAGAATTAGATGACCTCGTTTGATATTCAGTGCTGAGACAGACAGGGGCGACCTCACACACTACATTAGCGGTACTTCCTAAAAGTGCAACGAGACACAGCTCACATGGGGGAAGTGGAACCCATAAAGTAAATATCGGATCCCTGCTTTATTATAAAGCAGAAAGAGTGTGTGTGTGTGTGTGTGTGCTGCTTGCAGTTTCTTTGCATGGGGAGGAGAGGGGAATAAAGAGAAGTGATCCTTTCCTCCTGAATTCCTTTCCTGATTCTCAGTAAGTGAAGCCAGGAGTGGGGAACCTTTTTTTCGCTGGAGGGTCACAAACCCTTCATGGGCAGCTGGGGGTGGGGTGGGTGGGGAGGCGGTTTCATGCATGCAAGTGGGGTGAGGAAGTAGGTGAGGCTGGATGCAAAAGGAGGTAGAGTAAGGGACGTGACTCTTACCATTGTATAGTAGGCTGCATTCCAGCCACACACAAGTCAGGTTTCTGCACACTCACGCGCGTCTGTCTATCCTACATCCAAGCAAGCAAGAAGCATGGTCACAATTCAAGGTCACACTGCAGCCAGGCAAAAGCACTCGAGAGGGGCACGGAGCAGCATGGGTTAATGGTGTGGCCTGGGGGCAGCCTGGAGGACATCTGGTCCCTGGGCCTGAGGTTCCCCATTCTTAATTTAAGCGGCAATGGCGAGAAGGAGATCTGAATGGAACGTTCACGTTAAATGGGTTTGTCCTTAGATGTGTGCAGGAATCCATTTCTCAACCCCTTGATCCTCACTAGGTTGCCGATGGGTCAAGCCAGGCCAGTTGAACCTATTCACTTCCTGTACAGTGGTACCTCGGGTTAAGAACTTAATTCGTTCTTGAGTTCCATTCTTAACCTGAAACTGTTCTTAACCTGAGGTACCACTTTAGCTAATGGGGCCTCCTGCTGCTGCCGCGCCGCTGGAACATGGTTTCTGTTCTCATCCTGAAGCAAAGTTCTTAACCCGAGGTACAACTTCCAGGTTAGCGGAGTCTGTAACCTGAAGCGTCTGTAACCCAAGGTACCACTGTACTTTTGTACACTATAAGGAGGCTTTTCTACCAGAAACCCAGTCCTGGCAGCATGTTTTCTTATGCACAATGGCAGCTAGGATGGAATCTCCTGTAGGAAATGCTTCCTGGGATGCTGAGTTTGAACAGGCTATCCCCATAGTGCTGCCATGTTGTGCTGAGATGCCTCCATTCCTGTTGCGCGCTTCCATGTACTGGGCCAGTAAACCCAGTTGGCTCTGGACCAGAAAGGAGGGACTTAGGCCCAATGAAGTTTTGTAGAGTGGGGATAAGAGCAGCCTTGCCTTGCAGGGCAAAGGAACTGGGAATAGAGAGGGACCTCCAAAGAAAATCGCACTGCAAGCTCTCCAGGTTGGCCGTTCCAGAAAGGATGACCCCAGGGCATGGCAGCAGAGTGCCATGAGAAATAAACAAAGGACTCCTTTGAGCCCAAGGTATCTGTCCTCAGAGGAGGCCACCTGCCCGGTGTGTTTCTGTGATTCACTACTCTGGCCATGCCTCTTTCCCACTTGGTCTCTTGGGTGTAATTCTGCTGCCTCTCGGGTGTGGTTGAGTGATCCCGTCACTCGCAGTTGCAGAGACACAGCAGAGCTACCCACTTTTGGAGGGACGCTGCATGGTCCATCTCTGTGTTGGTCACTGTTTTGGGTTTGCTTGCCTCTAACTAAGGCAATCAGACCGGAGACTCATTAAGGAATATGAAGGAAATTCTTTGAGGCTGCACAATAATTATTTTATTCTAAAAGTGTGTCTCCAACAAAACTGGCCAGTGACTGGCTGTGTCTCTGTCAGGCAGAGCTCCTTCCCTATCCAACCTAGAGATACTTTGTCCATCAATCAAGGGCTCAATTGTTGAGCTACAACCACCATATGGAGGCTGCTTTATGCGGCATGTGTTGCCACACCGAGATATTTTTTCTCTCCTGCAGTGACTCTTGGATTGGGTCATTTCTGTCCATGCCACCATGCATGCCCCAAAGGACAAGGTGAAAGTCTACTGACTGCCATAGTGCTGATTAGCTCGTCCTAGTATTGAACCTAAAGCTACTTCCTGAGTTTCATGGGGAGGGGGATAAGCAGGTCAAAGTCTGGTACACGATTTAAGAAGAAAGGGCAAAAGACTACTGTTATTCAAACACTAAGGGTCAGCAGAGGCAGGAAGGAAGGGTTAGCCCCCTCCCTTCGATAGCCAAGTAACAATGAACAAACTTTGTAGGAGTTACAGCTTAGCTGCCACTCCTCTGCAATAGGCAGTTGCAGGGAAGTCTTGTGTGTGCTTCACTGTGCACACTTGGTTCATGCTGGCAAACAGAAAGACTCGCCTGGCCCAGAGCAGGAAAAGGCAGCATGTTTCCAGGCTTCCAGTAGATAGGCACCTGGATGGCCACTGTGAGAATAGGATGCTGAGCTGGTAGATGGGCTTTTTGTCCAATCCAGCAGGGCTGGAAAGTCCCAGGCTTAATCCCTGGGAAAATTCTGAGATTCCCCACTTTAGGCAAACATTAAGGCTTCCGTTGTGTCAGCCAATTATTAAAACTGCTCATGGCACGTCCTCCCAAAAGATATGTGAAAACATCTGGGCTTGGGACAAAGGGATGACTTGCGGAGCGACTGCTAACCAAAAGTTAACATTCAGATCCCTTTGGAGGCATTAAAAAACGAAACGTTAACCTTATGTGGGTCTGGGAGCAGATCCAACTTGAGAAGCTTTGCTGCCTGAGCTGGAGCAGCAAATGTTGGACCCCACCCCAAATCAAGGTGCATAGTATAGTACCCAAGATCAGCCAAGTTATTTTGGCACCTGAGACAGAAAATACCATGAGTGCCTCTTCTCTCTTTGTGGCAAATGAAATAATAGCAAAGAATAAACATTTTGTTGCGCTTTCATGGTGCCCAACGTGAGGCAGCTGCCTTATTTTACCCAATGATAGGGCTGGCCCCAGTTCTGATAAATCAGCAATTAGGAACCAGTGGCCCTCCAGGTGTCGCTGGGCTACAACTCCCATCAGCCCCAACCAGCATGGCTAATGATCAGGGATGATGGGAGTTGTAGTCCAACAGCAACCTGAAGGGCCAAAGGTTCTCCACTACTGCAATAAATAGAGAAGAGCAGGTATGAGGTTTGGAATTAAACGGGAAGTTTATCCTGAGCAGAATTATCCCCTTTCCCTTGCAAAGGGAATACAGAAGGTGCGCTCATTACTTGAAACAATAAGTAACACTTTCGGGATTCATTACCCAGTCGTTCATCAGCCACAATGAACTACATTTGTTCTTGTTCCCAACCCGTTAAGCCACCTAGTTCAGATCAAAGTTGTAAAAGAAAACCCAGGAAAGAAACCTATGTAATTTATGCAAGTCTCTCTGTTGAATAGTTCCCAGTTCCCTTGTGATTTGATGTTCAAGCTTGCTCAAAGCCCCTCTTATTAATTTGCTTGTTTAATGTGAGCATGTTATCCAGGTGGTGTTGTTTGCAGACATCAGGAGTGGGTGCTCTGGAAACACCTGAGGGGACGTCAAGGCAAGGCTGGGTTCTACACGCTACACACACAGAACGGAACGTGCAGACTTTAGCAGCTAGCTTGGGTTTTCTGCAAATGAAGGCAGGAAGGTACAACTTTTCTCTAATGAACAGCAGTCCACCAGCCTGGTAATGCCCAAGCATAGTGCATTTCCCTTATCAAATGTGGTCAGCAGCATCACCAGAGCTGGCAGAAGTCTTTTGTTTTCAAATCCGGGCAGCCGGCTGACTTGAGCCATTTTGCGGCTGCACGGGCAGTCCTTTCTCAAGAAGATTTTTCTCTCTAAGCGAGTCCTTGGCTGCGTCGGGTTCAGTCACAGTCCCAGGGACAGATGTCTGATTTGGCTTTGCTGGGGGGACCCTCCGCCTCGCCCGCCCCAGGCTCCTTCCCTTCTTTGCTTTTCATTGAAGTGGCGGTGGCAGCAGCAGGGCTGGGCTCATCCCAGGGACACACCTCAGATAAGCTTTTGCTGATTTCAGCAGTCTCTCCCCCAGTCAATACAGAGTCCCCCTCTGCTTCCCAAGGGCAGACGTCAGCTGCAGGGCGGTCACCTTGGCATCTCGCTGGTGTATCCACAAGTGGGCTGCTGCCTTTGCTTAGACCTTGGGGTGGAAGACTGCGACACAGAGGTTTGTGTCCAGCCACGCCAGCCTCTTTGCTCTGGGAGCCCTTCACGCTGGCCTTCTCCGTCCCACCGGTGTGTGTTGTGTGTCTTCCATTTTTAGCAGGCAACAGCGTTCCTGTTTCCCATGGGCAAACGTCCTCTTTAGTGGATGCTTCCGGCTGGTCTGTTTCCCAAGGGCAGACCTCTGTCTTCCTGCTTTCGGTGCTGCCGGGCTTCTTGGAGGCGGCGGTGGCAGGAACACTTGCGATCGAGACTTCTGCAGCATCCGTGCTCTCCCATGGACAGATGTTTTCTCGAACGCTTGTCCCTTTCTGCAGAGGTGGTTTTTCGGGGCCTTTTGAACCTGCTGTTATACCCTCCTTTGAAACGGCACCCACATCCTTACTCAATGTCCCTTTCTCGAACAGCGCCCCAGCCAGGTCCCATGGGCACACTTCAACCTGGGCAGGAGATCCGAATTCCTGGGTCTCCCATGGGCAAACCTCAGCTTTTAGACTTTCAACACTCTCTGATTTCATGGAGCCAACCTTGGACAGATCTAGGCTTTTACTCCCTTTTACTGAGAATTCGTCGCCAGTTTTCTGGGGGTAAGAAAACCCTTGATGGCTTTGAGTCTTCTCTATCTTCTTGGAGGCAATTTCTCCCCCGGCTGTCTTCAAACCTGGAGCGGTCAGCGCTTTCGCCATTGATGCTCCCTTTGCATCTTGCATTGATGCCCCTCTGGCGACTGGCACTGGCGGCGTTTTCACGGGGAACATCTCAGTCTTGCCACTAGACTCCTCGTCCTCGACTTCCCAAGGACACACCTCTGCCCTCAAGCTTTCAGCGCTGCTTGATTTCTTTGAGCTAGCTCGGGACAGGTCTGGACCTCTGCTGCTGGACAGTTCCACGCTCTCCCAAGGGCAGATGGATTCTTGAGGGCTGGTTACTTCTGTCCTGACCTGCAACAGATCTAGACTTCGGGTGCTTTTGGCAGGTGGTTTCTCAAAGTCCATAGTCTCCCGGGTGGCACCATACTCCTGGTGGCTTTTTGACTTCTCTATCTTCTTAAATGTTTCTCCTCCAGCTTTCTTTGAGTCTGGACTTCTTTGTGCCTTGCCTTTCTTCCCCTGGGAAGCTTCAAGTGGGCTCCCCCTTCCCTTCCCTTTTTCAAATGGAGCTGTGGCTACAGACCATGGGCAGATGTCCACCGTACTACTTGCTTCCTCTTCCTCCATCTCCCATGGACAAACCTCGGCCCGTAGACTTTCAGCGCTGTCTGATTTCCTTGATCCAGCTTTGGATAGGGCTGGGCTTTGGCCTCCAGACCTTCCTGAAGGTTCATCAAGCTCCATGCTCTCCCATGGACAGATGTCCTCTCGCGAGCTACTTAGCTCCTCCATTGGCTTCCATAAAACCCGTGGGGAGGGGCTCCTGCTGCCGTCTTTCCCTTTGGCGACCCCACCCTCCTCCTCCTTCCTCACCGCACTTCCTTCAGCTACTTCCCAAGGACAGACCTCTGCCTTTAAACTCTCAACGCTGTCTGATTTCTTGGAAGGGATTTTGGACCCTTCAGGTTGAGCAGAGAGTTTACCGGGTGCTTCTGCGCTGTCCCAGGGGCAGGTGGACTCTCGAGCGCTTCTCACCTTCTCTGTTGTTTTAGAAGCACCTACTTGGTTCAGTGGGGCAGCCCTCTGGCTCTCATGAGCTCCAGCACCCTCTGGCGATGGCCTCTTGCTTACCGGACTTGAAGGCATCTCCCATGGGCACACATCTGCCTTAGGACTGGGTTCTGCTTCCTGACTTTCCCAGGGACACACCTCCACCTTAAGGCTTTCAACGCTAATAGATTTTTTAGAGCCGGCTTTAGATGGGCCCGGACTCTTAGCACTGGGCCTGGTTGACTGGTCATCGGTGTCCACGGTCTCCCAAGGACAGATAGATTCTCGTGGGCTGCTTGCCTTCTCTAGAGGTTTAGACGTGGCATCTCCAACCTTCTTTGCTGCCCCATTGGCATCTTGCTTTGAGGACCTTCTTTCTGACTGAGCTGGAGGCACTTCCCAGGGGCAGATTTCTGCTTTAGCACCAACGTCGGCGCTTGCAGTTTCCCACGGACAAATTTCTGCCTTTTGGCTTTCCACACGGTCCAATTTCAAGCAGCCTTTGGACAGATCCGGGCTCTTGAGCTTAGGTTGGGTAAGTGAATCTTCCCTCCCTGTGCTCTCCCATGGGCAGACTGGCTCTCTAGTCCCGCTGCTTCCCTTCTCTGGTGCTGCATCTCTAGGTCCTGTTTTCTCCTCTTTGGAGACTGTGCTTGCTCTTCTAATACCTGCTTCTGCCTCTTGTACTTCCCAGGGAGCAATCTCTGCCTTTTTGCTCTGGAAGCTGTCGGGCTTCTTTGAGCTGACGTTACTTGGGTCTAAAGCTTTTGCACAGGGCTTTAGCAAAGTACCCTCCAATTCCACGTCCTCCCAGGGACAGACAGAGCCACGCTGTATGTTGTCCTCTGATGTTTTAAGGGGATGTGGTGCTTGCAATATAATGCCCCTGGAAGGTTCTCCTTCAGGCCAGTTTGGTCCTTTTTCTAACGAAGGTGCAGCTGCTTCCCAGGGACACACTGCAGCGGCATCAGTTTCCCAAGGGCAGACCTCCAGTTTTTTACCTTCCCCACTGCTTGATGCCTTCAAAGCTGCTTTGGGTGGTTCTTGTGTTTGGGTGGCAGGTTTTGTAGAAGAGCCTTCAGCACCTGCATCCTCCCAAGGGCAAACAGCGCCTTGATGGCTGCTGTCTCTCTCCAGTTTCCTGTTTTTGGACAACGGACTTTTGATCTTTTTGCCTTCAGTCCCTTTGGAGCCTTCCCCTGAAACTCCACACACTTTCTCTGATGCTGCATCACTTATCTCCCAAGGGCATATTGCCGCTTTGACGTCTGCTCCGCTGTCAGATTTCCTCAGAGTTGCTCCATGTTGAGCATCTTTCCCCCCTGGCAATTCCATGGACTCCCAGGGGCAAACAGAGTCTTCTTGGCGGCTGGCTTCTTTCCCTCCTGCTGGTCTTAGCAGGGTGGTGCTCTTTGTCTCTTTGGAGGATCCTTCGTTGTCCTCCCGAGATGTCTTTATCTTTGATGGAAGTTCTTCCATTTCCCAAGGGCAGATCTGTGTTTTAACACTCATGTCGACCTCCTCGGATTCCCAAGGACTAACCTGTGCCCTCCTGCTGTCAACACTCCCAGGTTTCTTTCGGTCTCCCTTGGACAGGTCCGGGCTCTTCTCAATCTCTGTTTCCAGAGAGGGCTCCTTGATATCTCTGGAATCAGCCTGGCCACTCGCCTTCTCTTGGGGTTCACTTGGAAGAGCCTCTCTCAAAGATGTTCCTTTCTTGGGCCCATCAGAAGGCTTCCTTCTGCCCTCTGTTACTGCCTTGTCCTCTGTCAAGGCACTGCTGGTTCCCCAGGACGGTTGGTCAGTTTTCGTGCTGGCTGGGATCTCAGCCACTTCCCAAGGACACGCCTCTGCCTTTTTGCTGTCTGCCTTGGAAACCACTAGAGAGGGAGTGGTAGCAGTTTTGCCCTCTCGCTTTTGATCCTCCTCCAGACTCTCCCAGGGGCACACAGATTCCCGTTGGCTCTTGCTTCTTTCCAGCCTGCTAGGGTGCATCTCTCCAGCACCTTGGGAATCTATTGCTTCTGTGCTGACCTCCCAAGGACAGACCTCCAGCGCTTTGCTTGGACTATTCTTGGTGCTCGGAAGGGCCTCTTCCTCCTCCTCTTTCTCGTCCCAAGGACAGATGGTTGCTTGCTTGCTGACTACCTTTGCCCTGGTCTCTGCAATCACCTGTTTCCTTGGTGACCCTCCTCCGGCAGACACTGAGGCTGTCCTTGCCAACTTGGGCTTCTCGCTCTTTCCGTTGGCATCCTTCTCATTTTTCTTCTGGCTTTCTTCAGCATCCTTCCTTGCCCTTATGCTTGTCTTTATCCTCGACCGGTTGAACGCTTTGATGGCCATGCCTAAGCCTTTCATGGAGCTTTTGGAAATGGATGTTTGGGGCTGTTTCTCAGGAGAACTCTTCTGGCTGTCTGACTCGCTTGTCTCAGAGTCCTTTTTGCTCGGGACGGGCACTTCCATGACTTCCCAAGGGCAAACTTCTGCAGCCATGGAGGCCAGCCTGTTTAGCGCCACCGGGGAAGAAAGTGGCACAGCGCCTTCGGCCTGCCTGGTCCTTTCTGTCTCAGCCTTTGACAGAGGCTCCACCGTTTCCCATGGACATATGTTTGCCAGCACGGGTCTGTCTTTGAGATCACCTGGGCAGGGCTCAGAGGAAGGTTTCATTTGGTCCAGGCCATCCTGAGGAGCAGAGTCTTTTCTTTTGAGGCTGTGAGCCAAACTTTGCTGCCTGACAGGTGGTTCAGGGGGTATCTTCTTGCTGATCGGGTGCCTCTTCCCAAGCAAATCGGAGGTGTTGACGCTGATGCTCCTGATGGACGCGTATGTGACATGCTTCTGGGATCTGCTTTCCGAGGGCGTCGAGGGGGCCGTCGCAGCTTCTCTGCTGGAGCTGCCATCTTCCAGGAGGGAGCTCACAGTTCCCTCTGAGGTATCGTCCCTCTGGAGCTGTTTCGCTGCCACCTCCGAGGCCACGTCAGTAACCTCTGTGTGCCCGGAGATGTCACTTTCCATTGCAGAGTCACTTTCCACAGCTGCTCTGCTCCCTTTGTCTTGGGCTAGCTTACTGCCGTCTTCCAAGTAGGCCCTGCTGGTGAGGAGCAAGGCTTTCTCTTTGGCGCTGGTGACAACGCTGAGGGATTTCTGCAGAGGGGAAGGCCTGGGATGCAGAGGCTTCTTATCCGCTGTCAGGTTGTGAGCGCTGGCCGACTTGTAGACCAGAGGGGCCGAGTCATTGAGAGAGTCGCTGTTGGACCTCTCTGAGGCTTTCTTGGCTAGCTTTTTCCTCATCAGCGAGTCTAGCAAAGGAGCTTCTTTGCAGCTGTCGTGCCTGGCTGGTAAGCTGTTCTCCTTGGCATCCCTCACATGCTCATAAGTGCTGTGGGACTTCTTCAGCGAGGAGGCCGCCTTGTGTCTGGAAGAGGAGTCCTCTTTCAGTTTCATGCTCGAGCTGCCGGAATCCAAGGGCCTGCGCTTGTAGGACCCGGAGCGGCTCCCTCCCCCCACAGACCCATCTTTCTCCTCTTTGCTGTGCTGCCGGGACATCGACTCGGGGATCTCGGTGATGCGCCTCATGAGGGAGCGGCCCAGGCCCCGCTTGGAACTTCTCTTCTTCTGAAGATGAGGGTTGTTGGCCGTCATCTTCTTGGTCTTGTGAACCTCAAGTTGCGTGTAAAGCTTTTTCAGTTCATCCTACATGTTATGTGTAGCGGGGAGGGGGGAGGCGGTTGCGGTGAAGCGGGGGGACACAGACACAAAAGGGGGGGAAGAGGGAAGACAAAAAGAAAACCCTTATTCAGTCAAAAGCCTAATGGCAACAGTCGTGTCATCGTAGGGGCTCAACGACAACACCATGGGGTTTTATAAATGCAAGGCCTTCTGTTCCTTGAGCAGAACCTGCGAGCCCTCCGGGTTTTGCTGCATCACGACTGTGGATCCCTGGCTGTGGCTGATGGGCATTGGGAGTCCAGTGGCATCTGGAGGGTCCCAGGCCCCCTATCCTTAGGATCACCGGAAGCAGTGCTTTTTTATAGAAAAATAGGTGCCGGGACTCACCATGAAGTCACTACAGTAAGTGCCACACTTTTTGACAACAAAAAAAGAGGTCCCAGTACTGCGTACTCTTGAGTACCCCCTTGAAACCAAAAGCACTGACCGGAAGTAGCTAGTATTAAGGGTCATGGGTCCCCCCATTCCATGCTGGCGTTTCCGGGGGCCAGTTGTGGCATGGGAAAAGAGGCAAGGAAGGACTGTTGGCAGAAGCCTTTAGCTGGGTGGGGCAGACCACAGTGAGGTTTTCAGTTCTCCCATGTGGCCTCAACACGTATGGTTGACCCATAGCAAGGAATGGAAGGTAAGCATCTCAGGCTTGCCTGCCCCATTCCCAGGCACTGAATGTTTGTATGAATGCACATCCATTCATACATGAACATGAATGGAGTGGTAAGGGATGGATGGCACGGATGGGATGTTATTGGTGTGCAAATTATTTATTTATTTATTTATTTATACCCCTCCCATCTGGCTGGGTTTCCCCAGCCACTCTGGGCGGCTTCCAACAAAATATTAAAAACACATTAAGACATCAGTCATTAAAAACTTCCCTAAACAGGGCTGCCTTCAGATATCTTCTAAAAGTCAGAGAGTTGATTATTTCCTTGACATCTGATGGGAGGGCATTCCACAGGGCGGGCGCCACTACCAAGAAGGCCCTCTGCCTGGTTCCCTGTAACTTCACTTCTTGCAGAGAATGAACTGCCAAAAGGCCCTTGACCCCAGACCTCAGTGTCCAGGCTGAACGATGGGGGTGCAGACGCTCCTTCAGGTATACTGGGCAGAGGCCGTTTAGGACTTTAAAGGTCAGCACCAACACTTTGTATTGTGCTCGGAAATGTGCACATGCACAAAAAAGGTCTGGCTGCAGTACACGTGCACCGGGTCCGTGCTTTATCACCGCCCCCACCGCTCCCAATTTGTTCCCCACAACCAAAACCCTAGGTTGAGAAGAAAGGCAGCTAGATCGCATGGAAATATTGACCTCCACCCCAACTTTCCTTGACTTTCGGGTTGTGTGGTATGGATTTGGTTTGCTTCAGGAGAAAGACTGCAAAAGGCAACTCTTACTCTGCACAGTTTCTGGCATAGCTAGCGTCAAAAGAAGGTCCTGAGTGTTCCACCCACCCGAATGTCATCGGGGTCGAGGCTGTGCTCGCTCCAGGCCGACGTGATGCTGCTGTTCAGGTAGGAGCCCGATCGCCTCAGGTCCAGCTCGTCCTCGTACACCTCGGCAGCAATTTCCTCCCGCAAGGGCGATCCTGCATGCAGGAACTGTGGGGAGAAAGACATGGGTTGCTGAATCTCCTTCAGCAGTACACTGCCAATCTTCCCATTTCAAGCTTGCCCCTTCCCAAAAAGCTCAGAGACTGATTACAGAAAAAATGCCTCTCTTTCTAGACTTAGGGCCATCTGCATCTTAAGGCTGCATTTGCACTATGCTCCTGCCCCCAGCTCATTTACTAACTATGTTTACAGAGCTGCCTCATAACAGGCGTTCTCTGCGGGCCCTGCAAAACAAGTCAAAACAGCATGGTATGCTTGGATAGCTCAGTCGTCTTAAGAGTGTGGTGTTAATAATAATAATAATAATAATAATAATAATAATAAATAATTTTATTTATACCCTGCCAAAGCCAGGCTCAGGGTGTCTAACACCAGTAAAATTACAATGGAAACATAAGGGGGGGGGGGGACAAAAAAAACCCCAATTTAAAATACAGGTTAAAATGCAATTTAAAAAGCAGCCTTATTTTAAAAGTAGCCCATAAATCAAAACCGTAAGGGGAGGGAAGACATAAGGGTCAGACTGAGTCCAAACCAAAGGCCAGGCGGAACAGCTCTGTCTTGCAGGCCCTGCGGAAAGATGTCAAGTCCCGCAGGGCCCTAGTCTCTTGTGACATAGCGTTCCACCAAGTTGGGGCCAGTACCGAAAAGACCCTGGCCCTAGTTGAGACCAATCTAACCACCTTGCGCCTTGGGACCTCCAAGGTGTTGTCATTTGTGGACCTTAAGGTCCTCCGCAGGGCATGCCAAGGTTGCAGGTTCGGTCCCTGTTTGGGACAACTGTATATTCCTGCATTTGGGCTAGCCCAGGCAGAGGCAAACTCGGCCCTCCAGACGTTTTGGGACTACCAACTCCCATCATTCCTGACCATTGGTCCTGTTAGCTAGGGATGATGGGAGTTGTAGTCCCAAAACATCTGGAGGGCCGAGTTTGCCTCTGCCTGGGCTAGATGATCCTAAGGGTCCCTTCCGACGCTACAATTATGTTTTCAGTACAATAAACTTTTATCGTGCCCCTTCTAATGTAATGTTCTGTTTCCTTAATCAGCCAGCTGCATAGGTTCACATGTGGGGCAGGAAGTTCATGGCTGTTTGGTGGCCATTGTGAGAAGCGGATGCTGGACTTAGATGGAGCATGGGCCTGATCCTGCAGGGCTCTTCTTATGTTCTTACTCATCCTTGTCTGTCCCCAACAGCTAGTATTCAGAGGTATCCTGCCTCTGCACAGTTTTGTAACGAATTCTGGAGTTTTCATACCTTTGGGATGAAAAGAAGTGCAAGCGTCATGGTGGTGGTGACATGCGTATGAATAAAAAACAGCAGAAGTGTCCAGTCGGGGTGCAAGGAAGGAACCATGAAAAACCTGAAGCCAGAAGTAAATGGGGTGGCAGTGCATTAGAGGGAAAAGGTGGATAGCAAAATTAAACTGTGATACATTCTTTGTTAGAACGATGGCAGGCTCATTTATAACACACACGCACACACAGAGCAGTGTTGAGTTGAATTTTGGAATCCTCTTCTGCCGAAATTAGTGGCAGCCTTGGCAATCTTTTAGCGCTTTCTACTTTCGCTCAGCACTTTGCATGTATTGCAGTTGTACCTTGGATCCCAAACGCCTTGCAAGTCGAACGTTTTGGCTCCTGAACGCCGCAAACCCGGAAGTGAATTGTTACGGTTTGCGAACGTTTTTGGAATCCGAACGTCTGACGGGACATCCGTGGCTTCTGATTGGCTGCAATAGCTTCCTGCAGCCAATCGGAAGCCGTGCTTTGGTTTCCGAACGTTTTGGAAGTTGAACGGACTTCTGGAACGGATTCCGTTTGACTTCCAAGGTACGACTGTATCTTCCGTAGTACTTGCCACAATCCTGAAAGGTAGGCTGTCGTCATCAAGCTGCTTTCATCACAAAAGTGACTCAAGCACAATATAGACACTTTAGCCAGTTACAACAAGCACAACCAAGAGAAACCTTTTTTTAAACACACACACACACCCACCCCTTTTTCTGCAAATCAGGCAGGTCTAGATCCTGCCGCACTAAAAGAGGCCATGAGTACAGTACTCGAAACCTTTCAAATTAAGGGCTAAAAGCCCAGATAAAAGGGAAAGTTTTTTTGCCTGGCACCAAAAGAAGGATAAAGATGGCGCCATAGGAAGTGCCCTAGGGGAAAGCATTCCCTGAGTGGAGAGCCACCAAGGAAAAGGCCCCGTTCCTGTGTTGCCACCCTCCTCCAGCACTGCCACAGAAGGTGCACAGGGAGAACGTCTCCTGATGACGACCATAGGGTCTGGGTTGGTTCACATGGGGAGAGACCATCCTTGAGGCATTGGGGTTACTATCAGTCTAATTGCAGATGTTGTGTGCTGGGGCTAAGAGGAGATTGCCTTGCCCATGGCCACCTTCTGATTTCTTGGCAGAGGCAAGCTTTGACCCTGGGACTTCCCGGCTCTCAGCTCATGCTCAAAGCACCTACACTATGCCAAGCCCAAAGCAGAACTCCTCTGGGTCCCACTACTATGGCAATTTGCACAACCAGTGAGGGCAGATACTGCAGGGAAGCAGATTTGGGAAAAACTTGAGAAAGTTCCTAACAGTTTGACCATAGAAATCAGGTGCTTCAGGAACTGGTAGGGTCTCTGTCACTGGAGGTGCTGCAGTAGGGTCTAAACAGCCCACTTTATCTGGGTTTGCACCCTGCATTGCAGATCCCGCCTGAGCAAGGCAGTGGGGGTTGCAGCAGATGATTTTCTACACCATGCATTTAAAGTGTGTTCAGTGCCCATTCAAAGTACATGCAAACCCTCCGCTGCGAAGAATCCTGGGAACTCTAATTTGCTAAGGGAACTGTAGCTCTGGGGGGGGGGGAGAACTACAGTTCCCACAATTATTTGGAGGGCAAGCCCATGTGCTTTAAATTTATGACGTGGATCTGCTCAGCATCCCTTCCAGTTCTGTGATTCTCACCTGACCACGTGAAAGGCAGCAGAAGTTATCAGTTCGTTGTGGAGAGCGATGCCCATGTAGCGAGGCTCGTGGAAAGCAGAAGGGACTGTCCGAGTGGCATAGCAGAGAAAACTTCCCCAGAACAGGAAGAGCATCTCGGCTGCGCAGCGAGAGATAGGGAAGAGGAGGCAAAATGAACCATTCTCCATGCGGTAAGGTCTTTGCCACTTGCCTCTTCTGTCCCTCCTACCCCGTCTCGCCCCTGTGGTTATTTCCCCCGTCTGCAGACAGCGGTTACTCATTGTTCTGCAGTGAGCACTTTGTGCATGCCCAGAGGTACCTGACTCCCAAGGTGCACCATGTGGCGTATAAGCGATTCAGGCGCCAGAGCCTTTCAGCAGCCTCTTAAAATGCAACCTGGGCAAGCCCCACTCAAATTAAGGATGGGTCGGTTCTGCGGTTTCCTCACCGTCTGTGACCCCACACATGCCTGCGCATCGGAGGTGGCTCTCCAGTTGCTGTTGGACTACAACTCCCATCATCACTGGGCACAGACCATGCTGACAGGGGCTGATGGGAGTTGTAGTACGACTGTATCTGGAGCGCATTGCATTCCCTAGCCCTGCTGCACATCCGCTCAGCTGGACAACAGAACGTGAAATTGATTCCATCTATTGTGCATGTGTGATTTATTGGGAGGTTGTGGGGGGTGACAGTTTTTTGGGGGGGAAGCTGATGGTGTGGGGCTGGTAGTGAGAACTGGAAGGGGCAGGGACTGGGTTGGAATGAGACGGAAATGGGATCTGGGGCAGGGAAAGAGTGGGGTTAGGATCACGGAGAGGAGAAACTAAATATGGGGCAATAGAGACAGCATTGAGGGTGGGGTGAGGAAGAGAGATCTTTTTAAAGTGATGTCAGCCGATATAAATGCCCTGTCTTTCACAATTGATCCACAAAGACACGTCACATACATGTGCAATTGATCACTGACGTTAAAATCCATTGAGGGACGGATGCCAACCTAGCTAGAGAGACAGCAAAAAAATATAAAGGCAAAGGACCCCTGGACGGTTAAGTCCAGTCAAAGGTGACTATGGGGTTGCAGCGCTCATCTCGCTTTCAGGCTGAGGGAGCCGGCGTTTGTCTACAGACAGCTATCTGGGTCATTTGGCCAGCATGACTAAACCGCTTCTGGCACAATGGAATACCATGACAGAAACCAGAGTGCACGGAAATGCTGTTTACCTTCCCGCCACAGCAATACCTATTTATCTACTTGCACTGGCGTGCTTTCGAACTGCTAGGTTGGTAGGAGCTGGGACAAAGCAACAGGAGCTCACCCCGTCGTGGGGATTCAAACCGCTGACCTTCTGATCAGCAAGCCCAAGAGGCTCGGTGGTTTAGGCCACAGCGCCACCCATGTCCCATTAGAGACAGCATGCCTTTACTGGGTGAAGAAAAGAGTCTCCTAAGATGAAACCACCCCCACCCCCATAATGGCTGGAAAGCTGCTCAGTCTACAGGTTATGTATGATTCCAGGCTGTTGATGCTGAAGGGGACTTGGCAGAAGCAAGCCAAAAGTTCATGATCGCGACAGCTTGCTTCCTGGTTTTGGTCTACTGTCACAGGAGGAAGTGAACCCTGGCAGACCTTATGGGACTCCCCGAAGAGAGCGGGACCGGACCAAGGGGAGCCTGCAAGTGGCAGAGAAGCCAGAGGCTAATTAATTCAGGCCATCGGATTAGGGGTCCTCACCCACAACCATCATGTAGTCCCAGCGGTCGTGGTCACAGATGTAAAACTGGAGGCCCCTGGTGGTCTGGGAACGGACCACCAGTGGGATGTTCTTTTCTATGTTCTCCAGCATCCCAACAGTCCAGGCTGCTAAGAACCAAAGCACCAAGAGCAGAATCAAGGCCAGCATCTTCAGCACCCGGCCGCTGGACATGTAAGGAACTCGCTGGGCTGTACGGGAGAGAAAGACCTTCAAGACCCTGTTGGGTAGAAAGGGAGAAGTGGTCTGAGGAAGAGGAAGGTGACGATGATATATATATACACAAAGGGTGTTGCTCAAGGAAGAAGTGGTCGTAGCCGACCGATGTTGGAACCAAACCACCTTCGACATTGATCACTGGGTGCTTCCAGGCAAATCTGCTTATTGAGTGAATCATCCCGATTTACAGGGAAATCAGACAACATTGGTTATTTGATGGGCATTTGTTCCAGTTTGTTTGCAGGGAGGTTAGACGCTGCTGCATCAAAGCAGATGTCATCCCACACTTTCCAGGGCATTTCCTCCCCATCTAATGCTTTCAGTGGAACTACTCTGAGTATGGCTGCCACTGCATACAACCCATAGATTGCATCCAGTTGTATATACTTTTTAATGGTGAGTTTGCTTCAGAAGCAGACTTGCTGGCTTTTGGTTAGACATGCAATCTTCTTCTGGGATGAGCTTACCCTTCCTGTTTGTTGCAAAAGCTAGTTAAATACAGCACTGATAGGCTGGGAATCGATTGGTTTCCTCTCTCCTTCCTGAGGCTGCTTTTTAAAAAGTTTCCCTTTTTTAAAAAAAGAAAAGAAAAACCCACTTTTTAAAAAAAAGGAGCAGGTGGAGATGAGTACCTGTTTAACTGAGTAAATGTACATTTTTGGGCATAAAAATAAAGATGGGTAACCCATATGAGGAGAGAGGGCAAAGTTGACCACCAAATCCACAATCAGTTTGTTGGCCCATATATAATATTCATCAAATGGGTTGCAAAGGCAGGATAAAGTCGGGCTCAAGCCACGAGGAGCAAATAATGCAATTTGCCCTGATTCACTTTTATACCTATATGCACCCTTACCCTAGTTTAATAGTAATTCCCAGGGAACTTTGGAAATTGCTGTTCTATGTGGAGGCCAGGGCCATACCAGAATTTGCAGCACTCTTGCCAAATCACAATTCCCAGAATTCTTTTGGGGGAAGCCGAGGTGGTATAAAGGCCAAGAAAGACCCACTGTGTAGCTATATGAATTACTCAGATGTCTCTGACTAGAGTCAATATGCTGGGCTAAAAGGGTCTGGGCCCCAAATGCTAATTTTTTATGGTCCTTTGTTTTCTTAAGCCCCTGGGGATCAGAGTGAATATTGCAAAGCAACCCCCTCTTTTGGAAAACAAAGGCACAACACCAGTCGTGGCCAGCGTCCCTCGAGGTAATCCTACCTGTACAGTTTGAGGGTGATGGTTCCATAGACAATGGCAAAACCCAGCATGCGCACCCAGCGCAGAACAATGCAGCGGAAGACGCTCGGTTTGAAGTAGAGGATAAACACCTGTATAAAAGGAGATTCCAGGGATGGCATATACATCAGGAGGACCCTTTTAACAAAGCAACACTGGTCCACATGCATACATTCGAAAGGATACTGGCTTTTTGCATAGGGCTCCTCTAGCCAGAAATTCGTGGAAACATAGAATTGTAGAGTTGGAAGGGACCACAAGCGTCATCTAGTCCAACCCCCCCTGCAATGCAGGAATCTTTTTGCCCAATGTGGGAATCGAACCTGTCACCCTGAGGTTAAGAGTCGCACGTTCTGTCTCTCTTGCGAGAGTTGCAAGAATTGAACTGGATCATTTGGTTCGCTCTCCTGGTGGGCCAAAATTTACCTGGGTGATCTCTCCCAGCATGTCTGTCTCCAGAAAAATCAGAAACCCTTATTTTCCCATTACCCAACATTTCAACTCAAACCTACAAACGTTTTCAACTGTTTGCAATTTTCTTTCATATAGAGTATAAATTTGCTCCAGTCCTTTTGAAACAGTTCATCACGCCGATTCCGGATCTTCCCCGTCAGCTTTGCCAACTCCATGTATTCAACCATCTTTATCTGCCAATCTTCCAATGTAGGAAGCTGATTTACATATAAGAAGGTGAATGCTAAAAGATGGACATAAGGTAAAAAAGTGGATACAGAAATGTGAAGAAATTGGTAAAGTTGTGTGGAAGTCAGTTAGAGGGAGGGAAGGAGGTTGATGCTTTATTTAAGCAATGTCTTAAGTTATGGATTTTTTATTTTTGATATGGAAATGTAATGAAACATGGAAAACTTAATAAAAATCATGTTAAAAAAAACACCAGAAACCCAATATTAAGAACATGACAACTGGCCCCACTGGGTCAGGAAGAGGCCCTTCGGGGAGAGAGGGGCAACAGTGGAGGAAATTGTTCCCTGGCCTCACCTGTTAGGAGGACCAGGTCAAGAGTGACAAAGAATACACTCCCCAGCTTTGAAAATAAGGGTGGCATGCTCAGTCTCTCTCAGACTCAGCTTGCTCTCTTTGGTATTGGCTAGTTACATACCCCGAGGGCTTTCACAGTCTCCATCCTTTGCTGTTAGCTCCCAGAATCCGTTTCTGTGCGTTAATATAAAACTTCTCAACTTGCAGGCTGTGCTTTTCATGGCTAAATAGCCACCAAGGGACGGGGGACGCATATATTCCATGAAGTGCAGAAATCAGCTTGGGGGACATAGAACTCCATGGCTTGAGAAACCCAGGTTTGTTGAGAAAACGCCAGCAAATTTCTAGTCCTCAAGACTGAGAAAACCCAGTCTGAACACATGCAGGCGATACCCAGGGAAATCGCAAGAGGTGGGAGAATTTCCAATGGTCAGTGGGTAGGGTTTCAGGGCCCTGCAAAGCTCTTCACCTGCCTCGTCAGATTCCCCTTCTTCAGCGGACGAGGTGGAGGACTGCATGCGGGGCCCGTCCCAGAAGCATGTCCACAAGGTAGGACCATGCAACATACACAAGTATGTGCAAATGTTATGCAAAGATGTGTCCTCTGTTTCCAATGATGCATTTCCTTTTGTGGAGAGCAGTTTATTTATTTATTTATTTTGTTTATACGAATATGAGGCTGGGACAGAGTGACCGGCCCAAGGTCTCCCCGTCAGCTTTATGGGCGAGTTGGGATTTAAACCCTGGTTTCCCCTATCGCCTAGTCCAGTACTCATAACAACTGCACCACCCTAGCCACCCTAAACTCAACCCATTAAGTATCCGAACCCAGACACTCACAGGAAAGTAGAGCAGGAGCGAGCCGAAGAGTATCATCTCCAGAAGAATGACTCCTGAAGCTCGAATCCTCTAGGGGAAGAGAGATGAACGTAAAAGGAGGAGCAACCCAAGGCAACCAAGGATGGTGGCTTTGGAGACGGCACAAATGTTCAAGTTAGGGAACGATGCTGAGCAGGATAACGATGGTGAGGAAAAGCAGAGGGTCTTTTTGGTGGTGACACCCGCCCTGTGGAGTGCCCTCCCATCGGATATCAAGGAAATAAGCAACTATCTGACTTTTAGAAGACATCTGAAGACAGCCCTTTATAGGGAAGTTTTTATTGTTTGATGTCTTACTGTGTTTAGTTTGTTGGAAAGCCATCCAAATTGGCCGGGTGTCAGGCTCCAGGGGCTTGGCTCCCCACCCCCTTCAGCTGTTGATAAAAGCAGGACAAAGCGAAAAGAGCCCCTTTTGCTGATCACAGCAAAAGAACAAAGCATCCATTCTCGGAGTGAAGGTGCTCCCATTTAAGCTTCCCTCCTACTCCCCCCCGTCTCCATCACTTCCCCCTTCTTGCAACCTGCTCTCGTGACCATTGAGCCTTCTGCGTAGCAACCTTATCAGCTCTCCTTGCCCTTGGAGAGAGAGGCTGGATACTTCTCAGTGAAGGGGAGTCAGTTACCTCTCTCTCTTCCTGTTCTGCTTCTCCTAGCTGTTCCCCACTCAGCTCTGCCCAGCTGTTGCTTTCCAAACTATGTCCCTCGGCAAACCAAGTCTCTAAATCTATACTGCTCCATTGTTCCTGGGCAGCTTCAGGATCCTGGTCAGGAGTAGGATGAGGGGGAGGGTCCCACCATTCCTCATCAGAGCTGTAATCCTCAGCCTGGTCTCTGATACGGGGGCAACCCAGTCAGATGGGTGGCATATAAAGTATTATTATTATTATTACAGTGGTACCTCGGGTTACAAATACCTCGGGTTACAAACACTTTGCGTTACAGACTCCGCTAACCCGGAAGTAGTACTTCAGGTTGAGAACTTTACCTCAGGATGAGAACAGAAATTGCACGGCGGCAGCGGGAGGCCCCATTAGCTAAAGTGGTACCTCAGCTTAAGAATGGTTTCAGGTTAAGAACGGACCTCCAGAACAAATTAAGTTTGTAACCAGAGGTACCACTGTATTATTATTATTATTATTATTATTATTATTATTTTATGGCAAAGTAAACCAGACACAGCTAATGCTTTGGCCCCTCTCCTATTCCTGTCTGGGGCCTCTTTAAGTGCAAATCCAGCTAGTTCTTCCCACTGGCCATCCCTACCCTTACCTTGCTCTTCCGGAAGTGGTAGGAGACCAGCATGCTGAAGAAAACAGCCAGCATGCAGAAGGCCTGGAATGCCAAGACGGCAGCCCGCAAGGACCAATCTTCCTGGATCAGGCAAGGGGTGCCATCCGTGCAGGTCGTACATCCTTCGCGGCACGGGAGGCACTCCAGCAAGCTCTCAGAATCCGTCGCTCCATACCGGGAAGCACTTTCTCCTGCAGGCAGGGAGAATGAATTACGAAAGGAAGCGTGGTAAAAAATAGTGGTTTGGAAGGCTCCCAGGAGAAAAAGCAACCATGCCTCCTTTAATACTTGGGTGTGGGGGGAGAGAGATTGGTAATCTAGAAAATGGGAAAAAAGTCTGTCTAGGAGATAAGGATGGAAAACAGTGGCAGAGAATCTCTCGTCCTTCCTGGACGGGAAGGAAAAGTAATGAGTATCTGATGCCTGGACTGAACATTGAGAAAACATCAGCAGGGCGAGGAATAAATGGATATCACCTTGGATTGAACATTGGACGATTATGAGGAATACTTGCTGGCACAACTGACGAATGGATAGTTGGCAGTCACCTTTATCTATCTATCTTTCTCTTCCTACTCTGTTCTCATTCTTATCTTTCTCTCTCTCTCTGCATTCTGTTATCAGGTCTATTATTATTTTATCTTACTGTATTTGGGTAAGAATTGCATGCAGATGAAGGGGATGTACAGTTTGAAGGAGCCTGTGTGAAAGACAGGAAAAGGGAGATCTCTCAGCGTAAGACTCTGGGAGAAGAGAGGAATGCGGCAGCCAGACTGGTGACTGGGAGTGGCCGCCAAGACCATACAACACCGGTCCTGAAAGACATACATTGGCTCCTAGTACATTTCCAAACACAATTCAGAGTTTTGCAAGAAAAAGCGTTCACGAAAAGCCATATAAGTGCTGCTACCTACCATTGTTAGATGATGAGAAAGTTCTACTTGCCCTGTAGAAACCTGGTTTGCACTGACAAAGGTATTTTCCAAGAACGAAACCCTTGTTTTCCTGCGGGATGCACTGAAAGATGGAATGCAGAATTGTGAGTTAATCTCTCTCTCTCTCTCTCCACATCAGTTTTCAGAGGGGGAAAGTCATGAAAATTCTTCAGCCTTTTCCGACAAATTTATCCCAATGTACACATATCTCTATGCATTTTTGCCTGATATAGACTTCTTCTTCTTCTTCTTCTTTTTGCAAAGCAATGTCCCCTAATATAATGCACTTTTACATGTTACTTTCACTAACATATGCACACTTTACCATAGTATATGTATTTTTATACACGTTACTTGGCTGGACAACTGCATTTCATAAGAGTGAATTTGGAAGAAGGCTATGCTTGTGGTTTGTGTATAATATCAGTGAATTAGGTAGGTTTGCCTACAAATACAAACAGAATTTAATTTCTCCCTCCTCTCAAGTGATCATTGCAATACCTCTGTCTGAGGGTAGCCTTAAAATATTAAGACAGAGGAGCATAGGTAAGCTACTTTAAACTGAGTCAAACTATTGATCAATCTAGCTCAGTGTTTCCCAAACTTGGGTCTCCAGCTCTTTTCCAACTACATTTCCCATCATCCCTGACCTGCTAGCTAGGGATGATGGGAGTTGTAGTCCAAAAACAGCTGGAGACCCAAGTTTGGGAAACCCTGACTACCTCAATATTGTCTACCTGGAGATGTTGGGGATTGAACCAGCTGTGGTAGAAGGTCTTGAAAAGCAGACCACCTACCTCTGAACTACATCCCTTCCCCAAAGCCCCAGATTTGTCCTCCTTTATAATCCAGGAGACCTCCTCTTAACCTCTCCTCAGATTAAATTAGAGATAAGTGAATTGAGCCTCATCCAAGGCACTCCTTTTTTCCGCCACCCAACTCCTTCTCGCTACTCTGCTGGTGTTGACATGCCACCCCACCTCTTCTGGACACCAGTGGTTAAACATTTAAGCATAATAATAGCCAAATGCTGAATGGCCAAATCCCCTTTTCCTAAAACCTAAATGGATCACTAATGCCGCAAAGCGCACACTAATCCCTTGGGAAGCAGAATGCAGCCAAAAGGACACGGCAAATGTGACCAACAAACGAGCGCCCACAGGGGCAAGCCTCCTAGGGCTTTTGACGCCAAAAGGACCCAGAAAACCCTTAAACCCCACACAGCGGGAGAAGATACGCTAATTCAGGAAGTGGGGCAGCGTGGTGGAAAGAAGGAAGGTGCAGAGAGAGGTAGAGAGACAGAACCATCTGTGTGTTCGTTGGGAACGGACTCTGTGAAATTCCTGCATTTGCAAACGGACCTTTTCCTGTCACTAGTTTCTAAATCAAGTTTCAGACATCGGAGCGTGATAAAGCCATGGGAAAGAAGGAGACAGGCTGATGTTGAAACAGAGCTTCGCACGTGTCGGGAAGTTTTGTACAGTGGTACCTCGGGTTAAGAACTTAATTCGTTCTGGAGGTCCATTCTTAACCTGAAACTGTTCTTAACCTGAAGCACCACTTTAGCTAATGGGGCCTCCCGCTGCCACTGCGCCGCCACTGCACAATTTCTGTTCTCATCCTGAAGCAAAGTTCTTAACCCGAGGTACTATTTCTGGGTTAGCGGAGTCTGTAACCTGAAGCGTATGTAACCCGAGGTACCACTGTATTTTGGGATTTTGAGCGTTTTATCTTTTTTTTAAAAAAACAACAACCGAAAAACCAATACAAAACCCTTATGCATCGTGGGTCATTTGTAAAAGCAAAAAGAGAGTTGTGTCCAGTGTGAAAAGGAATTGCAAGCCACAAGCAATTCTATGCCACCACAGAGAGAACACTAACCTGGAGGTGTGGGGGTACAATTTGTGGTTGGGGGCAAAGCTTAGTTTGGAGCACAGAGGCCCCAATTCCTTATTCAGCTTCACCTATTTGGGTGACTATTTACATGGGTGCAACAGCCTGACAGTGTCTTATGCGGCAGGTGTTAGGCAGGATGTGCTTCTATGCCATCTTGGAAGGGATGCTCTTTTGGAGGAGTGCGTACATGTTTTGGGGTGTTCCAAAGCTTACTTTGATGCATCCAGGCCCCAGTTTTTATTATCGGTTATTATTTGCAGGGAGGCATTGGACCTTGGCAGCACCTTGTGCCCAAATGCAGCCCCATACTCTCTAGAATACAACTAATGATACAACTCTTAGTTGTATCATTAAGGATACTGTGTGAAGCATACCCCTAGTTCCTTACTTGTAATTATCACCTGGGGCCATAAAGCATTAAATTGTGTAAAATCATCAGTTTTGCCTGCAGAAAACCATTGTGCATCTTCAGCATTCCCCTAGTCCTGGAGCTATATGGGGTAGCCCAAATCTTATTTGGGGGTGTAGGGGCATATGAATCCTTATTAAATTTGCCGACTTTCCAACTTGTGCAGATAGGAACCGCGTATTAGCAACCCTCTCGCTTGTACACAACATGGCTTCCCCCAAAGAATTCTGGGAACTGTAGTTTGTTAAGGGTATTGAGTGTTGTTAGTTGTAGTTCCCTGAGCTACATTTCCTTGAGTGGCTTAACAGCCAAGGCCTCTTCCTAGGGATCTCTGATAACTGTACCTCTCTGAGGTTAGGCAAGCAGTTGTTATTGCACACTTTCTGGAGCATTTTCCTGTCACTTTCCTTATTGCAAAAGTTCACACACACACACACACTGACTTTTTTAAGGTTTATTCAGCAAGAGTGTCAGGTTTTGCAACCTAAATTTGCCAGTGTGCGACTGAATCCCACTCAAAAATAGTGACAACTTTGGGAGTGCCCCTACAGTCTACAGTATGATCTTTCTAACATCTATGTAGACAGGCCTAAGTGCTAAAGAAGAGGCGCTGTGATGGCCTGGGAATCAGATTCAGAGGCTGAACCTGAGGAATCCCAGCCTGTGCAGGAGTCCCCGCCTCCAGGACCAGCTGAGCCGGGGCTGGGGCTTGAGCCTGAAGGGTCCTCACCTGTGCTGGATCCTCAGGAGCAGACACCAGCTGAATCTGCTCTGGCTCCGGAGGTGATCGAGGACCCATTGCCTGCAGGTGCTCCACTCTCAGCCTCGTCAGGGGAAGGTGAGGTTGCCTCTGGGTCCAGTAACCCTCCAGCCTCTCCTGAGCTGCAGAGGCTCAGGGCAGAGAGGCGGAGGGAACTAAGTTCTCACAGGAGGAGTGCTCGCCTCCAGGCCAGGAGAGGCAAGTCACCTGTGGACCGGGACCACCCTATGCCTCAGGGCAGATAAAAGCCAGCCAGCCCAGTCCCAGGTTGCGGGAGCAACATTGTTGGTTACCTGTTCCTGCCCGCACCCTGTCCTGCTCTTCTGCCAGAGTTCCTGACCACACCCGACTCCTTGCCTTGGACCCCGCTTCAGCCTTGACAGACAGCCTCCATACCACACCCTTGACCTCGGACTGGACTCGAACCACGCTGCACGGTAACCCCCCGGGACCAGCACAGGAGTAAAGCGATCACAGTAAGAGGAGTGCAAGATGAATTTAGAAAAGGCATTATAGATCTATTGAGTCCTGATTTCCTTGTGTGACAATGTACGGCGGGGGTGGGGAGGGATCAATTGCTTGGTCAATGCATACATCTTGTTGAATTCACTGAGTGATGCAGAGAGACAGCATCGCTTGAGGCAGGCAGTGATGGCAAGGGAGTAGGAATGCTACGAATATCCATGATTTTCTGCTCTGAAAACTACATATTTCCCGTTTCCAGCAAAGTGTCCTAAGCTGGCAATCGGTTTAAGCAACACAAACTTCTGGTCTGTATGGTGGAAATCACAAATCCACTTTCGCAAGACCCAAGCAACAATGGGAACGTCTATAGTGATAGAAGGACGCGTTTTGCATATAACTGGAGGGCAGAAGAGGACCTGACCGAATAAACAAGCAAAATGGTACTGGAAGTGTGGACCCTGTAAAGAAAAGCATATTGTATTGATTGCCTAAATCGGGACGCGGGTGGCACTGTGGGTTAAACCACAGAGCCTAGGACTTGCTGATCAGAACGTTGGCGGTTCGAATCCCCGCGATGGGGTGAGCTTCCGTTGCTTGGTCCCTGCTCCTGCCAACCTAGCAGTTCGAAAGCACGTCAAAGTGCAAGTAGATAAATAGGTACCACTCTGGCAGGAAGGTAAACGGCGTTTCCGTGCGCTGCTCTGGTTCGCCAGAAGCAGCTTAGTCCTGCTGGCCACATGACCCAGAAGCTGTACGCTAGCTCCCTCGGCCAATAAAGTGAGATGAGCGCCACAACCCCAGAGTCGTCTGCGACTGGACCTAATGGTCAGGGGTCCCTTTACCTTTACTGATTGCCTAAAACAAGATGCGTCACCATGGCACGCGAACCCAAGTGAAAGTCGCACCTCCGTGGCAAGCAGTCATGGGACTAAGGGGACTAGGCTGGTCCCCTAAATGTTCCCTTGGTGTCTCCTTCCCAAAGCCCGGGAAGCTTCTGCCCAGCTTAGGGAGGGAGGTGCAAGGCTCTGATGGGTCCAAGATCCATTCTGCCATCTTCCTAAAGCCCACCCGGCTTTCGGAAGTAGGCAGGAGGGCTCTGGCATCCTGTCAGAGCCCTGGCAACACTTTCGCAAAGCCTGGGAAGCTTCTGACCGGCTTAGGGTTGGAGCCTCGATGCTCACGTGTGCGGCGTCAGGACGTCACAATGTCACACGAGTGACATCACCCCCACTTGCAAGCCGGCACCTCTGGCCCTAACTGTTTCCCTATGAAAAATTTCCCTGCACGCCACTGTCACACCTCTTGACCCAGGAGCTGCTTCTCCTGTCCCAGATGTGCAAGAAAGGGCTGCTTGTTTGGAGGTTCTAGCAGGGGAGCGCAGCTATCGTACACCCTTGACCGAAGAACGGTACACTCCCTCTATCTGGGATGGTCATCCTCTTCCACTGAGCGCGCAGCTTCGGGAGGGATGCACATGGAGCGGTGAGGGAGGGAGGGGACACCCGCTTAGCCAGCCAGATCAGCTGAATCAACCCTGGCGATCAATGGGGTGACAGATGTCGCAGCCAGATCACCCTCGCATCCTTTGGGGAAGGTTCTCAGGCAGGGTGGAAGGAGAAAGAACTTGCCCACCTGGTGGAACTTGCCCACCTGGTGGAAACCCTTACACATATGGTTCTTAATTGTAAACTATATGCTGATCTCCGTCAGCAATTTCTAGATCAACTCTGTATCCCCAAATGGAAACCAGAGTTGGAGGTCATACATTTTCTATTACAGTGGTACCTCGGGTTAAGAACTTAATTCGTTCTGGAGGTCTGTTCTTAACCTGAAACTGTTCTTAACCTGAAGCACTACTTTAGCTAATGGGGCCTCCCGCTGCTGCTGCGCCGTCGTCACGTGATTTCTGTTCTCATCCTGAAGCAAAGTTCTTAACCTGAGGTACTATTTCTGGGTTAGCGGAGTCTGTAACCTGAAGCGTATGTAACCTGAAGCATATGTAACCCGAGGTACCACTGTATTGGGGAATGATCAGGAGCTCACCAAGTTAGTGGCCAAAAATCTCTATTTGGTTTTTTGTCGTCGAAATACGCTGCAGACCTCTGATCTCCCTGGAGACCTAAAGATGTGACCATAGACTGCTCTGCCTCCTTTCGTTTAGCAAATGTTTTGTGCCATTGGGGAAGTGGTAATTCTGTATTGATTTGTTCTGGATGTTTGTATGTGATGCCAATAAAAGGTCTGATGATGATGAAGAAAGGGTTGCGGCTTCTCAGTGCTGAAGGCACCCTGCACATGCTCAGAGGACTCGTGTTGCCTCTTAAGCTGAAGTTCAGCAGCCTTTCAAGGCACAATTCAAGCAGAGATGCAAAGAGTTAGAACGGCTAATGCAAGGCTCCGGTGAGCATCGGGGTGTCAGCTTGGATAAAATATTGGGTGGCAGGTAAGCCCCACATAATCACATGGTGCGGTGCACGCACACCATTTGAATGGCAATGCCCATTAACTTGGGGGGGTTCCCGGCCCCCTCAAATATTTTACTGGGGGGTCCGAAGACCCTTGACCCATAGGAGTTGGCGCCTATGATGAGGGTGGGATTTGAAGTAGGGGCAGAGTTCCACTCCAGCAGCAATCCTGCTTGTACACTGAGATTTAGTTCAGGAAGGAAATATTTCTGTTATGGCCTCAGGACCTGCCTTATTCTGACAGGTTGCAGGCCCATTTCAGGGTATAGAAACCACAAGCAAATAACAATGAATGCTCAAAACAAAATGTGTGTGTGTACATATATGTGCATATATACATATGTGTATGACGGTATGTATACTGTATATACACATGCACACACACTGTGTACACACACTGTATATACACATGCGCACACACTGTGTATACACACTCTATATACACATGCACACACACTCTTTATAGAGGCATTTGATGGCTCAAAGAAACAGTTCTTGGCAGTGGCGTAGCGTGGGTTGTCAGCACCCGGGGCAAGGCAAGTGATTTGCGCCCCCTAACCCGTGGATTTGCGCCCCCTAACCCGTGGATTTGCACCCCCTAACCCCCAGATGTTGCGCCCGGTGCGGCCGGCCCCCCCTGCACCCCCCACGCTACGCCACTGGTTCTTGGCAACCCAGAGATCCCTGGTCGAGACGATGCTATCAACTGCTTTATAATGTTAACTGGCTTTGGAATATTATGATTAACATTTATGTCCATAGCACCACAGCACTATAAATATACATGGCTCTGTGCATATATATTTTTAATCTACTCTGAAGGGCATACAGTCTAAAACAATGAATAAACAATACACTAAAATCAATTGTTTCAAACGCACAACTCACAAGCCAACATTTTAACTGTTTTTATTAGGCTTTCTAAAAAAAATCAAAAATTGTTTATTGACATGTTTGCTGCCCTGGGCTCCTTCAGGAGGAAGGGTAGCATATAAATTTAATGAATAAATAAAGACGACATAATCGAACCTCTGGGCAAACTTTGTTCCAGCAAATCAGGATGAACGTTCAATAAACAGGTCAGGGCCCCTTAGGCTCCACGATCCATTTTGGAATCTGCGATGGGGCGAAATTTCATCCATTCAGCTCCCTGACCAAACATGTTGTCCTAATTTGTCTTAGAAACAGATTGTGGGAGCCTGTTCTTCTAGGAATTCAGGGTAGCGCTAGCAAGCATAAGGCGCAAGGAAATGGGGGAAGGGGCAAAAGAGGCCAGGGAGCAGATGAAAAATGTGGGGTGGGGGAGGAAATGAGAGGTGGGGAGCCTGTGTTTTGGGACAGAGTGGCTAGATGGGAGGAACGCCTGGGCTCTCACAGATTGTGGAGTCAGAAGCGCCCGAGGAAGAAGATATTTAAAGGGCTCCCATGGTTCAAAAGAAATGATTTAATTACACACACATAATGATCAGCGTGTGTCGCTGGTATTTACCCAGCATGAGAAAAGGAGGATGGAACGGAAATCAGCCAAAGATAGATGCGAGCTGTTAATTAACAATGTTGGACCCTGTTTCCTCTCTCTCTCTCTCTCTCTCTCTTAAGAAAGGAAGAATGAAAAGGCCTTGCTAAATCAGAAGTGGAAGGATGCAAAAGAGAAGGCTCTGGGTTTTGTACATTCCAGGTGCTGTGCATGAAGCCGGCCCTACCATCGGACGAGGCGCAACGGCTGCCTTAAGTGGCGCTTTTGGGGTGCTGTCAAGAGAGGCTGACTGACCTGAGCCAGGGGCCCGACGCACTTGAGAACCGACGCACTTGAGAGAGGCTGACTGATCTGAGCCAGGGGCCCGACACACTCAGCAACCTCTGGAATGTGATAGGATCCCTACACCTAGTCTAGAATCCTTCCCTCCTTTTCTAGGGGGCTCTAGCTAAAACTGTCCTATCGTCATGCAGTAGGGGAGCTATCGGCAGAGTCAGGGGAATACTGAGGGTTGTAGAAGTACAAAATTTATCCATTGGAAAAAATAAAAAATACCAGAAAGGGAGAGGAAACTAAAAACAACAACAGTCCTATGAGGACTGAGCATGTTTGGTGGCCACAGAATGCAAACTGACTGCTGGGGGCGGGAAGAAAACAATACTGGCAGGTGAAGAAATGCAGTGGAGTACCCTGAACAGGAGCATTTCACACTGCAATATTTTGCTGCAGGTCTCAATAGCTAATACCAATTAGCCATGTGTTAAGTTGTGGGCGAACATATCCGACAACACAGCGATTCTTCAAACAGCTCTTGTTTATTCAGAGGCCAGAACAGAACTGAACTGAAGAGCTCAGTCAGCCTGCTTATATAGAGCTCCAGAACAACGTAACTGTAGCAACTTTCTAAAACTATCCAATCACTGAACGTCATTTTCAATCCTTCATTTGCATACAAACTATCCAATCACTGAACGTCACTTTCGATCCTTCATTTGCATAACTATTTACAGTATCCCCCTGCTGGCCTAGGGTGAGAACTTCAGTACATAACACCATGTTCACAGAATAGAACCTCCAAATACCAGGGGTGCCAGGGACAAACAACTGGGGAGGACCTCTGCCCTCATGCCCTGCTAATGACATAATAAAAATCATGCCTGTATTTATCATGCCAGGAATCACAGGTAAAATTAACAAAGTTATACGACACTTCGGCCTCTCTCTCTCTCTCCCTCTCTCTCTGTGATTTTACTGCCCAAAGACAAGAGACAGAGATGTTGATAGATATATTTAGTGGCTATAAAGAATAATTTCTCCTATGCTGAACTGAAGGCTGTAAGCTGCCCAGGTGATCCTTTGTGTGATGGGCTTATACAGTGTTTTTTTTCCTAAAGAAATGTTTAGGGGTACTCTCATTTTCCTACTCATACTGAAATAAAAAGGTAAAAGACCCCTGACAGTTAAGTCCAGTTGCAGACGACTCTGGGGTTGTGGCACTCATCTTGCTTTACAGGCCGAGGGAGCTGGCGTTTGTCCACAGACAGTTTTTCCAAGTCATGTGGCCAGCATGACTAAGTTGCTTCTGGCGCAATGGAACACTGAAACCAGAGCAGCACACTGAAACACTGTTTACCTTCCTGCCGCAGCAGTACCTATTTGTCTACTTGCACTTTTTGGCATGCTTTCAAACTGCTAGGTTGGCAGGAGCTGGGACCGAGCAACGGGAGCTCACCCCGTCGTGGGGATTTGAACCACTGACCTTCTGATTGGCAAGCTCAAGAGGCTCAGTGGTTTAGACCACAGTGTCACCCGCGTCCTGTTTCATATTGAAATACTGCCCCTCAGTGAGACCAAACTTAGATTCACAAAATGTTTAGGGGTATGCGTCTCCCTGCGTCCCCCCAGAAAAAAAGCACTGGGCTTATATAAAGGGAGCATGTCATGGAAAGTTCTGCTATGGAAATATTAACCATTAACGCCTGGGTTTTGTATTGCCTGTTTTCAGCTTAGAACATTCAGTTCACATTCATTTGCAATGTAAAACAAACAGCAAATTTCACCAAAATTCCAATAAAGTCAAACATTTGGTGAAGTTTTAGAAGTGGCCAGAGGCATCATTACGTATTAAGAATGACTACAGACAATAACTCTGGGCTCAAAACATTATCTAAGAACTACTGGGGTGGCCTTAAAATTAAACTGTATACACAAGTTGCCCAAAAGAATTAAGTTATGTTTTAAGTACATGTCTCCATACATACGGAAAGTAATCTGATAGGGAACCCTACAATAAGTTCCTGCTCTGATCCCAAGGAGGAGCCTGAGGGACAAGACAGGTTGGTTGTCATGGCACCAAGAAAAACTCCTCAAGAGCCACTTGTTCTGACAAGGGCTGGAGGTGAGTTGAGACCTTTCTCTTGTTTAAAGTGGTTTTTCAAAGTTTCATTCTCCAACTGCAGCCAAACAGAAACCATGCCTTGGTTTCCGAACGTTTTGGAAGTCGAACGGACTTCTGGAACGGATTCCGTTCGACTTCCAAGGTACCACTGTGTATGCAAAGGCGGTATTTATCTTCAGGTGAAAAGATCAGTACACTGCTGTTCTGCACCATAACAAGCTGAAGGTATAGTGTACATCAGGAG